ACACGAAATGTGTTTTTTAGATCTATTGCAAAAATTGACATTTATCTTTTTAACCGAAAAACGCAAAGTTTCGTAGCATATTTCTGGCACTTTTCTCAAGGAAATGAAAACAGCTTATGAAATGGATGAGCGCGCATTTAAAAGGTCACATTCAATTTTCTGTTTCTCTCAATACCTGCAATTTTAGCTCAAAAATCTTGACGATAAACTGTGTTATTACAGAAATTAAAATTTCCAGAGTATAACATATCGCAGTTTGCTGTGTCCTTGTATCCCACAAAAATTTACTTTATCCAAAATTTATATCGATATAAATGAAAACACGAAGATCTTGTTTATCATCTGCTCCGATCATAAACATAACCAGGTTACAACGAAACTCACTGACCAGAAACATTTATTTAATGTTTAACAGCATGTGCCATTGTTACACTTATTGTTACACTTACACAAGAGTTTTGCGTTGAATGAACGGACTTATTTCTCCTTGATTTGCACAATTTTCGTGAATTCAAATTCTGAGAAAATTAAAGGTGCGGTAGGGGTCACTCCTTATTTTCCATTTCCTTTTGTTCGCTTCGTTTCCGTTATTGTTTGTTATTCTTGTCTCTCCATAAAAACTCAACATCATTATTTTAGCTAAAATCACGGCCTAAGCAAAACAAAATGTTTTCTGTCAGCCTAGTTTTGTCGCTATGTGATGTACAGTCGATTTTTTCTCCCAATTTAAAGTAATACAATGGTTCTTGGAATAAAGTTGGTTCAATTGATACATTAAAAATGTTGTCCCGAACGGTCCAACAATTGGGAGATTTCATTTTAAACTGTGGCAAACACGAAAATGTGAATCTGTGCAAATTGGTTCTTTAACATCCAGTAACTCTTTTTTGTGCGACCAGTTTATAAATGATCACAATATTGCCAAGCAAATTTGCGACGAAGGTACAGAACCGTACATCAAAGCTAATATCAACCTTATGGCCTTAATAAGGGTGCGGCATCCTTGCAATTAAACCTTTTCCTTTTCTTTTACTGAATGTCTTTGGGTGTGTCGGTGAAAAGCTTAAGGAAGAGCAAGTGTTAGAGCCCGGATGAATGATCTTTAGAAAGATTTTTAAGTACAGATTTCTAAACTGTAAGATGAAAGATTTTTTTTCCGAATTAAGATTCCAAGCAACACCGGCATTACTCTACTAATGACTGAGTATTAAGACCTCTACGGTTGGTTAATCAGTTTGTAGGTGGCCTGTGTAACCTGTATCTGGTGGTTTTGTGGTCACTTTTGGTGACGGAGCCGTGAAAACGTGCGGACGGGTCAACTGTTAAAAGGAGAAGAAAAAATGAAAAACATTTTTCTGCTTTCTTTCATATAAAACGTCGAAAAACCTTCAACGGTACAGTTGGTTAATATATGTAAAGGAGAAACTTATTAGTTCACAGAAAGGAATTAACTGAGACTTAACCGATCACCATGAGATAGGCTTTCCTCACAGCTGAGTCACCTGGCTGTCGGCGCTAGGGACATCAAGCAGTCTGAACGGCAACGCTAAGGAAGACGTGGATTAAAAATTGAATTTGTATTTTAAGTTAGAAAAACTCAAGATTCGTTTTTTCTTTTATACATGAATTTAAAAAATGTTTAGCTGCTCTCAGTTAGGAGAAATTTTCTCGAGTCTTTCACTGATCCATCTTCCTATTAAAATTAAAGGTTCTTTCGTTTCCATCACAGACAGTGGTTGGTTGATCCCCTAATTCCCAAAATGTTTTAAAAAAACAACCACAACGAGAAAATCAATGAAGAAAAAAACGGAAAAAGCAAAGATTTGTACATCAGTCTCCTTGTAAAGACAGTTAGAACCTGAACATTTCTTTTACGAACTGTTGAGTCCATTCAGAATAATTAGCTTAGGCATGTCCGTCCATGTACAAAAGAATATTCTTTCTTGCTCGCTTCCTATTATTATTTGAATAATTTTACAGTGACATGTACAACATCTAAGTTGAGCAATGCAGATTCAAATTTTGCTTTTTCTTTGACAATGCTATTGAAATAATAATAAGGACGGCAACGAGGAAGACTTCGATTAAAACATTAATTTAAATCACCAATTACAATTTTGAGAGTGGCTGGATGTGTGTATCGTTTCTTACGACGACACAACTTCAGCATAACGCACACGAGCAGCGTTAAATTACAAATGTGAACTAAATAATTTGCCGTCTGGTGTTTACGTTCTCAGCCCACGCACATATTAAGGATTTGACGTTGTTGTTTTTTAGAGGACGACCAAGAAATATAACACATATGTTGAGCTATTGTTCTCCCTTCTAAATCTGTTTTTTTTAACCGTCAACCGTCAGAAAACAACTCAATATTATTCGTCACATGGTTAAACTCCTCCCATTCCTATGTTTCCAGCTGCTTGCCACGAGCAGTTCTAGATCTTGAAGAATCTTTAGACGAGCAATCCAGGCTACCGCTTTCACTAATTTTCGCCTAAACTGACGGTTTGAAAATATCAATGCTTTACTTTATACTTTAATACCTAAAAAAAAAATAATGACGTTGACAACTTGCTTATGACCGTCCAACCAAATCAAAACTTTGACTTAAGTTATAACGAGCGTCCTGAAATAATCGTAAAAGCGGAAGGAAAAACTTTTGAGCGATACAAGAAACGAGTTTCTCTCGGGGAAAAGCAAAGGCAAATTGGAAGTGTTCGCCAACACATAATTGATTTCCGCGACTTCGCTTTAAACTTTGGGCTCGGTTCATTTGAGCTCCAGTTGTACCGGTTGGTAAACTACTAAAAAGGGAAACTTAAGTTTAGTATACAGTCTAACAACCAAATAACAGCTCGAGTTGAAGCTACCACAACTGTTGTTCTGAGAGGGAGAGAGCGAGTTAAACGGTAAGACGGGTTCTGAAATATAAACCTCTTGCAATATGTCATTGAATTATATCTATTCATCTATAGAACTAAGATATCCCAGTATGAGTAGTGAAATCATGAGGCAATAATCAATGTAATTATGTATTTCCGTAACCGTATTATCTCTCAAAGTCATATACATTTTTAGCGAGGATGTGCGAAGCTAGCTCTTATAATCACTTTCGGAAAATACCCTCCGGCCATAATTTTGTTCGCACCCTGAGCATACTATGCTAAGTGCTAGAAGAATCAGCTCTTCAGAGTTCTGTGCATCTTGTTCACACTTATAATATCGGATATAAGTTATTATTTTGAACTAACGATTAATTTTAATACTGTTGGAGGTCTTAAAAGTGTGTTTCAGTTCACTTCGGTGGAGAAAGACTGAATAGGTCTGAATACGATCTATAATTTATGTTAAAAGATAAAGAAACTCAGTGTTGGCTTAAATTCATAAAAGAAACCCTTTCTTGAAAACTGTCAACTGTCGAGGGCCCTAAAAGTTAGCCGTCTACCGTCGAAATAGGAAAAAATGCCAATGTTTTTTTCGATTTAGTTGAACAGCCAGTTACAGTGTCCTAATAGCATATCATTTGATGCCTTTTCTCTTTTTAAATTCCCTCTCAGGCCATGATTTGTAATCTAAATCACTGTGATAATTGCATTCCTCTTATCCAGGTATTATGTTCCGATTTGCCCTAAAACAGCGGTGTTCGAAGGCTTTTGACTACATTGTGGTGCTTATCAGTTTAAGTCCGCAAAAGCTTTTAAATACAAGTTAATGTGCTGATAAGATGGAAATAGCAATTATCGTTTGTTTGGCTGAGAATTTCTAAATCTTATGTTAATCATTTGTGTCATTTGTAAGACTGGCAGTCGGGTGTGAGAGACTCGGTTAGGTATGTAGTTAATATGGACTGGAGCATTTGACCCCTGGACTATTGGACTATTTTGGATCAATTTTTGGACCATTTTTTTTGGACCATTTTATTGGGGGAAGGTAGACCATTAGTACTTAGGGAGGGGTCGGATGCAGTCTATCAATACTCAGGGAGGGGTGGGAGGCGGTTGTATTAGTAAATGCTACGGATTGATGGAGTTTTTAATGGATCATAAAAATTATTTTGTGCGGTTTTCCGACTAGGAATTCTAATGTTAAAATTTTTGCACCGGGTCGTAGCGTTTCTCTATTTTTTTGTCATGTGAATGCCAAACTGGCACCGAAACACTGGACTAGAATTGTTCATGGAAATATCGCCCAATTCCCGCTTTTGATCCTCCACTGCTGAGTCTCGCGTGTGCCTTTCCCCCACAGCCTGCACACTTTAACTTTACTTGTACAATTCGGTTTTTCCTTTGTTTGCATAATATTTGATCTGGTCTACATTTAACAGACACTTATCAATTCTGACTCTTTCAGAAATAAAAAAGAGATTTCAAATTCTCTCGAGTCATTGCAAAATATAGAGGTCGTTTTGTCATTGTCTCTGAGAGGGCTTATTGTATTATTGCAAAAAGGAAATTCGTAACTTGTGAATAACAAATCCGAAATTTTCGAAAAAGGTAATTCTGTGGTGGATTTAATTCTGTAATTGTGTAGATTTAATGAATAAAAGAATCGGCTGTGTGAAAGAAAAATTGTGTCAATGAGCCATAAAATGCAAACCTGTTATTTGAAAAATGATCCAGCGCTGAAGCTGTGCTGTTTCAATCGTCAATTTACGAAATGCAGTGCGTGACATGACACTCAAATCTAGGCGTGACTTAATTGTATCAAATAGGAGAAAAACTGTGTATCTGAAAAGAGAGACTCCTGCAACTCCTCCCGAGGAACTAATTGTCTACCTCCTCTCGATGAAATGGTCCAAATCAAAGATGGTTCAAAATTGGTCCAAAGAAAGGTCCAAAAACTGGTAAAAAAAATGGTCCAAAAATGGTCCAAAAATGGTCCAAAAATGGTCCAAAGAATAGTCCAATAGTCCAAGGGTCCAATGGTCCAATAGTCCAGTCCATATTTTACTCTATGCCGTTAAATTCTACTTTTTGATCCACTCAGGTATCAACTACATGAAAAAGTCCAGCTCTAAATTCAGTGACATGTTCAACAACACAAGTGCTTCAACACAAGAGCAATCTCCGGTAAATACCAACACTTTCACCGCTGAAGCAGTAGCTGAGCTTGTCCCTATTGCGCTCCTGGTCACCATTGCAAATGGCGTGGTGCTCGTTTTATTTACAAAGAATACCAAGCTCCGAACAGCACCAAACTATGTCCTTTTCAGCCTGGCAGTTTGTGACTTCATGACAGGAATCATCAATGTTCCCCTTTTCATAATTGTCGCGTTCACACCGGTTGTAAAGTCGCTTGAGGTTCGATATTACATGGCCATCCTGGTGAGTGTACTTAACAATTTCACCGCCATATCATCTTGTTATCATATACTGGTCGCCACAACAGAGAAGTATCTGTCAGTCGTCTGGCCAATAAAACATCGATTGATGACCAGAAGAACAGTCGCCAAAGTGGTGAAAGTAGTTTGGGCGTTGTCTTTCATTGTGGCCTTTAGTCCCTTTGCATGGGTGAAAATGGAAGATAGAGAAACCCAAGCAAGACTGACTTTAGGACATGTCATTTTTTGCCTCATTGCCGTTTTCTTGTTGCCGTATACATTCATGATCTACGCTTTTATCGTCATTTTTAAATCAATTTCTGACAGAGGTAAAGCAAGACGAGGTGCCACTTTAGAGAGACCTTTCCTAAGCCGGCAAGCTGCTCTTGAAAAGCGATGTTTGATTTTGTTCGTTGCAATGGCAACCGTCTTCCTTCTTTGTTGGTTACCATGGTTTATTTTGATGTTGCTGTTCAAAGTAAAGAAGGACGTGAACTCCCTAGAAATCCCAGCTCATGTGTTTGTGCTCGTTAGATATGCTACTTCTATTATAAATCCTGTATTGTATACTTTCTTCAGAAGAGACTTTAAGAAAGCACTACATTCCTTATGTTCAAACAGCAGATTACGTTGTCTGACTACTTTGGATCATAAACCAAATGGATCTGATACAAGGGAAATAGAAACAGCTGAAGACGCTTTATAACCTTCAACACCCTAGCATCAGTATACGTATTGTCCATACTGCTCTCTATATATTTCTTAAGGTTCTGACAAGGAGAATTTGTTTAACTTTAAATAGCTACGTTACTTGGTGATCATTTCCTTCAATCTCGTGACCTTAATGTGTGATTCAGGGGCGATATTGTCCGGAGAAATTAGATGCTGGTCAATCTTAGGGTTCAAAGGGTCAGAAGTCATTGCCGTTGGAAACAATACCAAAAAAAATTGTCTTCAATACTTAGGTTACTTATTTATTTATTTATTTATACGACCGACATTTTAAGCTCTGGATTGACACGCACGTTTTCAAAAGTTATTTTGACTTCTCAAAAGATGATAAATGCCTAGGCGGTGATTGTTTAAAGGTGCATTCATTCTATCTTGTCTTGTACCGGTACAAGCTTATTTGTGAAGTACATACTCCTTTTTCTGGAGCACTTGATGTGCATTATACTTAGATAATAAAACTGATGGGTAAATCGCAATAGGGCGAATTTTCTTCAGCTTCGCTTTTGACTTTTCTCTGGTTTAAAAAGGGAATGTTCAATTCTATTGAAGAACATGATTCTTTTTTTGCGGCTTTTCTCGGTGATGAAAAAGCACTCTCCCTAAATATAACTTGACTTGTCACAAAAAGCGGAAACTATACAAGTTAACCAAAGCTCTTCGCGAAAAAAGACGACGCATGCGCTCGAGGGGTTGACGCTCGAAACGTCAGCTTTAAAACTCTATAGAGTGGTCAATTTGCATCATCAACTCAATTGATAAAGGCAAATTATCTTGAAAGTCAAATTTTTTTTAACGTAATTGATTAACTTTCAATTCATTTCAATGTTCTGTGCTCGTCTTATTGCACCGCCCAAGAATTTTTACTTCTGTCATTTAGCTAGAACTTTGACAGGCTGCATAGTTTTGGATTTTTCTTGAATATGATGCTCGTATGTTATTACACGCTAAATTAGTCTTTCTCTTTTACTTAAATGGCACAATAAGAACAAACTGATTTTGTAATAGAAACAACAGAATGATGTTGAGTAAGAAAGCGATCTTCGCAGCAGTGAACACTACTTGACTAACATAATGACCAGCTCCCAGTTGCTTTTTAGCTGGGTTGGTAGAACGCTGCACCGGTATTACAAAGGTCATGACTGGGTTCAAACCCCGTACAGGCCAAACTTTTTTCGGCCATATTTTCAGTGCTTCTCGAGTTGTGTTCTTTCCAACAAAGATAGCTTTCATATTCACTTCGTTACCTGCAGTTCACGTATATGATATTTCATATTCATATATTCACAGGCAGAATTGAGTTGCTACGTAGCTTTGGTGACTGCTGAAAAAATGCACTGAAAGCTGCTCATCATAACAACATAAATGGAACAGATGGAATATCTGAACGGCCGAGAAACAGGCCTTATTTTCACTGCTTCTTAAGTAGTGTTCATTCCTTCGAAGACCGCTTTCATATTCGCTTCTTTATTTGTAGTTCACATAGATGATTTTTATATTTATATATGCACAGTCATGACTGAGTTGCTACGTAGCTTTGATGACTGCTGAAAAAATGCATTTGAAAGCTAGTCATCGTAACATCATAAATGGAACAGATGGAATATCTGAACGGCCGAGAAACAACGGATCCTGAATTATATATGGTCGTTTGAGGCCGGTTTGCAAAAGATTGCGTGAAGCGTTAACAATCTGCAGATTTCAAGAGAAATAGACTGCACAAACGTGGAGGTGAGCGGTTTTTTTTCTTTCATTCGTAATGATAAGTTTTGTTGAAAGATTATGCTCATTATTTAACTCGCATTTCTAGTGGAGCACTTTTGTGTAATTATATGATGAGATGTCGATACTCTCAGTGAATAGGGTCAAACTGAACTGTTTTGAAAACAGAAAAACAAAAAACACGATAAAATTAGGGACTTAAACGGCAGGATTTGAACCTGTAAGTAATTTTGGAGCAATTCACATTTGCTTCATTGACTCCGGAGATAATTTCTCTCCCATAACATAACTGTATTATTTGGCAGATAATGATTTGTCTTTATAGAATCTGTGAATTAGAAATATTCAGCGATCTAATGATTTGAACTTAGTTTATCCTGGAAAATATGCTGAATATCGATAACTTTAGGCTACAGTGTAATGATGTGATTAACATGTAGAGGCAGCAACGGTACTGACCGAACAGTGAGGAACCCAATATATCCGTAAAAAGAAAGTTAAAGCCGCTGGACAGAAAGATTACCGGGGTAGATCGGTTTTCTGTTTGTTTGTTTATTTGTTTTTGGTTCTTTTTTGTTGACGAACATTTCAGTGAAGGCAAATTTTGTTGAAATTTTAATGTAGTAATTACTTATGAAGCAGATTAATAAGGAGCTTTGATTCATTTTCTCTGCAATATTAGAGATCGCTTGAAAAACATTGTGCTAAATAAGTATTGGTCGCATGCGAACTATTTGAGTGTTTTCGGGTAAATTTTATTTCAATTAACAATTGACTCATAAGTTAGTGCGTTCACCAAGATATGAAGCACGTGGCGGGGAAGTTTGGAGAAAGCAGAAGGTTTTTGAGAGTTTCTCGAGGAGAAGCGAACAACTTGAGCTCCTTGAGTACTCCCCAAACCTCCCAGGTGCTTTGAAGCTTGATGAACGAACAGCTGACACATGAACCAATTTGTTTAATTTATAACATTTTCAACGTGGTAGTTTTAAAGTTTTATGCAGATAATTTAACCTGGCCCATTCTTCATTGTTTCCCTTCTTTAAAAAAGCCCACGTGTCACTGATACATGCAGCTTCGCAAAACAATGTAGGACAAGACTGACTTCAACAACTGGATCCACGGTGAAAACGCTGCAAACTGTGATTTTAATTGCAATCATTCCCAATATTAAATTTGCAGGATAAAAAAGCCCACGTGTCACTGATACATGCAGCTTCGCAAAACAATTTAGGACAAGTCTGACTTCAACAACTGGATCCTCGGTGAAAACGCTGCAAACTGTGATTTTAATTGCAATCATACCCAATATTAAATTTACAGGATAAGATAACATGGCTTCTAGGGACTTAAAAATTGCTGCCGCAGTGGTGTTTTGTTTTGCAGTGTACACTCTATTTTGGACCAACCTAAAAGATTGCAAGTTCTCTCGAGGTTTGTATCATTAAAATTACGTCAGTTTCAATTCAAATTTCATTTTGCCAATACCAATGTAACTGTTCTCATCTAGGAGAAGTGAAAAACTTTCATTGGCTTAATACTCCATCGATAGAGATACATCCTGTCAGAATGAGCCACTTGGCCAGTTGTATACCGTCACCACAGATGACAATTTGAAGATGACCGAGCACTGATAATAACCGAAATGAATATGTCACTGATCGTGAGCACGATTAGGTCATAAAAATTTTAATTTCTTGAATTTTCATGATCAGATTTGCGTCTGCATCGGATAAGAGGTTGAGAACAGTTAACTATTCATCCCTTTTTTACACCATTTGAAATTACTGATGGTCCCTGTAATCTGATTGGCTCTAATTGGTGCGATTTATTCACGATTTTTTTGCTTTAAATCGCATCTTTTTCCCAGCAAATGAGCAGGCCACACTAAAAACAAAACAACCAACCAGATTTCAAGGCTTGTTTGAAGTAACCAATCAAATTGCAAGAAAATGAAAGACAAAGAGTATCATGCGTCAAATGTGCAACTTTTGTTTCCAAAGCTTCTATTTCCCCTCCCCCCCCCAAATATGAATGAGTTTAATTTCAAACCAGCTCAGTCCTGCATCAATAAAATATTTGAACTGACCAAGTCCTGTATTTGGGCGATTTCAAAATGGATGTAATGAAGTGGTAACTGAATCTCGTGTCGTACAATTTTGGTCTGAAATCATACTTGTGATTTCAAATCGAACTCGCGCTGCGTGCTCGTTCGATTTTGAAATCACGCGAATCATTTCAGCCCAAATTGCATTCCACTCAGTTCAGTTATTATTATTAATCATGAATTTTTAATCAAGTTTTCAAGGGTCATAAGATGGCGGTTTCTACTCTGTCTACTCTCTCTTCCAGACCTCCATTTTACCTTCCTTCCTCGATCCTCGCTTAACTCACGCTCACTTAACTCCCCTAACTTTTTCTATTTAACACCCCCCGCTGTTGTTCTGTTTGTACTCATCAATTGTTTGATTTTAGTTCCACAGCTGACTAATCTTCTAGATGCAAGACAGTACGACAGTGTCAAAATTTTCTTACTTTTTATTGGTTACAACAGAAGTAGACACACTCTGTTAGCTTCTCTGTTAGATGCTCATCCAAACATTATCGTTGCCAACGACTACAACATCTTGGGCGAATGGATGAAAAACCCTCTGTTGTCTCAGAGATCAAAATATTATATGTACGAGCTACTTTATGCAAAATCTCGTTATGACGTCATGTTTGGAGTGCGCTCGCGATTGGTGGGTGACAGACCAAAACAATATCACTATAACATCAAGGACCAATGGCAAGGCAGATACAAACATAGCTTACAGGTGTGTGTTACCGTTACATTTTTTCGGTTCCTGTATTCGCCAAAGCAAAATTCGTTAGATTTCAGATCATGCGCCTCGCTTACCAATTTGTAAATGGGCCTTTTCCCTTTCCAAACGGAATCTACTAATTACTAACTAATTCGATAACGTTTAATACAAATGAGATGTACCTGTAAACATTTTGCTGGATAAAATGAGAACGCTGCTTCCCAGTTTTCTATTTGTTCTATGCAGGTTGTTGGTGATAAGAAAGCTGCTCGAGCATCCAAAATTGCGCGAGGACCCGAGGGAATAAAGGCGTTGAGAGACCTCGAGAAAAAACTCGGTGTACAACTAAAGTTCATTCACGTTGTGAGAAATCCATTTGATAACATCGCAACTATGACTCTACGAAGAGCACAAGCGAGAAAAAAGGGACAAGTTAACCTTAAGGTCAGAATACGCAGTATACGCTGGGCCCGCTGTTATTGGCTGCGCTGTTGCAATGCCCCTGCCATTTTTCTGTCGTTTTTTGTCAACTTTTTTTCCATCTATTTATTTGGATTGTTGTCGTGTGGCGAAGTTAACAAATAAATAAATAAAGAATAGTATTAAGATTCATCCCCACGTTTACATTATATCTATTGGTCTGTTAGGTTTCAGACCTATTTGAAACTTTGAAGGAAAAGTTTATCTCACCCAACTACGCAGTCAAGGCTTCATAAACAATTGGGAATACCTCACCAAAAGATTCCTCAACTAACTTTTTCTTAATCCTTCATTTAGGTGAACCTCTCAAATATACTTGATGGAAGTATAAAAAGTTACGGTGAACTCGCTCGAGGAAGTCTTGAAGTCAAGAAAAACTTTCCAGGCCGCGTACTTGACGTAGCAAGCATTGATATGATGACGTACACTACAGAAAATTTACGGAATATTTGCAACTTCTTAGAAATCACGTGCACAGAGAAGTACCTGCAAGACTGCGCCGCCATTGTCGACCCAGTCCCCTCCACCACGCGAACAAATGTCGAGTGGAACACTGACCAAATAAACCGAGTTCGGAGATTGATTTCACAATATCCATTCCTTAGACGATATTCATTTTACGATTGAATGACACCGAGAACCATTGTACAAATTAGATATGTTTATGGATAGAAATAGAATAATTTAAATGTTAGGTAATAAGCGGGCTATAAAGGGAAGCAACCTGACTAAAACGTCTCTTATCTTTTGACTTCTGTAGTGTAAAATATACTTAATGTAATTATATGGTTAAAATTTTACAACTCCAATGACACTTACATACATATGCACGCAACCGTTTCATATTGTCCTTCAGTTGCATTTTGAAATGATATAATGGTTTCTGGTTCGCCTTAAGCGGCTGCAATATGACTGTTACGCTAGCTCTTGTCTTCACTCGAATCCATTGTATCATATATGCGCGCAGACTAAAAAATTACAACTAAGCGCAAGCAAAATAGTTTTAGTTATTGTAAACCTTAAAAAAACTAGCAATAAAATACTGAAATTTATCTGCATATCGAGCAATGATTCAGAAAAAACTAATTAATCTAGATCAGTGAATGCTACTTGCACAACAGTCGAATTAATATAATATTTGTAATTATTTAAAACGTTAAAAAATTAAAAAACGTGTAAAGTGAAAAGCGTAACTCAGAATCAGACACATTTACCTAACTGCAATAACAACTTGTTGTGTTAAGGAATAACTTCCGTTCAGCGGACTTGATAGTCTCTTGAATGAATAATGAGATCTGAATGTGTAAGGATGCTGGATAAAGGACTTTGAATTATGAAAATCGGTTGAGATTATATCTTCTGAAACAGAATAAAGCTTAGAATGGGAAAGTATTTTAAGTAAGTACAGGTATAAGTAAATAGGATCATGATACATATGTCCAGCCAATGAATTCCCGAGTTCAGCTTTTCGTGACTTTTTTGGCATCATTTGTATCAATAAAACTAATTCAATGGTGTCAATACGGGTGATATGGCCTTTCATTAAGACATCACTCAGTGTTAGCACGGTTCTTTATAGAGGGGGAGGGGATGTTGAGTGACTATGACTGTGTAATATGGAAGGTTTAAATGAGTCAACGGCGGTCGATTAGTTTGATCTTAACCGGCTTATCAGGAACCATAAGAATCTTCTGGTACATTTCCAACGGACCTTGATTGTATTCAATTTGAAACCGCTGCAGTAGCTGCAAGACAAAGAATAAGACAAACGAATCAAAACTTCATGGAAGATTCCGCAACTACAGTGCGTTTGAAACATGACATTCTCACCTTGCAAACAAACAGGTAAATTTCCAATTCCGCCAAACGACGACCTTACAAAAAAAATGGAAGATTCAAAAGGAAAGTCGGAAGAGATGAAGTTAAAAAATTTCTTACAGACAGTAGTAAAGGGTGAAAATGGGGCGGAGAGATCTGAGCCGTGGTGTCAGGGGAGGGGGGTGGTTGTCCAGGAATGCCCCTATAATTCAGGAGGTGAAAATGCACAAATCCAATGACAAGACAAAACAATCTTTATTCGACTTACTATTTACAACGTCATGAAGTTAAATCAGGAGCCCTGGTTAAATACAGTTGTAAATAAAATAAGTAAGGGTGCAAGATATCCTAAAAAAACCATGTGGGCTTTTCAGAGAAGAATATCTTTGATGAATGCAAGGCATAAATCGTTTCCAGTGCTATAAGAGCCCGTAGTATAGGAGCGGTATAAGTCTCTTCACGCAAGACGTGCCGCAATTGATAACCTTGACCCAAACTCTCCTCCCCCCCACCCTTGAAAATCCTAGTGCCCCCCCTGTCTTTTTCAGCTCGCCTCAATCAACGGCCTTACTCACCAAGGCACATACGAGGTCCAAATCCAAATGGAATACTTGCAAAAGCGTGAGCCTCTTCCCTCTGTTCTCGCAGCCAGCGCTCTGGTTTGTACTCTAAAGGATCCTCAAAGTACTTTTCTGAGCGAGCAGTACAATAATTTTCTAAAACTATGAAAGTCTGCAAAAATAATTAGGAATTGCATCAGTCCTGGATCAAATAAAAGGGATAAAACAGTGATATCATTTGAGCTGAGTTTGACAAGACAAGGCTTTAGATTATTACATTTCCTTAATAATAGGGGCTCTACCTGCGTAAATTCGCACACCACACATACCGGTTAGAGGCTTTCCTGAAACAGCTTTCACAGTAAATAGTCCAAGGAAAGAATTATTTATAATATTCATATTTGAACTGAGGAATAAAGGGAATTGATAGATACATTTTATCATCCTGTAAAGGAAAGATTTCAAGAATTTGAGGGATGTTGCGATTTGTTAATGTAGGGGAACTACGACTAGTAATGAATAGTTTTTGTAGTCCATCAAGAGAACTTTATTTCAGAGTCCTTAGCGGTAATTATTTTTGTCGATCATCATCACCTTCATCATAATCCTTATTGCTATTGTCATTATCACTTTTATCATAAATGATTACAAGAAGGCTATACAGCACTTAACAAGATACATGTAGGTAATAAAAAGAAACAGAGACTCACTCCGGCTGGCACATGATAGCCACGTAACTCAATATCCTCATCCAATATTCGACTGTTGGCAGAAATAACTGGGTGTAATCTTCTCAAGGAAAAGTAAGAGAAAGAACATGACAAAGGAGAAGATTAAAGCTGGTATCAAACAGCTCAGGTTTTTTACAAATAAATACATCCATCATGGAAATACCACTCCTACAAAACTATCAATGTGTAAAAAGTAAGTAGTTTTTTTTTTCAGTAAGGCAGAGCAAGTTTACCTCATTGTTTCTTTAAGACAGGCCTTCAAATATGACAGTTTCGCTAGACTCTGAGAGGTAACATCTGCATCTTTTCCAACAACACTTTCCACTTCCTGATAGAGTTTGTCTTGTACATGTGGATTTCTTCCCAAATTATACAACATCCACAAAGTAGTATTTGCTGTCTGTGTTATCAAGGAGAAAATGATGTGAAAATTAATCCCACTGATATGAATCTAGACATCAATGACAGAAAGGTTCAAATTGGGTGCAGGCAGGTTAATTTTGTTCTGTATGCATGTCATACATGTAAAACCTGGATTGCAATATTTGTGACAGAATACCTAAAGCACTTCTCTTAAGGCTTTCACTAAGTTTTGGCAGCTATTACATTGGAGATATCTCCCATAGCAGCATCATACATGCTCAAGTGTTCCACAACAGTGATCAATATCTTCACCTTCTGCAGAATCATTTATGTCATATTTGTTTGATTTGTCCCTTAGCAATGATTGGCACAATAATCCATGTGACTCAAAGATCAAAATACTCCTTCTCTCAACTGACTGCCACACACTTCTTTGTCAATCAGACAGGAGATTTCAGCAATTTTTCAAGGGAATACCCTGTAGCTAATCTCTAGGGAACATAAAGAAATTGATGGAAGAGTCATGTTAACAAAATCTGGGTGTTAAAGAGTTAAGTTGCAAACATTTTGCTGTATCCTCTCAATAGATGGGTTAATGTTGCTAATTAGCCACCCTGGAAATATTACTGACTCTATATTTACCTACAGGAAAACTCTGCTCAATTTTCTACTCGTGCAGTAATTGACAGAAACATGTCATTGATTATATCACTTACTGTATCAACTCCTGCACCAACCACATCAAGAAGAACACCTACAACCTCTTGAGGAGTCAGTTCCTTTTTTGTGAGCAGGTAGGTTAACAGTGGAACAGCTGTTTGAAAAGAACATACATAAGATGGTGATCACTGAAAATAATTGAAGACAAATTGGGAATTAAGCTGTGATTACATTTTTTTACATCAATATTTTCAAAGAGAACTTATGAACAAAATCCATACCATCATTGGTCAATGTACAAAAATTGTTGCAACTGTGGTTAAGACAACATGTTGAGAATTTACAATTTACCTTACAGACTCATAGACTTGTATACAACTATGTAATAATCATATAAGTGCATAAATTTACTAAAAGGACATATTTAACTGAATACTTGCCTTGAGTGTTATCAATTCCTTTATCTGACATTTCTTTCAATTCATTCATCTTCTTATCCACAAAACCTTCCCCAATTTCTATAAGGGTATCAGCAGTCTTGAAGAATTTCTTTAGTAATGGTGTATCAATGCTGAAGTTCTTACCAAGACGCCTTGATACACTAAAAAACAACTTATGACTGATTGAGAAGAAGTTGTGAACCTCTGTGATGAATCGCATCGCTTCTTCTTTCGGAGGATCTTCATAGAGCCCTAGGCGGGAATCAAATGCAAGTGTTCCCACACCTTGAAAAAGTACAAACAGAATGTTTACTTCCTAATTCAATCAAAACATAAAGATAAAATGAATAAATACAATATCAAAAACAACAATTATCAAACAACACTTTGCTTAAAGGAAGTCCATTCTATCAAAAGCCTGTAACATCCACCTCACAGCCTGTTATCCAGTTTCCTAACCCGAGGCCCAATTTTCATCATCATTGTTGTTTCATTCTCTCATTATTGAGAAAAAGGGCCTCATTTCTAATTACCACAAAAAGCTTTTATCACTCTGGTTAAACTGCAAGCCAGCCTACCATTCCACTCTGCCTTGCAGAATGGAATGGTAGCACAACATATTTATGCACACTCCCGCCTCCTGATCAGCTTTCCCCAAATTTAAAAGTCCATTAAGTATAGGATGGCTTGAGACAACCCTTCAAAAACCTCTTTAGGCAAAGTTTTTTGGTTTGCTTTGGTGATGAGAGGGGTACATGCCACCTAATTGATAACTTTGACAATCAAATGTGGCAGACATTGATCCACATTTGGGTATATGCATATTTGATAAAAAGCAGGCTCAAAATGGTTTCCTTACTTTCAAATACCAATTATTAAATAGATCATAGCTTCCACACATTCTCATTTGTCATATCAAAAAAAAAAAACTCCTACCTTTCCACTTTTTTGACATATTAGTTGACTAATTTTGGCAAAAATACAGCCTTTGAGACACAGCTATAACTCTACCTTAATGTGGCTCTCAACTCAACTTCGAAGTCAAATTCAAACTTGGTGACCCACATTTTTTAATACTGAATTATATAGAGGATATTAAGTGGATTAGAGATATTACATCTTGTTTTGAAAAATATTTCATTTGTTTGTTTCCCTCACTCAAGAAATATTTTTCAACACTCAAAGAAAAATTTCTTATCTCCATGCAGCCACACAATATTCTATTTGTTAAAAAAAACACAGATTAAAACAAAACAATTTGACTTTAACTTTTTTATATATAACCGTAGCAACAGTGGTCTTTCTACCTGTGAAGATACACAGTTAACATGCTATCTTCAAGTGTGAAGATATGTTTTCATATGAAAGTTTACTTGGTATTTCATTGATGTTTATATAATAGATTCTCATACTGCCCATGAAACTTCACTTAAACTACATCTATAGGTCACAGATAACTCACATTAATTGAAAGTACAACCAGTTTTGATTGACTTACTCTCTGTAGCCCATTTACTAAGTTCCTCCTCCAAGTCTGGAATGTGTCTGTCAGGTCCACATTCCTCCTTTAGTTTGGCAAGCCTTGCAATTGCATCTTTTGTTACAGCTGTAAAGTTATCAATATTTTCCTCCATAATCTTTGGACGCATTATTTTTGGAGCTACACTGTGTCGTACTCTGTACCACTCTTCTCCTTGTCTGTCAGATTCACAAAAATATGTTGTTCATTAATTGAGAAAAACAAATTTTTAGAATATGCTTGCTATTACTCTGTCAGCGTTTGTTTGTCCTCTTCAATGAGTGCTTGGGTTAATGAATACAACTACAGCAGAATTTAAGAAAACGTGTAACCAATAACTAGTTTGTTTCTCAGATTTTGTTATAGTTTGATCAATAGGTAAAATGCTGTATCTAGATGTCCAGCAGCCCAGATTGGTTTTTGAAATTACTCCCTGTCCGGCAGTAAAAATTATTTACTAATTCTTTTGTTTTTTAAACAATAATAACATTAGAGAAAAATGTTTCCATCTTGTCATGAGTGTGGGACAAAGAAAAAATTCAGAGTCCCCAGGAGAAATTGAACCTCAGACCTTGGGGGCCCTGAATTTTTTCTTTGTCCCACACCTGTGACAAGATGAAAACATCTTTCTCTATTTCTTTACCAAGTTCAAACCTTACCATCTCATTTATTCTGTTTACAGCAGGCAACCTACTGTTTTGAGTCTATCAACAAGAAAAACATAAAATTTAAAAAAACATTTGACTGCCAGACATGGAGTATTTTGACTTCGTGTCCTGAAGCTTGCTGCAAACAATTGTACCTCAATTAACATTTGTGAAGACAACAAGCATAATCATGAAATTATTACCAAGGTAAACAAAGATAGCTCTGCCTAGCATATTATAATTCTAATGTAATTTCACAATAAAATTAAAAATTGAGGAAAACTTTCAACTGCTGGACACGGAGTGTTTATGAATTCCGTGTCGGGAAGCTTGCAACAAGCCTTTAAGTCACAGATTTAATTTTAAGTCTGTCTAAGGGCCTGTTTACATGGAGGTAGGGGACCCCAGGTTGGTGAGGTAACCCACCAAGTGTGGTAACCCGCCCATCCATAAAATCTCTTATTTTATCTTGAACACGTTTACATGATAGGTGGGGTGACCTGCCTAGGCAGGTTGCCCAGGCTGCTGGGCAGGGTAACCCTGTCTGCCAGAGTGACAGTTTGCCATGTAAACGTCTCAAGGTGGGGTTACCCGCCAGCCAGGGTGGCGTCCATGTTACAAAAAGATCAAATGAGCCAAAAAAAAACGAAACACGAGTGTGTTAAAGCTTTGTTCATTTCCTAGCAGTCTCATGCAGAGCTTAAACGTTAAAACACCAATTTTTACGTCCTCTTAGCAATGCAACCTCGACAGCGATTTAGTCACGATGTTACTTTGAACTCAGCACCACATTCACATGTTGAGCCGAAGTGAAGACGTTGTACCGTCAGAAACGGTTAATGCATCGAGCTGATGGCGAAAATCTTAGAAGAAAATAAATTACGTTTTTTACGGCAACGTTTACCACACGTCGCCGTAGTGACATCTTAAACTCCTTAACTACAAGTGCGATAACAACCTCGGGAAACCTCGCCCCTGCATCCCGGGGTTGTAAGACTGCATGGGATAACCTTGGGTTACCTCAACTACCTAGGTTTCCCCACATCCATGAAAACAGGTCCTAAATAAATAAAGAGCGCCGAGCTTATGCAAAACTAGCAGGTCGGTGGAAAACGTAACGTGTCTAGCGATCTAAAAACGTATCTGATTGTGTGAATTAAAATTGGTAAATATTTCGACTGCCAGACGCGGAGTAACTTCATAAACCTGTCCGGCTGCCGTATATCTAGAAACAGCATTGGTGAAAAGAACTCGCGTGTTCACCTCCTTCTGCTTCGCATAATTAAATGGCGATACTGTCATGTCACGCGAAGTGTATTTGGGCACATGGAGAATCGTGACTTACAAGAGCAAAATGCCAGGGAAATAATTCCTGCGTTGTCGATGCTCCAGCCAAAAGTCAATCATTACTCTGGTGGGATATTTTCCTTCGGCACGTAGAGCTTTTTCTTGATCAACAGGATCAATGAGATGCACGGAGTACGTCCCCAAGAAAGCGAACTCCTTAAAAATAGGGCCATATGTCTGAAACAATTCGTCCAGCATTTTGTATCCTTTGGTAAATCGCTCAGATTTCCAGTAAAATTCTACGAAAGATTTAAAGTTTTTGGGGCGACCAGGGATGTCTTGGAAGGGTTTACCTTGAGTTGCGGATTCCTGATCACCGCTGCGATCAGAGACTGCCTCGGTTTTCTGAAATCTCAAAAGTGAATTGAAGGGTTTTAACACTTCATAACATGGGATAAGATTTTTGCGGAGAGCGAATCTTGACAAAGAATACATAATAAAACCCGGTTTTCACTAATAGTGTCCGACAAGCAGTCTTAGCAGCAGAAAGGAGGATAGATTTGCAATTATGTTTTTGACATGAAAACATTCGAAATGCAGCTATGGAGCCGCTCCATCTATTTACATGGCGTGGCTACTAAAGAATTTGTTGTTTTTCAAGATGGCGAGCTCTGATGTTCTGTTGTTTCTTTTATATTTCGGTCAAGGGTTGCCTTATGGCTTTCAAGTCAAACTTCTTCCATTATTTCTGAGGAAACATAAGTTTTCATTGTCAAAGGTAGGCCTTAGCCGCCTATTAAGTTTACCATGGATTTTCAAATTCACAGTAGCACCTTTGATTGATAAGTTATGGTCTTTGAACTCTTGGATTACTTTGGGCTCGTTAATTATGGCCGTAATTTGCTTTGCATCAGCCTGGGTGGGAGAACACAATACTCTTTTGGTTCTGTTCTGGATGTTGTGGATGAACATAACATCTGCTGTACAGGATGTTGCAGTGGATGCCTATGCAATTTGCCTGCTAGAACCTGCAGATCTTGGTAAGAATACATTTACAACTTCAGCATGAATAGTTTAAATAATGCAAACAATTCAAACAAATTATGAAAAATAATGAAATCCTCACCCATAAGATCAAGGAAAGAGGGTTATTGTTTTCTGCCCAAGACCATAGCTTAAAAATACATCTTTTTTAGTGCTGTCCAAGATAATCTCTCAACATTCATAGTGTCTTGTGTAGGTTTTATTTGTGGAAGGTGGCCTGTACTCTGCATGCATAACAGCCTAGGAAATTCTCTTTCACAAACTAGGGATGTAACATTAGAGGAAAATCCTTTGATTTGGTCAAATTGTTGATTGAGTGATCACAAATGACCTGTGACTTGACAAGACACCTCAATCAATGGAATACTGCTAGTCCAAAGGGTAACATTTTATTCCATTTTCAGGAAAGGCGAGCACACTACAAGTGGTTGGTTACAAAGTGGGTACATTATTTGGAGGAGGTATTCTTTCTTGGCTCAGTGTATACTACACCTGGAAATGGTTGTTCACCCTCTGGGGCTCTTTTTACATTGTCATGTTAATCATCTCAGTAATAAACATTAACAGTGAAACACGTTCAACATATGAAATAGCAAAGGGAGTATCATTGAAAAACCAGGAAATTAAAGGAAATCAGTTACGTTCATCTATGTCAGTCTCCAATGATAATACAAGTGGCAAGCTTAGTCCTTTAAAGATCATTAGAACTACTATTAGGACTGTTGACTTCTCATGGCTGATGTTCTATGTTGCAACATACAAATTAGGTGAACAAGGTGTTGTTAGCATGCTGCCTTTGTATCTGATTGATCAAAGAATTCCCCAAGAACAAGTGGGGGTAATATTTGGAATATTTGGTCAACTGTTCTCAATCAGTGGTTCAACCATAGGAGGCTGGATTGTTAGTCTGCAGTATGGACACAGGTAATGTGAATGGTCAACTTATCACTAACATCTGTAATGTACTTTCTAATTTGAATAAAATTACAGTGACAACAGAAAAAAGGGCATTAAATGTATAAGATATTGACCACAAACATAAATCAAAACAGATGTGTGGTACCACTGAGTAACGGTGCAAAGAGTAAATAGCACAACCGTAATATACTTAGAATTATTGATAGGTAAGGGAGGTATACATTTCCCTCCATTGTTCCTCTATGGCATGCTACAAGACTTCAGAAACTTTTTGGGTAAATTTTGCCTGTTTAAAGCCTGTGCCCTTTTTTAACAATTCTATTTTTTTGACTGTTGTTTGCATGTGGACACTCCTTAATAAATAGTTGTTACATGATTTTGTTTTTGACACAGCACTAACTGCACTCAATATTGAAAAAGCTCTGTTTTTAATTTTGAATTTAAGGTCATGGGTGATTAAAGTACTCCTATGGACTTCGTATGCAAGACTTGTACCTCTTCTCTCACTTTGGTTGCTGTCCTTAACACAATTCACAAAATCTGCAATTGCAATCATTGAATGTTTCATACAACTAAGTGGGGGAATAATCACAACTGCAACATTCACACTCATGATGTTAAGTTCACAAAATTCTTTACCTGGTGCTAAAGCAACACACTGTGCTGTTCTTGCCACATCAGAAGTGTTGGGTAAATTGCTGATGATTTCCTTATCTGGGATACTAGTAGATATTATTGGTTACCAGTATTTCTTTGGATTGTGTTTTCTACTGGCATTGTCATTTCTTCCTGTTTTAAAACATGGCCTGGTATCTCCGAGGGAGAAATCTTCCTAAAGAAAATCAAAATCTTTCTGGTAAATTTTGGTTCTTTACCTTCAAAGATCACCGTCAAACATTTCTTACCAAAATAACATTTATCACATAGATTTTAATAATATTATGCAAGCTGGAGAAAGATGTTTTTTGTCTCTTCACAAGCATGGACAAAGAAAAAATTCTGAGTCTCCATGGGGAATTGAACCTCAGACCTATGAATTCTGCACTTAATGATGCTCCACCACAGAGCCACAAAGACTCTATGGTGAGCAAGGCTCATTACGAAGTTCATGTATGACACAGGTCATGTAAGCTATATAATTTGCATGTAATAAAATGCAATCTTAAAAAATTTGTGTGAGTTTGATTTTGTACAAAGCACATCCTTTTTCCAATCTTCAAAAAAGAAGAGTTAATAAAAATGCTACATAAAGAGTTTGAGTTAAGGAACAGTTTTACCTCCTCAACTTATCATCAGCCCCTCTCCCACCCCAAGAGTTGGTGTTATGGTGAAAACATAAATGGATACCTATCTAAAATTAAAAAACCATTCCTATTCTGAGATTAAATACCATAAACACATGCAGTGTTTTTTCTAACTGTTTCAAGGACCTCTTCTAATGCAACACCCTTTATTTCTGCAATTCTCTGAGCAGTAAATATTGCCATTCCAGGGTTGCTGAACTTGTTATGCTTATCAGCCACTTGCGATGGAACAAAATATGGTGCATCGGTTTCCAGTAGAAGCTTTTCTAAAGGCACATCAAATGCAAGTTCATGAATATTTGTGGCTTTAGCAAAAGTAACCACTGCTGTCATTCCTATGAAAAGGTTTGGAAATTCTCGAAAAAATCTGATTGCAAATGCACTTGATCCAGTATAACAGTGCAAGTGGATTCTCCAGTCTCGTGGTAGACAGGACTTAAGAATTTCAAGCGTGTCTGTTTCCGCATCACGACAATGAACGACCAGTGGTTTTTCTAGTGTTACAGCCCAGTTGGCTTGTTTAGTAAACACTTCTTTTTGAACTTCAGGGGGAGATGTACAATGTGAAGAGTAATCAAGCCCGACCTCACCTAGGGCAATGGCTTTGGGATGATCCAAACACTGAATTATTTTAGCTTCCAACTCATCGTTGTAATATTTGGCATTGTGAGGGTGACAGCCAAATGTTCCCCAAACACTCTCTTCTGAAAGTACATCATACCAAGTGCCAAACGACGAAAAAGCTGCAGGATCACAAAATGTTGTAATGCAACCCTCAAAATTTGGTGGGAATGGATACCTTGCCTGGAACTCTTTCAAACTTCCAGTGTGTCTGAGTCTTTCATAAACATACTCTAAATGACAATGAGTATCAATGAACATTGACTTGCTGACTGGAAATTGCACCTCCATTTTCCGGCTTCTTGTAGAATTTTTTGAGTGCCTTGTAGACGCTGTGTCAGCTGTGTTCCCGTCTGCCAAGTTGGTACAATCCTTCTGAAAATGACCATGCCTTCCACAAGCAAAACATTTTACATTCTGTAAATTATGGTTTGCCTTTTCTGGACAATCTCTCTTTAAGTGACCCGTTTTGCCACACTTGAAACACTTTCTGCCATCCATCGCCAACTGAAGGGGAAAATTTAAAGTAAACTTTTCTCAAAAGTTAGTCCTAGTTCCGGTCCAACTGAAAGTCTTGGATAACTGGAACTGCTCCAGTATTTCGTGTCCAACTTAATTGGAGTGGTTACCAAGGATTCATTTTCATTCCATCATGGCGACTACTCTGGAAACGTATGTAAATCGTATCCTTTTATACTTGAATCACTTGCATTAGGAATCGAAATTATCAAATGCAACTATTTCTCGCTGGTTGATAATGCACATATCTCTTTCAGGTAGCACACGTTTCAATCAGATTGGTCTGGTGTGCTTTCAATTGTCTATGTTAAAGTGCGCGTGTTCCACAGCATCAAACAATATGCTCTCGGTAACTTTCAGAATCTTTGCAGCGTTAATAAATCTTCAACCACGAAAAATCTTAATGCGTCAGAAGCAATAGTAAGCTGTGGTTTATCATTTTCGGTTTTTTGAGACTCTATAATCGTGACAAAACGTTAAACGTTCTCTAGTACATGTTAGTCCTTACAAGGACTGGGAACATATGTCACTACCAGGTTGTTCATCTGCAGAAAAGCACCATGTACATTCTTATGTGCGAGTCTACATCTGTGTCGAGGTACACATTCTTAACACTAGAATATAGATACTGTAGCAGTAATCACACAGGATGGAAGAATGATTGTGGTAAGATTTTGTAGATTTTTGTGCCGTGAATTTCATTATGTAGTTTATTGCAAATCTAAAACCAGTCATAACTTTTTAATAAGCCTATCAGGGGCGAACTCCAAGGCATGTGAGATGTCAATACCTCTCCCCCTCTCATCTCTTGTTTTTCTTTTAGTTAATTACTAATTTATACCCTAAATTACTCTTTTGCCTATTTTTCATGCAGGAAGCAATTTTTTTTGAGAGCAAGGAACCTTCTTCACAAAATTTGTTTCTTGACTTATTTTAGGGAACCCTTAAAGGGTTTGATCAAACAGTGAATTTAATTTTGGATGAGAGCCATGAGAGAGTGTTCTCTTCAGGAAGTGGAGTGGAACAGGTCATGTTGGGTCTTTACATCATCAGAGGAGATAATATGTAAGCTGGTTTACACATTGCAGGTTACTTTTAAAATCAGGGTTTCTTGAGACTTAATCCCATGCTCACCTGTCGAGTTTTAATCTAGTACGGTGGAAAGGTCTGTTGTAAACAGTAACTGAATTTTAATAACCTGAATCATCTGAATCATCTGAATCATCAGAGTTTTACTTATCAACACTAGTTTGCATGTTCCTCAGCCCCTCAAGCTATTTTTATTTCTTGTAGTGGCATTAGAGGTATGACTTTCTGCAACATCAAAATCGCTTTCTCCATGCTTTTTTGGTGTGAATGATGTCAGTGGACTAAATAGTCTTGACATTTGTTTATTTTCAGTGCTGTCATAGGAGAAATAGATGAGGAAGCAGATGCTAACTTAGATTTGAGTAGTATTCGTGCTGATCCACTTAATGCTGTAGTTTACTAAGAGCCTTTGAGATGTATTTGCTCCCAACATCATTCTAACTTGAGGTACTGGCTGCAGAGGGAAGAAGAAAAATCAAAATTGACTCAATACATCAGTGAACTATGTAAATTTACTAAACTATTATGGTGTGTTGAGTGTGCCATAGGGCCATACTAAACCCATTTCCTGGACAAGATATGATTGTGGCTTTGGCTGTAAAATAATGAATCATTTTATGACAGTTATAGGTTGTGTTGGCAACAGTTTCAGTGTTTATACCAACAACCTGGTCAAGAAAGCTCTTAGAGGCAGATCATTTGAATTTTGATGGGAAGTAATGTATATTCTAGTACTGGCTTTAAGAATAACTTCCAGGGAAAATACACATATTTCTTCCACCAAATCACACAATGGACTGCTTTCAGCTTTATTTTTAACAAACTTTTGCATGTTCCCATTCCATAAGTTTAAGCCAGCCAACCAGCTAACAAATTGTCAAAGCAAAGTTTATACGTATCTTTTCTTTTTTCTGCAAATGCAAACACATTTCATGTAAATGGTAGATTTCACCATTGCTTTTACTAGAAGTTCAACTTGAGCTTGCGTAATCAGGTCCTAGATGCAATTTCCTCTGTAATCCCTTCTGTTACATTTTACGATACTGGAAATTTTTCAGAGAGCTACTTCATCGTAATATGAATTAAAAAGTCATGAGTGCTTAGTATGTATGTAGTTGTAATAAAATTTTAAAATGTTCTGAAAACCATTCAAAAAGGTCTTGCCTCTTACAGCATGTTTTCTTACGAACCCAGCTCAAGCAACTGCTCTGCTACCCCTACTCCTTACAACTTTCTTCTATGGCCATTAGAAGACTCATGGTGTTCCCTATTTGACTTAAACAAGTCTGAGTCGCTAAACAAATTATGTGTGTAGGGTCTTGATTCTTAAAAAACGTAGAAAATTTTACCATTTAGCGAAAAGATGCCCTTTTCAGGCGGAAAAAACAAAACAATAGCGAAATGATCGAATTTTTCCTAAACGTGTTCCTGGTACCGCAACAATTTTCCTTCCACTGCCCGCATTCATCCCGATGGGATAGAAAAAGTTTTTAGTCCTTACCTTTACCAGATGTGGGGAAGAAATACTCGATTTCTTGGTGTGCACATTCATCATCAAAGTATCTTTTGCAGTTTGGATGTTATGCCAAGAATGTGTCCAAAGGTTAATTTAAAGAAAGTTTGATATTCATTTAAGAGGTGGAAAGAAAGTGACATTTGTGGTCTCTTTAGCTGGTTAAATGAATTAGAAAAATGTGTGGACCTATGCCCTAGTTGGTTAAAAAACGTCATGATTCTGATTAAGTAAGAACTTGTAAGCCTAATCTTCGGCGCAGATGGCTGAACACCACCTTCCGCATGGGTGTAACAAATTTAATGCAATAATTTAGTTTTATTATAGTAACAAGGAAAATACTTGACTGGAGATATATGAAAATCATACATGTGAACTGCAGTCGAAGAAACGAATATTGAGGCGATCCTCGCAGTTATGATCACTACTTAAGTGATAGTGAAAATAAGGCTTGTTCCATATCCGTTTCTTTAATCGCAGTTCACATATATGATTTCATATATTTACAGTCATTTATTCACCACTTCACGGGTTTATTTAAAATCAACATAATAACCAGCCCCTAGTTGGCTTGTTGGCTCAGTTGGTAGAGCGCTGCACCGTTATTGCAAAGGTCATGGGTTCAAATCCCGTACAGGCCTTAATTTTTTTCAGGCCTTATTTTCATTCCAATCAAGTAGTGTTCATAACTGCGAGGATCGCTTCCATATAAGGAAAAGACATGTTTTACAGTTCTGGCTTCCGACGTCTGGGAAGTCGTCTTCCAGCTGTTTCACTCGATTCATCTCCTCATGTTGTTAGTAAACCATACCGGAAAGCTCCAACATAATATGTCACCATGATGTGGGTACCTTTCACCCCCAGGTGACGTCGAAGAGCCTGACCTAAATGCAACCACCGCACATTTTCAGGGTGAATTTACAAACTAACATTGAATTTTAAGGCTGATGATTTTCTCAACGGCCTCTTGTTATTGACGAAAACTGTGCGGCAATAAGTTGAAAAAATTTTCACACTGGTTTCCACACCTAACCTATCGACCTTGTCTCCAGGGTGCTGGCTTCTCCAATTATCCATTTAGGCCTGGGAAGACGTAAATTTAAGTTCATTCTCGCGTTACTTTTCACAACTCTATCCGATTAAGACCCACAATGATAAAATGCTATACCTATTTTAGCTCAAAATGGCTCAAAACCATTTTTCTGCATGGGGTGAGTCGTGCCCTTAAAGCTTGTGAAGGGGCCTTACTGCCTTACTGTTCCCCCTCCCCCTCCCCCAGGGCATATAGCTCAAGAGATTCTTACTCGCAGGATTAAAAATGAAGTTACGACGCGCCATAAAATGATACCCGACAGTCAATCTTTTTTCGTTTTAACACCAGCATCCAGTCTAGGTACCCGAGTAAGATAGACCGCTGTTGCAGAGCCTCAGTTCTTCCAGTTCGTTTGTCCTTCTGTCCGCTTTGGTTAGAAATTATAAATCAATAATACGTGCCAAAATTATATTCAATGTTTTTCAAATAATTTCTTAGTTTCTCCTCAAACATAGTGAAAAGCTGATGTTTACGAAACTAGTTTTAAACATTAGCAAGATTTATACGCAAATCATATGAGCAAAAGAGTAAAACTACAAACTATTGAAAAGGCGATCTTCATTTCTTAGAGAAAGGAAAACCGTATCGACAATTTGAACATCGGCTAATTACTTGTGTGCTATCAGATCAGCTCGGTTTGTTGCAACAGTTATCTAATTATCAGATCAATGAATATCTTTGCGTCATCGCATGCTGAGATTACTGAGCACCATAGTTGTTCTCTGTCATAAAAAAAATAAGAACCACCTTCGAGATAATGTGCTTAATAGCCAATCTACTCTGCTATTAATTTTAGCTTTTTTGCTATGATGTAACCAGGCACAAATTTTATAATCGAACTTATTCTCAAGGCACATAGGGCTGTTCAAGTAATTAAGCTCTTTTTGACCCAATCCAGTCTGCAGAGAGCCAATGAAAACTGTTTGAGAAATATTAAGGCCTGTGGCAATTGCTTGACTGTATAACGTAGATTACGACATACAGCTGGCTCGCTTGATATGTGGACACTGTGAATCCGCTACCAGAAAACATGCCTTCCACAAGACAGAAAAGGCTGCCTTCCAGTTCGTCGAAGTTGGAATTTGTTGAAAACAAGAAAGAAAAGTTTTTTGTTTTCAAAGCGCCGTTTAGTGCGGTTCAGATAGATAGATAGATAGATAGTCTGAGTACTACAAGTATCATCCTTATATGATTGCATCCAAACCTGGCGTAACTTCGTCCGAGGTTCGAAAGTTCTATCGTCCTTATGATTTCCGTCCAGAGGCCATGAAAATACACTGATGCTCGTACTACTCTCTACAATGAGCTACAAACTGGCATTTTAGCGGACGTGAACGAAAGCAAACTCAACCGGCGAGAAAAGAAGGCCATGTACGTCGCCAAACACATTTTAAAGGTTTCTTTCGGATGGAGCCTATATGAAATAAATTACTACTCTGGAGATTGGCTGCTGGGACCGAACATGTTCTGTTGGCAACCTGTGTACAATTTATTAAGGCGTCTTAAGTTTCTTTACCTCATTTTAAACCCCAAAGTTTCACCGACATAAAACTGTTGAACGGTATTTTAGAGTAACATAACAAATCAATTCGTCAATATAGCGATAACATAAAAAGGCGCTCCAAAAGTTAGTATGGTACGGTCTATGGAGCCATGCACTGTAGGAGTACGTGAATTTAAGAAGAACTTCCTCTCGATAGCCATCTCAAACGAAACAGGTTAACTATGATTATAATCCTGCATTATTATCATCAAAATGAAAATGGTAAGCGTATGTTCATTTTACCGACGGTCCTATCGGTCATTGGACACTTCAAGTTTAGTGAAGTGGTTTCAAAAGGTTAGCCGCCCACTGTAAGGATCATAGGATTTAGGTGTTGACAGTATATTGATTTATTGAAAAAAATCAATATTTCAAAGTCGGGACAGAAAATGATTTTTTGATGATAAGATTGAGGAGCCAAAGCGACGACAGACCATTCTAACTGCCCCAGCTGACTCCAAAGACTATAACCCACTCTTGATATTCCATTACAGATTTCATGTGCAGTAGAAACTGTGCTTCAACTAACTTGCATTTCCACTGATCATATCGCTCTTCAAATTTCGGAAAAAAAGAAAAAAGAAAACATTGCTTGATGATGAATGACAAATGAGTGACTTTTAGAGCCGAAATAATTGCTTAATTTGGATTTTTCTGGCTTATAATGACCTCGATAGCTTTGAGAGGCAAACAAAAAAGGAAAAAAAACAAAGAATGACAGACCTGCTCTTTCAGTTACTGTAACAAAATTACTGCCTATCTCTGCTTAAAAAAAGATTTAAAGACATAAATGATCATCTATGTCGTACTTTGACACGGGAAAAAAGCTCAAAAACAAGTCCACAAGTTCTTGAGAGAAGTAAACCTCGTGTAAAGATTTACTTACTGATTTATTCAATCATGTATTCTTTTTTTGATATCTATTTTGCGGCGTGTCTGTTTGCAGATAATGTGATTATCTGATAATATTTCTTGTTAAAAAAGATAAAAAAAACTGAACTAACGAGAATTTAACGTAAATAACTTATTTAGATATAAAGAGAGATACTCTCGTTCTCCCTACCTAAGCTACCAGTGATAAAAAAAGGAAAAAAACCTAACTCGACAAAGTGTGATAATACACAGAAAATGATAACAAAAACAGAAACAATGTGCTTGCGTATTTGCTAGGTGCACTAAAGACTCAAGTCGCAAAGATGATCCTTGGGGAAGAGTTTCTCGAGAAACTGGTCCCAGAAGCAAGGCAAAAATGGACACAGTTGTATGGACAGACAGTGGCAGAATATCTGCGGCAATCTATTATAAAGAATCTTGGGAGACCTCTCTATAAGCTGATAAGGTAACAAGCCTGCAGCATGGCTTTGAATGAGAAGTGTTTATATGGCTTTGAAATGTGTATATCATTATGGCTCTATGAGGTGTATGTTTGAATGAAATTGCTTTGGTTTTACTTTGTGTCGCTATGTTATTGGTCCAGAAAACTCGTGTCATTCTCTCAACCATCGGATACAAAACTAAATTTGAAGCAATCACGACTTGGTCACCCGCATTTACCCGCCCAAGTGGCAATTTGGTTGGCTTTGTGTTCTTGGCTCTTCAAAATATTTCCTTTCTTCTGATTGGCCATTCATTTGCAAAAGCCCTTTCAGTTTCGGGATTTGGAGACTATTTCAATTTGTTGCTTTTCAGATATTTAGAGACAGAATACATTCGTCATTGTATTCCGAGCAACGTTTCAAGCGGATTACCCAGTCTCCCTCTTCCATATATGTAAGTGGATGGGATGGCGAAGAGTGACCAGCCAACCACTCAGGAGTTATCCTCAGGGGACAGACTAAGTGGCGCACAGACTTATTTGAAACATATGTCAGTTTTCACAACGCTTGATGTATCGCCGGAAAAACTGAAGCATATCTCACAGGAAAAGTTTGACGAACTTTTGTCGCAGGTAAGTGTCATATGAATTATCTTAAACCCAAGATATCAGAAGAGGGAGGGTACAGTAATGACGTATGAGCGTTAATTGAATTATATTAACGGACGACCAAGGGTGTTCTGTAACCAAGTTGTGTCCGGTTGTCTTTCATGTAGCAAGATCAAGCTGTGTAGCAGCGAGTGTCCATATTAACATTGGATAGTGACTGACATACGGACAGAATTGGAAATGCGTTGTTCTTATTAAGAGTGTAACCTTAAAGTGCTTTAGAGCTTTTCGGCACATCTATACAATGACACGTTTTATCAAGGTGGAAGTTGACATACTTAACAAACAATTCTTTCATATTCCAAGCTGGTTAAAAGACTGAGGACTAACTTTGATCTTTGAGTCAATATTTTTATCTTCCAAGCTATATCACTTGCAAAATTGTACACACTTAATCAGTATGATGACATGAAAGCTGTTAATGAGGTTAGGCAAATCTTAGAATCACGGGCCATGTTTTTAAACCCACATCCGTTTTCTGAAAATGAGTCTGACGAGGCTGCATTTTTCCACTGTATTGATGAAGAGGCGCCACGGTTGTTTTGCCCCAACAGACGGAAGGCTATGCAAACATGGATTGAAGCTACAACAAAGGTAGACACTTTCTCTCTGACTCGTTATTTACTCTTCTCAAATAAGATTTTTAGCGAGAAGCATGCGATTACCAACATCAGCAGACTTTGTTTTCACTTGACAGGAAATGAAACAGATCAGGCCCAAGCTGTCTCCGCTTTTTTTGCTGCAGTGGACCAATGAAAACCATTCCTGACTGAACAATTAAGGTAGCTCCCTGGTACCACTCTGAGGCAGTTTTTCACCAGTATGTCGAATTCAACAGTGCTAGCTGCCAGACTCCTTTTCTGCATATGCTGCCTTTCTTTAGAGAAAATTTTGGACCGATGTACACCGAGTGGACCACAACTGCACACGAACAACTACCAGGGCATCACCTTGAGGTGAGAAAGAGCGCTCAGAGTCATAAATAATTCGTCCCTGACAAATGTACCAAGACAACTGATGTGTTGGAGCTTTCGTTACAATTTACAGAAGCATGTGTTGTTTTTTTTGTGGACAACATATAAATTCACGTTATGATCACATAGGTACGCGGTTATCTTGAAAACTTTAGAGGCAAATGAAAAGACGTGGTTACTTGGTTAGGCGCGCCAAACTACTTCCCAGGATTCACCGAAGGCTGGGCTACGTAGATCGAGAATCCCGTGATGACCAATGACACAGATATTTATCATAACATAACCACAGACAAGAAAGTTCTGCTATAAAAGTATGGCATGCTCAAATATCAGGCAATAGATTAGAGAGGTATAACTGACCACGTAAGTTTGATGTAATATATCAAACACGAGGAAGAGTGTTTCATCGATATCCAAACACCGAGAAGTGGTTGAAAAAACGAGGCGCAGCCGAGTTTTTTTTAATCAACTTCAAGGTGTTTGGATATTGGATGAAACACCCTATCGAACGTTTGACATAGCTTCTCAAACCATTCATAATTCTTGGATAAAATTAAAGCACAAGTTCACAAAATTTTATGATAATTAAGATCACATATCCAAACCTCCTTCTCGGTTGTAATTTACTTTGTTTCCTCAGTATGAATTGTAAATGATTTTAAGGAGTTATCTCTTCAGTAGCAAAGATAACGATGAAAACGGGTTTTCAAACGGGTTTATCTGACCACACCCTTTTTTCTTTTCATCGCCTTTATCAACGAAAGGGAAACTTCATCCGCCGTTTAGGAAGACTCTCTCGAAGCAGTGAATAACGCTATCCACTGGATGAATCTCTATTCGGTGGATAGCTTAATACGTTTTGTGTACACTTATACGCTGGATAGTGTTGTCTGCCCTTTGAACAAACGGGCCCAGATGAGGAGAGGCAATTTCATAGTAGTGTCTATGATGAAACCACAGAACCTTTACTTAGCTCGTATATTTTCTCGTATTGTTCATTTTGACTAGATCCAGGCTGCACTGTGCACCTTCCTGGACATAAACATCAACTACTATAATATGTCCCGGATGAACGCTGAACTCCTGTATAATAAGTACGCTTGGGGAAGTCGCACCACGGCCTCCAAGGATATCACGCGGTTTCAAAGCTCCCCAGGAGCCGTGACGAGTTACATGATTGGACAAATGACTTTCGTAAATGCGAGAACACTCATGCAGAAATCACTCAGTGCCAGGTTTCCTCTACCTGACTTTCATTACCACTCCTCCGGCAGGGTGAGATTCCACTTGAATATTTAATTAAGAACATACGTGATTTGTCCGGGTGATTAGTCTTTATTCATGATATACGTTCAATATTGTGAAATTCATTGTTTAATAATGTGACTAAACATTTTAAAGTTAATCTTTGGTGACATTACCATTTTTATGAAATATTTTTGACGCTTTCAGTTCCAGGCAACAATCTCTATGATTTTTTACTAACTAAATGACTTTTCCATAGACTATGAATGATGTAATAATAAATGAGATATTTAGCACTTCTGAGTGTAATACAGTTTACCATTTGGACACCATTGTTACTTTGTAAGAAAAGAAACTATTTTAAGCTTGGTTTGGTTACCATGCAGGATGTGCTTGGCCACTCATTGAAACTGGACGACATCTTAACCTAATTTTATTCTCCTCAGAGGACAGACGCAAAGTAAATATCTACCAAAATAAACCTATTAATGAGTTCAATATGCCTTGAGTTTTCTTCTAATCATTAAAAAGAATTGATTCACACTCGCGATGATAAAAATTCCACTTATTTGGCTAATTGAGTCATTTACTCTTTCAATAAACGTAACAGTTGTATGAAAAACTATACTGTAGCTACAGCAACATCTTTCGATAAAAATATAATGGTGAATTTATCAACGACATAGCATTCGTTTGATGTAATTAGACTCTCCGCAGTGTATCGGCTCATCTAGAGTGTTAATATTAATTCAGCAAAAGCATATATGCTCTAAAGCTCTGTCGGCTTGCTTAGATTCCATTACTTGTCTTTCTTAAAAATCATATCTATTGAAAATAGAAATGGTGCTAGAGTGGCCGACATGCTTTAGCAAGAAAGTCGAGGTCAAAATCCCTTAAACATCATCCTTTTAATGTCGATCTATAAACTTGATCCTGACCGGTTTCTCTGGAACTGCTGATAGCCTCTGATACATTTCCAGTGGCTCATGGTGATACTCTAACCGGAAGCGTTGAATAACCTACAGTTTGTGTGGCGAGGAATACTATCAGCGCACAACATGGCTTAGCGAATACTAAAAGAGTACATTGCCTCTACTATTGTATTGTTCTTTAGTTTTTTGTACAGAACCCCATTAATCATCTTTTTGTACAGAACCCCATTAATCACGTCCAAAAATTGCACACGAGTTACCCCCCTGCATAAGCTGAAGTAAAATCGATTATATTTTGCGTAATTCAACGAATGCTCAAACAAAAGTTCATTCAAGAGAGATTTCATAACAAACCGCAAAAGAAAAATAAAGACTCTATATGTTTTTCCCGTTCAACATCATGCTAATACTTTTTCAAAACGTTGAAAGACTTTTCTGTTCATTCCGGAGTAAAGATTCCGTACACTTTCTGCCCACCTTCCGAGTGGGTTACGACAGACTTCTGGAACAAGTTACAAGAGAAATTCGCAGTTATGGGAAGGAATCAATCTCATCTCCTTTCTTTGGATCTTGTTGCCACACAAATACTAGCCTACCTTTGCAACCAGAAGATATGTTTCCAGCTCTGCCACTCTGCTGCCTGTAAAAAAACCGAAAAAAACCTCATGAAGACTTAAGTATATATATATTTTTTTAACCCGACAATCTATTCGAGACAATTTACTTTCATGGTACGTTTTCCTCCCAGTTGAGCAGTTTAACCATTCCATGATTTGTCACTAATATGACCAGGTAAATATTGCACGTTTCCAAACTCGCCCCAATCCTTCCTCTCCCCTCGTAAACCTCATGACTATAGTGACCTGACTTTAATTCATAAAGGGGGTCACAGTATCCGCACGTGGAAACGTCTTCAATGCATACCCTTGGTTATTGCTTGGATGTAAACGACAAAACTAATCGACTGATGGCGAAAAAAACAGTATTGGAGCAAAATGACACATTTCTAGAAATAAAAAAGTCATTTGACAACCGTTGCGAATTTAGAAAAACAAACCCATGTTGGGAGAGTACTAGTCCCCAAAAGTTTACTTTGAAGAGGGAACATCTTTATGCCCATTATCAGTAAGAACAACTCACCAATACACATGCGCGGACCAAAGCCAAATGGAAGGAATGCAAAGGGATCAATATTTTTCTTGTTTTCTCTCAACCAGCGTTCAGGTTTATATTCTAATGCATTCTTGAAGTATTTTTCGGAGGCTGCTGTGGCAAAGAATTCCATCTGAATCATGGTCTATGAAATCATGACGAACAAGAGTAGACAAGGGAATTAAGAAACAGACTGGTCTCTCTTTACGTTATCAATACTTCAGAGAGACAGAGGAGGATCCTTCGCATTAGTGACGGAAATTATCGAAAATACCACTATAATATTCTGAAATGAAGCTACATGGACTTGTTTGGAAGACATCGTACCCCTAAGGACTCGGGTAAAGTCAGGTTTCAGGACAGAACTCGCCTTATTTGACACCAAGAAAACTCTTTAAGAGCCTTAGAATGAGGAAGTAAGGAGGTAAGATGAAACCAAAAAAGGAAAACATGATTAAGGATGCAGAAGATAAACAACGATTGCAAGTATAGACATTTTCAAATGAGTGGCCAAAAGTATCCGGGAATGCCTTGGTTTTGCTTTACATCAAGAAACTAGCGCCGCAATCTTAACCAATCAGGTGCAAAACTAAAACGCCAAATCGCGGCTTTGTCACTTGCGTTTTCATGCACTTCAAACAGCTTGCCAGTTTTCTATTTGAGTTCTCGTTGCTAATGATGATGTTCACCTTTTTTCTGACTAACAATTATAATAAAGTTGGTTTAATTTTTCAGCCATTTAGTTGTAAATTGCTCTAAACGATCCTCAAAATAACGAAGATGAAGGCAGGTTCCTCGGGTCTGAGGATCAGTGGGAAGGTGATCCCTGATGACAAACCAATACTTGACCTGCATACTCTGCCACACCTTTGGTATGGGATTCCGTGGACAAGGGGGCTTAGGGCTCAGCTCATTCGCTGAGCGACCTGACTTGGAACGAAGTTACCGCACTTTAACCGTTTGATTTGGATGTACTGTAACGGAGACCAGGGCTCAAAGTTAACTTTTTAGTCCACTAGCAAAGTTTTGTAAGTAAATTTTTTTTCCCACTAGCAAACTGGTGAGACCACTAGCAAATTATTTCCCTTTGAAATGTCAATGACCATATCTGATATAAAGATTAGAATTAATATTTCGCACAGGCTATTAATGAGTTGAAAAGTTTAATAAAAGGGCATTAAATATTTGGTCTCCTTTGTCGTTGTCCTAACAGCCACCACCTATCTACTTCATGTTTCGGAGACATGGATGATTCCAGCAAACAAACGTTTGCGGGTGAATATTTTTCTCACTCGCAGATTTGCAAATCACTCGCATTTTGCGAGTTTCGAGCCCTGGAGACAAGAAAATGTTGATGACAAAATATACGAAAAGTGACAAAACCTGCATTGTTTACACGAAAAAACATTAGTAGCACTTAATTCGTCCAGCTCAAGGATAGACGCAGATGGTAGTAAGTTAGGAGCAAACCTGTGCAGGAACCAAATATCCACTCAAAACTACATCTTTATCCAATATTCTTCTATTAGCCGGGAAGACTGGTGTCAACCTATCAAAGAAATGGCAGAGTTAAACGATATAATTGCAGATTGTACATTTAAGATTGTATATATACAAAATAAAGTATTTTTCACACCACACTCTCTGATAAAATCCACCTTAAAACATGAACTTGCCTTGCAGATTCTTTAACACAAGCCTTGAGATAAGACAATTTTGCAAGGCTTCCAGCCGTAACATCTCCATCTTTCCCCAGAATGCCAAATATTTCCTGGTAAAGGATTTGTTGAATTTCTTGATTTCTTGCAAGGTGGTACAATGCCCACAGAGTGGTGTAACTTGTCTTAAAAGGGAAAAATAAGTCAGGGTGAGATAGAAAACCAAAAGAGCCCGAAAGATGTATCCAAATTTTGACAGGGGTGCTCCATTTCACTTACAACTAGGAGAGTACCCTTCATTTTTACCTGGTCATTTTTCCTTTATCACTTCCCTAATAAATATTCAAACCCCTGCCAACAGAACAGACGAGGTTTAGGTACGGAGTTTCAGCATCTTTTTGTCGGGATTTAACAAATGATGGCCATCCATCTCTGTTTTCTACACCTCCATGCCTGCCCTCTTTGCCCCAGATTGAATATCTCGTCCAAAATAGGCATAATTTTTCTGTCAATTCATCTATTTTTAGTTCAAGCACTTTGCATGTAATTATAAAAGTGTGCTTGTTTCAAGCAGCTAATTCATGGGAATTACACTCGCTCGATGCGCGTGTAAGGGTGCAGTTCACTTTAACGGCTCGGTTGTCGAGTTGAAGATTTCTTGCATTGCTTACTTGATTTCCAGCTCACACTCACAGAGTTCAAAATAAAAGTCTGGTCACAGTTAATAGATTAATTGCTAACTCGTTATAACAGAAGCATATCCGTTTTATGCTTCTGTTTGTAAAGATAGCTTAAGCTATCTTTACAAACAGAAGCATGGTTGTGATGATCATTTTCTGTTGAGTTTAGTGATTACCCTGGCATAGCTCAGCAGACCAAACTCTCTCCTCACCTGTCAAAAAACATCTTTCCTGATTCATGTTTGGGTTTTGTCACTGGCCATAATGTAACTATTTACAGTGGTTGGATTCACTTTGTCAAAACATGCGGAATGATAAACCAACTTACTGTGTCAACACCTGCTGCAAACATAGTAAAAGTGTTGGCATAAATTTCTTCCGGGGTCAAGTCCTCACGTGTTAGCAGGTAAGTTAACAATGAAACAGCTATGGAAAAATAAATAACAAACAGTTTTTAGTTCATTACTCTGTGCACTAACTCTGTACCTTATTTGTTGGTCCTAAAACCAGAGAGCTGATACACTTTTGTTGACCTAACTGAATACAATTAGCACTTGCAAGTCAAAGTAATTTTTTTGGGGAAGGGAACACTTGGAAAGACCCTTCTTTATCCCATGTTGTCGTAGACATTGGTAATGTTGCTCTTGTGACTTGTAGAAATGGGTTGGGAAGGGATCTCCATTGTGGTGTGCTAAGAGCATTTTAAAACACCACAGCATTTAGTGGAATCTGATGATTTAATCCATAGAAGTCAGGGAGACAGTGTGGTTAGGGCACTAGGCTTGCAATCTGTTGGTCCCAGCTTCAAGCCCTCTGTGCTACTACCAGTAACCACCAATTTAATCTCCTGATTTTTCTCTCCGTTTTCATTTCATTGCAAATATAATGAAACAGGTATCATTCCTTAGGCAGAATCTTGCCCATCCAGATTTTACCTTCAGATTCTTGAGAATCATCTGATCCTTTATGAGCCATTTCTTCAAGATCTTTCATTTTCCTATCAATATATCCACGTGCAATTTCAAGTGAAGTGTCCAATGCACGCTCAAGCTTGACAAAGTTTGGGGTTTTCATGTATTGAAATAAATTTTTCTCCACAATTCCAAAAACAAAGGCATGGAGGCTTTGAAAAGTATCATGTATTGATCCAATGAACCTCAAGGCTTCCTCACTTGGTGGATCATTGTATAACCCAACTCTAGCATCAAAAGCCAATGTGCCCACACCTTAATTAAAACATATAAACCATAAAATGATGAAATTAGACAAAAACAAAAACAAAAAGTTGAGGAAAATACAACCAACCTTGAATAGTAGACACTTATTTCTTAGGGAGTGAAATAAACTTGACTTGCCCCTCTCCCTGTTTCAGAGAAAAATGCCTATATTCTCTTATGTGGGAGAGACTTGGCAGGCTGTATGAGATGCCAAGAGATAAGCTCTGTATGTTGAGAAACTTTCAGATAATCCAGGAAAGTGAGCATGCATGAAACCACCATCATAACTAGGTCAAAAGTATTGATTTTTCCTTAATTTTATGGTATTAACTTTTACTTCATTTGAAGTACTGCATTTATTCACCTATAAGCCAAGCCCAGCAAATTTGCCAAGACCCCAAACTTGAGAGACCTTGCAATGGGCTTAAGCTTGTTTAAAAAAAATCCAGAAAACTCTTGCATATGAGCCAAGAAAGATAGCAACCTTTTGAAAGCCTCCCTCACAGGAAACATGTGGTGTTTGTTGACCAAATAAACCCAGCAAACCCAGATACTAACTTTTCCTTGTTTGGATTCTAATTGAAGAGATGCCAACCTCTAGAAATATGAAATCTATAAATTAAGTTCAATTTTGGGTCTTGCACATCCTTCCCTTAATTCTTTTCTGGACCTCTTTGTCTCAGTTTCTAATCCCACAAACTATAGTTAAAGAGAATCCAAAACATGAAAAAGAGCCTCCAACTGAAACAACAACTTCCTTTAGAAATCAGTAACCCTTGAAAATTGTCTCTTAAGTGTCTACAGGACGGTTAACTGTTTTACGGTAATTTTGATCATTTGTATATGTTACTAGGTAACCGTAATAACAATATAAACAGTATCTATATATAAACCCCAAGAAACACCCCTAATTTTAGCTTTATGTGCCTTTAACTAAAAGGGGAGTGAGTGACCACTCTTTCTTATCACTGCATTGCAATAAGTATGTCAACATTCATGATTCTGCCAACCTTTCAAGACATCTGTTAATAAGTAAAATAGCCACCCTAATTTATCATCATTATTATTTAAGACATGCAAACTTACTCTCTGTTGCCCATTTACTCAGTTCACCCTCCAAGTCAGGAATTTCTTCCCCCAATCCGCTAGTCTCTTTAAGTTTTGCAAAGTGTTCCAGTGTGTCTTTTGTAACAGCGTTAAAGTTGTCAATGTTTTCCTCCAACACTTTTGGACGCATCAGTTTTGGGGCTACTGCTTGTCTAACTCTTTGCCATTCCTTACCATTTCTGTGTGGTATTAATATTCAATTAAAGCACATCCTTGAGGGAACAAAGACATTTGCTCTGTACAAGGGAGACTCCAAGTTAACTCAGGAAAGTTGACAAATTAAAGGTAAGGTTCCTTTGAGTACAATGATTGAGAAATCAGGGGAATAAGTATGCAAATGATCAATATGTTTAAAGATTTTTCTCTGTTTCACATGATCTTAGTCAACTTTGGACTGTATACCCATGTTTACTATGGACTACTAGTGGCTCACATGAAATTGAAATTATAAATTGTAAATCTAAATTCAAATATAACACACTAGGTGAACAAGTTATATTCACTAGTCCATGTGTGAACAGGCTCCATTGATGCAGGTTGTGTCTAACACATGTGTACCTCAAATAATTCCATGTTTTAAAACCACTCCATAATATGTGGTCTGCAGTACATTTTATATCAGCCATGTTGAAGAGCCACTGGGAAACACAGTGCCCAGTAATACATGTTTGTTTCTATTATGTGTTCCCTACACACTCACTCTAGTGATAGTGTTTCCCTTCAAAGATGGCTGCCAATCGAGATCTGTTTCTTCAACTGCCTTATTCCAATGAAGCAGTAAAATGTTTCAAGTTATATCAAACTGGAGCATTGCTTTTTCTCAGAGGCTTCCACGAAAAGTCTTTTTTTTCAAAAATCTACCACAGATCTAGAACTATATTTCTATGCTTAGCAGAAAGAAATAAAATTAATTTTTACTCTGCTTGTCAAGCTCTTGTGATGGGAACACTTTTTACTTACCCATGAGGCTTCAGTGATATGTGCAACCCCTAATTTCACACATACAATGTACTCCCAATTATAAATTATAGCCTCAGTTCAAATTTGACCACTATTACTAAATTAAATGCTAAGAATGGTTCAATGTAATGTGTATCTCCTCACTCTTATGAAGAACAGAGTGGTTAAATTGTGTGTCCATCAAATCCATTTTATTTCTTGCAAAAATCTCAGTTACACATTGCAAATATTAGCGAGGCGAATTTGTGCGCTGAACTATCATCAAACAAGTTAGAAATTATTCTGAGTAGTTTAAATTGAAAATTTACAGTTGTGCAAGGCAAGGGTACTAAGGCTTCTCACTAAGGGTTCCCTCAAAATCTGGGAAGCTTGATATTTTTGAGTTTGGTTTATTTCAGCACAAAGCTTGTTTTACTCAAAACATTTTGCTCTTCTTTATTTTCCACATTCAGTGCATCCTAGGTTTGGGAATAACTTATAAGAAGGGCCTTGAGATCTAAGAGCCTGTTTACATAGAGATCAGGTAACCTGCACAGCTGGGTTAGCCTGTTGTCCCTATGAGTTGTTATTAATATATGATTTCTTTTTATCTTGATCACATTAACACAATAAGTGGGGTAACCAGCCTTGGCAGGTTACCTAGTCTACCATGGTTACAATTTGCTATGAAAGCATTTTAAGGTGGGACAACCCACCTGGTACTGGGTTACATTCATGCACTGGAAACTTCACCTTGGAATTCTGGAGTTTTAAGATTGTATGTAAATATGGGCTATTTTTCGAACATGGCTAGGTGGCTTACCTAACCTACCTACCTGCTCCACCTTAAAAAAAAGGAAACTCTTCGCTCCAACACAACCCAAATTGTCTGCCACTTTGTCTGTTTATTTGGAGCTTCTGTGTTTTGTGTTTGTTTCTACTCCCCACCAGGGAAACAGTTATTACTGGGAATAAGTACTTGAGGAAACACTTAGCACTGTGACAAAGAGAAATATTTTGAAACTTTCTAACGGCCAAGTGACCTACAGTTAGATAGACATGTATGCTACGTGCTTGATCCTCCATCGCTATTGGTCTGTATTCGAGAGCTAAATCGTTTCCTTTTCCAGTCCTCCTTTTCTCTGACGACTCAAACCCAAAGGGTTTTTTCTTATCACAATTGCGGTTACTAAGCATTAGTCCAGTTTCGACTAATGACCACGTTAATTAGAAATATGGTATTTGATTGAAAAATAAGTTAAAATGTAAACACAAAGAAATTTCAAACGCAGTAAACAGAAATATCAAACGATTTGCAGAACAAACGGTAACCCAACTGAAATTTTCTGAAGGTTGACACATAATTAATGCCGACAAAATTATCCGAGCAAATGATTCACTCACTTCCAAATATCAACTGCATCAGTGGACAAGCAAGTTTAAAGTTAGTTTACTCAAGGCTTATACACTTGCCTCAAAGTCTAGGGAATAATCTTACCTGGCCTGATAATCTGAAGATCAAAAACTTTCACGAATACTAGTCAAGGTACTCACAGATTTTCGAGCCCAAGAAACATTCCCTTTCTTCTCCGAACTTCTATGAGCGCATCAATTGGTGGCCTGTAAGGATATTTTCCCTCTGCACGAAACACGGTTTGAATGTCGACTGGATCCATGACATGGACAACAGGACTCCTATCAGTGACAGACTGCTTAAATATTGGGCCATACTGGTTGAATAGCTTGTCGGTCAATTTATAAATTTTGGTAAATCCTTCAGAAACGCGATAAAACTCTATCGCTGGTACATATTTCCCTTGAGGTCCAGGGATTTCATTGAGCGGCAGAGGTTCGACTTCGGTTTCTGATGGAGAAATCTTTTCTGCTGCTTCAGCTCTCTGGAAGTGAACTTTCGCGAAAGATGAAATTGGATAAAAGCTACGCAAACGGACACAAGGTGCTCGTACAAAAGCAAATGCCATAGCGATCATCTCTGCGCCCCGTAACATTAATGACACTCCAAATAAGTAAAGTAAGAAACAGTATGATGTCACTTAGCGGCTCTTAATTCAGATCCGGGGAGGTGCGATCAGTCAGCCTTGTCACTCTATTCGATTTTGATAAAAGTAAATTATCCTCTCTTAAAATAGGCTCGAAAACCATGGATAACCAGTCACACTGTCTAGTAGCCTGGTCTAGTAAAGGTAGCATTTGGGCACATACGAGGTTCATCTTCTCTGCCTCCCGTGGCGATGACTCCTAAATCAGCTAAATGAATCAGCGAAAGTAAGAGATCCACGATAGCTAATGGCGAAGACCCTTTCATTTTCTTTATCACACGGGCATGCCCAAAGCGAAAAGGGCAAGGGCCGAATATAGGTCAAGACTTTGTTCTTTTTTTTAATTTTTTTCATTCGGAGTTCAGTCACAAATCGCTTTCTGGGCACTAAATTCTGAGTAGACCTCGGCGTCGATATCGGCATTATCCCCTCCCACTCCTACTAAATTTAAATCGTCATTCCTTTGTCTCTTTTTCACATTTTCTGGAGGGTGGGACGGAGGGGAAATTTTTGCTTGAGTGCATGGAAAAGTCAAATAACAATGACTATGTAATTTAGGGAAAGTTGAATTGCAAGCCGATACGGTCAGCGGTCTCGTCCTCAAGCGTACGTGATCTGTGGGGTGACCGCAGGGGCCTTTTTCATTTCTTTTGACTTACGTTGCATTTCGTGCTGGCGTTTCTGAGCCTGTTGCTTAAGGACCTTAAGCGAATCTTTGCGGATTCTGGCTTCCAGCCCTTCTGTGTATTAGTAAGTACGGGGTCAGGCGAGTTTTTCCAGTGTGACGGTGCCAGTTGGCGGCTGCATGCAGGGGTGGGTCCCGCTCGCAGAGTTGCCATGGATACCCCCTTGCTATGCCTGAGGCACCAGTTCACAAGCTCATCTATTGGTGATGAGTTTAAAAAGACTACACTGTGTGTTCATGGTTAATGATTGTTGACTTGAGACGAAAAAAATCCATGAAGGTTGTGAATAAAGCCCTGAAAATTGCATATCTAAATTACATTACCAGTCAGCGCTTGACTTGGCTTTGAACAGCGGCGGGCTGTCGAGGGAAGTTGCTGTACTGATTGGTAAATGTCAAACGGCCTGCATGCTTCGAATTCCTTTGGTCGCTGAGTATGGCACCTATCATATTAAGAAAGCTGTATTCATGATTTCAGCATCGATTTTCTTGGAAGATTGATGTTGAAGGGAAGAAAAATTGAAACATAACAAATGCTGCAAATAAAGAAATAAAAAGTGAAAAATAAGGAAATGAGTTGGCGTCGCAAAGTATTCACTCAACAGCAGTTTTTTATAGGGGCTATTTCTATCGACTCGCGTAATGGACCAAACTTGTAAAAACAAGTGAATAAAGGGGGTAATTTTAGGAAGAAACTGTGGTGCAGCGTCGGTGGGAGAGTTTAAGAGGGTAATTTAGTATCATCAACTGAGTTGGTAATGTAAATTGGCCACCGTTTAGAGTTGCAAAGCTGAAGTTTCGAGTGTCAGCCTTTCGTCAATTCAGTTGATAATACCAAATTACCTTTTAAAAACAAGTCTACCTTTATCTGATGTGCCCCAACGAATAACTATCTTCTAGAGGGTCCCAATGGGGTTAACCGTTAGCTGTAAAACGGCCAAAATATTTAGCCGTTAGACGTAAAAATTGACAAATTTTAACCGTTAGTCGTAAAAAAAGTTAACCGTAAAAAATATCTCTGGTGGAAACAATGGAAAGGAGTTAACCGTTAGCCGGGAATTGGCCAAAATTTTAACCGATAGCCGTAAAAGCCATCACCCATTGAGACCCTCCTTCTACTCAACATCCTTTAAACCCTCTTGCGCACACCCTTGCGCTAAAACTTGTCTTCCGAAGGTGGAAGATTTAAAATCGCCTGCAAAGGGCAGGAGTCGCGTAGACCCATCAACATTTTTTTTAACTTATTTTTTTAGCTACACTTTTAAACTAACCTCGATGGCACTGATGGAAAAGTGGCACCTCATTCAAAACCAACCGCTTTAACGAGCAATATGTAAGGAAAGTATTTAAAAGATGTTCTGGTCAGAGCTATTCAAATTTTGAAAAGGAAGTTTTGAAAAACTAACTGGATTGTACAAATTCATTGGCTATATTTCTAACATTCGTTTCGTTGAATCAAAGTTTTTTGGTATCGGTGCCGGGATTAAGCTGATGTTTAGGAAAAACACTTTGTGACGATAGAAATAGTTCATTTAATAGGATGAATCGGTAAATTCTAATTTTTTCTTTTTGTTATAACAGGTAAAATAACTTGAGGAATTTCAAATAGTTTCAATCAATGGAATCCTGAATCGCTTTACCACATGATAACATGCGCTGGAAACTGGCATTGAATTGTTTTTTTTAGATCAGCCACATTCTAGGGTCACTCGATTCTTTTACTACAGGATAACTCGGTGATTATTTCAGATATTTTGTTTACTCGAAATCCTTTCATAACCAATGGACAGGTGTATTTGTTCCATGTTTTATTAATTTCGGCATGAGTAAAACTGAATTACATATAATTAATTAAATGTGTTTTCTTTCGTTAGATCGCACAAGAATAAATACTATAAAGAACATGAAGTTTACTCTTCCCTTTAAAAGGCCAACAAAGGAACTGCAGAAGGGATTTAACAAGTTGTGATTGTGCAGGGAAAAACTGATACCAACCTATAATTGAAGTAAGAAACACTGACTATGGTACCAATAACCAGCTGGAAGAATATATATATATATATATATATAAATATTATGAGAGGAAAAAAGGACGCAACTACATTTCCCGACAAGCCTGTTTCGTGAATCGCTTCACTCTTCAGGGGTTTAATTGATTAAATGATTAAACCCCTGAAGAGTGAAGCGATTCACGAAACAGGCTTGTCAGGAAATGTAGTTGCGTCCTTTTTTCCTCTCATAATATTTATTCTGCTCTGCTTCAACGTATTGAGCACTGTTCCACGCGAAAATCGACTTGCAGACTTCCTATATATATATATATATATATATATATATATATATATATATATAGCAAATGAGCATAATGAACAATCTTGAATAAATTGGTTACAACTCGATGTCGACTCAATATTTGTCTCCTCTTAATTTAGTGAACTGACATGGTTTATGGCCAGATCTCCTTTAGTTTCGGGAATAAATTCATAACTGTGATTGTACTTTTATGGGACTGAATGCATCAGAGTTGGTTTATGTATTTAATAAACCTTTCAATCGTGACAATCAGCTTTCCCCAATACAAATCTCACATCACTACTGAACACCCGTCGTCGCAAAAATTCACTCAAAACAAGAATCTAGTAGTTGTCTTTTTTAATTTTCCACCCAATATAATTAGACATGTACGAACTTGAATCGGTCTCAGTAGATAAGAATATTCCACTGAAACAGCCCTGATTACACATATGAACCATACTAGTATCCTTAACGTGAACAACGATGAGGAAATCCGTCGAGTGCCTATCGATTTCTGCAAATGTTTTTTTGATGTAACTGATTCAGTAATTTCAACTTAAAAGCTGTCAACACACGACGCAAGGTCCTCAAATATAGGAGTAATATACCCTAGTTTCAGACGTTTCTACCTTGAAGAAGGAAGATTGAGGAAACCATATCTGACAAGGTATATGCCAAAGGGTGAGTTACCCACAGTCCTAGAATAACTGCTCTCCTTTAGTTCCCTTGCTGACGACACACCTTCCTTTACGTTTGTGTGTCAATCATACACGTTTTTGTAGACGAGGCTAACTTCTTCCTTGATTTATATTTATATTTATTAATCCCATCCTTAGGATGCCCCTTTCAGTGTAAAAACTGTTTGAAAAAAAAATAATGATCACTTAGAGAGAAAAAAAGTCTTTGAAATCTCTTAAGCCACACTGAATTAGTGAACTGAATAGTCTTGAAAATGTTAGAATGCACATGACACGATGTTTACTAGGCAGTAGGTTCGTATAAACGGAGTTTACTTTTTTCCTTCCAAACTGGAATCTAGTTTTGTGTCCACAATCATGTCAGTAAGACCATGTACCGTTTACAAACCATTTGTAATGCTACAGCTATCCGCAACAAGCAATCCAGCGATATAAACACTGGGGCTTGTATCGCGGAACGTATTTGTTCCCAACTAATCGACTCTAGTTGCACTCAGGGTCATAATTAATGGGCGACACTATACTTACTGTCTAAGGGGTTAAAGGAGTTTCAATTTATCAATGTTATTTTCACGACGTTTTATTGCTAAATTCATACAGTGGAAACTTTACAAAGTGGACACCTAAACCACGCGGTAATATTTCAGCAACTATAGCTGATCGCTGATCAGTAATACAGTACATTGGAGTTCACTTCGTAAACGCGTAGTAAATTCATCAAAATCTACTTCGGACGATACTTCCTTCATATTACGAGTCCTCAATAAACTTAATGGCATTTTGCGTTACATTATTTTCCAGAAAATGATAATTTTGATAAATGATCACCAATTGTCACCAGTATGGGGCCAACGCAATTTAATTAAATCATTTGACAAATAAATAAATACATAAATACTATAAATTTAGGGAGATAGTTCAATTATACTTTATATTAAAAAAGAATCAAAACTCCAACAGATAACGGAGAAAGAATCTTCTCAAAAACACCGACACTGATATAAATATTTTGAGAAACGTTCCTCTCGTGGGTATGAGAAAAGTAACGTCTGGTGTTCCAATCTAAATTCTGGCTAATGTCAGATAACCTTTAACTTAGTAGAGGCCAGAAGATGTTGTCAATGCTTTAATTTTACATAACTTTCAACTTAGTAGGATAAACTTTACAAATGTTGCATGTGAGGTTTAAACAAACAGCAATGTCTGCTGGATAGCCATTTGTTCAGAGGGATTTCGTTCCCTATCCAGCGGACCTTGATGTTCATCCTGTATCCATCACATGCAAATGCATTATGAACGATACAAGAATTACATACTAGAAATAAGCTCCTTTAAATTTAACCAATGCTTTGTCATTTCAGGAAGCGACACTTTTGTTGCGAGACATCCTCTATACCACTTCCAAATATAGTTACAATTTGTCTGTGAACCCTTGAAACCAATGAAAAATAGGTAAGTAATTTAATTTTTAAAAATTTTCTCCATTTTTCGGTGCACCTTCTTTTTTTCCTACAGCCACAAAGTTGAATAGGTCTTGTGCATTTCGACCATTGAATGCCTAAATTCATTCAAGCTGGACTCAAGAGTACATGTAGCTTTGGAAAGTCTAGTTCACTTCAAGTACTGCTATGCAAAACAAAAAATAACCTGTTATGAGTTACACTGTTGGATACCTGAGTGATAGAGATGCCTGCCTGAGCACTTCACCATCTACATTCCATACACCAACTGGTCGCTCCTTTGGATTCCTCCTTCCTCTATAGCTACCACCATGCAAGAGACTATCTGTACCACTCACAGGGACACCACTCCTGTCACAAGCATGAATATGACATTCTTTGACACGGTGTGTTTCAATGAAGCCAAATGCAAACTGCAAAGAGAGTGGGTAAATAACAAGAGGGGTGGAGACCAATGTGATGAATTAAATAGTATTTAAATACAAATTTTAAATTTTTGTTGTAATTTTAACCAGAGCAAATGGATAAAAAGTGGGACTACTGTGTTTGAAGTGTGAGTAAAGGAATGCCTCTTCTGGTATCCCTACTTTTCTTTTCTTTTTCCTCTTTCTCTGTTTTATGATCCCCATTTAAAGGATTGATTTTTACCGTTTTTCCTTAACCAATCTTCATTCTCGCAATAGAGAGAATACAGAAAAGAGTTCTTTCCATAATTCTCCCAGATATGTCATATCAGGACTGCTTGGACAGACTAGGCCTGCCAACGCTAAAAGAGAGATGCAATGATCTATGTAAACGACTCTTTGATTCAATCGCCAACAACTCGGGGCATAAACTACACAACTTACTGCCTCCAAGAAATGAACAAAGCTACTGCCTGCGACAACAGAGAACATATAATCTACCACGCTCGCGCACAGACCGCTTTAGACAGTCCTTTGTGTATGCAATGTCCAAAGATGCCTAGCAACAAACAACGCGTAGTACTTAGCTAGTAACTATACATATTTTAATCCCATTAGATAAGTATATTTTTATATCATGTACATATGTTTGTGATTAGTTTTAACATTTGCCTATTTATATATTTCTCTGTGAAATACGCAATTCAGTCTAATGACAGCAATGTATTTGTGAATAAACAGTCTATCTATCTATCTATCTATCTATCTATCTATCTATCTATCTATCTATCTATCTATCTATCTATCTATCTATCTATCTATCTATCTATCTATCTATCTATCTATCTATCTATCTATCTATCTATCTATCTATCGAAAGTTGCCTCATTTATTAAGCAGCAGATGCTATTAAGCCCATCACATATAATCATCATAAAAAACAAACCTGGTCTTTGTAATTGAAGTTTCGCTGAATATGTGATTTCAATTGAAGTCTTGAGCAGTCTTTAATAATAACAAGGTCTGTAAAACCATCTCCCAAGTGACAGCAGGGTGACGGCCCCTCTGGGGATATCTCACACAGATTGGGAAGAGTGTAAAAGTTCACCCCATAAACACGAGAGTGAAATGACTTCCATTCTGTTCATAAAATAAAATAAATTGGGAAAATAAGCCAGAAAAATACAACTTTCCTTTCTTGAAAATGGAACCTACCTGCTAGCCTATCTTGGATCTCGTCATGTTTTTACTGATATTATTTGCTACAGAGCCATTGCTACTGTCTTTTCAATGCTTCCCCAGCTTAGAGTCACTGAAGCTCAGGTTCTAATGGCTGGGTCATTTCATTATTGCAAAATATTAAGTGAGTTAAATAACAGAAGGTTGCCAAAACTAGTCAGTTCTTTAGCTATGATGATTCATTACAATTCATTTCCTCATCATTTTAAATTCATCTGATATAGTATTATGTTTATTGCATTTTCTCTCCTTTCATTTCTCTATTTTTCTATTTCATTTCCACAACATTATATTTGCAGAGAAAAATGATGAAAGACAGATGGTAAACCAGTATAACAACTACAAACCTATCATTTAAGTGAGCTAAAATTATTCATTTTGATTCTCACATAACACACTGGGGCAATATTTGGCTCAATTCCCAGGTGTTGTACATACATGTATGAAACTAGAAAAGGAGCCATGAATTACATGAAGTCTTTATCTCAGTAAGTACCTTGATTTTGCTCACTTTCCCAATCTTGATCATCTTCCTTACTACAAACTTCACACCTACACACGTACAAGTTAAAACACCTTGATAAATAATTTGATCACCAAAATTTAAAATTGCTTTTACAAGTAGTAGAAGCAGGTTTTCCTTTCATCCCTTCTATACAAGATATATCCTAGGAAACACAGTATAGCAAATGTGATGTCATTGTCAAAGATATCTACACTAGTATAAGAGTAGGTTATTTTACTCCATGACTTACCCTATTCTACAGCGAGTGTTATCTCTTGGATGGTGTTCAGGATAAGGACTTATAAGATACTTCACCTCAACATCATATGATCTACAAATTAATATATTCAAGATAACAGCTAGCTAACTTTTGAAAGTTTTACATATTAGGATAATCCCCTAAAATCAAAACCAAGATCGAAGAAAACTAGCCTACTCTGGCTTGAAATACAATAACAACTGAACAACAAACCCATTAAGCCCAGCTGATGATATTTGATAAAAGCACAAACAAAATAAAACAAAATTATATTAAAGATAAGAAAATAAAAGATACATTTAGAGAAAAGCATTCAGCATAATAAAATATTGTTCTAAAATTGAAGTTTAATTAGTTTACCTGAGTTTCCAGAGCCTCCTCACAGCTCCCCATTTGTATCGTTTGGGACCCATCCAACGATGTTGCTCACTAGTTTTCAACACATCTCCGAGGAAGCCATAAGCCAGTGAAAATGTGAACCTGATGTGTTTGTTGTCACTCCACAGAGAACATATATCCAGTGATATTGTGTGACCTGAAGCAAATACATATAATATAAAGATGAATACCATTATTACATCTGCGCAATTGTATATATTAAAACCAGTTTCCAAGGGATCTGTAAGATACTAGAGCAAAGCTCCTCTCATAAAGAGACTAAAAGGACAAACTGATGAACATTAAGAAGTTTTTATATGGATTGGTGCCCAACAATCAACACAGCAATGGTGCTTGAATTTGATCTATTTTGCTCTCAAAATAGAATTCAAGGGAAACACGGACACATCTAGAAAGTTAATGGAGGGTGCGTGCATCTACACTACATATAGACATTGTAGTATGCAGGGTGTTGTAAAACATATTTGTGACAGTTTTTTGGCCTCTGTTTTATTTACTATCTTTCTCTTGCTTTCCACCATGTTTTTATACCAATCAATGTCATCCAAGAAAATCATGAAACTAATTTTGCCACTTGTCCTGAAGAGAGATTTCAGGTCAAAGAGTGAGTATTTTTTAACACAAATATGGGCTCAAATCAATTTCAGGAGTGTTTTAACCTCAATTTTGTTCTATGTATAAAAGAGCAAAACCTATAATAAAAGCTATTTGTGGAGTAATTACCTAAAATTATATGTATAGCAGACGTGACAGGATCATTAGATCCCTGTGCTGAATAAACCACCACCTCTGTCGAACCTAAAAAAAGTAATTGAATGTATATTCCTTCATGATACTTGAAATCACAAAATTTTTTGTTTGACTGTTTAGATTATCATGCATAATTAGTATAAATAAAGTGTGTTCCCTGGAATAATAGAGTTCATTTTACATCCTTGCTTTAAAACAAAAGGAAAGCAAAATTAAGAGTATTAAATCGTTTATTGCTTCAAGTTGGTATGAGTGTCTTGAATGTAAACCTCATTATCTGATCAATTTAGTTTCAGTTAGAGGAACAATAAAAGCCTTTAAGTAGGATGATAGTCTTGCTTTAAACTTGATCCTCACTTCAAAAAACTTTCAAGATTTGAGGATCGAGCCTTGAAGCCTCAGTTTTAAGTTTAGATTTTAAACAAGTTCTTTTCCAGAATCTTATAGCGCAGATTTTTGGAAGAAAAATACTTCTTTTCTTTGTATGGACACTACATACTATAATCTCAATTACAGTATACTGCAAAAAAAAAAAAAAGGAATATGTCCTGTGGCCAATCTTCAAACAATAGAAGCCTCTTTAATCACAGATGTTGCATTGAATTAGTAGTACCTGCAGGAATGATTCCAATTCGCATGCTGAGTGGCAGAGCACTGAACTTCTCAGGTAAGGTTCCATCAACCAGATCAATTCCAACATTTCCATGTGACTTCTCTAATAATCCATTAACAACTTCATGCACAATACCATCTCCTCCAACACAAACAACCCTGAAAATTTTTACATTCAACACTTAGTGCTGTAATTGTTTCTTATCACTGAGTATTGACAATAATAATGGTTGAGATGTCAGTTTAGGCAACATTCCCAAAATACATCTTCCAGTGATAACTGTTAAGGTGGCTGGATACAGTTTTGCTATTTTCTAACATATTTTCATCATTGGCTTAAATTAAGTTTATATCTTAAACATTACACTGAACAATAAATCAAGTCTAGTGGAGTTTACAATTATTCATCACTGCTATGGTTTTGCTGAAACCTTAACCAAGCATTATTCTGATTATTTTTTTTAAGAAGAATGACTTTAATTCTTTAATTCAACTGGTTAAACTCTAGTAAAAATGTTATTATTTCCTTTAAAATCAAGGGATTTTACTTTAATACATTATCATTTAGCTTAGAATTTAAAGTAACTTCTTTTGGGCCCTGTAAATTATAATTTACATTGGAAATATATTTCTTACCCATCATATGTGGAAAGCTCTGCAGTTTGGAAGAACTCCCAAGCATGTCCTGCCCACTGTGTCACTAAATAAGTTTTAAATCCAACTTATTAGAGATTATTTTAAAGCTGTTTATATCTGATTCAAATTTTATCCCTGTTGATCAAACTTCAAGATAATTAATTTGATAATGATAAAATTAAAATTAAAGTCAAACTATGAAATGCTTGCACATGAACAAATCATGGTGAGCTCTGCAGAAACATTTTACAAAATGCATCTGAATCTATTTGCTTATCTCACAGCAAACAATTACAGATTGTACTGTAAATGACTGTCAGTCAGTTAATCAGTCAGTCAGTAAGTCAATCAGTCAGTCAGTCAGTAAGTCAATCAGTCAGTCAGTCAGTAAGTCAATCAGTCAGCCAGTCAGTCAGTTAGAAAGTGAGAGAGTAAGTGAGTAAGTAAGTAAACTCTTTGTTTATGTCAGAATGGTATCTGTGGTTTTGCCACATTTGGGCAACAGGATCTTTACATTCAACACACATTTAATTTAATAATTTGATAGCTTTGGTATTAACATTTATATTACCAAACCCTACATATCCAGGCTTGGAGCTACCTTGGTGAACTTGTTAAACACAACAGATATTGTCTTAACCATTAAACTACATGCCTAACTAACTTTGCTTTTCTTTTTAAATTCAGCACTTGAAAAAAAAGAAAAAATTGATATATGTTTTAGAAAGTAAAGTGTTAAATTGTTAGTAATACATACTTTGTTATATGTGACTAATAAATTAAGGTGTTTTTAATTATCAATTTACACACAATTTGGCAGGGTTTATCATAGCTGTCACATACAATACACGTGGACAAAACACATGCAACTAGTAACACACTTTTTCAAATTTGCACTATAATTATGAGCAACTACTACAAATAACTTACTCATGAGATCTGCCCTGATGCCAGCCTTCTCAAATAAAGGTGCAACCTTTTTTAAGTACACAAGCCTTGCTTCACCTTTTTTACTTCTAGGATTTATTACTACTTTCAGCTTACGAGGTCTGCTAGGAATACCTAAACAGGAAAAAAAAAGAAAAAAAAAAGAAAAAAAAAAGAAACCATGATTTATTAATGTTGTCTGAAATTTTGCGTGGAAGATCACAGAATCGTAGGAATTCTTAAAGACGTGTATTGTAGTTAGCCTCTACAAATTTGTACTATACATTTGTGATAGTACGTATAAAAATAAAAAATTTAAATTAAAAATCCAAGATATAGCAATACTACAAAGAGTTGTTTAATATCGTTATAAGCCCTTGGCAAATTGTGAATTACAAGTAAGGTGGAGAAGACTGGAAACATTTTTGGTCACAGACTATGCTAAGTCAGAGACTTTGTTATGTCTGTAGCATATTCATCTTTATTAAATTGGATCAATGAATAATGCAACTCACGAGTTTTAATTGCCTTAGCCATCATGTGTTATCTGTAACTAATTCTGAGAATTAGATGCTGTCATCTAATGTCCTAGTGACTAATTTGTTTCATAAATTATTCCTTATTTTTGATCAACTACAATTTTTGAACATTCTACTTAAAGCTGTTTATAGGTATAAGGTTCATGAAAATTCTTCTTTTTTGTAGCTCCTTTTCTCAGCCCTGCCCCTAAGTTTTTTTTCAGCATTCTCTATACAGAGCTAAACTAAAAGAAACCCTACCTAATTAACCATGTTAAAACTTACTCTTCAAAGTGTCGTTAATCTTAACAACCCACATGTCACAGACATTTTGGTCCTCACTCTCAAAAGTTATCCTTGCTTCACACAGCTTCCTGTTTTCAGCTTTTTTGAAGGTAAAAATAGTAAATCCAACAAGTTCACCATCCTTGCTTTCATTCCTGGGTATGCGTCGTTTAGCTATCCATGCACCAATGATATCTGACAGTTTCACAGATCTTGTGGAAAGGTTGTAATTGCGTGTGCTGGAGGCTGTTTACATCAACAAGAGTTCATGTCAATATAAAAAATATTCAATTTCTTATGCAAAATTTATAATATTTTAAATATTAAGATTAATTTGCACACATACACGTATGTAAAAGTTTGCCTTGAGGGCTTGTCAATGTATCAGATTTTGGATCTTGAGGGAAAGCATCCTTGTTGAAATATATTTTGAGTCCCCTCTCCTCCAAGAAGCATCCTCACTTAAGCAACATTTCCAAACAGCCATCAGTGAGAATACTTTATTTGTTTGCTGCAGTTACATTTCAATTTCTTGTGGAAATTTTTTCCTGGGCTGACTGTAAATTTCTTTTATGTTGGGAAAAGTAAAAAATTCAGTTCAGCCATGTTATAATAATATTACTATTCAGTGTCTTTGGTGAAGGAAAAAAATGAGGAGGAAAATTCACCATTACTATACTTTTGTTATCTAAGGTGCATAAAGGCAACATGATATAGAAGACCAACCACTCATATCTTAAAAGAGATGGAAGAAACTTTCAAGCCTTTCAGATGAGTAGAACCGTAAAAAGGCTCGTATAAGAGCAATACTTAAAATGATCATAATCATGTAAGGAATTAATGGGGTAAGTTTCTAAAGAAACTGTGGTGCTGCGTCGGTGGGAGAGTATAGCAGGTAATTTAGTGTTAACAACTGGGTTGAAAACGTAAATTAGCCACCGTAAAGGGTAAAAAAGCTGACGAAGGGCTAACGCTCGAAACGTCAGCTTTTTTACCCTTTACGGTGGCTAATTTACGTTTTCAACCCAGTTGTTAACACTAAATTACCTGCAATGCAAAAAAACACTCGTGCAATTTTCATTACATAAACTGTACATGTGAAACGACTTCCTAACTTTATAGGTATCTCACACAATTAAAAGGTGTTTAATTGCATAGGGCTAGAAAACTTTTTCTTTCATGAGATGTTTTCTCTCTAAACATTTACTTTCGACGTGAAACTGCTGTTTCAGTTTCTGCCACTTTGTTCTGTCATTGTTACGCTTCACTCAATTGCATACTTAAAATTTAGCTTGAGGTATACACGATCGAGATAAATACAGAGCAGATTAGTTTAACGATTACTAGAACGTATAAAAACATATGAGGAAAGTGATATATACATTTAATTTATGAAACTGGGTCGAACATTAACTTGGTGTTGACAAGTCCTCATGGAATCAATTGATGTCAAACGGTTCACCAAAGCTTTTAAGTTCAATCGGAAAACGATTTTACTTGCAAAAAAGTCTCAAAAATAGACGAACGACGCTTCCGATATAAGCCAATGTTTTTGGCATGCTTAGTAAATACCTGAACTCAACTCGCCTTGTAAGGTCCACACGATTTCATTTTCATCAAGATAGACATCATACAGCTTCCCTTGTACCTTAAAAACGGCCTTCAATCCGCGTTCAGACTCGCTTATTTCGTTCATTTCTTCGCTGAGAGAACATGAGGCATTTCCACTTAAATAACTCAGGTGTTACAATTCCTTTTTTGCCTGGAAACTGTTGGAAAAGCCCGCGGCTCGGCCAGATGTTTACACAGCTTGTACTCGTAGATTACAAACATGGCGGTCTAACATGATCCCACTGTATTGTGGGATTACTCTTTTTTTATCAAGGGTACGGAGGGTAATGTTCAGGGGGGGGGGATTTCTTTTTTCTTTATCTTTTTTTTTTTTCCACAATTGAGCCACAAGATTTCTCAAAACTCATTTAAATGAGAAATCATTTTAATTAACTTGAAGAAAGCTGAATAAAAAAATGAACGTGAACACGGTAAAACTTTTACTACAGAGATGGAATCGATGAAATCTCTTTATCAGAGCTCCCCCCGCCCTGACAGGGAATCGAGCACAAGCAAGAGAGGATCTTAATTTGGAACAAAACAAACAGGTGACGTATTGTGAAAGAGGTGAGATATTTGGAAATATGCTTCGTTCTGCGTTCCGTGGAAAGCAAGCCACTGATTCAATTAAGAATGAAAATCGAGGAAAAACTTCTCATGGAAGATCGCACTCCTTCTTTCACCGCGATGGAGGTCACGAAGATGCTAAAAATACGAATGGTGATCATGAAAATTTAAATGCACTTGTCCCAGAAACAGTTGGTTGCAGTACGCATGGTGAAGTACTAACCACAGATTTCAGCCACGAGTTTCTCGAATCCACCCACAGTAGCAGCTCCGATAAGGAAAGCCTGAATGAAGAAGATGACTCGGCGAAACCTACGTTACACGAGATTCATGGAGGGAAGGGGAATTGCGATCAAAAGGTTACTCCGAATAGAGGGGAATTTTCAAGCTCCGAAAGAGAGATTTACGAAACCCAGCTGGCTCAACTTCAAGAACAGCTTGTTAACACCATGATTGATTATCAGGACATGAGTAAGTGAAAGATCACGGATTAAGGTTGATAGATCACTTAAACGTTGGAAATCTTAGAGAGAAAGACCCATGCAAAAGATGGGAATAAGGACGGGGGAAGGCGAGAGGGAGGGGGGGGGAGGTGTCGCATAGTTAACAAGGGGGTTTGTAGCCACAGAAGCTATTATGCACCCTTTGAACAACCAAGGCGTGGGATTTCTTGGTTTTCAGTCTCTTTTATTGAGGATAATATGGTAGCTATGATCAATAATTTCCATAAGTTCCTTACGCTCACCACTTTCCACTTACAAAAAGAGATTTGCTTCTTGATGTGGAACAATTGTTATCATAACAAACGTTTTTTGAATTGTGACATTTTTGGTTGGTATTTTAATACAAAATCTGTCCATCGGCATCCCATGAAATTCTGATGGTTTCATTATGAGGCATTGACTATAACAACTTTTTGAAGCTTTATTGACTTAAATAATCACATACTGTATAAATACAGTCAATTGAAAAGTTAATGCCGCTCTTTGTTTAATATAAGGTGTGCAACTGGAGAAACTGAAAGCTGTGGATGTTCAGAAACTTCAGAAGGAAATCCAAGAAGAAAGAGCTAAAAATAATGAACTAAGGGAGAAACTTAAACAGAAACAGAAATCATCCAGTTCAAAACTACATAGGTAAGATATTTGGAAGTTCATTTGATGCATATTAAACTTACACAAGAGACAGGAATAATCCTAGTTCCTGGTATCCAAGAAGTTCATGATGAAACAGTGCTCCTCAAGATACAAGTATAGAGTGATAGAAATTTTGGGATGTCATCTGTTTTCAGTTTAGGGAACTAAGCCTTTATGAGAGCTTTATAATTTAATAATTATGGAGCAATTTCAAGGTATTTCTTTAATGTTTATTTATGTTTGGAAATGATCATGCAACTTGTGTTAAAATCCTTAATTTATTATCAGTCTGCTGATGTGAGGAATTATTTTTGAAAGAGTCGTTAATATACAGCTAAATCAAATTTACATTTTTTTTAAAAGGTATTTTTGTTTCCTTTAGAAGAGATGTGTAGCATAACTGCAATACAAGCAAAAAAAGTTTTTTATTGACTGACAAAACATTTTGAAGTTAATTGATTGAAAAGTGTATCATATATAACTTGAACCTGCTTTTCTCTACTCATCTCTTTAGGTTCATGAGATATCTGAGAAAAGCTATATATGTAGAAAAGCAAAGTTGAGAGTTACTGTAGCATAATATTTTATTGTTTTAATTGTAACAACAAATTTCAATTGTAAGGAAAAATGCAAGTAGAATAGATCCCAGATCAAAAAGTGGTCATCAGGGAACTGACCCAGAAAGAGACCAAGGTGATGACTGGGTGTATCTAGGAGGAGAGGATGAGTCACATACCCTATCACATGTCACAAATGGCAGTCAAGGAACTCACCCAGAAGAAAATCAGGAATCATTTGAAGTGCTTGACAGCAGCCATGCAAGAGATCAGTTAGAGGAACAAGCAGCTGTTGAATCTGGTAAGGAGACCAAGCTCATGTCAGAAGAATCACTCATGCTTTTGAAGGGTTTTTTTTAATTGTGTGAGTGTGTGCCAAAACCTTATATTGTATAAAATCTTAGATTTCAAGTGACTTACACACATTCATAAATCATTTCTCCTTTTTTAAAGTTGATGGAGATGGTCAAAAAGTGCAACAATTTAAGACAAAACTGGAAATGTGGAAAGCAAAAGTCATTGACATTGTGAGTTGAAAGTGTATTATAATTTTGTCATGTATTAATTTTTACATCAGCCTTGATAGTGGGTGAGGCATACTTAATGCATCTTCTTTCCTTCACACTGCTGATGACCCATACTTTGTTATCTTCTTAACTTTCTCTGCAGCCCTTATTCTTTCTTTCTGACTAATTTCACTAGTTTGTGTTTGTGGAAGTTGCAGTGGCTTATAATTATTTAGTGACCAGTTTCAAGTCCTGTCAGACTCACCATGTTTTTCTGAGCAAGACATTGCCCCCTTACAGTACCTCTCTCTGCCCAGGGTATGAACAGAATTCTAAAGCAATTGCTTTAGGCCCTCTCAGTGATGGACTGACATCTTTTCTTCTTATGAAGGGGATCAAGTTGCAATTCCCCTAAACATTCAATTTACTCTCACTATTTTTTGTGATAATTAGTTGGGAGACAGACTGTGGGATTTCGTTAATGATGAACCTGAAGACACCGATGAGGAGGATGGTGAGGGTGATCCCTTGGCCATCAAAACGTAAGTTGCCCATAGATATGACTTAATTGGTTGTTATTAAGTCCATACCCCATACATAAGAGTGACTAGCATTTAATTTCTCCGAACAGTATCACCCCTGAGTAACACATTAAGGTCATGAGATTAAAGGAAATGATTGCAAACTCTAGAAACTTTTAATTGATAGACAAATTCTCCTCGTAAGTAACATAGGAAAAGTATAAAGAACAGTAAGGAGAACTTGCATACTGATGTTATGGTTAAAAGACTCAATCTTGTTTAGAGTGCTGTTGCAGAATTGATGATCGATTAGGGAACATTTTTTGTGTGACCCACATTATCCCTGACTCTCCAAGTATTTTTTCTTTTCTAGACTCAAGGAAAACATCAATAGATTCAGTAAGTATCCACTATTTATTAAGAGTGTTTGTTATTTGCCTTTACTGAAGTTACATACTTTTGATTTAACCCTTTTAATGCAAAGAATTCATTTGTTAATATTTATTAAACAATTCTCTCCAGAAATGACTAGCTATCTAGTATATTCCCTTGAAAGTTACATGAAGGCAGGAAAATTACTTGAAATATATTTTTTTCCGCAAAGGTACTGGAATTAAACCTATAACAGGTTTTATCAAGTCTGTTGGGAAGGTGCTCACATGGTCAAATCCCACGGCATCTTTTTTGATATTTGTGGTAAGTACAGTTTTTGATTCCATCTAATGTCTTGAACAAGCTATGCATGAAATTCTGTACATGATATTATATGTTTGAGAAGTTTTGTTTTGTTTCATGTTACAGGTATACATGTATTCTGTTTGGTACGGATATCTTCTTTCTTTAATCCTTTTTACCATGATCTGGAAGCTATTTATGAATTATCTCCATGCCAAGTGAGTTTCACTTACAAAGTACATTTTCTCTATCAGTATTTACTTTGTATTTAAGTATTACATATACATTGTTATGAAGTCAGTTTTATTTTTACCAATTAACTTCCCAGAAAATTGTGTGATGAATTGGATATGATGTTTTGCAATCTTTGCTGTCTTTCCACCAATTTTATTGTACTGACCTGTCAATGGTTATATTTTCAGAGGCATTGCCAGATATTTGGGATTCACAGATGAATTAAAAGAAGAGGTATATTTTTAATGGGATTGTGATATACAGTAGCTGACAGTGGTTAGGTCTAAATTTCAGTGTAAAATGCAAAAGAGCTGTGGGTGATTTTGTGAAGTATGACTGAGGTTAAATGCAGAAATATTAGGAATAGCTGGCCAAAGTTTCTCTTAATTTAGAGTCAGTGACTATTTTTTCTTTTAGTGCTCAGTCGAGTTTAACTACTGACAACCACCTTAAATATTAATTAAGTGAACAAAATATTCTGGTGGAGGAAGAGCAAGGTGGTTTAAAAGCCAAGTTATTGGGCTGAATCTCTTTTTTATTTTTTGTGAACTTGATTAATTGTTAGGCAGTTGCATCAGAAGATCACAGTTGGTCAGACAAATTTCAGCTGGTTTTGCAAGTGGCAAGGAAAGTACAAGTGAGTTTTACAATGGTTGCACTGATGGCCACTGACTTTTCATAACTGTATCTTCTCACATTTTTTGCTTTGAGAGTTTACTTTTATATGCTAATGAAGTGACAGATTCTGTTGAAGTTGGAACTCTAAACTTATTGGCTTTATGTCAGTGCATTTTAAACACTGAGGTGGTGAATGAGGTAGAGGAGGGTAATTAATTCAAGAAGTCTACCCTTGTAATGAAGTTAATGCAAGTTCACCTAAAAAATACTAACTGTATGGAAATAGGCCATTTTACAGTTATGTACTTAGTTGCCAGGCCTTTGATTTGGAGTGAGGCTGAAGGTGACCTTGTTGTGATAGAGACCTGTATCTAGTTAGCATGATAACAAAGTAATTTGCATTTGAAAAGCAGCAAGGTTTGTATCATCACAAGGTCACCCTTAGCCTCATTCCTGTTCAAAGGCTTGGCAACCAAGCACACAACTGTAAAATGGACTATTGGCGAACATTTTATAACAATTTAAAATTGAGAGTCAAAGGCAATCCAGGATTATAATCATTTCATTCACAATTAGTGCTCTATGATTGATCAAGTAATCTGGCGTCAAAAACTAAACAGTTGTTGCTTGGTTACTATGACTTTTCTTCCTTGTAAGCCACCTCAGAGTTTTCTACCCATGAGCCCCTTCTGATGCTCGCTTTGTTCTGACTGGCTGTTGTGAAATGGGCTCAGTTCTGTATGTGGTTAGTTTCACTCTTGTTTCCTTCCAATCAGCATTTTTTAATTTTAAAAGGTTCTACCTCTTCATCTTCACCCCCTATCTTTTCCCATCATGCCTTTCACCTCCAACCGGTCAGCTCTGACACAGTGTTGAACATTACATGAAGTTAAAAGATTGATAAGTTTATTGTCTCTCTTAGAACACACTCGGAAAAATGGCAAACTCTCTGGAAAAAATAAAGAAGTGAGTTAAGTGTTGTTGCTACATGTAGTGATTTGTGAATCCATTTCATATATAACTTTGTTATTGCCAATCTTTGATGACTGCATGACTTTTAAGCTCAGTTGCAAATTGACCTAGGATACCCAAATTTGTTGGGCTCATCAAAACTTGCTAGATACAGGCCTCATTTTCAAATAGCAGTAAAATTGACAGAGAACCAGCAGTGAGATGTGCGGTATTAATTTTTTTTGTAGCTTATTAACTTGGCAACATCCTGTGGCAACAAGGAAGCTCTTTACAGTACTCAATATCGCATTTGTGGCGTCTTTAGGGCTCAGGGGACCTACTTTGTTCACGTTGTTAGGTAACACGCTGTTTCGTAAATTTTGCTAACACCTTAGTTCCTTCATAGCTGCATACTTTCTCAGGTCTTTTTTCAGAATGATTTTCTTTCAATTTGCTGTAAAATCAAAACCAAAGTAATCACATAGACCAATCATTGGAAAGGAACTTCTACAATTTAGCTAAGGATAGCTCAAACAAAAGGACTTATTTTTATAGGCACTGTGAGAATAAATTGTCTTGCGTGACTTGTCCAGGGCTTGAACACAGCCAGTTTTGTCAACAGTAAGAAATGCAGGCATTTAGTACTTTTCACCTGTGGTAAATTCATGAATTTGTTTCTATTGACTAAATTGATATTTTTTAGGGTTGTCTTTTGGAGTAAAGCTGTTTATAGTGAATCCCATATATCATCGCTTTCCAAAGGTAACATTTTGCTCTTTTCGTTGTTTCATCTTTGACAATATACATACCTTAAACCTTTATACAGTTACATCAATACACATATTCACCTTAAACCTTTATACAGTTACATCAATACATATATTCACCTTAAACCTTTATACAGTTACATCAATACACATATTCACCTTAAATCTTTATACAGTTACATCAATACATATATTCACCTTAAACCTTTATACAGTTACATCAATACATATATTCACCTTAAACCTTTATACAGTTACATCAATACATATATTCACCTTAAACCTTTATACAGTTACATCAATACACATATTCACCTAAACCTTTATACAGTTACATCAATACACATATTCACCTTAAACCTTTATACAGTTACATCAATACACATATTCACCTAAACCTTTATACAGTTACATCAATACACATATTCACCTTAAACCTTTATACAGTTACATCAATACACATATTCACCTAAACCTTTATACAGTTACATCAATACACATATTCACCTTAAACCTTTATACAGTTACATCAATACATATATTCTCCATACTGTTCTCCATACATATCCTGAGGCACTAAATATTAGGAGAATTTGTGTAACAATCAAGAGCTTCTTTATTTGTTGATCATTTCCTTTATCCTCGTAACCTTAATTTGTGATTCAGGGGTGATGTAGTGAGGAGAAATTCGATGCTAGTCACTCTGGGGGGTCCTTAAACTGAAGCAATAAGCTGATGGTAAGACTCACTTGCAAGCCATTTCTGTAACTCTGTGACTTGATATTTTGGAAACAGGTTAAGAAGCGATATGATGGTACTGCCAAGTTATGGGAAGAACTACCAACTGAGGCAGACCTGGTTGCGTCGCGATATTCAGTGGATGGAAATCAGGAGGTACTTATGATCAGTTTGATATTTATGCATGTTACTCGTAGTCAACCCATTTTTTTTTTTGGTAATCTGAAAGGCTGGTGTAAGTTCAGTTCGTCAGCCGGTATATATATGTGCCAGAAGAGATCCTAGATGGGATTGGCGGGATCCCGCCTAAATCCCGGCTGCCTTTTTACCTGGGTATACTAGAAAAATGCGTTATCGGCCAAGCTTGAGCTCGGAATTCCTGGTTTTTGGCTGACTTATTTTTAGCATTTTTATGGACCAAAACCCTCTGGTATTTTGTGTTCAAGACTGAACATAGCGGGAAATCTCAGCCCGTTTTGCCCGCCTGGAAGCCAAGAAGAATGGTGCTTTCCTGTTGTTAAGTCGCAGAGGCATCCACCTAACATGTCACCTTAAGTAATAGATCTAACTTGCTCAGATCTTAGGGCGCTCTACGTCGGCGACTTCTTCGTCATCGCCAAGTAGCAGTTCATCGCACCACCAAATAGGTCCTCATTCAAATCCAGTGGCCGAGAAATTTAGATTGCCATCAAGTGAAATCGTTTTGCCAGGTGAGGATCTTGTTTTTTGCTTTGTGCTATCAATTAGCTTAAAACTGGTCTTAAAATTTTTTATAAACAACGATTGTAGAGCAGACCTTAAAAAAACAAAAAGGCGCTACCATGTGGTGCGATCAAGAATACAAAGATTGGTCCTCGCCCCTTTTCAATGTTGTTCCTGCAATTTTAGCCCAATGCTTTGTAACGGTAGCATCTTGAATTAGGGTGTAGGGGTAATCGAACTCATGATCAGGAGTTCATACAGGCACCATTTTAGCCCAGAGTGCCAGACCCCTGGCAAACCTTTTCCCAGCATATGTCAAACCTCCCCGCAAGTGGAGAAACGTGCGTCCTTCAACGCCAATAACGAGGACGTGGTTGTAAACTACGTACTGCCATGCACAAATGAGATGAAGGGCTCAAGCCTTAGACTGAACTTCGACATAGGAGTTACCAGTTACGAAAATTGCGGTTCAGAGAATTTCTTTTGACAATTGCTCATGAATTTTTTCTTTCTGCGTTTTTCTAGGTTGGGAAGAAGGTAAAAGATGTGCTTTGCTTGATAAAGACAAACCGTTCTCAAGTGTTAAACATGGAAAATTGTTTCTGACTCAAAGGTAAACAAATAAAAAAAATAGCTTGTGGATTGCCATGTCTTGTTGTATCATTATTATACAAGATTTACTGATGTGTTTCTAAACCCTTTCTCGTTACAGTTATTTATGCTTTGAGAAGACCAGATCATCAAGTGGAAAGCATATCGTTATTAAGCTGGATACTATCATCAGTTTAAGTAAAGTACGTGGGAGGTGGAGCAAGAAACAAATTTAATTATTAATTAACTGATCAGCAAATCATCCAATTAACTAATCAACCGGTGACTGTGAAATATAGGAAAGTGTTCGCTTGTAGATCACGTGGCTCCATGGTATGCTCACCTTTAAGGTGGGCGACCTTGTGTGCATCTGAATTCGACCCCCCCCCCTTTTTCCGGCAAGGAAAATGCTAATGAAACGACCAGGTGCGCCTCCAAAGGCCTGCGAGATGCTGACTTCCTCCCTCCCCTCCCATGAAAAAACCCCTCCGACGCTCCCTTCGAATTCTGCGCAATACTCTTAGAAGACCAGTATCTGTTTAACCGCAGTTAATGTCGTTGACCGGCTGATGTAATGCCTAAGTAACTACAATAAATTTCTGATATTTCACTGTATGGCCTTTTACATGCACATCTTTGTATGGTTTACCCTCAATCATGATATCATGTCACCTTCAATATGTTGTTGATGTTATTCAGGCAAAGCCAATAGCAATTATGCCTGGAACAGGAATGGCCTTAGAAGTTAACGTTAGAGGTCTTGATAAAGTAAGTGGATATAAAGAAGAACTTTGCCTTATTAAATTTTATCAGTTTCAAGCTTTAAAGATTTTATTCAAAACTGGCCTAAATGCTTTGGAGTAGAATTTCCCTCCTGGCTACGTCAACGTGTACCGTCTATTTACCTCAGCTGATTCGATTATGTTGGGACTGCTTTTTCACGTTCTTCATTCTTTTATCAAAGCGGCAAGGTTTTATAACATTAGAGAGCGTAAGGAAAACTGCACCGTACATTTGCTAATTAATCTCAAGAAGACTGAAAACATCTTTTGTTCTTTAATACCAGTATTTTTTTACTGATGGAAGCTTTTTTGATTTCTAGCCTTATATTTTCGGTGGAATCATTGGAAGAGATGATGTATTTGAAAGTATAAGAGCCACAGGAAGGACAGGAAATTTTCCCTGGGTGTAAATGGCGCCATCAACACTTTGACATGGAATCGAGAATAGATATGGCCCAGACTCTTGCATACGGCAGGGTCTTCTTCAGTTTCAAAAATTGGTGGGAAAAAATCTATCAATGGAGAAATACGAATATATATACAGTGTTAAAAGGAAATACTAAGTTATACATGGTGACAATGATAAGATGAGCTTACAACAACTGATGCAAATATTGGGAATTATGTAGGTATCATTTAGCCATCAGGAGCACATGGCTTTGTATAAACTAAGGGAAAACTTTTTATCCACAAGTCTTTCTGAAAAGTAACATTGCTAACTATTTTGGTATCAGCGATCGAATCTTCTCTGTCATAAAGAAGTGTTATTGAATTATTGCATACCAAAATATGTACAATGGAAAATAAATTATGGTTAAATTTTTCTTGGTTCTAGCAAAAGAATGCTCAGTTTTGTAATGTATCGATATCTCTGTTTTTAACATAATTTTATAACGATTAAGATATTTTCTGAGTTCTTAGAGGGTTTACTAGACTATTACTGCGTACAATGATTAAATAGATGGTCAGTTTATATAACCGTTTGTGAACATTTTTGGAAGAACTGAGTATATTTCCAAAAGTTATTCAATAAAGCTAAGAATTTTGGGCTACGACTGCTTATTTTTTATTACTTAATCGAGTAAATTTCAGCTTTTTCTTCCAGAAACCCCTAATATTTGGGCTGGTGGCGGTGTTCTCCATAACAAGTCCTTTACTGGCTCAGGATGTCATCTCGGAATATTCATATTTGTAAATTTTCTTTTTTTTTTCTAATGCACCCTGGCTGACACGCCATATTCATCCCGCAAGGTATCCCGCGAAAGGGTTCTTCAGTTAACAACCGACAGGTGAGGGTCACTTGTCAGTGGCACGAGCGCTACCATACCATCAGTTCCCTTTTTCTCTTTTTCCTTTTTTATTTATCTGTGCTTTCTGTTCACTGTCCTTAGTGCAGCTCTAAAGAAAAGAACACGCTTGATGTCATACGTACCCACCTGAGACTTGTTCGTTGATTCGAGTCCCATGCGTCCCTACACCCGATAGTCATATTAAGATGATGTATATTCGTTCAAATGGAACTCAATAATTGTGAAAGAACGTACTATAAGTACAGTCCAGGTTAGAGTCCGTGGTTCTAGTCACGATGTTCAAAGTTATAGCACATGCTTTCCACGGCTTCAAAAGATGACCAATCATCTTGCGCCTCACAATCATCTCTTTTATCTCCCCTCCCTGAGGACAGTACGCCATTGAATTGATCACCCGCCAATACGCCAAACCGGTGAAAATACTACATCAATTCATCGCAGGATTTCCTTCCAAGGATTTGAATATGTGGACTGTGAAAGCACTTAGAACAAATAGCCATGGAATATTGTCACGTAATTTGTTACCTTTGCAACGAAAATCTCTGTCAACTGGCAATGGAGAGCGAGTTATGGCGATTAGAAGAGAAGACATAAATGTATGGGAGAGACGAGCACCCATAGCACCTTCGCATGTCGCAGAACTTGCACATAAAGGAATCAAGGTTCTTGTACAGCCTTCGACAAGACGAGCATACACGATGGATGAATACGAGCGAGCAGGAGCAGTCATAACAGAAGATTTAAGTCCAGCCTCGCTGATTATCGGCGTGAAAGCTGTCCCCATTGATCTGTTAATTCCAGACAAGACTTATGCTTTCTTCTCTCATACAATCAAGGCCCAAGAGGCGAATATGCCACTACTCGATGCAATGCTTGAAAAGGTAAGAATATTTTCGTTTTCTAAGCTGTAATTGAAGTCTTATAGGGATTTATCACAGTTTTGATGAAATCTAATTGAGTTTGATTCGAACATGGCTCGACCAAGCGTAACTTTCGATCGCCTACGTTTGTAACCCACGGATCAAATTCATCATGATTTTAATGGAGCTGTACACACACAGTCATCGCAAAATCAATTTGAGAAATTTGCTTTTCAAATTTGTAAATTATTTGTCTTCTTAGATCCATCAATTGTTTTACCATCTTTGAAAGAGAGTCGTTTGTTGCTCTTCGCTTTCACGCCACGTGTATAATGATTTTCACACCTCGCAGTTTTGTTGCGTTTTTGTTGAAAATTTTCTCGATTGTCTGGATTAATCCCTTCTTTCTGGCAGAACATCCGAATAGTTGATTACGAAAAAATGGTGGATAGCAAAGGACAAAGAGTGTGTGCTTTTGGCAAGTTCGCCGGTGTCGGAGGTTTGTGTTTTGGTTGCCGACAGAGTAACATGGGGGCGTGTTCGGGGGCTTGGTCATATTTCAAGGTGGCTACAGTAAGGCAGTGTGGACAATCAATATCAAGTTGTTAAGTTTGGGGGATTCATTATCTTGGATTATTCTAGATGTGTTACAATATTATAGATGAAGCTGATTTTTTGTCAAAAATGTGTTGACACTGAAGTCAATTCTATTGTTCACTTACTAGTTTCTTGTGGGTTAAACTCTTAGAAGATAAATCTCCAATGTCTTATAGGGCTGAAGCAAGGAAGGGTACTTTTGATTCTGTGTGATGTAAACTCGACTGGCAAAAAGGAATTTGCTCATCAGATACATGGGTTTACTGAGATGCTTTAGCAGAAAGCACAGTATGAGCATTTAATAAAACAGCTCTTTATTTTTTCTACCCATAGGTATGATAAATATTCTTCATGGTCTTGGGTTGAGGCTTCTTGCCCTTGGACATCACACACCTTTCATGGTAAGTAACATATTAATGGATTAACCATATTAAGCTTAAATTGTTTTACATAATTATGATGCTCTCTCTCTCTTAATTATAGTCTGTATAACATTGTAAATTCTACCACAATTTATACTTGCATGGTGCTCAAATGTGTGTCATGCAAGTGATGTGAAAGGCAGTCAAGTGGGACTTCAACCAACCTTCTGTTACAGTTACCAAGTTGTAGCTTTTAAAATGTAAAGAAAAGGAAAAAATTTTTAAAAAACTTTAAGACAAAAAGAAGAGTCATAGATTTATTCTTTAATCTCACGTCTAAGTGAAGGAAATGACATGGACCTAAGAGACTATCATTGGTGAGATAAGCTCTTCAAATGATTATAATATAGATGTTGTGAGTAATGTTGAGAAAACTCTAGAGCAAGTCTTCAGCAAAGAGGCAGCATCACACCATAATATGCATATATATGGTCTCAAGACATTAGCTAATTAACACCCTACAACTTCAAATTGATGATATCAAAATTTCATCTAATTTTTTTCTCAGTATTTAGGGGCAACTCATAACTACAAGAACAGCAGGGCAGCAAAACTTGCCATTTATGAACTTGGTGAGGACATAAAAGCTGGTAAATTACCAGCTCACTTTGGACCTTTGTCATTTGTGTTTACTGGCTCAGGAAATGTGTCTCAGGTATTCTGAACAAACTATATACTATTTTAAATCAAAAACGTATTTCAAATATATTTTTTAAATCTGATTTGAGTTTGATTTTGATTAATGAACAAATAAACAAATGAAAGGACTCAACTCATCAAGAGGCACATCTCTCCAATAAAAAAAATCCATCACTTGTAAAGTTGCAATTCTTCATCTGGGTTTTATAGAATTGAAAAATCTCAGTTTTACAATATCTTTGATTTGATATTCTGAGGTACTTTACCTTTTACTTGAATTCACCGTTTAGTAACAATGCATACATTTAAGAATTTGTTCCTTCCATGTAACTAGATCACCTTTTCCCCCACCCTCAAAGTTTTAGTTTTGCCTGGGCTATACTGTGGGACTTATTCACCCTTCCTACAATTTACTCTTTATTTGTTGATTATCCACAGGGTGCTCAAGAAATGTTTCAGGAACTTCCGCATATTTATGTTGAGCCACATGAGCTGAGAAAAGCTATACAAAGCACAGGTGAGGTTACAGCATTTTGGTGCAATAGAAGTTGAGTAGGGAACCTTGGGGTTATTATAAGAGCTTATGTTTACCCCTCTAAGAATAAGCCACACCATCCCGTTTGTGTGGTTGAAAGAAGCAAAAATGACCACCAATGTAATGCATACACTCTGACGTGGAATAGAAAATTAATTTGAACAGTCTCCTGGCTGCTACTAAACATATTCCGATGTAGTGGTGTTTTAATGTGACCATTAATTGTATTTTCCGCTAATTTCATGTAGCTGTTAGTAACAACTTAAATATTTTAGACCATTGACCCATTTTAACACCTTAACATCAGTTTGCATGTTCTCTAAACTTTTCACTATATGTTTTCCATGGTACTTACAAAGAGAATTTGCCTAATCATTTTTTCAATATCACTCTTGAGGGTGAAAGGGTTTAGATATTTCAGTCTTTTAATATCAAATAATTCACACCTTGTTAATGTATATGCATGTAATAATCATTGTGATCCACTGCCAGACCACAGGAAGTTGATTGGAACAGTTGTAAGCCGTGAAGATTACCTTGTACCCAAGGCTGGTGGAGTGTTTGATGCAGAGGAATATGATGCTCATCCAGATAGATACAGATCGACATTTGCAGAAAAGGTTATTTGTTTAATATCTAGTTGTGACTTAAAATTGTTAGGAACAGAGAAGAACACAACAAACTCCCGTGTAAGGTCAACACTTTGCAGATGATTTTTCCAAAAACAAATGATCAACTTAAGTTGTATTTTTTAACTACAGTTTCAAAAGTACAGTTAACTTGACTGTATATGCTGAGAAATATGAGCCCAGTGCTATTGAAAAATTAACAAAAATAATACATAGAGGTATTAATTCAAATACTAGGCTTTGGTCTTTACAGAAAGTAACAGTCTTGGGTCAGGGTATTGAACCTACCTTTCAAAATTAGTGAATGATCAGCCGAGGTTGCATTTCTAAGAATGTCCCTCACCTGAGTGAAAAAATTATGGCACCTTGCAGCTGGTCAGCATCAGTGCCATTCTTAACTTTTTTACAGGTTCATTCATTCTTTTCATATGTAGGTTGCTCCTTACATGTCTGTCCTGGTGAATGGAACCTACTGGGCCCCCAGTGTGCCACGCCTTCTGACCTACGATGATGCTAGAAATATTCTTAAGACAATGCAGAGGTCAAGTGCATATGATGGCTGTCCAAGTCTGCCACATAGATTGTTGGCAATCTGTGATATCTCAGCTGACAATGAAGTGAGCTTGTAAATTAATTTGGCAGGTTCTTAATATTAAAATTTTGTTTTACTGTTTTCATGTCTTTTAATACACTGTTACCATTCAGGGTTCCCTGGAATTCATGACAGAATGTACAACAATTGAGTATCCATTCCACTTGTACAACATCAAGACAGGAAACTCACAGATTGGGTAAATGATTCAAATAAATATAAAGTATATAAATCATAAATGAACAATGACTTAAAATATGAGTAATTAATAAACAGATAAAATACTAACAGTTATTAACAAACACTGCATTTAATAGTATGTTTGAGGTAAAACCTAATTTGTTCTTTGGCCAAAAAGTCTTGGGGCCAAATTGCCTTTTACCAGATTAACTAATTATGTGCAATTTCCTCTTATGCTGTATCTCTGTATAGAATGGCTGGAGATGGAGTTCTTATTTGCTCAATTGATAATCTTCCTGCTCAGTTGCCAAGAGAGGCCACTGATTATTTTGGTAAACTGCTGCTCCCATGGCTACAAGAAATGGTAACATACTTCTCTTTATTTTCTTTTCTGTGATACTTTTGCCCCATCAGTCAACTCAACAGAATTCCTTTTTAATGTATGAAAATAAAGAAGGGTTTTTTTGTTTTTCAGATTGATTCTAATGCTACTGACTCCTTTGAAGAGCAGCATCACTTGTCTGACACAGTTAGAAATGTGAGTGTTTTAGTCTAAGTACCTTTTAACTGCCCTAGTCAAATACAATTGTAGGTTTAGTGGACTTATTCTATTTTGCAAAATGAAACAAATGAAACTAGGCGCGATATAACGAAACCAAAGGAATAATGCTGTTATATTTTATAATAAGGCAAAGATAACTTTCACAAGGATTTTTGAGTAATCGTCAATTGACAAGAGGGATTTTTATTTATCACATTACTATTTTGCAAAATTGACTATTATCACCTTGTGGTGACAACATGACCTCTTTCATGTCACAAAAATACATTTAAACATCACAAATTAGTATATCACCATAGAGTTTGGCCTCCTCTTATTTCTTACATGGTATTAAAATATATACTTCACAAAATAGTAATTTTAGGAGAGATACTATTTTGTTAAATGGACTGCTAGTTGATTTTGCAAAATACTAACTCTTCTTAAATTTATGCTTTGCAGAATGAAAATCCTTCTTGTTAATTAACAATTACTCCAAAATCCTAGTGAAAGTTATCTCTACCTTATTACAAAATTTGTCTGCATTCTTCCTTCTATTAGTTTTGTTATATATTGCTTAGCTGGTTTTGTTTTTTTTTGCTAAGTAGTATAAGCTGGACGGTGTGGTGAGGGAAGCTAAAACATGGGTAGTTCACACTGCAGCTGTGGTTACTGGCAGCTTCCATGCTTGTGGACAAAAAGCTTGGATTTTCTTCATGCCAACTGAAGCCAGTGGCCACCAGTTTTTCACATTTTAATATTACTACAAAACCTAGCACTATGCTATTAAAATTCAATATCTGACATATTTTTAGGAAGAATTACATGCTATGAAATGTATGAGGAGACAAAAGCAGAGAATTGATGTTTGTTAGAAGTGAAAGAATATCAGTAATCAATGCTGTTTAATAGCTAAGTATTAAAATTATCTTTTCCACTGGCATTCCCAGGCAATCATCACTTCTAATGGATTGCTAACAGAAAACTACAAATACATAGCAGGTTTAAGGAAAAGGTAAACCCTGAAATTTAATCTACTGCACAGTGAAATTTTGGTTAACACACCTCAGATGCTTTGGGTATATACCACTGGCATTACGATAATAATTTACAGCTGTTGCTGTTAATTAATTGATATTATTCCTGACCAGTTGAATATATTTGATCACTTAAAATGGAAACTTGAAATCAGACTAGAAATGGTTAGCTGTCCAGTACTTTGCCTATATTTTTTTATCTCCAAGGTAACAATATGGTAATGTTTGTTTATAAATGTTTCATTAATTCTATTCCTTTGGTAATTATAGAATTAACTAAAATGTTTTAACAACCATGCTGTATGACACTAAGGAATCTTCTTGACCAGTCTTACTGCATCATTTATCTCAGCCAAGAAGAAGCAAAAGCCAGAGCATTAGGACCAAATGTTTCTGTGCCAATCAAGCAGAGAGTATTGTTGCTTGGCTCTGGGTTCACTGTGGCTCCATGCATTGAATATCTTACGAGAGATAAAAGCCTTGCAGTCACAGTTGGTGAGTTCTTCTGTGATTGTCACAACACTGCACTGTAATAGTGATATTGCTTAGTGAAAAGTAATTTTTTTTCAGCCACTGTTTTATTTCCTATTGCTTATTCCAGATTTATATAACATCTATATACCAAACCCAAAAGATTTTTCAGTTGATGTTCTCCCTTACATGCACTTCCCTCTAGAAATTTCATTCAACATACATTTAAATTCTCATTTTCACCCCTTATACTCCCTTTGCCCCTCATGCAACTGTACTTCCTTTGCTCCACCCCTCCCATTGACATTCTCAGTGGGTAGTAATACCAGAAATAGCTCTTTCTGTCTTTTCTAAACTTTTAAACTCATAATCAGTAGATGTAATCATTAATTTTTTTTCTTGCTACCTATTTAAGTTTCCTTGGGTTCTTCAGGATGACAATAAAGATGACAATGAACAATTAGATTTAAAGATACTTATTTGATGGAAAAAGACAGGGTCAGGATATTTATCATTGTATAAACTAAGGGAGAAACTTATGAAAATCCTCAAATGATCTCACTGGCCAAAAGCTATGCATTCTATTTTATCACTCAAGCATTTAATTTAATTTTTTCCCTCACGTAGTTCTTATATATATATGTTACAATCTTTAGCATCAGACAAAATAAGTGAAGCAGAAGCAGTAGCAGCTATGTACAGAAACACCACTCCAACACTCCTTGATGTCACACAATCAGAGGAAAAGTTAAACAAATTGATCCAGCAACATGATGTTGTGATCAGGTGAGGATATGGCTATGTTGAATTTTCCGTTGAATGAGGGGAATTCCTTTGTTAGCATCTCACAGGCATTTGCCAGGTCACCATTCATCACTTTTTTTTTCACAAAGCAGAGAATTACTGGCACCCAAGGACCAACCCTATAAGTTCAATAAATTAATTTAGCTCTCTTAATAAATATCCATTCATTCCCAGACCCCAGCAGGTATTGACCTGTAAAGGGGAATGTGACAGTAGTAATTAACCTTTACATGTCCAGTTTTGATAGAACTTGGCATCTCCTAACTATCCTTTCACACTGAATTTATTACTTTTTATTCAGATTTCACTTTCTTCATTTCTTTTTTCATTATAGAGTGCTTGAAATATTTTGACATGTACTTTAATTAATATGTGACTTTATCTTTAATATTTAATTGACTGTATTGTATCCTTTTAATTTCAGTTTGCTTCCCTACTCTCTACATCATGTTGTAGCCAAGAGTTGCATCACACACAAAACGAATCTATTAACTGCCAGCTATGTACTGCCACCAATTGCAGAGCTACATCAAAGGTATTAGAGATATCTGTAAACAAAATTTTATCAATTACTATAGGATCATAATATCTTTATAATTAGAAAGAACTTGCTCGCAGTTTGTTTAATTATTTTATATTTCATAACATCAGTCGGTGGATAAGAACTTTTTCTTTAAGATTGTTGGCTAAGGCTCGTGTTGCTCAAGCCTGCTTACTCTTACAGCATGTCTGCCAATTCATTTGGATCTAATGACATGGAAACATTTTTTTTTTCGCGTTGAGAATTGCCTTATAAATGTATTACCAGATATCAAGTAGCGGTATTCACAAGCGGTGATCTGAGCATGCTCTTTCACACTCGTCTTCATAATTTATTCTCTTTTGTTGGCCTTTTTCAGCGCAGTAGATGCTGGTATAGCTATCGTGAACGAGTTGGGTCTGGACCCTGGTATCGATCACTTGTTAGCTATGGAATGCTTTGATGATTCTAAAGCTGAGGGAGCTGTGGTCAGTAATAAACCAAGCTAAAAATATCAATCCCATTACTTATCACTAGATTAGTTCTTTGATGTACACGTGTAAGAATCTTGACGAGTTCTGGAGATTGATGAATATCGCATGCTTGCCTTCTTGCCATTATGAAGGTAAAACGAGAGAAGCAGAGAAGCGAAAGGAGAATTGCTCCTCCCCAAGGTGGGATGCTAATCCATTGTGGGTTACCCCCTTCCCCCTTCGAGCATTTGTCAGGCTTCCTTGGTTGTCCGCTGTCATTCATTTGTACTCCTGTCTTCCCAAGAACGTAAAACAACGACCTAACCGACCTCACCCGACTTCTTGACTAGAATTTTAGTGTGTTGACCATTTGGCTATCGCATGTTCAACTATGGCAAGGTGTCGCCAATATTCTTTTCTGTAAGCAGAGCAAAAACATATTTAGTACGACGATTTCACGAACAACCCTTTGTCTTGTCCTATATACAGATCAAGTATTACCGCTCATTCTGTGGTGGCCTTCCAGCACCAGAACATGCTGACAATCCACTTAGATACAAGTTCAGGTAAATTATTACATTGTCTATCCAGAAATGCTTGATTAAGTTTTCACTTTTGCGATACATACTTTAGAATCAGCCTTTACAACCAGGATTTGCACCCCTTGACCTTCCAATAAACGGTCGGAGCTATAAATAATTCTTCCGAGATATTGAGGTCCGTATGTGTCCTGCGTCATTCATACAACATATGCCCGTACTGTCGTGTGTCTTGAAAGAGTAAGGAAGGTACCGTCAGATTCTTAGTTCGGCCGTCGAGTAAAGAACGGTGTAAAATTCATTTTTCCTGACAGTCGCATACAGTGCGTTTGTTGTTCGTAGAAATTATCCTCCACCATTGGGAGAAAAAGTTTTGTTTACGCGAGGTTTTACTCGACAAACGTTCTACCACAATGTGTGCAATTTGATGAGCCACGCTACTCGCTACTTTTTCCCTGATGGGTGGTGCGAAAAGTGACTAGGCTAACATTGTGCAATAGCTACCAAAATACGATAATAACATTAGCTTATCTTTTTATTAAGTTTTAAACGACTGCGTGACAGCTGATTCGGGCTCTGCCCTCATCAGCTATCACTTAATAGAAATCTTGAGCTCACAATCTAACTGTTAACATTGCTTCTGATAGAACACAACTCATTTTGCGTCGTGAAAAAGTTCCTTGCAACAGATTTGGTCAACGATCTTTAAGAAGACATAAAACTCCTAGTAAAAATGCAGTAGAATGAAGTAGTTTTACAGGTAGTCTTACATTAGTGGTTGCAATTCTTTTAATTTAGTTGGAGTCCACGAGCTGGTCTGCTGAGTGTAATGAATAGTGCTAAATATCTGTGGTATGGAAAGGTAATACTGATTTTAATGTTTTCAATTTAATAAGCTCTTATCCCGATCGGCAAGTTTGTGTCGTTACACCGCATTTAGGCAGGCAAGTTTCCTTGGAAAATGTATTCTAGAAGAGATTTTTTCGTTTGTTTTCCGATCGTTATAAGTTACTCGTTACAACGAACTCAGATTCGGGCAACGGTCGACAGAATCCGAAGGACAATGTAAAAAGTAAGTACCTATGACGACAGTTGTGTCGAAGAGAGCAAAAGTTCATGGAGCACGCGCTGGCTAGTCTGTGATCAGGCCCTCATAATTAGCGCTTCGGGACGAGCGTTTCTTTGCCCGCGGGAAAGTACGACGCCTTGAACAACGTGAGCCGACATTGTTAGTACCAGACCCCCGCAAACCTCTCCCTGACTCGTGTTAAATCTTCCCGTGGTTGGAGAAACGCGCGTCTAGTAGAGCTAACACTAATTAATTATTGAATGAATAAATAATGACAGATTGCATTGCAATAACTTTTTCGAAGTAATGACGATTAAAAGTCGCAGTGCTGGAAGAATTTGTTTTCCTCTTATATACTTTGTTGTTTTATTTGTGTTTAAGTGTGTTGAAGTTCAAGCAGGAGGGGCTCTTATAGAAGAAATAAAACCAACAGACATATTTCCTGGCTACAGACTGGAGTGTTATCCAAACAGAGACTCAACTAAATATGGAAAACTGTATGACATTACCACAGCCAACACAATACTCAGAGGAACACTGCGCTATGAGGTACAGAATAATGCTGGTATAGTATGACGATAGTCTAAGGGCGAACGCTGATTGGTCAACGGGTGTAGACAGATTTTAGCAGAAGTTCGGCATATGTTATTGATATTCGCTGGTTTGATTGTCTCAGTCGTCGTAGGCAGCTGAGATATTTCAAGTAAGCGATATACTGATTTGTCACGAATGATACGAGCCTTCGTTTTGTTAGCTTTGCCCGACAGACGGAGCCCATGCCGGTTGAAACAGCTGTGTATGCCTGCTAACTTGGAGGCTCGCTTTTTCGTCATTTCTATTCTTTTTGAGAGGATTGTGGGAAGGAATAGGAGTTTTGTTGGAGGATTTTTGAAGGCCCAGTTTCACTACCAGTGTCGCCTCGGAGCGCATTGTGTGAGCGTAAATACCACTTTTTAACTTTATCATCATTTTGTCGTCACAACTATACCACACAAGGGTAAAGTAGTGTTATGATGGGTGTGGTATGTTTCGAATATGTTGAAGCCAAATTGCAGAATTTCCATCTAAGTGATAACTAGACAGAGGAGACGCGAGGTTAAACGTTTTTTGTATGGCTTCTGTTCTCAGACAAATGCAAATCGAATTCAACAACACTTCCCTGAGATGATTTCTGCGATCTGTTCTTTTTTCATAGGGATATTCCACCGCTTGTTTAGCTTTATATCAGCTTGGAATGTACAGTACGATAGAGCGGACAGACCTTGCTCTGGCTCATGAACTACCCTGGGTAAGAAATTAGATTTTGTTTGGATATTTTACCCCTAGCTTTCACATGTCAGTGTAATAGTTTGCAATAAATTGAGGTTAATGTTTTGAGGACAAATATTTACCCAAAAGACTGGCCTTAGTGTCTAAGTAGTTAAAAAAAAGACAGACGTCTTGTGGCAATTTCCTCGCCTCGTTTTTATTGTACTTGCTTCGTAACACTTGGAATGTTTATCGACGTATTCACTTTCATAGTCTTAATTTGTTCCAGTCATCTATTAAAAAAGGAGAATCGTATGCTACTGTAGATGATCAGTGGGACAATGACCCTGACCTCGACATTCTGTAAGAGAAGACAGACCCCGACAAAGTGGCACACGTTGTCTTTTAGATACCAGTTGGGCGCCACCTTTGTTGAACTACGAAGCCTCAGGTTGGAAGTGAGGCAAACATAGTAGCCTTAATAGATTCCTTTTTGAAGTGTATATAATAACCAACTCCTTACTATTCGTGTGGTTTGTTACATCTACAGAAACAAGTCCTGGCCAAACTTGTGGGTAAACCAGACGCAAGTGACTCTGAGCTTTATTCTGTTGTCTTCGAAAAAGTTGGCAAGGATCCTGCTCGTATGCAGGCGATCAAAGAGTAAGTGCACATTTTTAGTGTAGTGCTTTTTAAAGACGCCCTTCTGTTTCGTCTGCGGGAGTCTAAGGATAATCTGGTTTTTCGTGGCGTGGAAATTTTCTCTGTTATTTCACATTGCGCTTGGATAGCCAACCTTTCTTTCAATCTTCGTAATAAAAGGCGAAGCAGAGCCACTTAAATTCGCAAATTTGATAGGCAAATGACACCTTCATACAGAGACCACGCAGATAGGCAATAAGTACAAAGTTATTCATTCATTGAGTTAGATTGTCTTCACTAGTTAATTAGTTCATAGGTTAGATAGAAAACATATATATGAAATTCTCCCAAATTGCTTCCCTTTTTTCGTAATTGAGAATATGATGTTATCCTTGCATTATCTTAACATGTCAAACTTGTATTAATCGTTTGATGTTGGTGCTGTTGCTAGTCTTGGTCTTCTGTCTGAGGAACCTATTCTTCAACAAAAGTCACCATTGGACACCCTCTGTTTGTACTTAACAGATAAACTGGCTTATAGTGAGTTTTCCCAGTTTACTATTTTCTCATCCAGTTTATGATTTATGATTCGTTTTGTTACTAAGTGAAATTAAGATTTATATTTAAAAAAGAAAAACGAATTTTTTTACAGAAGAGGGAGAGAGAGACACGGTGTTACTTCAACATGACATAGGTGTGGAACTGCCGGATAAAACACAGGTATGGCAATGACTTCTAGATTTACCACGTCGTCTTTATTTTGGTTCCTTGTAAAAGTAGTTAAAAATAATTGGAGGGAGTGAGACGGCAATCCTGAGAGCAAGATGAGACGCAGGTTCTTCTACGTCTTGTCTGCGTGTGCAGCCAGTCATAGAGCAGAAGTGTTTTTTTTAACTCCAAACTTATTTTGATCATGCGTTTGATTATGACCGATTATCAATGGATCTTCTCATCATCGACAGCAAAACCGTCGAATTGACATGATTTGTTATGGTGATCCGAATGGTCACTCAGCCATGGCGCGAACTGTTGGGCTTCCTGTGGCGATCGCTACAAAGATGGTGTTGGACGGTGAGTGACTTAATTTTCCCAGTGGCAGCAGAGAGCTCTAGGAGTGAATAAAAGAATGAGTAAATATAAACTTATAAAACTGACAATTAACATACAGAAGTGCCATTAGCCACGCGAGTACTTTAAGAGCTACTCAGGTCAGTAAATCAAATATAAGTTATAAAAGCAATAAATATGATCCAAAACCCTCAAATTCTTGGGGGCAAATCAGTTGGATATTTGCAGGCTCGGTAGAGAAGTTGAACTTGGGGCCTGTGAGAACAAATCCAGTTTGAAGCCTTCCCTCCCCTTCTACATACCCATTCACTACCTTCAAATGACCACCCTTTTGCCGTTGGAAGTAAGAGTTGAGGCGTAACTGAACTATCCTACTCTTAACGATTTTACTCTGTACAAAAATGATTCTTAAATCATTTTTCGTAAATTTTCTTAGATTTGCGATATCTTTCTGTGTTTCCTTTCAGGGGACTTAAAAGCCACTGGCGTTGTTCTTCCTCTCAGCCGGGAAATTTACAAACCACTACTTAAACGACTCAAAGCAGAGGGAATTCATAGCGAAATGACCACAACAGTATTGTAAGATGATATATTATCACCAGACATCTTAATTGATTTGTTTATCGGCCTCGGGAAAGCCTGGGTTCTCAAACATTTTTTTTGTCTTGGTTTTGTTACGAGCTTTCAGTTTTTGTTGTAGTATTGCACATAATACAAGGTGTTGGGTCTTCTAACCCTATATGGTGGATCTACGCATTTATTTCAGAATTTTTTTCTTCGTAAGATAAACAAATACTCGACAAACTTCGGACGGAAATTTTCGCCTGAGGAGATTCTATTTCAAGGAGAGTAAATTCTTTGGGACTGAATTTTTGCTGAAAATGCTGGATATTTATGTCACGAGGTCTAATAGTACACTGTGTATGGCAAACTTAAATTGTGCAATATACATATCATTAGAGTGGAGACTTAAATTGCTCGGCGAAGGAAAGTTACTTGAAGCCAATCATTTTTCTGAAAGTAAATGGGGAAAATGGTTTATGTTATTTACAAGCATTTCTTTTTTTGAAAATGCCATTCTGAGGAATTTTTGTTTATTTTAAGGACGTTAAATTATTCATTACCCATATTTATTCTGTTGAAGTGCAATTGCATCTTATATATTTCTGGTGTATTTTATTTACTGATACTTTCTGGCGTGTAGTTTTTAAACCTTTTTGAGCATAAAATGTTGACAAAGGACTTGTAAATGTATTTTCTAAACCTAAGAGAAGTAGTTAGATAAAAACTTAACACATGTTGAACTGATTGAGTTACTCTAAAGTTGTGAAAACTTTTCTACGACAAAAACAATACAATTTGATGCAGAAGAGAAGAATATTAGTGCAGTGTTTAAAATTCCTACTTTTATTACATGAACATTTAAAAATTTACATTTTAGATGTATTCTGAAACACACGTCTTAAAAGTAATATAAGTGCTGTACTCATCTAACTGAAATATTTGTATTGTGTTGCCTCTGAACGCCCACGTGTGCAGGACACAATGAATTTGGTGTAATCAAAATAAAATAAAATTTGATAACTATGTGTATATTTAGTAACGAAAGGAAAACACATTAATTAGAGAGGCTGTAGCTCATAAATCACTCTACTCCTAGGAAAACCCCTTGGAAATTCTAAGAGAGGTCACATTCCCGGAATATCTCTTTTACAGGTCTCATTCTCTGAGGAGGTTCGCAAGGGGATATCCCATATATGTTTCATGCCTTACGGAATTCCTCTAAAATTTTGTTTAAATCCCTTTACTGCTCAGAGATCCTAGGATCAGGCGTGAGTTTTTGCTCCCGTGCGAAGGTTTTTGTGAGCTCTCTGTTATCGAAGCGTCTCGATGGGTTTAACCGTCAGCCGTCGAACGTCCTAAACTTCAACCGTCAGCCGTCTTAAAAGACGTTTTTTGACTGTCAACTGTCAGAAAGAAGCTTAGTGTTCACCCTCAAACGGTTTCGAGATCTCTCAGAGGTAATTATTTTAGCTGCTCACGAACACCTCTGATCGTGAACGAACTTCAGACTGGTAAGCCAGTCACCAGTTTTCTGATTGCACAGATCAAGGAGGGCATTGCTGTTTAGTAACTTGGTAGTAAACTGACATAATGATAAATGCGACCTCAAATGTGGTGGAGTTGTTGATTGGTAAAGTTGTAGACAACTGGCTTTATACAAAACACGTGCAAAAGTTTCGATTGTAGCGGAGCGCATTGACGGAGGAAGGCGGACAGAAAAGGGAGAAGAGAAAACGAAAAAGAAAAAGAAGCTGGAAGGAGTGACATTAAGATTTTGCTCCTGATGACATTTGCTCCGACCGTATTGGAACGAGACATTTCCATGTACAGACCTCAGTGAGGCCAGCGGTGTCGGAAGACCTTTTATGAGACAATCTAGAGACCAGCCGTGTAAAGAACCCTCGCCAGGTTTTGTTTGATGAAGAAAAGTCACTCAAAGGAAAGCCGTTTATTATTATTGAACACGATTGGCTAGTCGGGCAGTGTCGACCTGTCAATGACCTGTCAGTCAAGTGGAGTCTTTGGTCAGTCTCACTAAGATGTGACTTACACCCGTTGACTTGGGTTTGACCTGACTAGGTTTCCATTTATTTAGCAAAGGATATTTTTCGAAAATGAGCATCATCTAAATAAGTTAGACAATTGGAGATAGTCGTAGGTTGGTGTATGTCAGAAAAATTGAACATATTTGCTTTTCATTGGCTCGTGTCTCTCTACTTGTCTTGATTTGTTTCAAGTCTTTTCTCAGGAAAAGCTGAGTTTTGGTGCTTTCAATAATAATTTTGACCGTAAAAGGTTAAAAATAGATTGTTTAGGATTCTTGAAATATCGTTGTCCAGATTTCTTTATTTTGAGTGAGCATTATAACAGAATAAAAGAAAATAAATTGGTATGTAATCGTTTTATTCCACGTTATGTTTACCCCTTTTCGTAAACTGCGGTTAACCTGTTGTTTATAAGGTTAAAGCCTCTCTTCGTAATCCTATCATTAACGTCTGCCTCCACATTGATATACTGTAGGAAATATTGACACAAGCGAGTGAAATACAGGCACCTCTAGCATTACATTTTTGCAACTCCTATTTACCAATTGTGCGTTAATTACGTTTCTTCATTAGCAATTGCTCCGCGATACAAGCCTAAAACATTCTGCCACATGTATGGAGATAAGGAGATCCAAACCGTGGAATCGCTTATCGTTGCTGTGTCCCAGATACATTAAGGTCTGCCTCTCTGATTGACCACAATCGTTTGCATCCACATTTCATTCTTGAAGATTTTAAAAAAGAAAAAAAACCACACACACACAGTCACACTGAACAAATTAGTTAACATTTCTTAGTTTTTGTTTGCTGAGAAGAGCTCTAGGGCGTATCAGCTATGGCATGTGTCAACGCTTTTGTCTCATTTGTGAGTAAAACGGTTTGAGTCCTGATGAAAACGAAAAATAATATTAGTTGCTAGATTATCATAATACATCACTTTGCACCGTGTTCACCCGCACACTTCAGATCCATTTTATGAAAAGTGACCTCGGGAAAACTGATTTAAAACAGCGTTTGCTTTTGATAACCAGTCATGACATACAAGTTTGTAACCTATCCATGCTGAGTTAAATCTGTTTTGCTGCTTCCACTAAACACCTCTGGATCTTGCTGTCTGTTTTTTTTTGTTCTCTGCTCTAGAGTCTGCTTTTCCTTGAGGTATCGTGTGATTTCACTTCAACCAAGGTATAGTGCTTATACGCAAATAAAAAGCATCAAACATGCTTTAGCTTAAGGATCTTGCGGAGCCTTAGTTCAAGGATTTGTAAGATAACGTAGTAAGTTAAAGTTGCCAACTAGACAAACCTTTTCAATGTTTTTGAGTATTTCCTTTTTTCTCTTTTTGAATAATGATAATATTTCCTCTGCTTGTATCAAATGAGTCGAATGATGACGAGCTCTAAATCAATTTGTATGAGCCGGTAACCATCAAGATTTTGGCTCTGTATACACACAGCCTCTGCAGGGTCAGGAAAAGCTGCTGTCAATGGAGCAGTCACCAAAAGCTGCGCCCTCACAGCTGCATGTCCCATCAGAATCAAAGTTAATAAAGCACTTTTCAAAAATTTGCTTTGAGGACTATCAAAACGGAAGAAAATGAAGCTACGAATACAATTTACTTTTCAAAAGAGTTTAACTTTCTGAACATGCTGAGAGGTTAATTTTTGAGCCAAAACCTATAAAATTCACACTTTTGCTGACTAGTAAACTTAAGCAGACACAATATAATTTCCCATACTTCAAAATGCAAGTGTCGGTGGTCAGTTTGATTGAAAAGGTCATACAACAGAAACAGCTGCAAGTGACCAATCATTATCAAGTCTTGCGACTGTGCGATTTTCATCCCCAAACCACAAATCTCATCTTGTGAAGAAATTATTTCGTTTTCTGGGCTAGAGGCGTTATTTTAGCAAAATTTCACTGCAGGGTTTCCACGTGGTATTATTAAGAATCCTGCCGATCTGTTTGCAAACACGGCGGAAGGCTGCATAGCACTTATTTAGTGTTCTCAGTTGGGGTTAAATTAGCTAGAGCCCATATGGGTAAATTCGTTTGGTCTTCAATTAGTTTTTAACTAAATTACCTTCAAGAGGCGCTGAGCTCTTGGTTTCACTGTAATTTAGATGCACTTTGCTCCTTGAGGCTCAAACTTCCGTTCTATCATACTGACTATTCCTTTTTTTGCGAACTACTTAACCCTGTTTTTAACAATGCATACAAAAGAACACAAAGGTGAAGACAAAAGCTGGGTCGTGGGAACTAAATATAACTTCTTTTGTGGCGTCTAGGAGCCTTTAGAACAATGTGAAACTGGTTCAAATGATTGTAGATTAAGTTACGCAATAATGTGTGCTAAATTTTAATAGCTCATACCTGAGTTAACCTATCAGATTTTCCATTATTCTTTGGAATAGTATTTGATCACGTAAATTTAACCTTCCACTTTTTTCATTGTTGATAATATGACCCCAGTTTTCACTTTGTCATTCATATCCTTTCTTGTTTATACCGTTTATTTTCCTGATTTTACTTGTTGAGTAATTCTTCTGAAGAACTTATCTGCTTGATGCTATTTTCACTGAAAAAAAAAACTGACTCATAGGAAAATATTTGTGACGCTCTGTTAAACAGCGTTAAGGACAAAGGCATAGTAAACGTTGTCAAATTAATTAAACTTCTGCAGCTGTGTTCAATGAATAACAAACCAAAGGCACATGTTGGTAACCTTAATGTACGACTGACCCAAGCCGCCATATATTCATGTATAATTATAAACTGGACATAAACAAAAAGAAGCCTTTACTAGTCATTGCGAAATTTTTCCCTTTTTTTCATTTGAAAACAAGGGTGATGCAATAACACAGGTAGACACAGATTACTTAACTTGGTTTATTTAAAAAAGAGTTAAAGGAAATTGGGAACTTGTGAGTGATTTGAAATTAAGTTGTGTTCAAAATGTGCTGATTGGTGAAAAAGGATGTCCTACGGGGTTTTATTAACAATACATTACATTAGGTAGTTATTAAAGGTAGTATAAATCGACTTGAAATATGAAAACCGTCTCTCTTTAGTTTTAGTAGCGCAATTGCGCAACATTTCGGACGCTAAAGCAAAACTCTTCTACTTCTCATTCTACATCAGCAAGTCATTTTTGAATTACTTAAATCTTGTTTACTTCAAGTAATATATCACTTGACATTCCTTGTATTGGAAAATAAAATAAACATTGCACTTTGCGGTAGAAATTTAATATCTTCAGACAAGAAAATTGGGGAAGTGAAATCAACTCTGAAAGCGCCAGTTTTTTAACTGATCACTTCAGCTGATAGTTCAGCAGGAAGCAATGATTGATTGGCTATTTGGCTCATTGTTTCCATTTCAATTTCTGTGCTGGTTCTTTAATGGCGATTGCTGAAAGACTTAAAGGGTCAGAATGGTCCTATTTTGAATTATGTCTAGTGGAATGAAAACGAAGCCTTAAATCTGTGGGATGATCGCTTATTACGACTTTGTGACTATGATGTAAAGGGAAACATTGACCGTGGGAAAAGTTACTGTTTGACCAACAAAATTAGGGTTTTTACGCTTCACCGGGATCAGACGCAAAACAATCGAAACATCTTGATAAGAAAGATAAGAATGAAAAAGAAAATCTCTTGATGAAGTCTTTACGGAGTTGTAATGCACGCACGTTTAGTGATCGCGCTTATTTATCCATTACATTACATGTAGACTGGTTACAAACAACTTAAACGAGCGCTTTTGAAGGCATTGTTTATTCACCGGATATGCGTAACACTTATTTATAATACATCTTGCTCGTAAATTATTTCAAAACGGTACAATGAGAAGATGGGAGGTCTTTTAGTGATATGATAAACATGTAAACGCTGTATCGGCAATATCTGGCATGATCTTAATTGTTTACTCAGCTTTTCGCTGCACCAAGTACTTCTATATAAATAATTTAATACCTTTGCACAAAAAGTTGACGATTTCAGTTGGTCAGTTGGTACGTGGTAAACAAGAAGAATCATTTTTCACTTAAAAGTAAAATTGCAGGTGTAAAGAATCTTGACTGTGCATATTAACAGTAATAGCGTTTTGTGCAAATTGGTTTTTTGATTTTCAATTAATTTTTCGAAATGCTTATAGGAATTCTTATTTCTTCTTAGTTTTTTCTAGTATGTAATTTTAATCAGTTTGCAGATCTCATTTCGCGCGCAATTTTGTCATTTTTCCAAAGCGTTTGCATGAAAGGAAGCTTTGCCTAAGGCTACCAAGTCAATTAGGATCGCTATCTCTTTATCATCATCACTGAGATCTTCTATCTGTTGAAAAGATGAAACAATTATTAATCTCTAGATAACACATTACCCTTATCATCTACATAACACGCTTTCTTCGCGGAGCGCGTTTAAAAATTGACCTTGATTTATCATTTGTGCTCCGCGCTAGACGCACACAGACAGACTTGGGAAAAATCACGAAAAGCAAGCTCTTAGGTCGTGAGCATCGATCCGGTTGATCAGACCTGCGCGCAAATTAACTGCTCTAGACACTTAATATATTTACTTTTCTTTTGTTTTCGTCCAACCTGCTTAATTAAACAAAACAGCGTTTGTTTTCCTTACTCAGGAACACGTGTAATTACAGGATACCTAACGATTTCAAGGTATAGTGTCTTTGAAAAGTTTGTCGCACTTCTTTCAAAGTCGAAAATAATGCTTCACATTCTGTAACTCCAAGGCCATTTAAATCTGTCGTTGATATCCTATTAACAGTCTATTGGATAATATAAACAATAATATCACTTTCGAATTTAGTCTAAACTCCCTCAATTAATCTTCTTAGTGAGAAAGAGTCATTTTTATTGCTGGTCGTTTTACATAATAATATGTCTGCGGAAACAATAGATTGCCTCCAGTGTTTATTTTCATTTATTGAACCTCAAGCAATAGCTCTTAAGAAAAGGCGCATTGTTTTGTTCTGGTTTTCCATCGGTGCCGTCATTGTGTTGTGAGGCCGAGTGTTAAGTAATTATTAAAAACGGCAGTGTCAACATTACCATTCATATTGTAAACATGTAAACATTGCTGGGCTAGATCAAATCGACTGCAGTATTGATTTAAGATGTTATGGTCAGCCAACTTGTTTATAAACATGAAACATTGAAAGCCACGTTGAAATCGTGGCTGGAGGCGTTTTTTCCTCTGTGTTCTCGCCGCCCCATATCGATCACATCTAACAGACACTTGAAAGGCCACCTTTGACACTTGTAAAACACGATAATGGCTAGCCATACTAGATAATCGGAGCGCTTCAATCAAACTCAAGTGCTCCCCATTTTTGGTAAAGTGTTTATTTTTTATACAAATCATCACCAAGAGAACTAAACTGTTATAAAGCTAAACACATTGATCACTACATCGACATTTTGCGGAAGAAAAAAGGCGCAGTGAACGTTGTGATTTATAAACTTCTTATGGTTATTGAATGAGTCCGATGAAAAGTAAAACCCAGCACAAGTGGGTGATAACATGTTTATACAGATGACTGACACAAAATACTATGTACATAATGGGACGGCAAAAGATCTTAGTTTTGCGTTAAGGTTCTTTTCGATTTCTTAATGCTGATATAAAAGCGTTCTTCATTCTATCACTTGTTACTTAAATTGCTCATACCAAAGACGTTATTAAGAAAATTTTTAAGCCCTATGAAATTGCTCTACTCAAATGGACCATTAAAAAAAAACCCATTTGTTCTAGAAAGTGATGCTTTGTTCTGGAGTTGATGCTGACCTGGCTTCTTTTCTTCCAAATTTCGATAAATCTCTTTAACAGTACGTCCGAAAAACCTCTTAATCAAGAAAAATTATGTGATTGTGAGCGGAATTACGTTTGCCAGTTCAACATTCTTGTGATAAATGTAGCGAAACTTGTGTCTTTGCATAATCTGTGAAATATTTACAGTCGCGTAAGCAAGTCTGATTTTCTACCAGAAAGCTACTCTATAGTCTAGTACTTGAACTCCAACAGTACTTAAAATGTATTCTAAATGTTTGCTAACTTTGTGGAAATCAATAAACTGAATGTTCGAAGAACTTAGTTCTTTAGTCACAGAATTTCACTAAGCGTAATTAATGCCTATTCCATTCTCTGACTGCGAAACAGGAGACATATACAAGTAAGGGTGAAACGAGGATGATTGGAAATGCGGGTTGTAGTTTCTGAATGCCGGGTTATCCTGCCAACTGAAGAGTCCATAAGGCGGGGGAGGTGTCGAAAAACCATGGTACTGATTCATTGGAAAGTGCGCGGTTTCTGCCGCCTCACGCGAGTAGTAGTCATACCTTGACGTTGGCAGCAATGGGCTTCTGTTTGGGGTGACTCCAAACGGGTGCGGGAACGGTTCTTTAGGAGGGTGCGGCTTGGTGAGCTCCAGACTATGAGAAGGCTTGTGATGATAAGGAAATAAGGTAGCAGAAAGAGGTAATCCAAGCATACTGCGATCTGTTCCACATCCCAAGGCATGACTGCATCTTGGTCTTCGAGGCTTTCTTGGTCGCCGAAAATTTCCTTTGGAAAACTCTGGTAGATCTTTCGGGTGGATCATCCAGTAATGCCCCTTTCCGTTTTCGGCTCTGCTCGCCTTCACAAAGCAGTCGTTACTGGACAGATTATGTCTCACGCTATTTCTCCAGCCTGGTCCTTTCTCTTTGTCGAAGTGTGGAAAGGTTTTGGCGATGAAATTGTAGATTGAGCTTAGGGTCATACGCTTAGAAGGGACACTTAAGATTCCTTGAGCTATGACGGCCACAAACGTCTCAGTCAGATTTCGGCAATCTTTTGTCTCTGGTTCTTCGTTCTCATCTTCGTCTATGCTGTTTCTCATGGATTTGTCACTGTCTTTAGCCTTTTCTTGCAAATGATCAAGTTTATGGTCTTTGGACATGGTTTTGTTTAGCACTTTTGTCTGCGCTTCAAATTGTGACCGCGGCATTTGACCGAATTCTCTTTCTCCTTCGTTGAGGGTAAATCTAAACGCACTGGTATCAAAACCGTTACCTCCTTGCCTGTTTGTGTGGACGGTGAACATTCTAAAACTTTGAGAAGCTTTTAACGAACGCCTCGTGAAACTCAAAGGCTCATCGAGAGTGCAACTCGTGTGACTGTTGTCAACAAATAGTGAGCTATCTATATGCCGATGGCTATGTAGTTTGACCTTCTTTCTTATTAGGTTGTGCCGCATTGATAGTCTTAGCAGGGGGTTCGGAAACACCAAGCGGACAGATGCGTCGCTAATTTGTGTATGAAATAGCCGCCTTAAATATAGCTTTCTACCTCGCGGCGATAAAACTAGTCGATTAGTTTTCTCTCTAATTTTTTGAAACCTAAGCGCTGTGTTTTGTGCCACATCACTGGGTTGTGCTCCTGAGGAAGTTAATTGGCAGCCCGCTGATCCGTGCTAATTCAAGCTTTGATTTAAACAAGCGAGGAGTTATAAGAACTGTTTATGATGCACCGGCAGCTGGGTTCTACGTCACCAGCGTTTAACCACGCATGATCGATCAGTCAATTCCGCTCGCCAAGAAAAGGCGTAGTTAAGAAAAGGAAATTAGGATAGATAAGAATGTTTATGATTTGATCAATCATGTAAATACCTGAAAACAGTTTATGTCATTTCGTATTAACCAGATAGGAATTACACATCCGGGATTATGGCCGAATGTGTGGGTGGGCGGCTGGAGTGGGGCTAGTTCCAGTTTACCGCAATTGTTTTGGGGCTTTTGCCAATTTTTTTTCAACGTTCATTATTCCTGCCCTTATTTTGTTATCTCCTCTAAATGTGCTGAAGGCATAATTAAAACGGACAGATTTTGATGATTGAGTAATTTCTCAATCTCATTTTCGATGGAGATGGCTTTTTTTTATCATACGCCTACGTTTTATTTCAAATTTTTAATTCTGTGTAACCTGTATTTAGTCAGTTCTCCTGTGAGAAGCGAGGGTGGACTGTATTCTCCTGAGCTGCCTGGGGCATTCTGCCTTGCCACTGTTAGGAGATTTTTCAAGTGAATCATTGTTTTACTGATTTCTGTCTCGTTCATGTCTTAATGCATCCAAAAGACGAGACTAATCCTTAATAGTGCGAGGCATACAGAGTTAATTTCTCTTCTCTGTGATTATGTCTCAACTACAGTGTTTAAGCACTTAACGTAATAATAATTACTGTTAATGGTTTTTAAATTCACTTGCCATGATATACTTCATTTGGCATCCTATAAATAACTTGTTGAAAAGTTCCCACGAGAATTTCAACTACGCCGTGAAGTATATCAACTTGTAAACAAACTCTGCGTCATTTAGCAATTACTAATTGAGGTGTTTAAGCAAGTGAAAATTGTACTGAACAACTCTGACCTTGGAATACCGACAGTTAACCTTGAAATAGTCCCTTGGAAAATTTACAAGCAATTATTTTAATAGTTCTCCCAATAATGCTAAAAGTCTCGAAATTAAATCGAGTTTTTCGCGGAAATGAATGAAGTATGACGTGTCTTTGAAATTATCTCAATTGCGAATAATCAAAACAAATTATGCAAAGATAGAACCTCAAAGTAATGATATAACCTAAGTTTCCTGACTTGACAAACGACTTAAATGGGGGGATAAAATGAAACATGACATAAAGCTTCGTGTGCAGGATCAAAAATTTTGATAATGCAAGGAAAAGCCGAGTAATTGTTTGATGGTTGCCAAGTTAAACGACAATAACAAACTCCTGTGAAAGTAAACATTATGATTGGTCAATCATTCATCCATATCCCTCGTTTGGTATTTAATTTTTTATCGTTGAACTTGAATGTTTCGGGCCACACTCTTTGGTTGGGAAGGACTGGGGTACTTGACGTGAACCTCTTTTAACGAATTCCGTGATAACGACCGCAATTTCCCGGTGTTAGTGAGGCAATGTATGCGAAAGGATATATTCTTGTGTACTATTTTTAGCTAATGATTTTAGACTAGTTAGATAAATACCAACCAGAAGGAGAGGGCAAGTCGGTGTGAAAACCAGGGATGTTATTCTCTCCTCAATCACTGGTATTTTTCAGGGGTTTACAGTTTTTACTTTTTTGTTTTTTTTTGGTTTTTTGTTTTTCCTTTTTTTACATTCTTTTTGCCGAAGAAGCTCATTCACATGAATAAAAAAAATTCAAGTCTGTCCTGAAGCCAAGTGATCCACTCAGCTGGAGCTCATGAATAGCAAGAAGTGACAAGGAATATCACAACCCCGCCAGATGGGATGCCAATCTATCGCAAGCTTCTCGTTTTATCAGAGTTCCCTGACAATTCGCTTTTCTCGGTGACAATTTACGTTCCTGGGTGGAGAGGGGTACCGTGAAAGTTAAGTCTTTTTCTCAAGAATACAACAGATCAACCCGGTCAGGTCTCGGACCCGTACCCAGTCTCTACCCAGAGTCCAGTGCACCGACCATTTAGCTGCCGCGTCTTCCACACCATGTAAGGTAAATAAATGAAAACCTTTTTTATTATACTGCAGCAATCTTACTTCACTCTCTCCCTCTGACCAACTGCCTAATATGGAACAGTATATGGAGGCAGCTAGTTAAGTAAACCTTTAACAAGTTCGTCACAGTTGGCTTCAAGGTGATGCAAACCAGGCTCGTATATATATAAATAAAAGGACTTACAGGTGTAAAACCTTTTGTCAAAGGAAGAGGTTTTTTGATCATTGCTCAACCTCTCTCTGCTTAATTATGCGTAAGAAGCTGAAGCTAGGAGATAATTAGATTGAAAAGAAGTTAACCAATTTCATAAAAAAGGTCATAGAGTGAATAGAAAAGTCACTAGGTTATCTTTTTGTTGGACTTTGAAACAAAAGTTCCGATATTGCCAAAAGAAGCTATCTCTATCCCAGTTCCTCTTTCTTTTTTCTCAAAAAGTTTCCTAGTATATTTATCTCAAAACTTCGTCCAAGAACAGCTTCCCTTTAGTTTGTCGTCATCATAACAATGCCTTATGTCGTAACTTGTATTAGACACATCAGGCTCTAAGGAAGTTTGCCAGCATCAATAAAATTTATTTCAAACGGTTTTATTGAAAAGCTCTTTACGATATTGCAATTACATGTCATTCTGCTGTCTAAAGAGCGATGTCACAGTTTCTTTTTTCCTTTGAATTTCAAAGGAAACATATGGCTGCTCTAGACACATCTCTGCTTTATGAGAGCTGTTGAGTGTAGCCTTTTATTGCCCGGAAATCATTTGTCAAAGGTAAAATCATAATTACTGATATAAAATAACACAGTATCTTCTCATTATCAAATAATTATTCAATTTTTTCGATGTAACATTCAGGGAAATGTTCGAGGTTTGACGTTACTTTTTAAGAATCTCAACTGTTTCTACGGAACTATTGCTGATCACCTTTTTTACTCTTTGTTTTGTACCGTCTGTTTGAGTCAAACTGCGTATCCCATGCATTTGCAAAACACGCTTGAACAATTTCACACAAATGTTGAAGTTTAAAGTTCCTTGATTGTTACGATCACTTTTCTATCTGAGTCATTGTATGATTTCGCTAGCAGTTATGCAGTATTCGAATCTGGAACGATACAGAACTACAAAAAAGTCTTCAAGTGCAACAGGTGGATAACAAACAAGTCAAGGCGGTGAAGAGGATTTCAAGGTATGTTCTGTGTTTTTACAACAGCATAAATTATAACAGAGACTAGTCAAGTTCCTTTCAAAAGGCTCTCTTTTTAACAGTGACAATTTACGATCTACGATCTAAATTCGGTTAACATTTTCCTTACCAATATCGTTACTTATGCAGCTTAGTTCATTAGGCGGTATTTGAAATATGTCAAAGAGCCTTTCATTGTGGTTTTGAAACGGCCTTCAACCATTGCGATAACTGCTAATATTTATGATGTAAGCTCCAGCCATTACGGTTAAAAAATGTCGCAATCTTCTAGGCCAAAATTTGTTTTTACCGCGAAGCAGATACATAACACAATTTTGATACGATTACATGAGAGTTTTGTTTCTTGAATATCCGTTTGCGGGTTTTCATATCGGTTCCGGTGACCGGCAGAAATCCCTGAAAACTTCCGTTGCCGATGGTTTTATGGTTTCAATTTCCGATAAATAACGTTACTGACACTGATGCTAAAGATAATTCCTGTTTTAAAAAGAGGCTCCGTTAAATGACCTGAAGTGTGGCAAGTTAATGAGCAAACTGTCGTGAGTATAAATGCCGCTCACCGGTTGATTCACGTCGAAGGCAGTTGCCTAGAAAGCCATTATTCTATTAGCAAGGCAAACAACTCCCTTCGATCTACTTAAGTTCTACAGAAAATTTTTATTGTCACTTAAGAAAAAGGAGTACACAAACATGTACTTCCTTAGGCTTTTTACCGCACCTTTTATCTTTTCCGTTAATGTAACAGTTGCTACAAATACGGTGAAAAGATGTTCACCATTTTCGTGTTGGATTCAGTGATTTCAAGCCTAGTTCAGTTTTCCAAAGTTTCCATTCTTATTTAGTATGTTGTTATTAGCCTCAGAAAAGCAATAATTAATAAAGAACTCTGGCCATAACCACTGTAAGTAAAACATACCGTCCAAGCCAAAACAAAACTCCTTCTTCTTTTGTGGTTTATACCGTGCGGTTCTTCTCCTTTTGTGTTTTAGTTTCATTTGTTTTTAAGACTCGCGCAAGCCTCTTTAAAGTTGCGTTTTGTCTCTTGTTTCAGTAAGAATGGAAAGCTTTGACCTCCAACTGCGAGAATATCACTGCCAAATTACCGCGTGTTTGAAAACGGCACCTGCTTCGGCATCTCGTCTCTACAAAGTGTAAAAGAAACCAAGTCGTGCTAGGTTTGTCATTTCATTAGTTCGTTAGTATCTAAGGACGCTATACTAACAGTAAATCAAGGGTCAAAACAAGCTTGTTTGCTCGGCTTTTATTAGCTTTTCGCTTCCAAAATAACGCTCACGCGAGAAAACAAGAGAGCAAAAACTCGCACTGTCCAAAAATTGCTTTGGCCTGCAAAAGCACAAAGCAACTTCCCGCTCATGCCAAGAAGTTTAATTTACGACTGTTTAAGCCAAAATGAGAAGTGATTTAGATCAAGTACTGCGTTTTGCCTTTTAACTTAGTTAACGATTTCGTTTAAGCATAAACGACGCGGCCATCATGTCTGATCTCCTAAATATTATAGGCAAACACATGGTTGCTTTGTGAAACATCTAATTCACACATTTGTGTTCTCATGCTGGTGTCTTGACGAAACTTCCCGCTTATCAAGAAAATGTTATACACCAAAAAAAAAATAATAATCGGCTGGGATCTGAACATAGACTCCTTGAAAATTCAGTGAATATTCTAGAATATCCAGCCGTTTGAAACAAAATGACTGAGTTGTAAAATAAAGCTTTACCAAGTCTTCTTTTGTATGGAAACAATGCATCAACATACGTGTTTTTGTCAAAAAAAATAATCCTTTTTCAGATTGACTTTTGCATCCCTGGCCCTTTTTGATGATTTCCGTCTTTATATTTTTCGGCAACAGTTTTTGGTTGACATACATATTTAACACTGAAAAAGAAAGCTTGTAATTTATCTTTGACACCTAAGCTATTGATACTCCTGACATGCTTTAACGAAGACACATTTGGCACAGCGCGACCCTGCATAAAAAAGCATGTTTGTATTTTAAAATTTCCTCAACTTCAAAACACCATCGTATTTTTCTTTATTTTTTAAATTCTTTTTAAATCTCTTTCTTTGAATATGCGATTTTTTTTTTCATCAGACGCATAAATCAATAGAACAGGTACTGGTTAAACTTTCCATGTTTTCCTTTTTTCACAAAACACATGATCGCAAGCATAGATTCTATTGCTTGTAACTTTAAGCGTATTCTATTCTTTGATAAAGCTTCTTTTTCACAATTGTCGACACACATGTTGAGGGTATCGTGGGAGGCAAATAAAAAACTAAACCTCTTTAATTTTTAAACTTGGTACATCAGTTTTTCTTCGTCTTAAAGAGAAAGAGAAAAGAACCTTAAATCACCTTGTAAAATTAACATGTATTTTATTCTTCTTGCGGTTTCTTTCAAAAACAAAAAGAATTCTTTAGACCAATTGTTCGATGCTAAATAGGCTCATCTTTGCGGGTATTTGTTATTTTAACGCTTATTTCTTTTCAATGGCAAAGTCTTCAAGGCAACGCGGAGATATGTTTCACATCTAATTACTAACAAGTCACTGAAAATTGTTTTCCTTGCAGTAAAAAGAACCAATATTTCACTTAAAATCGTGAAATACTCGATTTGTCTAATACAGCTTCATTCTGCTCGAGAGTTTACAATATTTCTGTTTTCCCGAAAATATTTCTCGGCAAGAAAGTCAATTAGGCTTTTGACTTTTGTGGGCATATCTTTGTTTTGAATCAGTGTGCAATTAGAGACAAGAATAGCCTTCAAAATTTAGTTTTTGGATTACAGTGGCGCGCTTCTGCAAATCACTTTTAATTCTTTTTTTGTCGATTTATCTTCGACGCTTAAAATATCCATCACTCTCCCGAATTCAGACTTAAAAGATGGAACCAGAGTAGTTTGTGAATACAAAATATTAACATTTATAGGGAATTCCTTAAAAAAAAAGATGGTTTATTGTGCTAACTTTGATACAAGAATCTACCGCGACATTTGTCCTAAAGAAAAGGAATAACCCGATTTTTTTTATTGAACAATTACGATTTAATTACTAACGTTGACAAGCTTAAGGTTGCTAACCTACTATAGAACGTTCAGGGGAAACTCTGGCAAACTATAGACGCTTTATGTTGCTTGGTAAAGAAAACAATAGAGGCTGTGAGTAAACTAAACTCCCCTATCGCTCTAAATATAACGAACGAAATCAAGGCGTGGACGATAACGGTAAAATTGCTCTTTCAATACAAAAAGAAACGCAACTTACACAAGTAATTACATTTAATTTGGATGCAGGTTTTGCCCCGACAAGTTATGAATCCAGACGCTCTTCGAAAAAAAACAAAAAAAACAGCGGAGACAACAACTGGAGAACAGCTTTGAGAAAAGTATGCACCAAGAGATTTTTAGTAATTTGTGTAAAGCGAATATATATGTAAACAAATTGGAAAGTATGAGGTCTATATTTAACAGAATTTCTTCTCGATGATTCGGCTTGTGATTCTGAAAGCGTGTATAACATCATTTATTTTTATCGCGATAAACTTGATAAATTTTCAAACTCATTTTCGAAGTATAGCTTTTTGACGTCATAATATTATAACCTTTTCGCGATTTTTCCTAAACCCCACATAGAGCAGCTAATGAACCTAATTACACAAGACTTTACCCCGCAGCTGAAGAAAGAACTAAATTCAAAAGTGTTTTTAAGAAACACTTTCTTTTATATTTTTAGCAGTATCGGTTCGTCTTTAATGTTTAGCCTCTGTGTATTCCGCATGAGATTGGCTAGTAAAGAATCTGTGGTGTTGTATTAATTAAACCCAGTCTATGAGTTCCCCAGTAAACGTGTAAACTTTGCTTCTTCAACAAAGTATTTCTCTAACTTAAGCATCACCTGCCGTATTGAAGTGATAAAAGTTTCCCTATCTAATTGGCATGTCCTCGAAAGAAGTAATATTTGAATTGAGCACCATTAGGTACATTTTGCACAAGATAACTGATGTCTTTCTTGTGGGATGTTTTATCAAAACGGGCAGATATTGATTCATCTTTCATGGTGGTTCTCAGGGGCATTTTGGTAGTGTCAACAATGGCAATTATATAAAGAAATACATATGCTTCCTAGAGTACACATGACTTGCTTTGACTTGATCGCTTTCATACCGCAACAAACGGCTTTTATGAACCATATATCAAAATTGTTGCAAAACAAATTAAAAATTTAGACTATTGACTCAGTTGCTATATGTCTCCAAAACACTCGGGCTGACACACTGGCAATAATTTTTTATTACTTTTCATCGCGCCTTGAGAAAATCTTTAGCGCTTTGCCTTGAATTTGTAAATTGAAGCTATGATTTGCTCGTATTGTTCGCTTAATGACAAATGTAGGCTTGCAGTGAGTCGCGGCAGTGTTGTTTATGTAATTTTCATTGACACGTCACTGTAGGCATAGGCACCTGCGTGGCCGGAAAATTTGCAACCCCCCAGGAGGCGTCATACAATATCATGCCTCAATACACTCGACATATAAAGACTTACTCTACAGCTGTAATCAGTCACTTTCACACGCATTTCGTACCGTCAACACCTACTTATCGCCGGTGCGCGCGTTGACTTGAAAAGCTTGCGTAGACTTAGAGAAACAGAACTCGCATCCTCATGGAAAATATTTCTAGTTTGAGCAAGTATCTTCTACAGCCAGGTAGGATGTCACGCTTTAATTATCATGATTTTAAGACGTTCCATGAGAGGGATTTGAGTGACCTGTACTCTGAAAAACTGCAAACTGACAAGAAAGACGAGAGTCCTCATGAATTTTTGGGAACAAGAATCACCGAAGTTCAAGAGCAAGAACAAGAAAATGAGGATAAAGAGCTTACAGAAGACGTCCGAGATACAACGACGCCTAAACATGACAGTGACGATGAAATAAAGAATGACCGCGGGAAATCAACGGATGAAGACAAAACCAAAGGCTCCAAAGAAGACGAACGTAACTCAGAGACGTTTGTTGCTGTCATCGCACAAGCAATTCTCAGCGTCCCCACAAAGCGAATGACTCTGAGTTCTATCTACAATTTTATCGCACGGAACTATCCGCATTTTGACAAAGAGAAGGGACCAGGCTGGAGAAATAGTGTGAGACATAATCTGTCCAGTAATGACTGCTTTGTAAAGGCTAGCAGAGCCGAAAACGGAAAGGGGCATTACTGGATGATCCACCCGAAAGATCTACCAGAGTTTGCGAAAGGGAATTTCAGACGACGCAGAAAACCTCGCCGTCCCAAGTGTAGCCATCCTCTCATGTTTAGAGAAACTCCATTCCTTTATCATTCATTTTCACCAAGCTTCTCAACATTCCCCTACACGGCGCATTTGAGATCAGCTCCTGGTGAAGTTCCCACTGAATTACCTGTACCTTTACCATACAGCTCTACGGAGCGCACATTGTCGCCTGCTTTCCGTCCAAGACTTGGCCTTTTGCCGGGGTATGATGATGGCAGGGCTTTAGGCACCGGATCCCATGCGTTCACCTACTCGACATCTGCGCTGAGATTAGCCGAAGCATCGACCGCCAGGAGCTTTCCAACAGCCAGTGGATTGACAAACTTCCATGGCTGTTTTCATTATCCGTGTGCGTGTCATCGTTAAATGAACACAGCATAAAAATCTGGATTTATGGCGAACATTTTCCCTTCGGTTCGCATAATTTTCAAGAAAAACGTTAACTTGTACACATTGCCACTTTCACTGATGTCGCCAGAATGGCAATTATTCTAACGATAATCATAAAATTTATTAGATTAGAATTTATCTACACCGCATACAAATTATTCAGTCGACTGTTGAATTCAGATATTCTTGAGTCGAGGGAAAAGTTACTAGATCGCGCAAGTCCTATTTATTTTATAGCTTTTTATTGAACACATTTTATTGAAACACTATAGCCTGGCAAGTTTAAGAATTTAACTTAAAGATAAACTTAATTTAAACTGAAGTAGCTAACAAGATGAGACTCTGAGTGCTTTTAGCGTTTTAATGGTTCAAGGAATACTTCCGCTAATCTGTTGAAGTTTGTAAATACATTTGTGAAATTAGTGTTTGATCGGATCCGTTTATGTACAAAGAGGACCTTAGCTTATCACGACCAATAAAAATTCTAAATGAAACTGCAGTTTAATATTTACTTGCTTAAAAGAGAATATTACAAGAACAATGCTTTTTTTTACCGTTAATACATACAATAGAAAAAAGAAATTAGATTTGCGGTGAGTCAAAAACGAACAGTGTGGCAGTCGGGTTCCGGCTGGTTAAGTTAGAGGGATCCGGACCACGAGAGAAATAACGTTTGTCATTCCTTAATTAAACTGTTTAAAACCTTGTCTTCTCAAAAGATTTTGAGTATCACTGGTGTTCCCCGATACTCAAGTTGAAGCTGAGAAATCTTTGAATCAACACTTCCAGAATGAGATGAATTTACAGAAACATTATAAAATCTGAATGTTTGAGTTTCCCACGCAAATACAAGTCAGTTTGGTACATAATTATCACTACGTAATTTCCGCCTTGGCTTTTCTCTTTTTTTTCTCTCAATACAAAGACCTAACATTGTGGTTGTGTTCGTAAAACAGCTGTAAACATCGGAAGGAAGACTTTTTCACCATTCTTAGCACTCAAAGCAACAAATAAGAGAAGTAAACGGAATTGATTTGCAAATGAAAAACTTAAAATTGTATAATTTGAATGTCAATGTAAAATTGAAATCGGTTTTGTATACTTGACAAGTCTTCGGGGATTTTTGGAAGTGAAATATTCAGTCTTTTAGGGTTTGATTTAAATCTCAATAGAATCAATATTTTTCTCTCATTTTGTTTGTTTAGGATGAATTTTGTGCTAATGCTAAATCTTTGTACACTCTGTTCATATGCAGTTCTTAACTTCGCGGTATAAAATGGCTTATCGGTAGTTGGCTTAGCCGAAACTTCAAATCTTAGTAGGCAATGATTTCTTTTTGACATATTTTAACCAAAACAATGTTATTTAGAACTTCCAATTAGTAGTTTAGATTACTTAATTTCCTTTAGTAAGCGGCGTCGCCGGCACAGTTTAAAGATTTGTTTTTCCTACTCAAACAAACATACAAATGAAAATCTTTCGCCTTTGCTTTCTGTAAGATAAGATAGAAGATAATGCACCGCACAGGAAATTCTTGTGAATCAAAAATAAATCTTTTGAATTTCTGTTCCTGGAGACAGATCGTTGCGTTAAGTTGCCATAAACTTACGTAGTCCTGCCCCCAGGAGATAAAAATTGAAAAGATTCGCACCACAGTGGTCTTGGTTTTTTCTTTCATGAAAAAGCATGTTCATTAACTTACTTTTAATAAACCAGATGTCTCCTATTTTAACAAGCACCGAAATGAACACTTACTTTTTCATATTACAAACGCCATATTATAGAATTCCTCAGTCAAGTTACCGTAACTGAAGGGCTGATACGAATATAAAGTTTGATAATACAAATAACTTCGGTAAATAAAGGACGCAGAGATATCATTACAATAAAATACTTGGTTTACGTATTTGAATTATAAACCAAGCACTGCAAACAAGTCTAAACTAACCCATACTACCGGTGTTCAACTCTGCTGAGCTGAGCAGCGCTTATCGTTTCATCAGTGAAAAGGGTGCGAATTGATTAAGCCTGATAGCATGCAATAAGTTGGTGTAAAGACACAAATTATCAGGTACGGTATTATCATAGCAGGCTTTGACGTTATTGAAAAGCCTGACAAAGACAAAGAGCTGACTTTAAGATGAGCAATTCTAGTCAGCAAATGCAAACAAGCGATGCCTTTGTCTGTAGTATTGTCATTGTTCGTTGAAAATAGTTATTCAACAGAGATGACAATTATAAAAGTACTAGGAATTGCCTGCGGCGGACACACCTCCGTGCTTCTATAACCAGCATAACTTTGAAAATTTTAAAATAACACCATTTCGCATCACGATCTCGTCAGAAATCTTACAAATAAAATAATGAAGCAATTTTGATTCTTTATAGAGACTACAAGGGAGAGGTACTGGTCACGTTTCGGCTTCTTGTAATGCGTGCATTGCCTTCACTGATAAGGCTCTTTAACCTTTCAGACCCCATGCATGGGTTATTGTTGAACACTCTTTCTCTTTGTATAATTTAAATACGTTTATACCTGCTACAAAGACACTGCATATTGTTAGATGTTTATTTAGGAATATAGCTATGTGGTGGGCAGGGGTAGTTAACGTATATACATGTCAAAAAAACAACCGTTTTGTGGTTTGATTGAATTCTTTTGTTAACATCATGAACGATATTCCATGAAAGGAACTTGAGGCGGAAAAGGGCTGGAGCTAACGGAGTTCAGTCCAAGCTAAATTCTGTGAACAAAGCAAGGCCCTGTGGATAACATCCTGATGCGCAGATTAAGTTAAGAACCCAAGAGTTTATTTCTTATTTGCGCCTGGTTTTGCCGTCTCCCTGCGAGTAGCACAGAAGGGTTCCATTTCACAAAGATTTAATCAAATAGGAGGATACAATCGATAAAGGAACATCGCAGACACTCGGCAGGTAACATGATTTCATATCTCTACGAGTTGTTCTTTTTTTTCAAACAGAAATTTCGAGTTAAGTATATAACTCACGCAAAAAATTTTAATATTTTTTTGCCTGATAAATTCACCTTAGCCTTTGTATATTGCACCTTTCCTTTACTGAAATATTTCTAGAGTTACTTTTTTATGGCTTGTTTGGATGAAATTCTTGTCCAATCCTTGTTTATATGTGAATAGGTTTGTTAGAGATCAGTAATTTTTCTCTTGAAGTATCATTGCCATCTTAAAGTAATTAGTTTCCGTTACTTATTTCTTGGACATTCCATTACGATGCTTATGCCATGTTATGCTAAAGCTTTGGTATCAAGGCAGACTTGTCTTGCCCTGTTTCCGCTTATAAACTGGTGACTGTGGCTCATTATCTGATGCCTCGCTGTGCTGTTGTCCTAAGACAGATAGAACCATGAAGGTTACAACGTGGACCTCGTGGGTTGAAACTTAATCCTTAAACAGTTGAGCTTACATAAACATATATATTATTATCTGGGTAAAGCGAACCGACGCTGTTATGTGCAATAGTGGGATCTCTACACTTTGTAAGTCCACTTAATAAATTCGATAGTGGGCATTCTGGCATTGCTCTCCTAAAAACGATTGTCATTACCTCGCTATAATTTGGAAGACCAACTCAGGTCTTTATCGTTACTTATCTTTACTTGCGTATATTTAAAGATTTAAGCTCATTCATTTGATAAATATAAAGAAAAATTCAACGAGAACTATAAACACGCAGTCTCTAACGGTAAGTCTGTGAAAAATATTTATGTGAATGAACGCCCCTTTTTGCGGCGTAATTGATGTATGACTACCACAGTAAATGAGGTTAGATACAGGTTGAAAAATAAATCTAAAATCGTAACAAACAATATCCAAATTGAAAGCTTCTACATCATGAAAAATAAATTAGGGCACGTTGTATACTTTTGATTTGAATACATTAGCCCACAGAACAGGCGTAATTTGTTTGAAAGAAAAAAAAATTATGCTCCCCTTGGCGTCACCCGCACTTACCTCCGTTCGCTTGGAAAACGCGAAAGATTACGGCTATGAATACATTGATATGAGATACTCATGTGCTTTAACTTTTAATGTGCAAATGTCCTAAAACAAACAATCTTGGAACTGCTACAAATTGACATAGATTGGTTGATAGGTAGTTGTGGGTCAGTCAGTCAGTCAATATATGAATCTTTCATGGACTTTCACTCATTGCTCAGTATCACGAATACTTAATGAAAGGTTCCTTCACTGTTTCGCAAACAGCAACGTTAGAAATTTGGAGAAAGTCAATGGGATGTTCTATGTTTGACTCTGTGCAGCTTAGCTTGGTTCATATCACATATTGCAATAACATTACTACAATTTTTTCAATTCAGTTCAGTTCTAAACTTTACGTTGTCTTGTCAGTGTCGCTACTATAAGGGAAATTTCATATTTTTCGATAAACTGATTAATACTGAAATCATCTCAAGAGTGCCCCGTTCAGCTTTGAAATCAGATGGAAACTCTTGTAACATATGACGTACTGTTCGCATCCTACAAACTAACTCTTGGATTTATGGGGCTTCGAGTCTCTCTGTCAGTCAACGACACCAAAACATCACTTCGTTTGGCAAATTTTCGTTTAGCAATTTAATTCGTAAACTTTAACAGAGTTACTGCCTTCTTTTGACAGTAAGCCACGAGTTACGTAAACCTTTCAGTTGAACATGACACTTTCACAAACTTCCATGCTATAAGACTGTGTTCTTGCTCATTCCATACTAACACTGTTCAAATTGTTGTCGTAATTTTGTCATTGAGACTTGTCAACGATTAGACCACTTGTCGTTTCAGTACGATAGAAATTTGAAAGGCTTGCCACTCAAACTTAGTGGCGAAATTTTTATACCTGAAAGTGGCTCTGATTCAAAGGTAACGAAGTCGGAATGAAATCTTTATGGAAAGTGAACGGGTAAGTGTCAACACCGACCAGCAGGCCAGCATGTCCGTAGACTTAAATTAGTTGCTACTTTATCAAAATAACTGTGTACTCATCACTCACGTTTCTTAGACCTTCTTAATGAGAGCTTTACGATGTTCAATATACTCCCTGTGGTAACTGAAATTAAGAGAAGACAAAACTTCATGAATGAAAACAATAATTCTCGCTTCAATTTATTTACACTTTATTCAAGCAAGCAGATATTTGAGACTCAGGGAAACACTTTTTAGATATCTTGCTAAGTGGCACAAAATTGTAGCAACTCTTGCGAAAGAATGGTGCTTTCCAACAGTGAAGATAATTTAAATTTAGAGTCAGAAAGTTCAAATAGTGATCAACAGGAAACCAGATTGGAAACTTAGATTTTCGGGTGGTGCCGTGTATCTCAAGACAAGTAAACTAATCTCATGGTCTACTACATGTATAGGAATTTAAAATCGTGTAATTATTCCAGAAGAAATCCTAACCACTGGAAAATCGGGTTAATATGTATAGGTGATTGATCTTGGCAACTATGTCAGTTTAAGCGAGTAAAACTATTATTGATAACCATGACAGCGTGGAGAAACGGTCTAAATTCGCCGCTGTCTAAAATGACAGCTTCCTTTGAAAGACAATAAGAGTTGATATATGACTGGTTGATATGTGGGGGATAGTTACCTGTTGTGCTCAAACAAAACTCTCAAAGAATTCTTTGTCTCTTTCTCACGCAAATCAGCCCCTCGCCCGCCTCTGTGGTAAACAAGGTCGATTTGAACACAGCAGGAATAAACACTCCTGTTCAAAAATATCAACAGGTATTTGCTTATCAAATCTTTCGATAAATTTAATTTTTGAAGTTCAAGGAGATTACGGTTATTAGATATATTTTTGTCATGATGCGCAGGGGTGGTAATAATGTTTAATAATCGACTCTCTACGAGGTCCTGCCTACTTCGGAACAACTCGCGACCAACGGAGCTTGTTCCTTTTCCGGATTAACCGGCTTGATTCCATGTGCCCTTTTGTTGCCTTTCCGTTTTCTTTCTCTACTATGCTGAACACGCACGATTTTGACGTCACTGCCAAAGTGTTTTTTCGTTTTGTTTCCTGTTGAACCGCAGCCTAAATTTGCAGAGCAGAATTGAATCTTTAGGAAACCCTACTTTTCACGCTATTTTCAGGTTGCAAATTTGGGTCTCTGGTGGAAAAGAAACAAACAAACAAAATACAGGCAAAAAGGTAAGGGTTATGGAGACCAGTTGCATGCATGTTTGATCATTTTCAAACTGGGCTACCTTTTTCAAGATGCTTTAAATCGTAACGCTCCTCTTTTTAGCAAGTAGACCAATGGCAACTCCAGTGGAATGAAATAGAAAGAAAATTTTTTAGCCCTGTTGTCCATTTAAAAGAGATGTTCTCCTCGATTCGAGCCGTACAATGAAAAAGTTTCAGGTTCAAAACACTAGTTAAGGAAACCTTTTTTCCAACATTTCTACTGTATGGCGTTTTATGATAGATAAACTAAGTTGATGTTCATGAAGTGCTTTTCAAAGAGGTCTCTCTATCCTTCGTCTGTTTTCTGTTCATGAGCTAGTCGTAAAAGCTCGTATTTTTTATTAAAGTGGATTTCAATGGGTTTGTGAGTTGGCATTTAGTGGCAATTCGCCATAACAGCTGTATATGATTAGTTCTGTAACATGTGCATGTGAAGTTCACATGCAGTATCTATTTTTCAGTGAGGCCAAATTATGATTGACTAGCGCTTGTCACTTGTGAAACAAGCATAAAGCTGGGGCTTGCCAACAAGTTCTCTGTCCTCTGCAACACATTTGATGACGCATGCGCATCTAACTTCACAATCGGAACTGGCTGACATTGGAAATCTCATATTGGGATTTCTTTTGTTCCACGCTTCTGACAAATACAGCGGAATATCTTAGGGCCAATAGCATGCAAGAATGCTGGTAGCAGCTCTCTCGACAGGAAAAAGGATACCTTCAAAGACTGGTAACGGTATAGAATGAGCAAGAACACAGTCTAATAGCATGAAAGTTTGCGAAAGTGTCATGTTCAACTGAAAGGTTTACGTAACTCGTGGCTCACTGTCAAAAGAAGGACTTTCTTACAAATAAAGAAAAACCGTCCGTAAAGATAATTTAGCTTTCTAAGAAACTTTGAAGTATAACTTGAGAGAATGATCATAACTATTTAATCAATTAACTAGGGTAGTTCACATTAGGAATACCAACGTCTTGGAAACCTGATAGAGGTAGGGAATACCTAATTCAAATAGAGTACTGAATAGAGTTGAGAAAGTTTTACTAATTGCATAATCATTGAAAGTGAAAGAGCAAAGTGAATAAGCCAAAGACCTCGTTAAAATACTAATTGTTTTACCGTTCCTTCAATCCCAGCTGAAGAGTAAAGGACTGCAAAAAATCCTGCATCTGCTAATTTACATAAAATCTGAAGTAATCTTTGCGACCTCCTTGGCAATCAATATTAATCAAAACTTTCTCGTCAAATAGAAGTATGTCTCGTCTTTTGTTCTCACTACGTACAACTTCCGTTCATTTAATACTTCTTTTACTGCTTCAATGTTCTTTCTCAACTTTTTACGACAATTTGTTGAATGCTTTCAAAGCACTTTTATCAGAAACACGTTAAATCAGAATGGGGATGTTTCCACTTTAAATAAGATATTCTTATCATGCTCTTATTTACAACGATTTTGATGACTTCTTTCAGAGTAAATAACGCCTCTCAGTGCTTCACTGCGCAGTCGCAGCAAGTTCAAGTTGTCCTCCAGTCACTGACAGTCGATGGTAGTTTGTTCCCATTCCGCACTCTATTATCAACTTCTGGGCCTGGAAACAGTAAAGAAAAGAGAAGAAAAGTATTAATGCGAAAGCAGAGGCCGTCTTGAAGATCCACCAACTAGCCTGTGGAGTTCAACAGGAAACGCTTGAGTAATGAGACGGGTATTTGTTTTTGGAAGGAGTGCTTCTCCTTAGCAGTCAGCCTCAGACCACAAAAAATAGCAACTCTGGCCGATTTCTCAGTCGGTTGCCATAATTACTCCATAATACTTACGTCTATTGGTCAGCTTGTGTGAGTTATACAAGTTGTTGGTACCCTAAATGAACAGTTTTTAAGTGTGTGCTAAAGGTATTTAAGAATTGTATCGTTTTGCTCTACCCCAACTCATGATTGAAAAATTGCGCCACCATCTCGACCAATCAGATGTAAAACTAAAAGCAATTGAAAATTTGTGTTAAAAGTTATGCTAGCCCGCGCTTCAGACAGTCGGCTTGTCTTTCTTTGACTCTAGTTTAATCACACTCTTTCGAAAAGATTGATTGATTGATGATTGTCACCTGGGAGTCCCTCAATAAGCGGGACACTTCTTTCTAAACTTTCTACTTACTAGGAGCCCTCCTATTACTATTTACATCTTACCGCTGCCTAACTTCATCCTCCCTCACCCCAGTCTCCATTACGCTGTCCCCGTTCATTCCATTGGAATCGTAATGATCATCTCCAGAGTCAGCGTCGCCGTTCAGTGCTACGATTGGTCCGTCTTCTGGAGGCTCTAGCTTCACTTGTACTTGGGACTGAGACAATTGGCTGCTGTAAAAAATAAAATCAATCGCTCAATCAAAAAAAGTAAAAAGATTTAGGAGAAAATTCGTCATGAACTCCTCGTGCATTCCTTATTCCATAAGCACAACTAATGTATCTAATTTCTGAAAGCAATCAAATAGAATTGGATAAAATCAAGAAATTAATCTATAAAAGACATCTTAATAGGTTTGAAAGCCCACAAATGCTAACGTCCTGGTTTTATCAGCAAGGAGAGATTTTTTCAGAATAATTGTTCTTAATCCCCGGCTTGACTATCGTTTATTAGCCTTTTAAAATCATTTGGAATTTCCCATTTACAATCCGGGCAGTAAAGGTCAACTAATAACCCCTTTGCAAGCAAATAGCAGATGACATGAGCGGCAGATTAAAGATGGGAAGTTTAAATTTTGCCAATTCAACACTTCTTCCCGGAAATCCCTACCGATTTGAGGTCAACACAGCAAGCATTAACAGAAATACAACCATATCCTGGTTCTTACTTGATGTCTTTAGAGCAAAACTCTACGAGTTTTGTGATACCACCGACCACGCCCTCCACTTCCTCTCCATCCCTTATATCCGCGCGTTTCTGAGGAGGCATTTCATCACCGGTGTCTGAATCCGATCCTCTTTTACGACTATCTTCTTGACTGGAGCCTTCATCCTCGCTGGCATTATTGGAACCAGATGGACCCACGGGAAGCAAGTTGACTTGTGTGGGGAGTCCCCCTAGGGCACCCTGTTGCATCATCCGGTCTCGCTCCTGTTTCATCATTCTGCTGTTATGGGAAATGTTCAGTAAAATTTTTCAAGATTGTCATTAATAATCCGTTATTTTCTTTTCTATCCTCAGCCATTCTTCATCTCGAGTTTATTCTTACAACTATCTTTATGGATCGCAAAATATTTTTTAAGCTTGCTGAATGAAATTTTGAGGGTAAAATTACCTTCAGAGTTGTTAAGTAGTTCCCTTAAAGTCAAGTACTCAAAAAGATAAATGTTATATAGTTGTTTATGACACACTGCGTTGTATGCCAAACAAAAATGTAGCTTTCTTTATAACATAAATAACAAAATCAACTACAATTTGCAGTCGTTTTGCAAGTTAAATTTAGCTGAAAACCTCATCTCATCTCCAGAAATGTGGACGACTTCAGAGTCTTTAGGGTAGTCAGAAACAACTCCGTGTGATATGTTAGTGAATTAGATGGATATATTGCCCTATGTTCATCGCTATTTATATCAAATCAATATAAAAAATACACTTACGAGGTGCTATGAATGACTTTGGACTGTGGCCGCCGTTTCATGTATTCATCTTCATCCACAATCCACACGGCTCCTTTTACGTTCTCTCTTCTCATGAAGCATTTGTGAAGGGACAAGTTATGACGGACTGCGTTCTGTTGATGTATCACGTGTCAGTTTTAGTAAGAAAACACGCCTATTTGCACAATTTTTAGCCTGCAGCTGGTATCAAATATCCCCATACAGTTTTCATAGAGTGTGAAGCATTGCAATAGAGAGTAAAAGTCACACCCCAAAATGTGGTTGTCAAAATGATGCAGCATTTTACGTTAACTAAGTATATTTCTGAAGCTTCGACGACTGAAAGAATCACTGAAGGCAGCAAGTCTACAGGAATTAAGGCATCGCCAGGTTTGGGAGGCAGCGGGGCTGAAAGGGAGCGACCGAGAAACTTTCGTCAAATATGTTGAGATCTTTCTCGCCAACGGACATGAATATTTTTGCACATTCTACTGAAATTAAGTAAAGGTTACAGCCTTCGTCAGGTTCTTGTGACATGTCAAGTTTTTCCTTTTTTAGAGAAAACGTAAAAAAAAGGGTTTGAAGGTGAAACCTACCTTCCATGTGGCAGCGTTCCTCCGGAAGTAAGCAAACTTGTGAATGAACCAGGAGTAGATTTCATTCAATGTAAGTTGCTGTTCGGGAGCGTCTAAAATGGCCTATGGTAAGCAAAGTGAAGCGGTCAATATCTTAATTATTCTTACAGCAGGGAACACTTTATTTATACAACCGTTACATGTAACTGCCAATATATGAAGGTAAATTTCCTCCATGTATATCGGTAATTTTTATTGGCTTCTCTTAAGGATTTGGTGTCAAATCCAAACAAGAACGCACGACTGAACAGGATAATTCACAAATTCTCATTACCTGTCTGATTTGCTGAGCATTGAATTGAAGGGAAAATTTATGTAATTATAGGCCCTTAATTAGACATTCGTAGCTGAAATAAATTCACAAAATAATCTAGGCATACCACTAGAGTCCAAAATTCACTTTATGAGAATTTGGGTTTAGTATTTTTTGTCTTAAATGTTGCTACTTATAGTTATCTCGTTGTGGCAATAGCTACAATTTACCTGTCTTATCAATGACGCATATGTGAACGGGGGTCTTACATCTGCCTTCTGATAGAAATCCGCTGATCGCTGAATATCTAGGAAACAAAAAGGTCAGCATACATTTCACGAACTCATGGACCATTGACGGTAGATTATGAGATTTTCAACCCTTTTTCTTAACAAAACAACTGTTTCCCTCGCTCTTTTACGACATGGAATATCAAAAGCCAGTTCGGCGCTAGGAAATTCGTTGACAAAGAATGACAGAACCCAGAAGTTACCCAGAGCTTTCCTGACGACCTATGATTAGCAAACGGAGACTTTGCAAACGAACTTACCCAAGGCTATTCCGTCAGGATCTCCAGTTCTTTTCTTCATGCGAATTTGTTTATCTTCCAGCATGTGAATAGTTGGTGTCTGTACAACAGTGAGGTCACTTGGACTGGTCATTTCATGCACTGCTGCCATGTTGGGTGGCGGGCTAAGAGGATGACTTCCCATCGTTGGTGGGCTTTCCGGTGACATAGGAATCTCCTGTCTACCCTGAAGGGTAGGAGAATGCTCCGCCGGCGGAGTATCTTCTAGGGACGTCATGTGAGGATGCTGAGGAGGGGGTGGGTGAGTGACATGAAGCAGAGTTTGAGCTTGGGAGTGAGGCACTTGTTGGTGACTCTCTTCTTCCAGATCTGAGTTTGTGTTTGGAGTGTGTTGGGTGACCTATAATGGCATACGCATTTACTCAGTAAAGGGCTCGGCTGACGAGGGTCCGAGAGTGTATATGACCTCCTACACGCTTCTATCTGGTATGAAAGAGTGTGTTTATTTACACAGATACATCACCCTGGCATTCTTCACATGACGCTAGTTAAAACTCCCATATATGTTTCAAATATTTTACCCTAGCTAATAAATCAGGACCTGTCACGAATTTCGAAAAACTGAAGTTCGAGCTTCATTGCTCAGTTTTCGTCGGAGCAAAGTGTCCAAAGATTTATGCTCATTTGACCTTACCAACCTGAGTCAACTAAGTGTTTGAGTTGCTTGTTGACAGTGTACCAAAGTAACACTTTCAGTTTCTTTAGATTCCAAAAATATTACTTTCAGTATTTAGAATGACTATAAAAGGTTTCTAATAATAGTAATCGCTCTCTAAGGTCACTTCGTGTTTTTTCTTGCCTTGCAAACTTGACAAAAATTGAAGAAAATAAAGGAATTAAAGAAGAAGAAGAAGAAAAAGAACAACAACATCAAAAAAAAGAAGAAGAAGAAGGAGAAGAAAAAAACGAAGAACAACAACAACAACAAGAACGAAGAGAAGAAGAAGAAAAAGAAGAAGAAAAAGAAGAAAAAGAAGAACAAAAAGAAGAAGAAAAAGAAGAAGAAAAAGAAGAAAAAGAAGAACAAAAAGAAAAAGGAGGAAAAGAAGAAGAAGAAAAAGAAGAAGAAGAAGAAGAAGAAGAAGAAAAAGAAGAAGAAGAAGAAGAAGAAAAAGAAGAAGAAGAAGAAGAAGAAAAAGAAGAAGAAGAAGAAGAAGAAGAAAAAGAAGGAAAAGAAGAAGAAGAAAAAGAAGAAAAAGAAGAAAAAGAAGAAGAAGAAAAAGAAGAAAAAGAAGAAGAAGAAGAAGAAAAAGAAGGAGAAGAAGAAGAAGAAGAAGAAAAAGAAGGAAAAGAAGAAGAAGAAAAAGGAGAAGAAGGAAAAGATAAAGAAGGAAAAGAAGAAGAAGAAGAAAAAGAAGGAGAAAAAGAAGAAGAAGAAGAAGAAAAAGAAAAAGAAGGAAAAGAAGAACAAAAAGAAGAAAAGAAGAATGAAAAGAAGAAGGAAAAGAAGAAGAAGAAAAAGAAGAACAACAACAACAAGAGGATGAAGAACAAGAAGAAGAAGAAAAAAAGAACAAAAAGAACAAAAAGAAGAATAAAAAGAAGAACAAAAACAAAAAGAAAAGAACAAGAAGAAGAAGAAGAAAAAAAAGAAGAAGAAGAAAAAGAAGATTTAAGAAATAACAAATGAATGTCTCTATCTCTTCAAGTCAAAACAATCTCTCTCAACCTTTGTTCATTGAGCCACCACGTATTAGGAAAACCATAAGCTAAATCTTTCGCAATCTAACTTTGCGGAATGACGTTAAGCCCTTTTTTAGTTTTGCTCCAAAGAAAAATAGAGCTAATAGTTGTACCTTGGGAGTATGTAAATGGTTCATCATCGCTGACAACCTCTCACGTTCTTTGTTCATCTGCAATAAACATTTGAAACTGCAGCTAAGTTTGCAATTGCCAGGCCAGACTACTGGGCAGTTGAAAAGCGTTTTTTAAAGGTAATAATAGGTCACATTCCTAACTTAGCTATCTACGTTTATATAAAGCAAGCGAAAAAAAGTCTCAGTGAATACAATCACGTGCACTGCTTTAAATTTGATTAAAAAACACTAAATAACTGTGAACTGTTTGACCGTTAGTTTGATGTATGGCAGCATCATTGCTTGTTTAACAAGGTACAATTAATTTAACTTTGAACAAAGAGAATGCTGTTCATTTGCATTTTTTTGGCTTCCTTATGCTTAATCCTTAAATCGCAAGTGACTGATGACGTAATTATCATTAGAGTGGTGTTGAATACCTGAAATTCCAGATGCATCACAACTTGCATCTGTACCCGAGCCTGAGCTGTGCTCCTTTCATCTAAGGCGTGGTCAGCATTAAGGTGACTGCAATTCATAAAAAAAAAACCTTCCGCATCACTTTTTCTAACAAATGTTTCCTTTTTAATTGATTTTATTCAAATCAACTGATGGAATCAATATGTTATCATCTCTTGTGTATAAAAAATTGAAAAAAAATCATACTTTTTACCAACATGAAGATACATTTAAAAGATCATAAATAAATTAATTCAACAACAGATAGATAAGGCACATGTAAGATATTATTAACATGCAATGAAACCATCAGAAATATTAGACTTACTGCAAAAACTGTTGGAAATTCTCACAAAAAGCTTCACAACCTGGCCACTGGCAGATATTGCGATGAAACAGTGGATGGTGCTGAGCTGTTAAATGAAACAATCAAGACATTTATTTAAATGAAACTTTCCTGTATAAGAAAATAGCCCTTAAGTTGAACTGACCAATTCAAAGGTAAAAAAATTGGCAGCAAATTGTATGTACAATGTATGACATCAAGTCTCCAGTTCCTGAATAGTAAAGCAATAGATTACACTCTCTATCAGTTTATCAGGGTAATAACCCACTTGGGAGAACAGTAAAAAGTTTGTTTTACAGTAACTTTATAAATCAGTTCACATGTTTTAAGTGAACTCAAAAGTTTTTTTGAAGTCTTCTACTGGTTGTTGAATAAGATTAATATTCCTTTTCACTTTGAACGTTAACCATAGCACTATCACGTAATGAATCATATTTGATTATTTTTCAACTTTATCACTTATGATTTATTTGTAAACATAGTTTACCTGGTTGGGATTCACCAATAAATGAGTTGGCACTTGCCCTGCATTGGGTAAAAGAGAAAGCAGATAAGTATCATTGGCCTTGCAGTAAGAGCCTTTAAAATATAATACTGTAATCTTTCTCTATGAAAGATAGTTAGTCTAATGGTATCATATATTTTTATGCACGCTAATAGCTTTTCTTTCTTTCTACCATGAAGTTTGAAATTAAAATTTTAGTGAGCAGTATGAAGGCAATTCTATAAAATTCTGATGATGAAATATTATAATCTCTAACTGCAATGTTATAATTGTACAGTAAACATTGTCTTTCACTCAAAGGTCACTGATACTTATCATTAGTAACCTTTTAAATCCTGATATCAGTGTGTATATTCTCCACACTGTTCTCTACATGTTTTTGATGATAATGAGAAGGAGAATTTGTTCAACACTCAATAACTTCTCATGCAAATGATCATTTCCTCCCTTCTCATGACCTAACGGTTTGATTCAATGGCAAAAATGTGAGGAGAAATTAGACTATGGTAACCCTTAGGGGTTAAAGGGATGATCAATTTAATATTAATTGTGAAATATTATAAAATATAAACTCACACAGATCCATCTGATGGTTGGGGTCGTCCACCTGTAGCAGGAGAAAGAAGTTACATCATTCTCAAGTATTCATTCACAATTCACTGCAAAGGGAGAGGGAAAGGGGTTGATCGGAATAGTGCCTGACAAATTGTGTTAAGGGAATGCTACACACGGAGGTCCATACTGCATCTATCACTCTTACCCTTGGGTCAATCAACCCATATCCTTTGCACTGAAAATGTATATAGTAATACAGCATACATGTACATTAAATGTAGAATGTCAAAACTCTAACAGATAAAACCTCCAGTTGTAGTATAGATCATACAAAAGAAAAAAAGTTTCTAAAATTACACTTGATCTTGACCCTCTGAGTATTACTCAGTCATTCAACTGTAATAGATCCTCTTAATTTTACAAATGACAGAATTTGCTCATCCTTTTCCATAGGGTACCTGAAATCAGCTCAAGAAACCACTACCCTACTTTAATCGTACATGTACAACATGTTTGAAGAAGCATATGCACTTTCTTACCAACAGGACCACTCAAGAAAATATTTTTCTATAAGCTTTCTGTCAAAACAATTTTGTGGGATGTGTTTGACATATAAAACATATTACTACAACAATTAATTCTTTGCACTAAATTCTAGATTGGTGTAATTGGATTTTAGTGCTCTATTAAGAATAAGTAGATACTAAATTTTAAGAACAGAAATGGTGACTTACCAAAGTTTGACAAATGGGGATCTCCTAGACCTTTCCATTTCCCATCAAAATAGGGGCGGAGTTCCTGCTCAAGAATTGCCTATGGAAAAAATGAAGGAGTTGTGTCCAATGAGTCATATAAACATCAAATTTTGGGTGACAAGTTAGATATTTCTGATATAAGTTGTCACCAGGTATAAGCCTATAACTGTACAATTTGTATTCTATAATGGCCTTGTTAACCATCAAGTTCACTTTAGCTCAGTGCTAGCACATTGCAGTATAAAATGCAAAGTTTTAGGTTCATCTCCTTGTGGAGAGTCAAATTTATTCTTTTCCCCACACTTGCAAAAAACAAATTACACTCTCCTTTAACCCTTTCCACCCTAACGTCAGTATGCATATTCTCCATACTGTTCTTTATACATTTCTTGAAGGTGCCGATAAGGAGAATATGTTTCACAATCAGAAGCTTTTCAACTTGGTGATCTTGTATTCTCGTGACCTTAATGTTTGAATCAAGGCTGATATTATAAGGAGAAATTAGAAACTAGTCACTCTTAGGGGTCAGAGGGTTATGTAAGGAATTTATTCCATCCAAAATGCCAAACCACCTAAAGCTTTGTTTCTTCTCTGTGTGTGAAATATTAACTCTGAAAAAAAGCATTGTTGAAATTGGTTCTTTCTAAATGTAAACCTGATTTGTTACATGTAATTGGAAAAGTTCTAGATGATAATTTTGATCTAGCACTGAAATCTTAGTCTGTTCAAATCAAAAACCACAATTTTTAAAAATAAGCAAACTACAATTTAAATGAACATATAGAAGTAAATAAATCTGTAGATTTACTTGAATCTAATGAAATAAGTATTGTGATACCATGTTTACCTGATGTTGTTGCATATGCTGAGGCTGAACAGGTCTAAGCAGTAAAGGTGGTGGATGTGCCATGACTGTAACAGGTCTTGGTGGAGTCTGTTGATGAGGAAAATGAAAATGTCCATCAACATATCCTGGTTGACAGCCACAGTGAGCGTGATCCATAAATGGAGCCTGCTGGGGATGACAATTGGCTGGTGAGTACACATGATGGGTATGTGGTCCAGGGGGACAGCTTGAGCAGTAGTGTACTCCTCCATGCTTGGGTGTGGCTTTGGTGTCTTGGGTTGGGGAACTGGATGCATCAATCATGACATTTGCTACAGCTGGCGTGACATGCTGGTAGACCATTCCTGGGACATGTACTTCACGGCTACAGCAGCAGTTTTGAGAAGAGCATGTAATGTGTTTGCTTTGCTGCGTGAGTTTGTGAGAAGTATGTGTTCCACATGCACAGTTGGATGTGCTGCAGGGTTCATGAGCTCCTTTACCATTAACATCCACATTTATAGTTTTTGTTGGACTTTTTACTGGTGATGATACTCTCACCTGTGAACCAAAAAAATCTTAGCTGAAAATTTTCCTGCTCTCTTATGCTAAAAAGGAAAAATGACATAGCTTTTAATATTTTCAGTCTGAATTTACTGTAGCAATCTAATTTACTAGCAATCTTTACCAAAGCCAAAAGCTAAGGTAAAATAAGTCATTGATCCACAAGACCTTGACAAAACACCACAATTAGCAATTACCAAGTGAAATGGCAATTTTTGCCATGTCAATAAATAACTCAAATTTTCACATTTTTTTTTGGGTTTGAGATTGACTCTGTGACAAACTGCCTTTTTCCACAAGAAAAAAATCAGCTGGGATGTAACCAAGCATAAACAGAATATCATTTATATCTTTAAAGGTAAGCAAAAATATTCTTTGTGGGGTGGTTATCTGCACACTGTAGAATCTTGGCAAATATAAAAGGAAAAAAAATCATTGAATGATGATGGACACTTATTGAACTTTGAGGAGATAATATATGATAGAATGAATGAGGAAGTCATTGTAGGTAGGAAAACAAGAGATTCACAACTGGGGAGTTTATTCATCTCATTTGATAAATTGCTGCCTGTTTGCCTGGAGTAAAAGACTATTAATTTATTTGATATGAGCTTCATTTCAGATAAAGTGTAACCAGCGTGAGCAGTTCTTTGAGACTCTCACTCTAGACTCGCGAGAGTTCGCGTGAGTCGTGTAATTTGACACTAGCGACAGGGGTAGGGACAGTGGCTTAGAACCTACAGCTTAAAAATCACGCACAAGGGCAGAAAAGAAATCGTACACTGTTTCAAAAATATGCCACAGTCTTTGGAGTCATAAATGATTCCGTTCTTTGACAACGAAGCCTTTTTTTATTTTAACCTTGCCTTTCTAACAGGACAATCTTAAGAATTGTTCCGGTACGTACATGTGTTCACTGAAACGATTAATATCATGCCCTACACGTTTCAGGTTTATCATGTGAAATCTTACGCTCAATCGTATTATGTCGTTGAATGAAAGCTAGCAGTGAGTTTATTACAAAAAATATCTTACACTGACTCCCCTGGACGTGCTGGACGCAACAACAGTGCCGTCGTTTTCGTTTGATTTTGCTGCCATGGTTCAGTGAACCTTTAGAACACGGAAGGTGGATATTAATTAGAGTCCGCTTACTCTTTGATGCTTTGAAACGCAGACGAACTTCGCGGCTGTTAAAAAAAGCAGAAAGACAAGTTAACATATTTTCTAGCCTACGCGTGGTCAACATTTTTCTCAAACAAACCCGAAATTAGAATCAAATCTCAAGTAAAGTTTATCCATGAAGTGTTCAGGCAGTCGAAAAGCGCGCGGCGACCCAAGCCGGAAATTTAATGCAGATTTCAATTTTATTACGGCTCCTGAAAAACTTGTCGAACTTTTCGCCATTGAGTATGATTCTAACTCCCAATAACGATAAGTTTTTCTTTACAACAAAAGCAGTCGAGTCCTCGAACTTGAGGAAAAGAAAACCGCGCTGATCGATTCATATGCCATATGGGCAAGATTTGAATAAATTTATTTGAGTCAATAACGAGAACAGTTCCGTGAATAGGAAAATATCTTTGGTAAAGTACAGAAAACTAGCGAAAGAGTTCAACAGAGATTTAAGGATAGTCTCCATGATTGATGTAACTTACGTTATCTGAGAAAATGTTCACCAAAACTTTACTATTCTCGAGTCGCCACGCCATAAACAACAACAAAAGAGTCCTTCGTGTAAACAACAATAAAAATGGCAATTTCACTTGCGATTGCGAGATATCAAACACCAGGAAATCGCTTAAAAGGTCTTCTAAATTCCATTTGAACATTTGCTGTTTTTGTCGAGATTCCAGTGCATTGTGATTTTTCTGAAATTAGAAATCTAACTAAGATAAACATTCAGTAGCTTGTTGATGGTGAGAAGCAAGCACGCGCTTACCTTTGTAATGCCGCGGCGACAGAAATATCAATGAATGAACGAAGTCACATCAGTTGTCTGACTGCCTGCAAGCACTCCAAGGTAACAAGGCCTTTTCCTTCAATTTTAAGTAAAATTAGATGAAATTCTCTCAGTGAGATCGCGTTAAATTACGGCGTAGTATATTGTTAATTTTAGCCTGCTAAACAATTCTGTCGCGTTTGTTGTTGATGAATTTACTTTTAGCCCAAACAAAGCCTCGCTTTGCAGCGTGACGTCACGTAATTGGCACCCGTAAATAAAAACAAAAATAAACAGAGAAATGGAAAACAATAGGACTCCCACGCTGGAAATCTACTTTTAGCCATCTAAACAATCCAGTTCTTTGTGAGAAAATGTAACTAGCCTTGACTTAAAATAACCGCTGGTAACTGAATGATCGCAAACAGATTCTAAAAAATATGTTAAAATTAGCATTTGGTTTTGCATGTTAATCTTGTCAAATGAAAAAGGTGTTTTTGTTTCTAACCTGTAATGTTTTCGCTTGTATAGTTTCGATCGAGAAGCATTTTCTCCTAAGTCACCACGCAGACAACACACGACCTTGGGCAAAGAAATCGCTGTCAAGAAGGACAAGATATCTCATTTGAAACGATTGTGATTGGCTGGTTTTAAGACACTGACTGAAAGGCTCTAGTTTTAGCAAACATAGAGATTATTGTTTTTCCAGATTATCAAAACCTTCCAGCTGAATTTGCCATCAGCTCTAGCTATTTTGACATATGAAACAACACGTGTTCGCGATATAAAAGAATTCTTTTTGAATCCCCCGAGAAAAATCAACAGTTACAAAAGACGATAAAATTTTCTGGCGGCGCAAACATATGTACTGTAATAATTCGGAAGTGGCGCTGGACTATGTTACATGCGATCTAAATCAAATCTCGTAGCATATCGCATCTTGTTTATCCAAGCTTGTCTGGCCAGTTTCTATAAGAAAGAGATGAATGCGCTACTATATTTATCAGATAGCTTTTGTTTTCTATAGTTTGTTTGTTATTCTCGACTACAGAATGCAAATTACACCGAAGGGCTGAGGCGTATTACTTTCTTTAGGCTCTCGGATGCAACTCGCTAACAACAATTTATGGAAATATTTTTGGCTGCTTCAATAGGTCAGAAATTTTTTTGCCACTTTCTGGTTAAAAATTTCGTCAAAAGGAAAACTGCAGTGTTAGCGTCATTACAGACACAAAAATCGAACAGACAAATAATTCACCGTGACCTTGAAGACAGATAGTATCACAATTGTTTTCTTCCCACACACAAACAAAGTAACACAGCATGTGGCATTTTGAAATCTTTAGACAATTTCCATAATTGTACGCCGACTAAATGTATTAAAGCTGTGTCCTGTCGCTTTCCCATTGTATGGGTACTTCTCTTTTTAAAATCGACCATCGTTCCCCCAAGAAGCTCCGTTTCGCACAATACGATAATCAATCAATTTCAACCACATATTTTTTAAGCCACCTCTCTTCGAGGGGACATGAATTATTTGTAATTTCTTTCAAGCGTTGTCAGTGTCTGTTGTTTATTTTTGGCTAGCCGACGCCCTGTGTTCCTGCCACGTTTGGCCTGAATTACATAACAAAATGTAACGAGGCGGCAAGACCCTTTTCATAAGACGGTAAAAATCCATTGAAACATGTACTTCCGGGTTTAAAATGCTTAGGACTTTTTGCACACAAAACAGGAACTTTAAATTCAAGATGTATAGCATTTTTCTTCCTACCATTATAAAGCGTGGTCGTTTCTTTCAGGGAGTTGTGACTAAAATTAATTTGTACATGGTAATATTTAGATCGGAAATAAAAAAAATATTACAAGGTGGCGAAGTGTCACGCAGCTATTGGCCCAGAGAGTAGAATTAATGAACAAAATATATATTGCGTGCATAGCCAGCTAGATGTTGTTATATTCTAAGTATTGTTATGTTTTTAAGTGGGTTCAATGGCGCCGGAGGTCTAAATCAACCCTATTTTGTTATTTTCGATCACCACGTGTCAAGAATGGACTGAACACTTTGACTATTATTTTTATCCAATCAGAAAAAATAAACCACCTTTGGCTTCTTTGTTTATGATTCGTTTTTGCAATGGTTTGCTAACAAATATAACTGCGCGTGCGCCTCTATGTTACCTTGGATTGGTGACGACTGTCAATTATGAATTAAGTGGTTTTTTTTCGGTATGTCACGCGACAAGCTGCCAGGGTAATAAAACATTAGAAAATGAACAGGGTTGGGTAAGCATCGAGAAATAACCAAACTCGTCATTGCATATTTCTCCCACACCAAATAGACGCCAGAAATGATATTTCCGTGGAATATGAAGAATTCAATAAGATAGAAGTGGTTTAAATTTTTTTTTGCTCAATTAATGAAACTGAAAAGTAGTTTCCCCCAAAAATTCTTGTATTACCCATTAAAAATTATTTAGAAGGTAAGTGTGTCTGAGTTGATCAGACATTTGATCACCTTTTAGAACTTAATGGTTTCGGTCAGGTGTCACATTTATTACGATGGTTGTGAAAAGCACGTGACTTTTACACAAGGAACAGTTCCGTTTTTTGTTGAATGCACCGAATTCGCGAAAACACACCAGAGGTCATTTGGATATTATGACTCAGAACGCAAATAAAACTCCTATTTTAAATACGTTATGCTTCTCTGAAAAGTCAAGAAAATGCCTTCCATCTGGATGCTTCACATTGCGTAGGCATCCAAAGATTTTAATCTGATATTTTCCGCTTTCGCGTGTAGTGCAGTATACATTGAACATAGTGGGTAGGGCAGTATGCACTGCCCTACCCACTATGTTCATGAAAGAGTGAGTGAGTGAGTGAGTGACTGTTCGCAACACACAGGTCCGCAGCGCGTGCATAATTCATATTGTTGTAACGAGGACATGAAATAATCAGGCGTTTATTTACTTCTTTCAGTTAATGGTTTGAAAAGAAATATGGATCATTTATGTTAGAGTAATTGTTCTGCTACAGCCATATCTTCATTCTTTTCCTCGCCTTTCCCTGAATCCATCATGCTTTGAAGAAGTTCTTCCCAGTTTTCTTTCGATGCTTCTGTGGGGATCAAAAAGTGAGAAGGATCATTAAAATATGTAAGTAACTCCCGAGTAACCCTCAGTAAAATACAACGTGGAACTATACACTTAACTATTTGGTTCAGTTTAAAACACTACACCAGCTACTTCGCAAGCATGGAGTACGGTTTTCTGTAGCGTGCACGGAAAAGTTTGTCTCCGTTTACAAAAATTCTTATAGATAATAATTGAAATGTTGAAGTCCAGAATTATAATAAGGCAGAACTTTCCTTATCTATTCAGCTTTAACTAAATCACAGGGGTTTTCTCTGAACTTTGCTGCTACGTATCCATGACTTGTTGAGGGCGTGGTGCGAGTTTTCAGAACCAATCACAGTGAAGTAAAAAAAAAATGCAATCCCGGTTTGTTTTCGGTAGCCAAATGAAAATTAACAATACAGAATTGAAATCCTCAGTTGCCAAGTTTGGATTAACACTTCTCCTTTCGAGCTACTATAAACCTTTTTGCTTATTATTAATGAGAATTTGCGTCAAATCAGAGAATTTGCGTCAAATTAATTGGGATAACACACTCCATCTGTTGCTGAATAATGAACTTAAAACGTATGATTCTTTTACATTAAATCATTAATTTAAGTTAGATTACACCATACTTAAAAGCGTTTTTCCCCCTGATTAAATTCTCGTTTTAAATGATGATATCATTTTTATCTTACCGCTAATAAATTTCAACAGGCAGCCATATTCATGGATCACGTCTTTCTGCACTGAAGCTAATCTCAGGACCAACTGCTTTGGCCTGGCTCGAATTCCAAGTTTTTGGAGAAAGTCACAATCATCCTTGGTTAGTGGTTTGCCGAATAGTAACAGCTTTGAGTCACTTGTCAAAATCTGTTCAAACTGATGAAGGACATTGTAAAGTTGGAGTCTGCAGTGGAAGCACGTTGCTATGAGGGCAGCTCATCCCATTTCAGTCTATCGTCAGGTACTTCCCTCCCCTCCCCTTCCCTCTCCGAAAATCGTCAATTTTTCCTCAAATGAGACCTTCACCGTCAAGAAACGTTGTTAAAATATCCACACTTAAAAAAATCATCATTAGAGATAAAATTTGTTGGTATAGAAGTGATAAGGTATTTCGTAGCAGGAAAAATCCAGATAGATTCGGCTATTCTGAACCTGTAATTTTGTGTCACAGCTGCCACTATCATCTGCGAGACCCCGTGTCAGTTGAGTGGAAGAGTTGAGTGTCTTACTGAGTTAATTTTATTCACTCGGATAGTATGACGCAGATAGTATGGCGCGTTATTTTAAGAGTTAGTAATGGAATGTAGGGCGTTATCAGAACTTACCCAATTTAAATACGTAAATATCTGTGTTTTCAGCTGAGTACCATTTTCTGCAGTGATCAGAAGTTTTCTGACATCTTCTACTTTTTCATTATCTTTCTCTGTTAGGAAAATCCCACCTGAATTTGTGAAAATTAAATAATAAGAAAGACCTGAAGGAAATTGATGTATGTTCTGCTCGTTTAACTTAGAGATACTTAAGATTTTAGACTCTCGAGAATTCACTCTGGTTTTAACCTCGAGCAACTCTTACGCATCTTTCGTCCTCTCCAAACTGCCCGCGTGCTTCATATCTCGATGAACGCACGCTGACGTATGAACCAATTGTTTTATAACATTTTCAACCCGATGGAAAATTTTTTTTCGGGAGGGATTTGTTTACTGACGTCATCAGCGTACACAATAGGAATATGAAGCACGCTCGCGCAATTGAATTTGATTAGACGAATTTACTAGCTATGTTATAAATCACCATCTTCCATTCTTGTAGTCTGCATAAACAACACACTCACAGGTTTAGTACTCTCACCTGCTCTGGCTGGTACTCTGTTACCCAGACCGTTAGCGGATAGAGTAGATCATTTTGTAACTGACTTAAGTCTCTCATGGCCCTCCCGTGCGGGATTCTTCCCTAGATCCGCCATATGTTTATCAATTTCACGATTTCTTTCCAGTCTTATAAGAGAACTACATCACAATCCAGAAAGTCTTAAATTAACCAAACCAGAACAATACCTGGACTTAAACTTTCTTCCATTTCTAAATGCAACGCTGCTTGTTCGTCTGATATGACATCTTCGCGTCCACCACCACTCCGAAAGGATTTGCCAACAAACACGCCATCTTGAATCTGTAACCTTTTCCCTTCCTTGTTATAGGCTACGCGACAAAATTTAAAGAGAAAAGGCGCCCGAGACTTCCTTCGTACCATTGGCGGAAGGTAGGACTGGTTTGTAACGCTTCCTTTTACTAAGGAATCTTTCCCTAATAACCAGGCTAGCTTGGAGGGTGTGTGGACATCTCCTGAAACTGTTGCCTGAAAGAGGAAAATTTGAAATAATGCCAGGTAGAATGAGACCTCGATATCGCAATGTACTATTGAAATGAGTTTACATGCATCAGTAGTTTTTCTCATCTTTGTATTCGAGTGTATCCTGTCGTTCGTAACTGACCATCATAAACATGGTACAAGCAGTTTGTTGAATTCGTAAGTGGGCCGCTCGCTTTAATAAAGGTTTTTTCTTAGAGGTATTTGTACTCGCTAAAATCAGCCACTTTCCACGAAGATTGTCCCACCTCGAACATCCTTAATCTAAGAGTAGATTCCTACCTTATTGGCTATATTCTGAGAATCCTTTTCAGATTACGTTGTTTTCTTTAAGTAAAATAAATTCTGCTTTTGAGTGCAATGCGTGGCCGCTAGCTAGAGCTTATCGAAGCAATTTGGGGTATTATTACAACCTCTGGGAGGCTTGCTGGTTATCCCCCCTCTCCAAGAATTTCGTGACGTTTCACCGACGGTTTGTCGTCATCCACTTGTACTCGTGAGTGGAGAGTAGCAGTAGAAGAGAGAGTTAAGTCTGTTACTCAAGAACAGAATACAATGACTTACTCCGTACTCCGAACCCAGACCTCTCGACGCAGGGTACAGCGAACTAACCATCAGGGCCACCCTGTATGCCATGTTTTACCTTTTGAAAAACCTCTAATAACCAAAAAAAGCTTATGAACCGATTCTCTATTGAACGAGAACCTGCACTGATACGAAAAACTATACCTGATGCTTTCGGTTGCCTCTAAGAAAAAACTTGGCGCTATACATCACAGCTGTTACAAGACGCAAATGGTGACCCTCTAATGGTGTCATCTTATCAGGATCTAACACAGCGTGTGACAACAATTCGCGCAAATCTACGTCCACGTAATACTCTTCTGTAAGCTTGCCAAGCTCCAGGTCCCCCAGAATGTCGGTTAACTTTAGTTCCAGTCCCCCAGCGTCCAAGCTTTCAAGCGAAATATCAAGATTCCTGTCAATGTATCAGTTATTTTCAGTTCGATGAAAATTTCACTTAGTACTTAGTGGAGCTGTAAAAATCTTAAAATGTTAGCTTCATTGATCATTCTCAATTTTCTTTTTCGCTTTTCCTCACTCTTCAATCCTCATCATTTTCCCTTTTCCAATTTCTTTCCCATTTCGCCATACTTATGTCTCATTTTCCATTCCGTAATCTTCACTCTTCATTCCCCATTTCCCACACTCCACTCCATATTTTCCACATACCTCTTCCTATTCCACAGTACTAGTACACAGTACTTGGTCCTAGATCCCCAGTCCCCAATGACCATTCAAGCTTTACTCTAAACTCAGATTTGCGCGAAAGGGCTCGTAGTTTGTTGCATGACAAGGAATTTTTCCTAAAGGCAAACTTAACATTTTGAGGCGAGAGCAAAGATAAGGCTTGATTTACTGCGTGTCCCAATAACCGTTTATGGCCCCTGTTTAGCGGAAGTGCACAGCACAGTCGGAAACTGAACAAGCCGTACGGGGCATGAGCAGTACTTATAAAGAGTTTATTGAAAGAATGATAACTCTGACCTGCTGACATCACTCGTTTCTGTTTTTTCCAAATTCCTGTTTTCTTTCATAAGTTTTGACCGGCAGTAGTTTTTAAAGTGTTTCTCCTTCTCTTCAGTAAGATATCTGTGCAATCCACCAACAATGACCATTTCTCCTTTACCAAAGGGGCGCTTCCACAACGACCGCTTTCGTTTAACAATCAGCGCAAGTGGCGAGATAATGTTTGTATGGCCGTGATAGACTGGGAGGTAGTCTTTGCCGAAATTTTCTCGAACAAATGCCTTGATAGAATCCTGCGTCATCTAGGAACAAAATTATTGCAACCCTACATAATTTTTTGATATACTTTGATGATTCTCAAGAGGAATGGTGTAATATTTTCAACCAAAATGTTGCTGTGGGCTGAAAATAGGTCACCAGAATTGTCAGAATGATGACAAATAATGTATTATAACTCATGCATGACTTTTAAAGCGTTCTATTAACGTCCTTTGGGTTTAAGATCTCCCTATTAATTGGACTTGAACCCTGAATTTTAAGCTTCCTGTCCGAAAGGCCGTTAGATATGTATTTAAGGGCAGAGGTAACTTTTTGCGTGGTGATATTTTCTCTGAGGCCAAATTTCATGATCACTCTACAGAGGTAAACAAATTACTAATATAAACCTTTGTCGCGACACTGAAAAAAAAAATACAAAATTTACACTTGTCGTGGATAAACACATCATCGTAATTTCAAGACCATGGCCTGGTGGTTGGGAACTATTCTAAACAACTTGCAACATACAAGTTAATTGATGTGAAACTGATCTATCTTCGGACTTTCACTGAACAGTATGACAGCACACTAACATCTACTTAGACAAGTCTTCCCTATTATGAGATTCATTCTATTATGAGATGACATCATGCATCTTTTTTTCTGTAAGAAACTCAATAAATTTGAATGAGTAAGGAAAAAAAATTGATCAAAGATCGCATACGTACCTTGTAACACCATGGGATAACAAACGGAAGAAAATGAACAGATAAATGATGCTTAGCCTTATTTCCGGCTCCAACCGATGGCTGACACCCCGACAAAGAAACCACAAGACAATCTTTAGAATTTCACTTTCAGCGTCCTAAAAAATTAGTTTTGGACAGCTATACTCCAAAACAACTGTCTGCTAGGGTGAAAATAAACACCAAAACGGAAATGGAAAAATAAAATGGAACGAAGATGAAAAGCCTTTTCAAGATAGACCAAGATAGATCCACAAACAGTGACAGAACTTCAATTATCTACGGTTTCGAACCTAAAAACCTTGAAAACAAAGATGACTCATCACAGGATGTAATCAAAGAAAGTAAAAGGGTTTTTTGTCTTTTACTTTCTTCGTTCCCTCGGATAAAAAAGCACGAATAATTCCAAATCGATCGAAATGAGCGCCCGGTATTAATTATAAATCCCTTGTAACTCGTTTCTAGGGCTTTACCATTGAAAATTTGGTAAAGGAAAGGAAGAACCCTGGGAACGAGGTTGAACTTTTTGGTTGCCTAATTTGATACCAGGCTTTTTAAATTCACTGAATACTTTCAGGGATCGTGCCGGCGATTTTGCTTGAATAGGGCTGAATTCGTAACCACCTTACAGTCCTATGAAAGGCACCCCACGGAAGTTTGGGTGTGATTATACCTACTCTAAGCAAGAAAAACTCCGTCTGTCTTGCTCATTTGTTGAAAACAAAAAAGTTGTGTAATTTAAGGCAAATCGACTTAAGGGGACCAACAATCAGACGTTATCCCTGAACGCTCAGTATCAGCGTGCATATCACCGCATACTGTTCTCTATACACCTCCTACAGATCTAGAAAGGCGAAGTCTTCTTTTAAAGTAATCAGTGGTTTCTTTGGCTGGCGGTCATTCCCTTTACACATATTCACGACACAATGCTTTATTTAGAGGTGACGCTGTAAGGAGAAATTAGATTCTTGTCACCCTTTGTGATGCTTTAGACTCGGTAAACAAAACTCTGTCGGAAGCCATATGTTAAATTCATGTACCTGTAAAGCAATTTAATCCGAGATTCTCTTCCCGTTTTTTCAGTGTACAGTTTTTGTTAATGATAAACCGAAATTGCCCCTTCCCCCTACCAACCATTCATTTTTCTTAATTTCATCACAGCAGACAAGGGACCCCTTTGAAGCCCTCCAAGGAAGCCTAGGAAAAAAATATGCAAGTACTTTATTTTCTGGTCAGCTGAGTTTGAGACATTCCTCCCCCCAGGTAATGCCACCTTCAAGCCTCCATACTGTCGTCAAATTATTAATTCCATTACCTGAAGCTATCGTGAGCGCCCCTTATATCACCTATCCAAGATAACAAGAGAGTGTCATGGTTTCCTTATAAGGTTTTTATATCAAGCTTTGAGTGGTTGCACTCTCTTTGTTTGATATTCATTGTAAACCAGGGGGTATTTAGGCGTCAATTTATTCTGCCTTCTCCAAGCGATCAAAACAATAAATTTTCAGCTTGACCTAGGGAATTGTGTTTTTAAAAAAATCCATTATCGTGACCGACTTTGTTCTTTTGTTATTGTCGCGTGAAAGAGTCCACTTTGATCTCTCGATAATTGCGACGGCAGTCGACTAACGTATTCACTACATGATGTTCTTGAAAAGTGAAGAGATTGATGAATATCATACGTGTTTTCAACAGCCAAGAGATACCAATGAAGCGGTATTGAGTGCAAAACCTTCGGTGATTTAGGGAACTAAAATTTCACAAGATGAAAATTTTAAAACTTGGAATGGGTTTAGACACGTCTCTCTTCAACAGAAAAAAAATTGCATTGATTACGAGAGGTCAACAGAAATGGTTGGCAAAGGAAGTTAATTCTTTCAACAGTCACTGAAAAACAACATGAGGAATTTGTATGCTGACGTGAGAACTTAGAGTTAGCAAATATCACATTCTTTCAACTACTGGAGTAAGAGGAGCAAGGGATTACTTCGAAGAGAATATACCTTTTGATCAAAGCTCGTCATAGAGGTATCACGTAAGTTTAGCAGTCAAGCCAACATAAATATGATTTTGGTAAAATCGGAAAACTTTCGTGCTATCACATGTGACAAGTCATCCAAATTTTAGCGGGAACTTCACGACTCCCGTATTAAAACAAACCCTGCACTTTACGAAATTGCGAAATACTGAATCAGTTTAGCAATCTTCCTTCAATCCGACGAGGTATTATGAAATTTTAAAGTCTTCTTTCGCGTGCTGATGTCAAAGGGCAAGGGATTTGTTGACAAAATGCCCAACTTATACAGAGTATTTTTTACAGCTCCCGTCTCATTTCACAAATACAGAAGGTCTAAATCCCCAGGGATATATAAATCGTGGGACGGTTGATCTATTTGCCGAGTGTTGAAACGTTTATTTCCTGTTGAAGATTACAATTGCCACGTGCAGTATTCATACGGAATATAACGAAACACTAAGAAGAGTAGTTGTTTAGTTCAGCCAGCTATATTACTCTACCTTGCGGTCGCAACACACTCCCAGCTCAAGTTTACTTTTTGGTGACTTATGTCAAGAGAAAAATAAACAACAGTGCGTTTGTTTGTTTACGGGCTTTGCAAAATACATGAGGAATTTGGGCAAACGTGAAAAACATCATGCAAATCCCGTTATTTTAGCCGTGAAATTTGAATTAGACTATGTCGTCGAATGAAATCTTACACTAAAGAACCAATTATCTGAAGAAGTGACTTGATTTTATAGTGTTAATGAAAAGAGGCTCACGCCAATCTGGCGTAAACTCTTCAACATTCTTTCATGGCCACGAATAGTTGGACACGAGACAAAAGCTTGGTAAACCATTGTATACAACAACACAGTGGATTTTCTCACCTCTTATTCGTTTTTCACACCTATTGAACGCACAATGTTGTCATTTTTCATTAAGTCATTCCAAAACAATACGTGTGCTTGCTTGAACACAGATCTGGTCAGTGTTATCTATGGCTCTGTTTATATTTGGAAAAGAAACTTCTAAGCATTACCCTTTTCACACTGTCCTAAGACACGCTTCGGCAGGAAGGCAATAACAAAAGAATCAAATGCCCCCGAGGTCAAGGATCACCTATAAGTAACAAACTTGTGTACTTTTCGATTTGGTCGCAAAATTCCACGTTCTTGCGAATTTGAAGTCTGTGACCAATCACCACATCGGAAGTGAATTGTTTCTGTTAGATGCTTATCATCTTCGATTCTCGTTGATAGTTTTCTTAGCCAATAGGAGGGCTTCAATAGAGTTAACGACCGCAGGGTATTTAAACCCGTCAAGACCGACTTATCAAACCATATGCGATAGCTTTAGGAAGAAGAAACTTTGAAGGCGGAAAAAGCATTCAAATTTTTATTTGCAGCGACATTCACGCTTCCTACCTGAGAAGAAAGACCTCAGCAAGTATGAATTCTGAATTTCTGTTGGAGGAGTTCATGGATGCCAGCGCGTTAGATTTTACCGAATTAGAAGAGCAGTATCCACTATGCGGATATTTACCGGACAACACAGATGGCCTGGTCGATCAACATATTGACTCGATGTCTTTATCATGCCCTGTTGACGTGTACCTGGATTATCTGTTCTCCAAAGGCATAGTAGACTCTATGGACGAGCACATTTACCTGGGAGCGGATTGCGACGAGGTAGGCGAGTTGAAAGAACATTTAATTTCCTCAGTGTTCAATTCTTACTACAAGCAAACCTTTGGACTTGAAATGGGTTCATGTGTTAAAGATAACCTCGTGTTGTCCGCCAGTTTATTACTCCCTGACGTCAATGATTCAAGCAGTGATTCTTCCTCTATGAGCGACTCAAGCAGTGATATTATTTCCGATAAGTTAGAGGGGTTCGCAACTCGATATCAATGTCCAGGGCCAGAAGGTCAAACAGCGCTGATGGGCCTCCCGCTTGCCAAACCAGGTGCAGCTAAACAGTCACCCGGACGAGCAGAACGCGCGAGACGTCGAGTATCCACGCGCGAATACAAATGCAACTTCCCCGGCTGCAGCAAAATGTACACAAAGAGCTCCCATCTTAAAGCGCACATACGTCGCCATACCGGAGAAAAACCGTTCGCTTGTACGTGGAAAGGGTGTAATTGGAGGTTCTCAAGATCGGATGAGCTGGCTCGCCATAAGAGATCCCACAGCGGGATAAAACCATTCATATGCGACTTATGCGACAAGAAGTTCTCCCGCTCGGATCACTTGGCTAAACACAGGAAAACTCACTATCGCACAAGGAAAAACTCTTCGTTTGTTGTAAAAATGTAAAAAGACCAAGTATTGACTTAAGATTGATCACAAGAGCGGTACTTTTGTCCTAAGAAGGTAAACATTTTATGTGAAGTTTGTCGTTCGAATCCAAACAAGGGCAGAGGTTGGCAAGAGCACGATCTTGTTATGATTGATATCCACTCTCGTTTATCTTGGTTCCTATGTAAATATGTTTTTCAAATTCACTTCCGCAGACCCCATTCACAATAATAAAATTTGTTTTTCATGATATATGTTTTAGCTTTATCCCAGCGTTTTCACCAAAGAGGATTTTATCGGCTCGACAACATACAGACGTGAAAAACAAACTAGTTTTTATCATAGGTTATAAAAGAAACGGATGTATTTTTTCACTTTAAAGGATATTAAATTGCCTCAACAAGTTGTCAATATTGTAAACGACCCTGATACAAGCAATAAAAGTCCATATTTTCTCTTTAAACTATAATTTATTGTTATTATGACGACCAACATTGCACAGACCACCCTAAATCTCAGTCGGAAAAATACACGGGTTTGCCTATCTTCTGTCAACGATTATCTTTTGTAAATAGACGGATGCAAGAAAAACATTCTTGCTGATATTTAACAAGTTTATTTCCGGTGCATGTATTTACCTTGCGTTACGTAATTTGGGTTAGTAAGAAGGCTTTTCACTTCCGAGACCTCGCGGTGATTACGAGTTATTAATTGTCCTTCGCTGAATTAAGGGTTCACTCGAGCAATTTGCTTCTTAATCAAATAAAATTTTTCAAAAATATTGGGAATGAAGTTGGGATTTTTAAAAATAATCCCAAAAGTTCTCGGTACCGGTCGTTAATTTTTCTGCCAAATTTTGTTGCTTCAGGCCCCGAGCACCTTCAAATTAATTTCTACTTACCAAATGCCAATAAATATAAAATTGTACTAACACTTTTCTTAATGCGAGAGCAAACACAAAGTGAAAACCAAAAACATTCCTTTTCTGATCGGTTCAGATCATTTGATTACTTCGTAAATGAAAACTGATGTTTTTAGCATTATTTATTCCAGTAACAATCGATAATTTCTTCTGTCGGAAATTGAGGATCCCTGCCGTTTGCATGTCTAGGTCGCTCCGGTTACAAAAGCTTTTGTTCAGGTTCTTTCCCATCAAATTTTCAATGAAATATATCGCAATTGACCCGTGAACGACGAGGTCGATATTTTAAATATGCACACACACAGATTTCAAGCAATTTCACATGAGAATCAAATCTTCGGTCTCCTACTCGCGTCAAATATAAGTTGTATCTTCTATTACTTGCAATCGAATTTGTACAACAGGGTACTTGAAACTTGTCTCACTAAAACATATGGCCCAATACTTTTGATCTAGAGCATGGGTTATATCAAGCGAGAGAGCTGCTTATACCTATTAGCTTCAATCAACCGGGCAAGATTAGCTTCAAGGATTCTTTGAATACAACAACTTATTTCTTGAAATAACATTATACAACTGTGATAATTAACGATGGGACTGACCTTAGGCTTAGCATTGTTTGTTCAAGACTATGAAATTTTTGCGATTGAGAATTTCCAAGGATCTCACAGATTCAGTCAGCCGGGACATGACGGATAACAAACAAATTTACAAGATGCAGGTACTAAACCCATCTCAAAACAGCTAGGTAAACAACTGATCTCTGTGGTGAATTTTTATCTTGCTTCATGTGCTCAGAGGGAGAGTTTACTCAAGGTCACTATGATGAAAGATACCGGTTACTAAAAAAAATCTGAATGAAATTATTCATATTCTGGCTTGTGCGAAGCCACATGTTGCGAAAAGTCAAATTTTGAAGGGATCTGAACATAATAAAAAACCCAAATCATATTTAGGGACATAGGGGTGACCCCGTCGGAGCCTGATTAATTACAGGCTGCTTTTTCTGCTAAGTTTTCAATGGCAGTTTACATGTAAAATCTTTTTGTGTGGTATTTGTTGTTGCTTTTACTTCATGTGGGGGAGGAGTGGGAGGAGGAATCAGAATGTCTCTAAGACTGGACTGGTCAAAAAACTAGTCTGAGCCAGAATAATTATTATTAGTAATAGGCTCCTGATGAAAGTACAATACATGCCGAGATGAGCGCGTGGATAGACTTAAGTGACGTTATGTATCTTTCTTTTTTCTGTCGATTAAATTTTCGCGGTAACTGAATTTCGCGAAAAAACTTAAAATGCTAATGCATGAGCCATTGACAAACAAAAACCAGTGTTCGTTCCCAACAATGGTTGGCGATACAAATGGTTGAATACAGAGTTCAAACTTGTTGTAGATATTAAGGCTGTGCTCTCAGGCGGGGTTTTCCTCATCGTACTTCTTTCCATCCAGAGTGCAGAGAACTGTCGGGAACTTGATGAGTTGCTAGGATAGTTTGCAATGGACCAGCGTCCTGATTATGAAACATTAACTAGTACCCCTATCAGCCTCGTGTTACAACTCTGGCAGCCGTTTTGACTCTCGTCAGAGCACTTCACGTGGGAGACTCGATTCCGCTATTCGGGAGAGGAGCCAGCGCTTCTTCCCCGTCGATGACTGGAACCAAGAAACAGAGGACGTCGAGCTGTCGTAGAGGCACAGATATACTACAGCCTCGGAAGTGTAGCAGTAATGACACGGATTTTATTTCTTCGAAGGAGCACAAGTCTTTGAGAAGCCGAGAAGTGTTTTTCTGCGAGCTCTAGCAAGATTGATGAAGAAAAAATGATTAAAAATGATCAAAAGTAGACAGGATTCCTTTCTATTGTAAAAATCAGGGTATCAAGTTTCCTGTTGACAGTGTTAGGCTCTTTTCTGTAATTTTCTCCAATCTTTCATGGGTGAAGAATCAGTGTGATTGTTTTGACAAGACTAAAAAAAAAAATTGGATATGGTACTATTCCCTTTAGGTAAACCAAAATCCTCTTGACACACGATTTTATTATTCGTTGATTAGTTATACTGTCAATTCTAGGAAGGCTCGGAGATGTCTCTTGACACAATGTGACAAGCTCAAGTTGTGAAGAGAAGGGGAAATGGCTCAACAAAGATTTACGATGTAATCTTAAGGAGATCTTTTTCAGATAACAATACCTGGCACGGTGATCTGATACGCCAACCTGAGGACCTTTTGCGATTAAGGAAAAAAAAACACGAGCATCAGATAACTTCATAGAGTGGGTTTACGGCCTGTATCATTTGCCCTCATCAGTGTCAATAAAGACACTAACCAGGAGTCGGTGAAAGGCCAATTAGATGGTCGTCAGTGTCAGTCTCCTCTCTAATGCGGGTGCAAGGGTCGTGCAAGCTTTCGTTGCAACAGTTATAAGGCCTTAGAGATGCGTTTAGTCTTCAAAAGTGCTTAAGTAGTCAGAAGTGGGGGAGGCCTCATCCTAAACCAGCATCTCATTGGCATTTGATGGCATAGCAGGTTGTTTCATCGTTGCTCGTTTAAATGATTTCACTTTTTTCTACAAAAGCGTTCTCCCTACCCTCTCAACCCCTGTTCTCGCCTTTTCGCTTAGCGATTAAATTACATCCAGTTTCATCTTGCCTTGGTATTCAATGACTTAGTTTTCCGGGATATTCATCGGGAAGTTTTGCTAAAATTTATGAACTTCCTCAGATAACAATCGAAGCTCTACAGAAGGTTAATGAGAGAAGAAAAGCCTTATGAGATCAGAAACAACCTCGCGTGATCCTAAGGGGCCCTGTTAACGAGAGTGACCGGCCTATCAACCGACCCATCTGACATTTGGGCCTTTTTTCAATTGTGCACGTGGATCAAAATAAGATTAACAACTTTCGAGATCAAAGTTTGCCCTCAGTTCAGGTCATCTGTCAATTAATCATTTTCAGCACGAAATTATGTTCCTCAGGTGTCCTTGAACTTAGAATTACCGAGTCCTGTCCTAAAATATAAATAGGTGTATTTGTCCTTAGAGCACTGAACTTCTCTCGGTTTTTCTCAAAAGAACACAGACAGTTAAGCCGGTAAGCAAAACTCTCCTTTTCGTATTGACTGGTCAATAGTTAAGGCGACAAAATCGCGAAAACGAGCGGTGAAGCATCGATTTGCCCCACTCTCCTCACTGATTTGCAGCTCGCTTTCATGGCACGATCCACTGCAATAGCCACATATGCAAGCCAACAGTGTAACTTACTAGGTCACCCTCAGCGCACGTGAATGTGCAGTGAGACGAACCTTTGTTCGGTTACCCGACCGAGCGCTTTGGGTGTTGGGATTGAATCTCTGATCTTGCAAAAAAGAAAATATATCCATGTTCAAGAAATTGTGGCCGGTTTACTCATGTCATAACTGTGGTGATCCTCTTCTGTTACGGGAAAAGAGTTTCCGTCAGTTTTTTAAAACATGGAATCGCGAAATCCCTCATTTAATCAGCTTTTTCTCGATCAAAATTGCAGAAAATAGCCTCGTTCTTTATTCTAGTTCCTAGTAAGCCAGTAACAATATCGTTTAAACCTTGACTTCATCTCGAACCCTACAACGTAACAAGACAAGAATGCGAAAAAACCAAGAAACAACCAAAAAATCGAGCCTTGCCAAACAAGCTTGGCCAATATGGGATAAACATGTCCCTCATCTGTTAACCCTAAAAGCTTCGTTGTCTGGGAAAAGATGAAGAGGAAAATCGCCTACAAAGACAATAGTAGAATACTAGAAACGCTCTGATCTTAAATATTGTGTCAGAGTTTTCCTGATGAAATACACAGTTCTCAGTACAGCAGGTCTGATTTGCTGACTTGCTGCAACTTTTAAGTGTTCAGTGTATTCTTTCTTTGGCTCTGAAGAGTGACCAGCATCTGAGACTGAATCACACAGTAAGGTCATGAGAATAAAGGAAATGAACACCAACATAAGCAGCTCTTGATTGTTAAACAAATTCTCATTGACAGCACCTTGGGAAAGTATAGAGACAAGTATGGAGAATATGCATATTGATGTTAGGGTGGAAAGGTTTAACTCTCTTGAGTTGTTGACATCTTACTTCTCTTTTTCCAAACTTGCTCCAAGTCAGGATGCAGTGAGCAGCAAACAACAAAGTTTCACACAAATTATACATTTGTATGAAATCATAACAGAGGAGAAGAGAGCAAGAAGCTAAAACTAGGGATCCTTCTGAGGATTGGAAGGAGTCTTTCTCTGTGACAATACCTTCAATCATTCCATTTCAGGATGTATCATTTCCATTGATCTTCTGTTTAAAAATTGATTTCTAGAGTCACTTTCCCCACTTTACTATCCATTGTCTCCATGTCGTTATCCTCTGTCTCTTCATAACAAGAGTCATCTAACAAATCTATTTCTTTTTGACTGACTGGATTTGAAGTTGGGAAGAGTTTTAAACTCCACTCCTTAAGTTTGAAATGGTGTCGACGACCACAGAGGTGCTTCACCTGAAGTTAAGGTAGAAGGTAAAAACTACTGTCATAATTTGTGATACACCCATCATACAGTACTTGAGACCTGTTTTCAGTATAGATTCTCACATACAAGCATCTTGCTAATTAACACTTCCATGTGACTCCCTGGAGATTTTTTTTACTCCTTCTTACTAAGTACTATTGCTTTCATTACCACTTGCATTTTAGGCTAATATAACTCTTTAATGTCAATCATAACAAACTAAAGAGCATTAAGGAATAATAATATTTCTATGAGCAATTCAGGATATCATGGGTCTAAAGGTCCAGAATAAAGTAAATTAAGATGCAATTCAGACAGCATACCACTAAATGCACTTGGAATATGCAGATTTTTATCTATGTAGGCTTTCATCATTAACTAGAGGAGAACTATTACAAGTGGAGGAAAGTGTAACATCCTTCACATAAATACGTGTAAATTATACCTTGTAAACAAGGAGAAAGGGGGAGGGATACCACTGTTGGATCAGAACCCCACCCTGAGATAGGTATACGCTAAAGTATTAATACTGTGGCAGATCCAGGGGCAGGTCATGGGCACCTGGTCCTCTCCTTCCTACAGACATGTGGGTTTCTTTAGCATTTTTCTGACACCAAAATTCTTGCAGTTATAGGATAGCAAAATTAATACTCAAAAAATTATCCTGCAGTACTCCTTGATGGCTCATACTGTAACCCCACAGGGTTTATAATGAATTCTTGATTATGAGAGGATTGTGCTTTAACACGGTCTCATCATAAACAGCTAATTTTTATTTCAATTCTTAACTCACCCATTCAGATTGAGAGGTCAGCACAAGCTCACAAGCCTGGCAAACCCACGCTCCCTCGGAATTGTTCTGTAATTTAACCTTTCTGTGCTTCTTGGACGCCATGTGGTCATCATACATCTTAAGAGAAGTGAACCTTTTGTTGGGACATAAATTACATCTCAGCTTTTTGGCAGCTGTAACCTAAAAAATAGAAAGGGGATTGTTTGAAAGGGTTTCGGTTGTCAAAGCTAAAGGCTACTCTAACCGCCAGGTTTACCACATATTTCATTTAAAATGTTAAATTTTAAAACAGATATTCTTATATTGACTTACCTGTAGTCTTCTGAGGCTCCGTTTTGATATTTTCTTTTTCAAACTTTCGGGACTGTCACGATCACAGCTGTCTTCGTCCGCCATTAATTTTAACTAATCTGACCCAATCTCTCGCGGTTTGACTTTCAACAGCCGCTGACAAATTATAAGCAGGCTCATTCAAATCCATCATGGCGGATGAAGTGTACGAAGGAGATTCAGGGGAACTTCTGGCATCAAAGCTCGGAACTAAAGAATTGTAAGATATTACAAAGGATGAACATAATGTCCAGTTACTCCACCTACATATGTTGTGCTTGAAACTTTTCTTGGTTCGAAATTTTTTACCCAGTTGGATAATCATAATCTGAAACAATTTAGGAACCTCGAATTAGTAGCATTGCAGCCTCGTGGAGACTCTTTTGAAAATCGAAACTGTTTTAAAATTTTTATCAAACTCTATCTAGGAGGACAAGTCTCCTATGAAGTTTAACTGTTCCTGATCCCTGGCGTTTGTATCTTATCTGCTCTCAGGAGTGTTACATCAACTGACCAACACGCTCTTAATCCTTCTTGAATTGCGGTCGTTCCGCCCGACGAACAAACAGTGCATAAAATTACAAAGATTAAGCTGTTGTTCCATTCTTTTGATTTCTTTTAGTAATGTTTGTAGATATTTGTGGACCGTGTTATCAAAACAACTGCTCATTCAACCGCTGGGATATTGAACTTCTTCGGAACTTCTGCGATCAAAAGTCAGTATACAACTCAGCAAAAATATTAAATCATTCATGTTGTGTTTTGTTACAAAAACTCAGAAAACAGTAGTTTTATTTAAGATACATATTAAATAACTCTACACAACGCATCGATAAAACGACAAATACATCGGGCGAAATGACTTCGAAGTTCGGGCGGAAAATTCCCGGGCGGTTCGACTCTCGGGCGGAATGACCGGATACCTCCTTCTTATACACATGTAATGTGGTGTTCTCTCTGTCTCTCAGCCAATGTTTGAGTTAGAGAACACATTAGTAATACCGTCATTTTTTCACTTAACTAGTTTATTTGTCATTTTTTAGCTGGGATGAAGCCTACTCTGCAGAATTGGATAATTTTCATGACACTGGTGACGTTGGAGAAGTCTGGTAAAGTGTTTCCCATTTAGAGTTGTGTTTTGGACTCTCAACAATCTTATCACAATGATGTTTACTCTAATTTACCTTGATTTTTACATTTTTCTGCTTGAGACTTCAGATATTTTAATATTTTAATGCTTGGAAATATTCTTGACCATAATATGCTTATACTTGTCACCCAGATGGCACCATTATACCACATTTAAAGAAAGTGAAGACCTCCTGTTAGTTAATATCCATCATTTTTGTTGTCAATTTTAGGTTTGGAGAAAGCAGCATGAACAGAATAATTAAATGGATCAAAAACTGTCCAAACATAAGAAAGACATCACTGTTTTTAGACTTAGGATGTGGAAATGGCATTCTTCTGGTGAATCTGGTAAGTTAGGTTTACCAAACACATCTACACTTTCTTTCACTCACTAACTGCAAGTGCATTGCAGCCTCTGGTATGAAGGGCAACACCTTCATGATCACTGCCTCATAGTGTAGGGGTGGTTTTGGTTTCCCCCAGTCATGCCAGGTGGAGTGTTGTAGCCTTGATAGGGCAAGTTGTACTAATTAAGTCAAAGGTTAAAGGCTCATACAAAAACTTATCCTCTGGCTCTAGTAAAGGGGTCTGGCACAGGGAAACAACACTGTCCCTTTAAATGAGGAGGTGTATGCAGCTAGTCTCCCAGTTCAGTGTTTGAAAATGGGAAAACTGAAAAGACTTAGATGCAAAAAGGGTACATGTACTTTGAATTGAAATGCAAATGCAATGCAAGGCTTATACATGGAGTCCTGTACCTGTAACTATTTTTTTCAGGCTCGGCACGGCTACACAAGCTTGATTGGTGTGGATTATTCAGAAGGAGCAATCAACTTAGCCAAATCAATTGCAGTAGCAGAACAAGTCAAAATTAAATTTCTGGTTTGTTTTTTCAAATTTGATAATATGAACTCCCAAAACTGTATAATACAGAGGGTTTTTTGTATTGTCCCTCAAATTCATCAGGGGTGATCCTCTTGTGTACTTCTGTGCTGTACCCTTATATTTATGTACATTCATGCTCCTTTGATTTGGTCTAAGGAAGGTCTGGGGTTGAACAAAGCCCTCCTTTTGTTTGATTATTTAATTTTGACCCACTCTCCCCATCTTGTACAGGTTTTGTTTATGAAGTTCTAGTATTTGGGTGCATAGATTCAATCAGCCATACTGGGTTCAATCCCTTTCTTGCAAGCAAGGACTTTCCATAAGTCATCTTGTACATCATGGAACTATTACTGTTTGTCACTTCAGTGGTTAATTCATCATCCATCCCTTTCTTTCCAGAAATTTTCATCTCTAAACAAACACAAACAATAAGAAATGTAGTGTAAACTTATTTTAGTCTCCTTGGTAGCCATTCCTTGGGATGTCTTGCAGGGCAGAAGCCATCCCCCCTAAAACTATCCTCCTTCCCCATCCATGAAAAAAAACCAGACTCACAAAATAATTTTTGTGAATGACAGGTCTGTGACATCTTAAACACATCAGAGAGTAGTGCCTTGTGCGCTGGTGAGAAATTGGATGTGTGCCTGGACAAAGGAACTTATGATGCAATCAGTCTCAATCCAGAAGATGCCAAGGGCTGCCGGGGAAAGTACATTGACAATGTTTTTAGTCTGCTGGCAGCTGGTGGACTCTTCATCATCTGCTCCTGTAACTGGACAAAGACTGAACTACTTGAGCAGTTTAAAGACAGTAAGTATAAACAGATCTTTTGGGTTCTTTTCGATTTAGAGACATAAGACCAAAACCAAACTTTAAACAACTGTCCTCTCAGGTAATTTTTGGCTGCTTGACGACTCACCTTGTCATTCTCTTTGTATTTGCTTTTCAACAGAGTTTGAATTTTTAGAAGACCTTCCCGCACCTTCCCTTTCATTTGGTGGTCAGACAGGAAGCACAGTCACAACTCTGGTATTTAAAGCAAGAAACACTTGACAATATGGGCAGTCACACTAAAAGTTGTTACCACTGGCACATGGTACATAGTGTAACGTGTACTTAAAAACAAAGCCATTCCAAGGAACACGAGTTGTTGATCCCTTCAGTTACTGAACTGAAGGAGGTCTGGTGACGAGTTCGGTCTACCTTGATGATTTCACAGAGAAAAGGAATGAAGCCAACCTGGCTCGCCTGTAGTTACCAGTGCCTTCCATAGGAATGTGGGGTACAGTACTGGAAACTAGGATTATGTTGAATTCATGAGAAGGAGACCCAATGAACTGAAAAACATTGAAAAAAGACTCAGTGCATCAATTGTATTATCGTGATTGTTGAAAAGATATGTTTGGTCAATGGAAAGCTTTCGAACACAACGGAATGAATCTACTTCGTTTCATTTTTGTGAAAAAAGAGCTTTAGGGAATAGGTTATTTGCAACTGTTAAGTTGGCATTGGAATTGAAAGTATGAAAAAGAAACTACAATAGCTGTATGAGGTGATTTGAGTTATTTTTAGAATAAAGGAAAATCTTAATGTTTACATCAAAACTTCATTGTAATTACGGGCACAAATATATATATATATATACATGTTAAAATAACTTCTAAAGACGAAAAAAAAAGCGAAAAAAAAAAGGAAGCAAAGGACTTTATTTTCGAGTGTTAAAAGCCAAAAAAAAAAGGGGCATCCTTGCCTCAGACTTTTTCTAAGGGCTCGACAGTTATTTGCACGTGTGCTCCACTATGTTAGTTTGTCTTGATGGATATTGTTTGATCGTCTAATTTTGCGCGCGCTCGTTCGGGGCGCGTGCAGCAAATTTCAACGTAATAAAAGAGTGTGAACCACAAATCGCGTTATAGGATGTAGCCGTTTCAGCCGCGTTTGGGTAAATCACTCAAGAAATTTAGCCATGATAACGTCATTACCGCGCCTCAGAGATCATAAGGCAAACGTTGGAGATATCGTGCCTCGTCTCGCAGCAGACAGGAGAAAGAAGGTAAGATATATTGTTCCCTGTTGGGAAGAATGTTAGGCGCTAGGTCTTGGGATGAAATATACGTGTAAGTCCCCACTTCAAAATGCAAGTGGCGGTTGACTAAATCATCTTTTAAAGGTGAGACTGCAAACAAGAGAGCGAGTTAGACGATACATTATTTGGTGCAATGAAGGAAAATGTAGTCTGTAAATCTCCCAATTCTAATGTGTCTGGTGTGGCCCTAATGTAAACACGCGGGAGGTTGGGAGAACACGAGATAAACGTAGGAAACCACGACGGGAAGCGGAGTGGTTCCCAGCTTACGTAAACACGGAAACCATTTTACATTTCTTTTATAAAATAACTAATGAAAGAGGAACGAAAACCGTGTTTACATACGCTCATGTAAAATGGTTTTATGGCCAATCAGAGCGCGCGTACTATTTGAATTATTTTATAAAGACATATATTGTATATTATTATAAAAGGATATTCAGTCCACTCAGTTGTTTTTTATCTTCTCATTCTCCTTTCTGTGGTCACATGAATAGAACGGGACATGAAAACTCTCTTCTTTGTAGATCTCACAGGTTGGAAAGGTATTCCCAAAAACTTTGGTTCAAGAGCAAATCGATGAAAAACTTGATTTTCACTGCGTTAGTCTGGAGAAAGACAAAAATATTTTATTTCCCACCGTGGGGGTGGAGAGCGGTTCGAAGAGTCCTGGGATAGCGGGCAAAGTACCTACACCATCTGTGGAGACTGGGGACGGCCCAGAGGTCACTGTAAGTAGCAGCCGCGTGACCAGAGTGTCACAGTATTTTTACTGCTAAGCGATCTTTGTATTCAATGCTTACTCGTAAAAGAATCGTCCATCATGTATAGGTTATATGTAATTGTCTTTGAAGTCGCGCGCACGCACCTCTATCCTCAAGAATGAGATCTTCATTACCAATTTGGATTTCAGTGACGATTAAAATCGGAATACTGCATCCTTTTTATTTAGATTTTTGTAGGAAAGAGACTTTTGTTGTTAAGGATGCTTCACTAAACACTGAAGGCTACCATCACTCATGAGTCTTAAGCGATATTTCCGTGTTTTCTAATCACAACATGACTTTCCAGTGATAATTGACAACTTCATCTGAAACAAGATGTACTCATAGCGCACAATTTGCGCGATGTTATAAAAAATAGTTTGATTTGTGGTGGAAAAAGTTCGTTTCCTTTTTTTTCTGTTGGATCTAATTGAGGTTTAACAGAAAAATAAGCGATGCAAGAGTTGAATTTTGAAAGGTTGAAATGCAGTCTAGATCTATTTCTCTCTCTGATAAAAGTTGTGTCAAAAGATGGATTTTTTTATACTGCTTTAGCTTCCGGAGTTACCCAGTGTGCTTGGCGGGCGTCGCGTCTCCTCCTCGCCTGGTCCAGATAACACTGAACCGCTGGATCTGCTGATCAAGGGTGAGGCTCACAAAAAATCTCAGACTGAAATTACCGCAGACACGGTTGAACCTGTCTCTGATATGGCGGTAGAAGAGGTAAACCTTTGAGTATAATTCCTACATATATTGTTCTACATGTTGATGGTGTTTGGATTCCAAAAGCCTACATGTAGCTGTGTCCCATTTCCTTCCTTGTTTCAAGCAAATTTTGGCTGGGGTTCCTGTGGATTTGGAGAAATACTTACCTTCTTACTTCGAGGACTAAGAGGTCTTGTTTGATAATACATTTTTTTTTACGAAAAAGAATTCCTACTTCTATAACAATTTCTATAAAAGCACCCAGAATTTGAGGGATTTCAGTCACAGAACATATTGGTGCATACTGGTCGTTCAAAAGAGGGAGCAGTACTTTTAGCTCCTTCTAGAAATTGTTGGAACCTCAATCCGTGATGTGTCATTCATAACCCAAGGAAATCTTAAATCTCCTTCCTACGTTCCCACACCTATTAAAATTGCTATCAGTGTCAGGAATAAGAACTACTATAATTCTTGTTCCGTTTAATTTTTTTAGAAGCTACCTCACTGTCCTTATTCTTCACCAGGTCATTATTTCCAAACTCGAACCAATCATTGACTCTCTGTTTGAAGACGATGAGCTTTTTGCACAGGAGTTTGAAGAAGATGGTCTAAACCGTGTCCTGTTCATAAAAAAGATAGGAATTTATGTTGAGGTTAGTCTTGTCTTGTTACATCGCCATCAACCCTTTTAACGTATAAGCTTTGTTTAAACCCCTGTTCAACTTAGAAAACACTGATAAAAAGTTGGCAAAGTGTCTGTGGTATTTATTTTACTTCCAAAGCTGTAAGGGAGGGGTAACAAACTGGCGCAAAATAAAAAACCTTACAGATGTGCGAATTGGTAGGTCCATTTCCAGCGTGAAAGCTATAAAGGTTATGGTAGGCGATTGTTTTCCCATATTTCCCTTTTCACTGTGCATTCTCAAGGCGTCCTCTTTCGCGTTTTAAAGAGCACCTGATCTCAGCGGTTAACTTTTCAGAATACAATAGCAATTTTTCTTGAGGTACGGGAAACATTGCAACATTGTGATCTTGCATTCCTGGCACCTTTTTAGTTTTTATTATTATTGTTACTATTGTCATGCAATGAAATTGTCGGGGGAAAAACAATCGCCGTAGTCAGCTCTTTTCAAGCTTTTCGTGTCGTTAAGTTCTGGTAACCCATATAACATACAAACCTAAGTATCTACAATCTATACAGAGGATCAGGATTCTCCTTTGCCACAAATACGATACTTTTTTATAAGATAAAAACCAAAGACTACATACCGGGAGTGTTTTGTACGCCATTGTTCCACTGTCCAAGATGTAAAGACCATTGGGCAGAATTTGGATCTGTGCCAGCAAACTGTCAGTTACCACAGCAACCAACTCGTGGGCCTGCAATACACCTGGCCAGTAATATAAAGCGGAGGTTCAATGACTGGAGGAGGAAGACCAAGAGAAGACTTGGGTTTGTAATTCTTCTCTTGTACTCTGTAAGAGCACTATTAATTCAATTTCCGGCCTAAAGGCAGTTGAATGCAGTCTTTCTTGTAGCAAAAAATAGCTTTAATTTTCAATGTGTGAATTCGCTGAATGGTAACACATGAGAAGTGGTACAAATTTTAATGATGTTTTATCTGATTTGCAGAGACATAAAAGAAGGATACATTGTATCAGGAAGTGGGACAGTACTAAACCAAATCAACGGACAAGACACCAATACTACCCTTGGTGAGGACAGAAAATCACTTGACTATTTGTTGTCTAGTGAGGAAGCGCTTGAAGAGTTGAGTCTTGGTGTTATTGATTCTGGGACAAAGATAGAAGCGTTTAGAGTCCTTAGAGTGGATGAACAGACATTAGACGAGGATTATGTGAAAAAAGTCGCAGATGCACTTGGTTTTAGTCAAGAGCAATATGACGATTTTGCGCGAGTCAACTTAAACAAAGTGAGAATGGATTATGATGTTGAATCGGACGGAAAAACATCGTTTAAGTCGCGGCTAGATTTATCAATGTTGGATAATATATTAATAAAGGATTTGCCTGAGATCATCAAAGAAAAGTTGTTGTCGATACTGCGATTACAAAAACAAAGAATGAGAAGGAAAAAGAAGAAACAGATAGCGACGTCTATGAATGGTCCTGATTCTGTTGAAGGGAACTACGCCCAAAGTGAAAATACGTCTGAAAGCTTTTATATCCAAGGATTTGATGACGAGGATACAGAACATGATTCTAACTTAATTGAAAATGGAATAAGGGCTTCAGTGAAAATGAACAGAATAAGAAGAGAAAATAGTGGAAAGCAGGGAAGAGGGCAGAGAACCGGAGAGGGCCTGGGGAATATGAGTGAACAAGAAACTCGTAAGTACAATTTTTACTCCATGGTCGTCATTGGGAGACTGAGATTAAGGTTATCACTGGGAAATAACCACGGCAAATGGGAATAAGATTAAATGCGATAGAACTCTAAAATTTGAAAAGAATTCTAAGAGAAAAGTTGGATTCCCCCCCACCCTCGAACCCAATAGACGACCCTGTATAAATAATCTGGCAACCAAATAACTTCATTTGCAAATTATTAAAAATTGTTCTCAAGGAGTGGTTTAATGGGTGAAAACGACATTCAATCCGACAATCCATTCAATTCATGTTATGCAAGCTTTTGTAAAGATCGTAGACGTGGCGACCTAGGGGTTACCCCCTTACCCTTCTGCCACACCCTTTCGACTCCAGAGCGTCCAGTCAAGTTTGGTGTCCTAGTAATTGCTTTGAAATGATCATTTTGTCAGGGTAGACAAATACCGAAACGATACAGGGATTGTTAAGGAAGTAGAATATTATCATTAACTACTAAAGATGAGTTCTAAAAGTTTCGGTTAGATATTTTAAGTTGCTCAAATTTTGACATGATTCCTTTGAAATGAATCACTTGTGCTCATCCGTAGCTGGTAGAAAATTATCATTGGCTGGGGGAAGTCATAGGGATACATCAGCCCGTGAAGGAAGATCATCTCGAGTGTCCACTGCTTTATCTTCACATTCAGATGGGAAAGAATTTTCAGCACCAAGATCACCAAGTAATGTCCTGGTCTACAAAGAGGTAAATGGCTTAGACCCAGATTTGTTCTTTGGCTTCACTGAGTACAGAGAAATATATTTATGGATTTAGTGTTACCGAGTTTTATGTTCGTGTGTAATTGGACCGGTTTATCAGTACTTGCCTTAGGTTTAGAGCGATTTTGAAATAACTGTTCTCAGGCCCGGTCGACAGATATTTATCAATGGTGCTATTGTTTACAGGAAATCGATTGGAATGATCAGGCTTGACTTGGAAAATGAAATGACAAACATTAATCAAAGTAGGTTTTAGACATTACCAATGACCAAAAACTTTCCTTGCTTCAGTTACAGAATCAGCGACGCGCTCGTAAAAAGAATACTAGCGTAAATAACAGATCAGGTCAACCAGACACGCCTTTTCAGAGACTTGGGAAACATTCCATGACTGTGCCCGCAAACAGCCCTTCATTTTTTGCTTACGATAATGTTGATTCTGATGAGGAGACCTGGGAACAAGGGAAGGCTTTTAGAATGGGTTCCAGTCGTGATGGTAGAAGAGATTCACTTACATCGCACATGTCCGAAATGTCACGTGGAGCTCACGAGACCGATTCAAATGCTTACTTCATGTCTGACCCGCCACATAGTGTTAAAGGGACTGAGTCACGCTCCTCTATGTTGCAAAAGTACAGCAGGGCAGTTGGAAGTGCGCATGCTCGAAAGGATGCATCTTTCTCTAGTAAGCACGGCCTTTATCTAATTTAGGGTTATGATTTTTTTCTTAGTCTTTTTCTTTTTGTTGTTTTACTTTACTCCTTCCTTCGATCCTCTTTCTACAGGCCTTTCTTTCACCTAAATAAGTCTGAAATATACCTACCAGTGCTGCTTTCTCAGATATCTTGATTCACCATAAGTAGGCTTCGCTCCTTACTAAAAACGTTGTTTCTTTGTTTTTATTCGATAGATTTAGATGATCAGGCCTCTTGGGGCACTAACGATGGAAGTATTTACAACATCGGAGACGACCCATCAGGCTCCAGATCAGACAGACCGCGCCGTTTTATAAGAAAAAAGGAAAAGGGAGATGCTGTTAAGAGGCCTGGAAACCACTACCATAGCAGAGTCATAGACGATATGCCCGTAGGCCAAGGAAGTCCGTCCCTGAGTCACGTGACACCGTCATTTGTTGAAGCTAATGTGACGTATGGATCAAAAGCGAGGTTAAGCCAGGCGCATATTTCACTGTGTGATAGTCCTTCACTGTGTAGCACGATTACGGGAACCCAGGAACAGAGGGTCTCGTCAGCGCTCATAAAGCGATCCTTACGTTCTGCTTCAGCAAAAGAGCCGTCCCAGAGAAAGCAAGAAACAATCGAATTAGAATGCATGTCGCAGAAACAAGATAATTACGCTCCTCAAGACAACCAGGAAACTGTCATCCGCATAGAGAGTGATTCAACACATTTTGTGCAAGCGCAAGAAAACCAGACCAGTCCAAAAGAGGAGCCCGCTAAAAAGCCCAGTGCAAAGGTCTTTAGACGGACATTTGAAGAAGAGTACAAACCACTCGTTTCATTGGAGGATTTAAACTTTATTCATAGACTTCCGGTATCAAGTGCGTTTACGTATTCGTTTTATGAGCTGCCCAGTCAGCATCGAGTTCACAATAATTCAATCAAGCAGGCCGTTGGCCGAATCGGTCGACGCAAAAAGAAGGGAACTGCCCAATTTCGGAGTAAAAGTGCTCCTTGAGATAATGTAATGCTTCAATAACATCGAAATATTTTGTTCAGTTTAGTCGAGGATATCGTGTCTGATGTTAAGTTCCACTGAATTTCGTCCACACACACTCCCTACATAGACCACGTTGTTTATTCTGGTAACCACCTGCTTCAGTGCGGTTTGAACTTGTTTAAGAATCAACACAACGAACCTGAAAGGCCAGGTAAAAAAACCATCAAGTAACTTAAATTCAATTGATCTCTGAGAATTTACTTTCTCTTTAATGATAGGTTGAATAGTAATAAATGAGTTAGCTTTTATTAATAAACTATATTGATTACCAATCTCACCTATATGCAAGTTTCTACCGTTTTTCGAATCCAATATCCGGGGTGAAACGTTGGCGAACAACGACTGGTAATTGAGCTTGTATTTTGGCTTATGCAAAGAATTCAAGAGTAACCCAATTCATCATATAACTGTCCCTTTTAAAACCAAAAATTCAACTCAATCAAAGATCATCTTAAAAAAAAAAAATTCAGAAAAATACGCTGAAAATCCTCGCACATGGGTTTGTGATTCACCTCTTGCGACAGCTTGCATCTGGCTACAAACACTTTACTACCTTAAATCCGTGAAATATCTTGGAAGGAATGTTATGGTATTGTTAGATTTTCATCCGGCGAGGAAAAGAACTAGGTCAATCATTGGTAAGCCTTTTTGCAATTTTAATGCATTGTAGAACTTATGCAGTTTTTCATTTACCTTAAACGCAACAAAATTATTTTTCAGGTTTTGTCACGCTTTGCAGTTGAATTCGGCCTTCTAAATCGGCTGACCACAGCGCTCTTTGTAAAAGAGAGATCCATTAGTTCGGAGAGCAGGGGCACTTAAGTTTAAAAGATTGTTATGCGATAAAATGAAAATACGCAGACAATGAGCTTCTGTCTAAATTTGTGTAAACGATTTGTATTTAATTTATTTACACTAAAAATGATACCGGACAATTCTTTCACAATTTCACGAATATCACTCAGTGTAAAGGATTAATTACGTGAGCCTTCATACTACCACTGAAGTATCACGTTTTTTTTTTAAAAAAAAAACGAACGTTCCCGTTCTAAACAACTCTACCGTTCTTATTTCAAAAAACGTAATGGAAATTTTGGAGTCTGCATAAGAAACAGCACAATCCATAAAATGACAAGATGTAGTCCTTTAACGTGGTTTACAGAGGAGCAATATCTATTATAGCTCGCTCACTATGTCCCAATCAGTGGAAAACAGTAGTTTACATGAGCAAACTGCAATTGAGATTCAAACTAAAACTCACCAGGAGAAAAACTGCGTAGAAATTGCTTCATTCATACAATAGCAAAAATTAAAAGTTTAACTCGTATTACATACTAAGAATGCTAGAGCCGAATTAAAGTTGAATACAACTTGATATCTTCTATGGGTGCACTATACGCTAGCTTTTTTTCTAAAACCGTTCCTTTCAATCATTATCCAAGGTAGCTCCGTAACTGGTCCTCTCTTTAGTCTGTAGGATGCCCCTTGACGCCAACCTCCAGCCCAGTCTCTTCAAAAGGCCCTTTCCCTGCGGCCATGGTCTCTTGAGTCGGTAAAGCTTCCTCCGGGCTATCTTTGCTTTCTGTCCCACACCTGGCGCTTGCTTTGAGCGGCTTTTCGTCAGAGTACTCGTCATCTTTGAGAGGTTCCGAGTCTTCGCCTTCTTCTTTCACTTTATTAGGCCTCTGGGTTTCCTGGACAATGTGTTCAGGGCTCTGGTCTTTTGTTTCCTCACCAGATTGGTTTATCGTTTCTTGAGCGAGGGTTTCCTTCGTGAGTTCTTTCAAGTCACCTTCTTGGTAAACATGCCTGACAGGGTGACCCTTTGACTCGTCCTCCTTCTTTGGAGTTTCTTCGCTTTCCTGCACAGCTGTTTCTTCCGAACGTTTCTCGTCTGCTAACTCTTGGATCGGCTTTTCTTTCATGATCTCCTCTTTGCTTGAACCAGGAGATAATTTCTCTGCTTCGGGTGACTCTTGCGTAGGTCTTCTCGCCTCTTTACCTGACGAATCAGAGATGGCGTTCTTTGATTCTTGTACCGGCCTTTCCTTCATGTTTTCAAACTCGAACGATTCGGGAGATTTTTGCGCCTCTGGCGTTTCTTGCGTAGGTTTCCTAGCATCCTTATCAGACGGCAAGGATTCATCGCCAGAAACGGGAGGATTGCCTGTGCTTTTTATAGGAAAACCTGATTCTTGTTCCGGTCTTTCTTTCATTTTTTCCATCTCACTTAGGGAAGCATGCTCTGCAGCAGGTGCCTCTTGGATGGGCAATCTTGCATCTTTATCAGACTCCACCCCTGGTACCTCATTTGGCCTGGAATCAACGACTACCGACTCATTCTTCTCAATTCCTTGTTGCGGCACACCATTTGAATCAGCACCCATGTCACTTCTTTCCATACACGGTGGTGAAAACCCTGGCGAAGGTGAGGGCGACTTTGGATCATGAACTGGGGTTTTGCCAGACGGTGGAAGTGGTATTTCTAAAGGCCGTGGGGTTCCTGTCCCCGGAGGCGAGGGAAAAGAAAAATGCCAGTAAACAAAAACAAAAAAAGAGAAAAAATTGTGACGTCACTTAAAAGCAGCGAATGAGTATACTGATACTCGTTCGCCCTAGTGTCTGTTTTGCTCCATTTAAAACTTCATCGTTGTAAGTCTTAACCTATTAACTCCCAAGATCTCACTAGTAATTCTCCTTACTGTCTGCCATACAGTTCTTGTGATGTTAGTTTGGATAAACTTATAATCCCCTACTTGATATTTTTCTTTATTCTCATCACTTGTCTGCTTGATTTTGTATTGATATTGTAAGGAGAAATTCTGCATTGGTCACTCATAGGAGTTAAAGGGTTAAATTACTGAAGACGAGTTAATCTTATATTGTACTCAATTGGATAAAATTTTTCCAGAGAAATTGGTTTTATACTCTTAATACCTGTTTGTGGTACAATAAAATGACATTCTATGTAGAAGTTACAAATTAATCAGCTCTGAGAGTTGAAGGTTTAACACTAACCTCGACCAACATTCATTGTATTCACGGAGCTGTCTCCTCCCCCCACAAAGACAATTTCAGCGTGTTGGATAGTTACGTTGCCGCCTGCACAATAAAAAGCAAAAGAGGTTACATCCAAAAGCAAAGGTATCATTCATAAGCCGAAGTTATGTTTTGTTTTAATCCAGTTCAATACGTTTTATGACCTTATTCATTTAATCAAAATCATGAATAGTTTGTTCGTTGGACGAATATAAATAAGAGAGAGAAAACACATTTTAGAGGGCAAAATGCAAAACAAATGGAGGGGTGTCTGTCGGGATGTCTGCCCCGTTGGGTTCAATTGGCAACTTTCGAACAAACCGCACGCGCTTGTCGTACTTAATTCTTTACTGAGCCACCATGGTCTATATCTCTATCACGGTAGTGTACATAACATGAAATATGCAGTTGCATTTCGCTGCAAAGTTTTCGTCCTTGGTAGCTGCGAGTTTCTATTTCTAAACTTTCCGAGAGTCAGATTGGCGAAAATAATTGTCACCAGCCCACCCGAGTCTTCTCTTTTATCAATCAAACCCCTTGTTCGGCGCCTACTAAAACTTGAGTGTTTTGACTTTGTTTGTCTTCATTTTCCAAAACTTCCGCGCGCATGCATACCTCGATATACACACGCTGAGCATGAACCAATTCTTAAAATAGTAAAATAATATCGTGAAGTCATATAATGCAGTGGTTCCCTTCTTACCTCTGTTTTCATCTCTACTCGGAAGGCTTCCTTGATACCCATCTCCTCCCTAGTTCAGTTAAGTACAAATAAATGGCGGTTATTTTAGGGCCGTCATGACATTGAAATACAACAAAAACCTAAATATATTTGTCTTTCAGGACTCACAGTTACAGATAGAACAAGAAAAAATAAAAGGATTGTAAAGGTGGCGAAAGTTGTATAAGTCGAGGCCAGCACTTTTTTTTAGCAAAAGATAAGTTTTCCATTAAAAAAAATAAAATGCTAATGAGAGCATTACCCGGTCCTTGTCCAAGGGGGAATTTTTTATCGTTGTTAACATGACGAAAAACAATAAGTTGTTTTAAATATTAGAAAAGAAGGGAATAATCAAATGCATACACATCTAGTAAAGTCAACAAGTCATTATACTTACAACATCGTCAACTGAGCAAAATGGAAAAACTCGACCCAAACATTGCTTCTTTCGCAAAGATTCACTGATAACCTATAAAATGACCGAAAACTAAATTAAACTCGCCCGTCTGTAATTAGCAAATCTTTCTTCTACATCGTGTAAGGAACCCAGGTTTGATAAGCTTCTAGCTTCTGCTGGGTTTCCTCGCCACACTACTTATAAATGACCCTAAATCATAATTTTATCTAGATTAAGTATAGATTATTGTATAATGATATTATTATAGTTATTATTTTAGATTGTTGTATACAATTGTAATTTATTTTTGTATGTGTGTGTGTGTAAGTGGCAAATAAATAATAATAAAAAAAAAATAAATGACAAGAACTCTTCAGAACAACGACTTCTTTCTTTTTTTGCAAATTTTTATATCCTACGAGGTGCTTAAAATATCAACGCTTCTAACAATAACAAAATAAAACTCACGTATAATTTCGCAACATTATCTGCAGTACTACTCAACTGATACAGTGTCAACTTAGAAACTGCTCCTAACACTTTGAACCGACAGCGTGCTAATAGACTTACTGGCATTTTCTTTCCCTCACTAAAGAACTAATTTTTCTTTTAGTTTCATTAAGTTTAAAGGAATAAATATAATATTTCCTAATTCAGTGGTCTCCAGAGGGATTTACGATAGACTTAAAACGAAATAGCTTGCTTCCCTTAAACTAAATTTCGACTTCATCTCTAGAGCTTAATTAGTAGAATGTTTAGCAACTCGTCTCGAAGGAAGTGCTCGCATAGAATACCATCATTATTTTAATTAACGTTAAGGTTATTATACTATACTCTTTTCCCAAATTGCAGCAGAAAACTCCTACCTTCCATCCTCTTCTAGATAACGTTGCCAAGTGTGTGTGATTACCAAACAAGTAAAGACCACAGCGAGCCCGAGAAATTGCCACACACAAACGATTCATTGACGATAGATAGCCAATCGTGGATTTATTGTTACTTCGGACCAAAGATATGAGAATTATATCATTCTCTTGCCCCTGGTCAGTAAGAAAAAAAATGAACAGTTTAATGGATTCGCTAAAAATCGCCTGTTATTATTTGTGTTGAGGTTAAGTTTTAGGAATCAGGTGGCTCAATAAGTATGGAGCTCATCCCAGTTCCATGGCATGAAGGAAAGAAAAGGATGCTTGCCTATCGCTGATTACCCCGCACCAATTCATCTTTTGGAAATCAGTCTGTAAGTCAGTTGGTCAGTTGGTCAGCCGCCAGTCGGTCAGTCGTTAAATCAGTCAGACAGTCAGTTAGTCGGTATGTCAGCCGGTTAGTCAGTCTGTCTGTCAATCAGTCAGTTGGTCAGTCGATCAGTTTGTCAATCACTTGGTCCCCAGAATAAAGGGGGAAAGTTTCTAAAGAAACTGCGGTGGTTCGTCGGTGGGAGAGTATGACGAGATCATTTGGTTTTATTAACTGAGTTGATAATGTAAATTGGCCACCGTAAAGAGTTTAACTCAATGAAACCATCAATCAAATGAATAAAGGTGTAACTTTCTTAAGAAACAGTGATGCTGCGTTGGTGGGAGAGTATAACAGGATAATTTAGTATTATCAGTTGAGTCGATAACGTAAATTGGCCTCTGTAAAGAGTTTAAAAGCTGATGTTTCGAGCGTTAGCCCTTCTTCAATCGCTGTGATGAAGGGCGAACGCTCGAAACGTCAGCTTTTAAACTCTTTGTGGTGGCCAATTTACGTTATCGACTCAGTTGCTAATACTAAATTACCCTGTAAAACCATCAGTCAGTCTGTCGCGTGGTCAGAAAGTCATTCATTCATTCGGTCGGTCAATCGGCAACACAGATATTGAGGCAGTTATAGATAAAAATTTAAGTAATTGAAGTTGACCTTCTAAGCATTCTTGTAATGAGGAATACCGTGGCATGAAACATCGACTTCAGATATGTCAAAACGACAAAAGATAGATAAATTAGTAAATCATCCACAGAGAAATTAGCATAATCACTTGTTTCCGATAACTATTCAAGATCACTAAGTTTTCAGCGTCCAGTTTGCTTACCTGGAAACTATCGATTGTGGTAACCTTGATATCTGACAGTGGGGCGAATTTATCTGCCTGTTTGAAATGCTTCGTTATTTCGGTGACCTGAAGCGTCAACAGAAACGAATCAGTTTAAAAATTTTCGATTTTGACAGTGGGGCTAATTCGCTATTAGACGGCACATCAATAAGGTAATCATTGAGTAAATAATGAAATATTCCTCTTTCTCAGAAAAGTTTATCTTGGTGGAAATTGTGTCTGAGTTACACTTTGAAGGAGTCACAGGACATTTTCACTACCCAATGGATAAATTGAGTTTGCTTTTCCCTCCAAAATAGAGACTTCTCTTTGACGACCTCAATGGGTGAGCTGTCAGAAAACATTTCTGTTAGGAAGAAGCCTACCTTAAACAGTACCTCTATAAAAGACGTCTCTTACCTAACACATCCCTCTAAGGTTGATGGGAACTCAGTGAACGAGTTAAAAGAACAACAATTAAAGTACAAAATCAAAATTATTGACTGACCTGTCCTCGATATGAACAAAGAACTGTAATCTTTGATGGTGGGACTCCCCCCTTCTCACAAAATGTTTTTGCAACTTCTGTAATTTTTCTAGCCTCTGTAATATTTCTCTTGCTGTGGGAATTCTTCGATTCATCTTCCCAGTCTGTATGAGTCCAGAAATACATGCTCGAATCGACACAAGCTGGAAAAACGTTTCTTTTTACAAGCTAAAAATGAAGACATATAAGAAGAGGATTCAAAACAAATGTAAAAATTTCGTGATTTACATTAGTCCAGAACTACGTAGCCTGTATAGCTAGGAATCGATTAACATCGTGATTGACACAACCGCGCCAGTGATTGACACGCGAGAGCGAGACTTCACGCGCACATCACGAAGACAATTTTGTGTTTTATTTAGAGAACACCCTCCACCTGATAAGTTTCTTTTTCTCATCACCTGATTGGGTAATTTCATAGTTCCGTCAGCAGATTATTTTAAGAGGCTATTTAAAAACTGTTCCAAATTCCCAGGAGTGAAAAAATCAGATCGTTACCTCGTGTTGGGTCTGCAGATTGTCATAAATCTTAAGTTCTCGGAGCAAGTCCACAATCTCATCTCTCATTCTGCACTGAAATCCAAGCTGTATGTATGGCAGCTTGCAGTTGATAAGTCTCTCGAAAAGGGAGAGATCAAGATGATGGTGTTTTCTGAGTCGGTTGAAATGTACCACTGGCCTTAGTTGTTTATGATCACCGATCATAATGAGGTGTTGTACAGAGGGCGGAATGACAGCTACAAGCTGTGCTTCGAGGATTTCGGCAGCTTCCTCCACTATCATGACAGACGGTTTAATGTCAGCTGTGTATAAAATTGTAAGTGATAAGATATTAGATAAAGCGCGCCTCTGTAATATTCTGTTAGTGCCCGTGCAACCTTAACGTACGGTTCCGTCATGCAAGAGGCGCTAGGAGAGAGTTTGGCATGACGAGCCATAGCGACGGCTACGAGAGGGCAGGGAAAAAAGAAAAGAAAAGAAAGCAAGTCATCAATTCGGAAAGAAGAAAGAAATAACAAACGAAAAAATAAAAATGGATGAACAATTGAAAGAAAGAAAGGTATGCAAAAGATGGGGAGGGAGTATGTAAAGAAGGAATGAAGTAACAAAGGAGTCTATTTCGAGGACGTTTATGGCCAAAATGTTGCTTTCGGTGACAGATCCCATCAACTTTATTTATTTGCTGTTGACCTCTGTTAGAGAACCAATCAAGATTTATACATGACAAAAAGAAGACAATGAAAAAACAAAGAAACCAACCACCTGCTAGGCTTTTTTCACAAAAGCAAACCCACCAAATTCATGGATTTTAATCGAGCCATGATCAACGGCTTTAGTAACGGTCCTCACCCAACAGATTTGCCCTCATAGTCGCTCCAGTCACTGTCATTCCAATGACGTGACATTTTTTCATCACTTCAATGTCATGTTGATTTCTCAGCTCCTTGAGTTGATGATGTATCTGTTAGGTAACAAGAAAAATCTTTTTCTTAGCTACCATGCGCCTGTATATAAAGACCCGTTGAAACGGTCATGATATTTGGTAATAGTTTCAACTATCACGCAAGTTTGAATAAGAACTATCATGCAATATCAGCGACTATCATCACCTATCATGTAGTTTGGACATATTCAAACTCGACATGATAATTTATGATGGTTTTTGCCGTTTGAACGAGGACATTAGATTGAATGATAGGAAGGGGGGAAAGAGGGGGCGGGAGATCTTGAGGAAATGGAGTGGGGATGAGTCGTCACCACCAAAGTGTATAGAGGGACTGTAGAAAATTGACTGCTTATTAACTGCAAATGACGGAAGATCATAAGAATAATACTGAGCCTTATGAGGGATTAGGTAAGTTTTATCGTGACACAATCAAAATCCTTCGACACCCCACCCTCCCCCGCCCCTCGACAAAAAAATAACTCATCCTTTTACCTCTGTGTACAAGCTGCTCACTTCATGGAACTCAGAACAGGCTTTCTTGTAGAACTTGCTTTGCAAAACATACACAAGCTGGACTCTTTCCTCTTTCGCAAGATCCCACACTTTGACGTCATCCAAGAGATTTATATGAGGTATCACCTCTAATTTAAAAAAAAGGTAAATTGCTCTTTTACTTGTATGGTTATTAAATACTTCTTGCCTTAAATACGAGGCAATAACTGCCGCAGTTTGATCACAGCTGCGTATTCAAAGGTTAGATTGCACTATCTATTTCCTCATTGATTTGATGAGTTTTCACGTACGTAACAACAAGATAATAATCCTGTTAATTAGCATTACCTACATCTGACTTGGTCGCGACGTTCCGTTGATACAACGAGCAAGGACTTTCAACATCTGAAAGTTCTTAAACGTCAAGGGGAGCTATGTTTTTATTTGTTTGTTTGTTTGTCTTTATCATTCTGTTGGAAGAATATGCCTCTCTCTCCGATAGCAAATGTATTGCTTACTTCGAAACTGATACTAAAAAAAGTTGGAAACAGAATTACAGAGGTATTACAACATCCTCTCAATATCCGGGTTTCAAAACAAAACAGAAGCAATTTACTTGTTTCATCAACACAAACTAGCTTGCGCTCCCTTGTTCCACGATATGAATCTCCCCTTTCCTGCTCTTCATTAGCAACATCTTGGGCGATTGTTTCGTCTTCTTCATCGCAGATGGGTTTATCCAAAGCGAGAAGACGCTCCTTTCCCTCCACTGAAGGATCTCTGACGTCGCTTGGATTCTCCTGCTCTGGATCTTCTTTGCTTTTTTGCTTCGCAAGAGCAGCTGCTACACTAGAGTCGTAGGAAAAAAATGAAAAATGCATGTGTGTTTTTCGTGGAACAATTTCTCAAAGCCAACTACTGCAACTAATGCACCGTAACCCAACCCTACAGCACCGTAATGTGTCTCGTGCGTGTTTACATCAGACGCCGGCCGACAGCCTGAGCATACGGACATCCAATTTACTTTCCATGTGAGGAATGCACTAAGGTTCACAGATTTCAGTCGGCATATTTGTGATGGTTTGTCCGACGTAAGGTTTTTTTTTGCTGCAAGTTATCGCCGTTTTTTCACGGTAAACGCAACAGATATATATGATTCTGTCAATCCTATGTGGCAAGGAAATTCCAAGAAAAGAGAAAACTTGCTGCGAACGGCCGTAATCCGGCCTGGAACTTGTGGCTATCATATACACTTACTTTCTCTTTGGTTTGGGCTCCTGTTCTTCGCTGACAAACTTATCGAACTCTTCTTGGGCGGGCAACCAGTCCCGCAGTGCATTTTTCACAAGTTCTGGATTAAAAAAAAACTTTTAAACAAATTATCACGAACAGATCTACGGTGGCGGTCTCGCTAATAAGGTGCAACCACACCCTCAGTTGGCCGCTAGGGTTTGAGTGAGTTGTAGAAAATTAACCACTTCGAGAAGTGTTTTCAAAGAAGTCTGTTTCCAGTGGAGAATCTGTGCGGTTAAGTGCAGAAGTTAGGCGTCATCGTAGGAATAACGTTTTGTGTTTATTAACCCGGCGTGGTGAAGACGGGGCCTAGAAGAATCAAGTCATGGTTTTTATGTGGGAGAGTTAAAAAGGCAAATTTACTTTTGTTGGCTAAGAATTAAATTTAGGGTTGAGTACCTAAAAGTCGAGCATTGCTCCTAAGGCCACCTCGATCACTTCCTTCGGTCAACTTCTTCAGAAAAATTTCCACCTCTTCTTCATCAATTGGCTCACGTTTGTTGTCCCGAAGAAGGGACCTAATCTGGTCTACAGATGCTTCCTTGTAAAAACAATGGAATTAAATGTACATCAGATTTGATGATAAGCTGAATTAAACAAGCCTTTTGATTGGTTCTCAGCGATGATCTATTGGAGAACAGACGCATATCGGACGTCACCTTTAACGACATGTTGCTTCTTAGCTATACTTAAACAAATAGATCCCATGTTGCCGTCCTCCCTGATCGCAATAGATCACATAATACATCAAAATATGGTGAGAACATAAGTAACACACTGTGCCTTGTGCGCCTTTTTTTATTTTTATACATTTTGAGGCCATCGGTGTTTTATCACTAAACAGACATACGGCACTGAACATGGAATCTATTCGTTGATTTGATAATGGTGGAATCATTTTGAAAAATTACACAGTTTGTCGAAATATCTCAAAAAAACAAAAAACAAAAAAAAAATATATATATATAGCCGTAGGTTTTGGCCGGGTTTTTAACAACAGCTGTTTTAAACTCTATGCTATTAGCCATTTTGATTTGACGCCAGGTTTTAAAGTCAAGCACTCTAAATTCTGAACCAGGATAATTTGATGCTGTAACTCTATTTTCAAACTAAAAAATATATTAACGTCACCCAGATAAAGTCAGGTAGTTACATACTTCCAAGAACATCTCTGCACTGAAAATACTGGAAAATGCCAACTTCTGGTAGGCACTTCTAACTCGAGGCTGCAGAGCCCAAAGTTTTCCTGTCAGGCTTCTTTTCCGCTCATACAATCCCTGAGGCCAATTTCGCCCAACCTAAACAAACAAACAAACAAACAAACATTCAAACAAATGAAAAACCAAAAGTGTAAATAAACCATTGCAGCGGCGTATTGTTATCCCAAATATTGTTTTTTTTCCCTGAATATTCCAAATCTTTGCTGTTTCCCCGTGTATAGACAGACTTTGGTCGGGGCGTAATTGTAATTTTATCCGAAAGCGTTTTCCAGATACGCGGGAATACTTAAGCATGTGAAAGCTCCACCAAGAGGTGTACAACCAATCAGATGCCGCAAAACTAACCTGACGCAGCTCGAATCGATTTCATTTCCACGCGCTTGTAGCTGATCACGTGTACTTGACTAAGATTCTTATTGGTTCATGCAGTGTTTAGTTTATTGCGATTAACCACCTCGTTTGCTTTCTTACTTAGTGGAAAATCTTTGAAATAGCTTTCACGAAAACTGTCACCGAATCATTTGACGTGGTTGATTTACAGACAAACCTCTCTTAGCAAGAGTCTCTTCAATTTTTCGTCAGCATCATCAGGCAAGTTTCCAACACGGACAATCTTCTCATCCGGGGATGAATTTTTGGCGAGAGTTTCCAAGAAATTGTTCAAGGCGTGATTCTTATAGGTCACAACCTGTAAACCAGGATATCAAAAATGAGACAGCGCTGAAGATGGAAACCTTAAAAAAAGGAAACAATATGAAGCCACACAAAAAGAGAGTAAATGGTGTCAAGGCTCTGCTCAACTGTAGTTTTCTAACTGTACTCGACACTTTCTTTAAATTATCCTTAGTAGAAAAAGGTGAGTAGTGCCATAAAAGCATCATGAAGCTGTCCCTGTTTCTGAGCACTCAGGAAGAAATCATGGATTGTTGTTATTATTGTAAATTCCCCCATATAGTTGCTACACTTTTTCTTGTAAATTAGTTATGAGAATTTGCCGTTAGATCAAGATAACAACTTCTATCTGATAATTTTGAGTATTCTCTTTACCTGTTTTCTGAATAATGTATGAATATTATTGGAAGAAGTTACTTCTTAATCACTTCTGGGAGTTAAAGAGTTAAGGAAACTCTTGGCAAAATTCCACTTCAATTTGAATCCTCACAAATTCTGATCTGTGAGTCTGCAGGAGCAAGGTTCCTTTTCCCTAGCTGGTTTGTTTTGCAGACTGCAAGTACTTAACAACGCACTTATGACATAAAGACTGCTAAACAGTGGATTATTTTACCAGAATAGGTCCATGGCTTTGTGGCACCTGCATGGACAAAAGAAGGCGCACTATGGCCTCACCCACAAACGACTTTCCAGTTCCTGGAGGACCCTGTGGAAGAAAGGAATAGCAAACATTTTTCATATGACCAAATAATTCTATGTGGATATTGGGCGGATACAAGTTAAAGCATTACCTGAATCAGCACGAGCTTGGTTTTTAGTGCCAGTTCGACTGCTGCAAACTGTGTTGGATCAAGTTTGGATTTGAAGTTGCTGTTCATTCGCATTCCCTGGAGATCTTCCAGAGGTGAGTAAGGAGACTGTTTTTCCTGAAAACTCAGAGACTCCTTATGAAAGATTATCTCCCAATCTGGGGGACTTTTTATGTCAGCTAAGTATTCAGCTGGCTCAAAGTACTTTGGTTTTGGGTCAACCAAGAACTCTTTAAATGGAACATGATCTAAAGAAAAAATGGGAAAACAAGTTTGTGTTTTTCATCTCTTCTTGTGTTACTGACTGACTATCAAATGCTTGTTCCTTAACAGTATGTCATTTATACCACAACTAATTCTTAAACTTAAATGTGTTTTAAAGTAGTGAAAGTATACAATGTGTGTAATGCATTGCTGCTTTGTCCATTTTAATCCAAATTAAGATCTTGGGCTGATGATGGGAAGACTAGTAGAAAAGCTTTAAAGAAGTGTCTCTTAGCAAGATCTCTTTGAAAAGAAAAAAAGTGCAAACCATTTACTAGTAACCTAATAGCTATTTCTCTGGGAATCATAAATAGTTCTTCTGTTGCAGAAAAATCAATTACATAAACATATACATGTACATATAAGAAATTAAGCCAAGACAATAAAGCTAACAAAATTCATGGTTGAACAGAATTACAACCTATAAATGCCCTGCAAAACCAGTTCAGCACTCTTATCAGTGAGCTGAGCTATCAAGCAGTCGGAGAAAATGTTGCTGACTTTTTAAATGAGAATTTGCACTAACCCTGTAATGGATGATTTCATTGAAGGGAATATAATGAGAATCATTTCATAAAATTTAATCAAACAGAGAAAGGATCTTTCCATCTTTATTCTAAAATCCAAATGTACAGTTTCCTTTATCTCATTTAAATCAACATCATTGTCTATAACCTTTGTGTTGCAGTACTTCCATGGCTGAAGCAAATGCCTGATAGAACGTGTGGCTCTGTGCCATGTATGCTCCATCATCTGGAGATCAATAAAAGGCTTGAATTAAACATTAACCATTTGACCTGGCCTACTCACTCCCTGCTTCAGCTCATTGAGCAATGCGCTCTCAATTTTCCCAATGAGTCTGAATCTATTCAAGAAGGATTCCCAACCTCAAGTTCACATTGTCAAGTTACATTCCAATAATAAATTAAAAACTGTGAAAGACATGTACAGCTTCTCATGATAGCATCAGGTTTCTTGCTAGTATGATTTCTACTCAGACCCATCACCTTAAAAACAATTTGCACCCATCTATGTCCCAAATTCAAAATTCAAGATTTCTCAAAAGAACCAAATTAAATCATTACAATGTTGTACAACATTTCAATAAGTAAATATGAAAGCTAATGTATTTGAAAGACAGGCCTTTATTTTTAAAACTAATAACTAAATGTTTTATTCCCTTGACAAAGTTTAATAAACGATTGATTAGAACAGCCTACAAACTTACTTTTGTTTGTAACCTCCTGCATCTGTGTAATAAACTCTGCTTCTGAAAGGTCATTTGCTTTGTCACAAAGAGTAATCCTTACAATGCTGGATTTCAAACAACAATATCAACCAATTAGCTTTACTTACAGTAGGTGGAAAATTGAAAGTATAAGTGTCACCTGATGTGGACCTTCACGTGCTACATTTAACATTATTCTATAAATTAAAATTATAAGTGTAAATTAAAAGTATGAATTAATATTTATCATAATAAATGAAATATTGGTTTTTATTCAAGATATAGAGGCTTCCTTAGACTGATTGATATTCAATTCCAGGCCAAAGGGCTTCTATTATAATCTTAGAGAGGTTCTTTCTAGTTAAGACAGGGCAATTTCAAAGTTGGGTTGCAAAATTAAATCAGAATCATTGATGTATGGCAGTAACTCAGAAAAGTTGAAGAATATAACAACTTTGATTTTATTAAGTACAATGTTCAGCAGAAATACAGAACTACCGGTATTAATATTTTGATACATCTGAGGCCTCATACATGACTTTGTATATACTGCCCTGGAGGTTTTTTCCCATTTAATTCCTAATTTATAGACATTTAAAATTCTTCCAATCTCAACAAAATTTGGTGCAAAGAATTTAGACTTAAAGTTGATTAAAGTAATTTAATTACCTCTGGTTAAAAATATGACGTTCCACCAGACCCCAGATCGGTTTTTCAAAAGAGCTATCCAAGGAAATACACAGCAGATCTCCATACAGGAGGAAGTCTTGGCTGGAAAAGATACAATGAAATAATGTACTTAGTTATAATGATGTCAAGCTAAAAGAGGAATCTTCTCAAAAACAAGTCATCCAAAAATAATCCATGTTATGAACTTAATAGAGTGCTCCATGCATGCTGCAACTGTTTTGGTCCCCAAGGCAACTACTAATTTTTGTAGTTTGGCTCAGTTACATATCAAAAGAGCAACAAGATTACTGAACTCTTTGATAAATGTACTTACTCAAGCTGATCATCACTTTTTTCAGATGACTCTGATTTCTTGTACTCCAGTGAAAGTAACATCATAGTTGGAGAATTTTCATGATGCAGGGAAGCTCCTCTCAGGAAAACTCTGAGAATATCAAATTGATCACACACATTAAAAGCAATACTGACAATTAAGCATAAATGTTTTGTGCATTTACCAGTCACTTGTTATGTAGTCTAAGAGACTACTACATGTATGAAAACATTATCCATAAACTATCCTAGGAAAGCATTTAATATGACAATGTTATTATATTGTGATACTTGTTTCTTCTAGAAGGATAAGGTAAATCAGATGTGGTTCAGCAGAATTATATTAGGTATCAGTATTCATGACCTGTTCACACACTCCTGATGATATCAGAAAGTGCCAAACCGGTCTAAATATCATCCTATATATGTGAGAGTACAACAGCAATTATTTTTATACCTGTATATTGTCGTATCTTTTGAACTGCATTTGTCTCCATTTATAACAAAATCATGGATTCCTTTGCGTAACTTATAGAAGCATTCCTCTCTGAGAAGTCTGAAGTATGTATTTAAGTATTCCTCCTCTGATTTGTATGGTCCTCGCTGTCTTATCACTGGCAAGTCGTCTGTCTTCAATCCTAAATATGAAGACTGCATGAGTATTTATAACACAACACCATCAACAAAGCCATTGCCAGCTTCCAAAAAAGATTTTAACTCTTGACCGACCAAGATGGAGTTTTTCCTCACAGTATCTGACTATATCAAGTATGCAAATGATGAGAATAAAGAAAAATATAAATTAGGGAATTATCAGGTGATCCAATACCAAATTCTCTAACTAACATGACATGAATTTTGTGGCAGACAGTAAGGTGAATTACTAATGAGATCTTGGGAGTGAAAGGGTTAATTCTACACTGAATTCCTCTAATACTCCATTTTACAGTTGTTCACAAACTCTATTACACCATGCCAACTAATTGTCCTCTTCTCTATCACCACTAGGTCTCCATTGTCGCTATGTTCTAACTCTTTGTTCAGAGCTATACACACAGCTGGGCAATGCACAATCATAGGGTTGAAAGTCAATTAAACAGTTTCTTCTATTCCGTCACTACGTAAAATTCTACCCCTAAGCTATTTTCCAAGTACTCAGACTTAGAGAATATTCTCTTGCTGATGTATTTCTTAATCAATACTCTGATTCTATGATTGCCATTTGATTTCAATAGCTTAGATTAAACAGTTAATAATACCACATTGTAATACACTGAATTAAGGAGGGGTTCATCATCAACAGATGGCCCCAATAATAATTATAAAAATGAATTCAATTAACTCTTACTGGGTTCATGGATCTCTTTCCCCACTGGTATCAAGGGAAGATCTTTCCATTGCAAAGCCTGAACTTCTTCACGGCCTTGAGGCACCTCTAAGGCAATGATGGATGACAGCTTAGTTAGGAAAACTATAGCTGCTCGTCCATTCTCTTTGGCTGTCTCTAAGTCACTGGAGTTGTCTACTAACTTATCCATAAGCACTTTAGCCAGTGGTAAAACTTGTGGGCCAGCAGCTGGAATAGCAGTGACAACATGTTCCAGAATCTGCTGAACCAAGCTGAAATTTGACAATTGACAACTGATTGTAAAGGAAATGTGTAATATTTGAATTAATTCACTGTCAGTTAAATTAAGTGAAATTAAATCACATTTTTTAACAAAGATCAAGGAAAACAAAGGGAGCAACCCAACTCAACTACCTCCCCCTTCTAACCTCACCACCAGCTCTTTGCCAGAAAAGGCTGAAAACTCATGATCAGCATAACCTGGCATGAACAATATGGTAGCATATAACAAAATGTCTGCAGCAACAACCACCAAAAATTTTTCAAAAAAAAAAAAAAGCAAAAAAATACCAGATGCTAATAGATTAGCAACAATTAATAATCACCCTATTTAAAACTCCTGAGATCTAAATAGTGATTCTCTACAATCTTTGTCATTCATGATAAGTGTATCATTTTAGTTCCAAGAATTTGGTGATCAATTAAACAGCTGTTGTCCCTCTAGCTGATAATTTTTTTATTTCTCATCACCTTTCTTCTTGATGAAGTATAGAAATTGTGAGGAGAAGTTCATGCTTGTTCATTCCTGGAGTGAAAGGGATAAAAGAATAAAAAGTAGTACAATTTTCAGTTATGTTTATACTTACCTCCCATCTTCAATAGTCTCATTGACAAAATCTGGAAAGACTGATTTGAAGAAAGCACTCCCCTGAAACTTTTTCACAAGATTAGTGACTGTGTGTGACATATTTCTCTGGGCACTGGAGCAGATCTTGTCAACAATGGATAAAATTTGCCTAGCCATTGGTGTTGTATACTGTGCTTTGGGAAGTTCCAGGATGTATTCCCATAATGCAGTACATCTAAAAATGGCACAGCACAAAATCAGTAAGTCATGTTACAAAATTGCTATAAAGTCCCTAAACAAATCAATTAAGAACTTGTGATGCTTGCTTAACTCTTTATCTCCCAAGATCTGATTGTTAGCTTGAGAATTCTCATTGCCTATTTCTGTAGGTAGTAACATGATTGAGAGTGCAATTTGGTGTTTATAATTAATCAATTAATTAATTGAGTGCAAGTAGATTTTTCAAAGACGACAAAATTACAAAATTACTTTCAGAGCCCATTACAGTGCAATTTGTAGTGCAATTTGTAGTCTTTACAAAAATTTACGTGTTTAATTATTACACCAAATTGCATGAGAAATCATTTTTTTACTTATCAATAATGTATATGACAAAACAATCAAGACAGAAATAAATTTGCACTCATGTTACAACTTTGCACTTGAATTACAAGAGAATGCACTAGTTTTCAGCCAATCAGATGCTAAAAAACAAAGTTCTAAGGAAAGCTGGCAATAAAAACTACAGTATCTGATCCATATTAAAAGTATAACAGTACTATTCAGTAAATAAAGTTACATGCAACTGGCAAAAGATGTACCTCACAAGTTCAGTCACTGCAGCAGTTGAGCCTTCACTTGCAATCAAAAGGTTCAAAAATGACTCAATCTCAACCTGATCACGATGGTAACACCTGGCAAAAAGACAGGAAAGACATTGTTTGAAAAGTGGGAATGCATGAGGGGATTCTCAAAGATGCAAGGGGAGGGTTTTACTTCTTGGAGATCTTCATGGAGATGTGCAGCCTAATGTTCTCCACATCCTGGCCCTACTTCAGATGAATTAACACATACCATTTTCCACACCAGTTTTTTGAACATGGCATCTGGAAGATGTGCATGATGAAAAGCATGATTTGGAAGTCAAAACTGTCTGGGTCTCATTTGGAAAGTAAAAAAAAGGAGTAGAAAACCATTTCTCAATTTGCTATTGTTGTAAGTTCAGAGATCTCTATCAGGTTTTTAATTGCCATCACAATAAAATTAAAATTTATAACTGATATAAACTATACCTACTTTATTACTTCTGGTTCCATTGCAACTCCTTCCTTTCTCCGACATTGTGTCACTTCAACAATGTCCCCAACTTTGAGATCATATCCTCTGAGAGATTCGTTTTTAACATCAATGACATACTCAATCAATGCTGAATGGCCATCTTGAGGTTTATGACGTACTCTTATTAGCACAGATGCCTTACAATGGCCTGCATGGTATGTACATTTCCGTATCACAACACCGCAAAGCTTAAAGTTTTCCTGAAATAAATCAATCAGGGCAGAGCTTCTTGAGTCACAAAACTCAGAAAAACTGTCATTCTGTTCTGCTTCCTTGACAAACTGTTTGAGTTGTTCAATAAACTCTTCTGGTGTTGTTTTTGTTACTATTAAGCTTGCTGATTTCTGCTTTTCTTCATCTAATTTCTGCTTTTCAATGAAATTTTCCAGCAGCCTTTTATGGTATTTGTATGTGGGGTGTTCCTCAGACAGTTTATATCCATAAGTTTCCCAGCCAACTGGTACTGACACATGAGTTAGATATTCCAAAAGTTTATCCTTAAACTTCTTGCGTTCAAAAAAATCAATATTTGGACATATTCTAGACACTAAATCATCCATATCTCCATCTTGTTTGGTAGCCATCACTGAAAATTATCCTGTTCATTCCAGAAGATTTAAATTATGCATACTCAAGAATACTTCTGGGTGAGGTGGGTCACTTCCAGAGTATGATTAATATATTTCTTGCCTCTCATGGGCATTAAGAATGAAAAATTAATCTCATTTCCTGAAAATACAAGGCTAAGGGTCCTCCTGAAGACTGAAATGAAAGTAGTACAGTTTGCCAATGCCAAAACATGGCTAGTGTCACAGTCTACTGTCCCACTCTCCCCTGGATAAACTGACGTCACTTCTCTATGTGACCTTTCCAAGAATCCGACCGATAACAGAGGTCATTTTCTGAGAAGTGAGACCCAATGTCAGTCAATAGAGATTTCATAGAAAACGCAGTTGTTTCTCTCGAAAAATTTTGCCATAACCTACTGAACTAAGGCCCCAAGTCGTTAAAAACCAAGCTGTGCGGTGTAAGCACATACATCCATATTGCCGCCATTTTGTAAAACGACCACAACTATTTAATCACCAGGGTAGAGAGGGGAAAAGAGTTTTCCTACTGCTGTAAACACAGGTATGCTGAGTACAAATGCGAGAGAAATTCATTACTTGAGTCGTATTCTTAAGCCTAATTACACTGCTTTAGTGTGAAGTGTACAGATCCATCTAATTCTAGATGATAGAAGTAGGTATTAAAGGGTAGAAAAGCCTGAAAATGGACCTATATATGGAGCAAAAGACTGGTCATGCAAGTATTGAAGTACACGTCGTTTGGCATCGTTCGCGGAATTTCATCTCTGTTTCTCCCGAGAGATGATCTTAAATTCTCAAGGGACCACGAAACTGATAAATGCAGGGACAAATGACTGTTTAAATTTCGCTGGAAGAAGTATGGTAGCCACTATGTGTAGTATGTTACATTTGACAAAAACAGAGCTTGTGAACGAAAAATTAAATAGCCTTGCGTGACGCAAGGCTATTTAGGAATTACCCGGAAATGAAACCCGAAGGAGCTGTGTTTCATTCTCAGATAAATTTGACAAACCAAGATTTCTTAAGACAAAGGAAAATTTTTCTTTCTTGACCCACCTACGATTATACTACGGTGACCACGACAGGTTTTTAATCTCCTCTATTAAGATGTCGAATGATCGAAGACCTACAGCTGTGACAAGGGTGATACCAATCCCCAAAGACAAAGTTGGACTTGTCATTGGAAGGAGAGGATCAAGAATACAGGAAATCAGCGGGCAAACCGGAGTCCAGATATCAATTAATAAAGAAAATCAAGCGCACCTAAGAGGCACGGTAGAACAATGTCAAAATGCAGAAAAGTTAATAAAGGAAATCGTGACGGTAAGGGCTCATTAGTGGGTAAAAGGAGGCCGAGTGTCTGTATCTAACTCAGTGTCAATTGAGCTGTTCTAGATTCTGTACATTGGATGTTTTTGTTTTCGAATTAAAAAGAAAACTTTAATCAAAGGACCAAGGGGGTTGTAAATCACCCACAATGGTAGGTATTTTTATAAAGTATAAATGTAATATTGGTATGAGGTGGCTATCTTACCGCAAGTTTTCTTCAGCCTGCTGCTTTTAAACTCTCTAGATCCGTCATTGAACTTCCCTTGATTTCATAAGATACAAACCTTTAAATATCACTGATTGCATATGTTATACATATGAATTCTCAAAAGTTTCAAAGCTCGTGTTTATTCTCTCTCCCCAGATTTTTTTTAAGTCTAAATTCGGTTATGTCTTTACGGTTATGTCTGATCCGTAAGGTGCTCAAAACAACGAAAAAGGCGGGTTTAAGAAGCTCCATGTTGATATACCTGACAAATTCATGGGCGCCGTCATCGGAAAAGGATATGAGAAGTTGAACAATATCTCAACTAAGACTGGCGTAACTCTAAAAGCCTTCAGGGGCAGCCCTGGCCTGTACTTCAAAGGATCGAGAGAGGGCGAAAAAAAAGCGATACGAGAAGTAAAGGAAATTGTGGTGAGTGTGCATTGGTCCCCCTGTTGTGATTATGTTAGTTTTGGTTTTACGACACTGGATACAAAACGCACCCAGAAGACTTCTTTTATACTGGCAGGCTTAATTATCAATCTTTTGTGCGCAGGTGAAAAAAAGGGTCAGAACATACTCCTCACCTCCCCTTGAGGGAAAAATTCTTACGTTGTTTTCCATATGTTGTAAAGACTAGTTTACATAAATGTAATAAAATACAAAGGAGACTACCCCTTTTATGAAAGACATCCTAAGGCCTCGTAACAAAGGCAATCCCTCTTCAAATTATCTTAAAATTTAAGATATGTTCACTTCTCGTGCTACTTGAATGTCTTCGTAGGAACGAGTGAGTATTTCAGTGTGGGTTACCTTCGCAACATGACATCACACTTTCCTCTAGTATCTCCAAAAACAAAAGAGAGCTCAAGAAAGTTCTCGTTAGGAGATTAGGGATTCATTGACCTGACGGCTTTCTTGGTATTGGACGTAGGTCTGTTGTGATGCACCATTTGCAATTAACGGTTTTCTTTTCATTTAAGAATCTTGCAATCAAACGTTCACGGAACGTTAAACCTCCAGATAGGTTTGTTTACGTGGACACTGCTCAGCTAGAAGAAAACCACGAGTTTGAGCTGCAGAAGTTAGAATCAGATCAAGTCACCGGCTCTGGAAATAAGTCCTTCCGACTGAAGCTACTGGAACATCCACGAGGAAAGGTCTGCCTGATTTTTCGCTGATCTTGTATAAAAAAACGACTGTCTAACCCCAAACTAACCCTTAAATAGAGAAAGTGATTCATGCATGCAGACATATTGTGAATGTTACTGCTTAAAAAATTAATCATTCAATCTCAGCAACACAGTTTAAACTACAGCATTCACTATATATAAACATAACTAATTTCACACGATGAGTAGGTATTAGAAGGTTTCGACCTATCATAGAGCAAGTTCCCCCTCCTACGTGTTCGCTGTAAACCTCCACATGAAAAAGAACTACAGCCCTAGAACAAGACGCTAACTACAGAAATTTTCTATTTCTGTACTTGCTCTCGACACATTTTGTCTCGCCTTTGTCAAAACATTTTTAGAAACCATGAATGAACGTTTTCTGATCCTCCTCGCCAAAAGTCGATCCAGCTGTTCCGTTTAAAGTCGTTTCTTTTATTTGGAAAAATAACATAATGCATGCTTATAACTTCGGAAAGCTTGATTTTTCAATGAAGTCATAACGCACAACGACTTTTAAACTGAGGGGAATCGACTACAACGTCTAAACAAAGTGAAACAAGCGATAAAACAAGCAATAACCAACTGTTATTACAAAAGACATTGCAATCATCTTGTTTCTTAACAGGAAACAGATGATTTTGCTGACACGGACGATCTGAAAGAAAAGATCCGCGGAGTTTTGAGGCAAATTCACAAAGAGAAGATGGAAGGGGGCAAGGTTAAGATAGAAATGAAGAGTCGTTTCGGTCACGCCTATATAACCAAGATTGATGAAGGTGAGAAATGTGGAAAGGGAGGACAACAAGGTAGAAGAATAAAAAGCATATGAATTTATCAAAATATCTCTGATGAAGTATCTTAAATCGAATTCCGGAAGATTCACGAAAATGCACGGTTCTCTAACTAACATAAAAGTGGAATGTGGAGGTGTTAATCTAAGATTTTCTTTCTTTTGTTTTTCTGTACTGCAGATGAAGAGAAAGATACTTTTACTCTGAAGGAGATCAAAGAAAGAATTGAATCTACGGATGACAAGAGCTGGAAGCCGTCCTTCAAGGAAGGCGTCTTGAGAATGGAAGTTGAGGCAATTGAGAGGGGCCTTGAATCTTTCGCATCAACTGAAGATATCAGATATGACTTCACATTCTACACTCCTTCTTGCCGAGATATTCGTGTTAAGGTATTTTAAGTCTGTAAATAGAGTAGATAAGAACATCCATTTGTATCGTATGATCCTTTTCATCATCTGACGATGGACTTGGATTGTCCTTTCTTGTAAAAAAAGACTTTCAACTTCTGATCAAACACTTTCGAGATTCGCCAAACAGAAAATTAAGAGGGGTATTCTCGTTTATATCTGCAAGGTTCAGTGAAAACTATACGGTCTTTAAGGAATCCGGACAGTTTGTTCTTATTAGGGACGTTAAATATATGTTGTTAAAGTCTCTTAAATTGTGTTCTACCTCTTAATTAAAGGAATAAGTCTCCCGTAGCTGAGGAACTGAGACACCAAAAAACTGTCACTTGTTTTAGAGAAGCCTGTCTACTTCCCTGAATAAAGACTAATTGGAATTAGTTTTCAATTCCCTAAATTTCTTGCTTCTCTCTTTGTGCCAGGCATGGCTGGTGAAGGAACATTCTGAGGACGAGGGTGCTACAGCTCCTTCGCTAATGTTCTCTCGCAATGCTCCTATTCCCGTCAAAAACGTCTTGACTCGTGTGTTATCCGAAGACGAGACCGGGAGTACATCGAACGAATCATGCTTCTACCTGTGTTCTCAGTTTCAACAAAGAATGAGAGCAGACATTTTGATACCTTCCAAGGGATTTGACTGCCGTTTGTCGATTAGAACATGTGAGTCTGTGAAGTATGACAAAAGAGACGTAATAAACAGCTTCTCACAGCTCTCAGCGGCATTAACTTTTAATTTCTTGAGTTTTTTTTATTGTGAATGGAAAACTTACCGCGAATGACAATAAAAAAGGAAGAAAAAAGCAAAAAGAGCGAAATATTGGATGATATTTGCCATCAGTTTTACCGACCAAAAAATAATTAATGAAAGCAGCTTACAGCACTGAGTAGCGTTTTTGACTCCATGATTTATTCCTCTGAACCTCAGAAGAAAGGTTCATATCATGAAGTCAAAAACGCTTGACTCTGTAAGGGACTAGTTTTCACGGAGAGTAACACTGAAAGAAAATAATGGAAGGAACTAAGTATGGGCTTCTGTCTAACGTTGTTGCACAGCCAGTCCACCAGCCAGACTGCCAGCCAGTCTGCCAGCCAGTCCACTAGCGAGTCTGCCAGCCAGTCAGCCAGCCATCCGTCAGCCAGTCCACCAGCCAGTCCTCCAGCCAGTCTACCAGCGAGTCCGCCGGCCAGTCCACCAGCCAGTCTGCCATCCAGTCAACTAGCCAGTCTGCCAACCAGTCTTCCAGCCAGTCTGCCAGCCAGTCAGCTAGCCAATCCGCCAACCAGTCCTCCAGCCAGTCAGCTAGCCAGTCCGCCAGCCAGTCCACCTGCCAGTCTGCCAGCCAGTCCGCCAGCCAATCAGCTAGCCTGTCCACCGACCAGTCTGCCCTCCAGTCAGCTAGCCAATCTGCTGGCCAGTCCACTAACCAGTCTGCCGGCTAGTCCTCCAGCCAGTCAGCTAATCCACCAGCCAGTCAGCTAGCCAGTCCGCCAACCAGTCCGCTAGCCAGTAAACTAGCCAATCTGCTAACCAGTCCGCCAGTCAATCCGTCAGCCAGTCTACCAGCCAGTCCTCCAGACAGTCAGCCAGCCAGCCAGTCTACCAGCCAGTCTGTCAGTTAGTCAGCTAGCCAGTCTTTTAGCCAATCAGCTAACCAGTCAGTTAGCCAATGTGCCAGCCAGTCAGCCAGCCATTCAGATAGCCAGTCTGCCAGCCATTCCTCCAGCCAGTCTGTCAGCCAGTCCGCTAGCCAGTCCTCCAGCCAGACCGCCAGCCAGTCCACCAGCCAGTGTTAAATGTCAGCTTTGAAACCAGTTAGCTATCAAGTGAGTTGTTTCGTTAGCGATTGACTATTCTACATTTTAAGTTCTTTCTTTTTTTTTCTAATTGTTTAATTTTGTTTCGATTTTTTATGAAAAAGACGGACATTCATCTACATTGTAAAGAATGGGATAATGCTTTTGATGAAGGAGACTGGGAACCAGAGCAGATCGCTGCTAAGCTACCGGCGTTCCTAAAATTTCTGAAACAAGTTCAGACACACGTGGCCCCACATGAAGAGGCTATTGGAGACGAATTTTAGCCAAACGTAATTGAAGAGCAGGTTAAATCTATGGTACTTACAGAGATCAATTACTAAAATGTGATGGATTAACATGTATGCGGAGAATACATGTCAGTGTATTGTCCGTATTATTATCACCACTTAACTAATGGACGTATATAGGAGAAACAGTTGTAACAACATAGACAATGAACAATGCAATATTGACTTAAAGTTTTGAATAATTATTCTTGAATAAAACGATGAAACACAGCTGTGTATATATTATGGTCACAGCCAATAGTTTTTCGCAAATGCGAAATGTGTAACGAGTACATTAGTTAAAAAAGAACTTTTAATTCTTGCAAGCAATTGATTTTAAAATATACAAACGCTTCCAAAAAAATTGTTCTCATTTATATGAGGATTAACGACAAACTCTACTTTAAACTAAAATTATCAAAAACCAAACTCTGAAAGTTTTAATAAAACCCAGGTGAGGCCAACATGTATGCGGCACGAGTTCCCTCCCTCCATATATGGCACTGTCTCGCGTGCTTACAACGGGACGAATAAACCGAGAGTTGTGAGTGGGAGTTAATCGAAACGTTGTAGTAAAATCATCAAATCAAGTGAATAAATCGTGAGTTAATAAGGAAGCGTGGTACAGCTTTTTCATGTTTTCGACACCGGCTGGAAAGTCATGTACGATCCCTTGCTTAACAAACACTTTGTCATTAAACCGATCCATTTGTCAAGTTTATGACACTTTCATATTAAACTCTAACGAAAAGGGAAAAATAATTGGCTGTCAAACACTTAGTTCTTACGCGTATTGGATATTATGCACTCTGTGCCTTTTATAGAGTCGTGTAGTTACATACTTCCAAGAACATCTCTGCATTGAAAATACTGGAAATTGCCGACTTCTAGTAGGCACTTCTAACTCAAGGCTGCAGAGCCCAAAGTTTTCCTGTCAGGCTTCTTTTCCACTCATACATCCCTGCGGTCAATTTCGCCTAACCCAAACAAACAAACGAAGAAACAAATAAATAAAAAACTAAAAATGTAAATAAACCATTGCAGCGGCATACTGTTATCCCAAATATTGTTTTTTGTTCTTGAATATTCCGAACCTTTGTCGCGTCCCCGTGTATGGACTATTTTCAATACATAATTGGAATACGTGGACCCTCCTCAAAAAGGTGTACAACCAATCAGATGCCGCAAAACTAACCAGACGCAGGTCGAATCAATTTCATTTTCCCGCGCTTGTAGCTGACTACGTGTACTTGATTGAGATTCTTATTGGTTCATGCAAGTGTTTAGCTTACTGCGATTGACCACCTCGTTTGCTCTCTTACTTAGTAGAAAATCTTCACAATATATTTTAGGAACACCATCACAGAATCATCTGTCGATGTTGATTCACAGACAAACCTCTCTTCGCGAGAGTTCTTTCAATTTCATGTCAACATCTTCAGGCAAGTTTCCAACACAAACAATCTTCTTATCCGGGGATGAATATTTGGCAAGAGCTTCCAAGAAATTGTTCAAGGCGTGATTCTTATAGGTCCCAACTTGTGAACCAGGATATCCGAAATAAGGCAGTGCTGATGATGGAAACCCTAAAAAAGGAATCAATTGGGAAGCCACACAAATAGAGAGTAAATGGTATCAAGGCTCTGCTCAACTGTACTCGACACTTTCTTAAATTATCCTTCATAGAAAAAGTTGAGTGATGCTATAAAAGCATCACAAAGCTGTCCATGTTTCTGAGCACTCAGGAATAAATCATGGATTGTTGTTATTATTGTAGATTCTTCGAAGCGGGGAGGTAATCACAGTAAAATAAATTTGGGCTGACCTTTTTAACCCCTTCACTACGTAGATCTGATTGTAATTCCCCCCTTGTAGATGCTACATATTTTCATGTAAATTAGTTACAAGAATTTGCTGTTAGATGAAGATAGCAACTTCTACCTGATAAGTTTGAATATTCTCTTTACCTGTTTGCTGGATAGTGTATTGATATTATAGGGAGAAGTTACATTTTAATCACTTATGGGAGTTGAAGAGTTAAGGAAACTTTTGGCAAAATTCCACTTAAATTTGAATCCTCGCCAACTCTGATCTGTGATTCTGTAGGGGAAAGGTTCCCATTCCCTAGCAAGTTTGTTATGCAAAAAAAGTTGTTTGTTGTGCAGACTGCATGTACTTAACCATGCACTTATGATATAAAAACTACTGGACAGTGGGTTAATACCAGAATAGGTCCATGGCTTTGTGGCACCTTCAAGGAAAAAAGAAGGCGCACAATGGACACACCCACAAATGACTTTCCAGTTCCTGGAGGACCCTGTGGAAGAAAGGAATCACAAAAAGTTTATATATGACCAGATAATTTAATGTGGATATTGGGCGGATACAAGTTAAAGCATTACCTGAATCAGCGCAAGCTTGTTTTTTAGTGCCAGTTCCACTGCTGCAAGCTGCGTTAGATCCAGTTTGGGTCTGAAGTTGCTCTTCATCCGTGTTACGAGTTTCAATGTAGAGCAGGGTTGTTCCTAGACAAAACTCAGGATCGTCGGTAACAGCAACAAACTGATTTATTTCTACGTAGTTAACTTCTTGACTTACAGTACTAAGCTTCTTCACAATTCTCTCTCTTTTTTTGATGAAACTATCTCTCTTATATAAATATAAGTCCAAGGATCTAGAAACTTCTCTAAAGAACAAAATTTAGTAGGTTTACACGGTTTCTAAATCTAAGAAATAGAACGTTCCAGAATGTTCTTATACAAGAAGGTCACTTCTGGATGACTTCGGGTTTTAGACTGTTCTAAAGAATGTTCCAGGACTCAACTTAGATAATTTTTCGTAACAATCCGCATTCTCACGAGGTCTTTCAGAGGTGAGTAAGAAGACTGTTTTTCCTGACCTTTCAGAGACTCCTTATGAAAGATTATCTCCTAATCTGGGGGACTTTTTATGTCAGTTAAGTATTCAGCTGGCTCAAAGTAGTTTGGGTAAACCACGAATTCTTTAAATGGAACATGATCTAAAGAAAAAATGGGAAAACAAATATATGTATTTCATCGATCCTCGTGTTCATGGCTGACTATCAAACTCTTGTTCTTTAACAGTAAGTTGGCCAATTGTGACACTTAAATGAGCTGTAAACAGTGTGTTAGGAACTTTAATGAAAGTAAACAATGAATGTAAAGCACTGCTGCGTTGTACATTTTAATCCAAATTAAAATCTCGCGCTGATGATAGAAAGACTAGTAGGAAAGCTTTTATGAAGTTTCTTCTGGCCAGATCTCTTAGAAAAAAAAATGTGCAAACCATTTAATAATGAAATAGCTATTTCTCTGGGAATCATAAATAGTTCTTCCTTCACGAAAAAATCAATTACATAAAAATATATGCATGCAAGTAGCTAAGACAATAAAAGCACACAAAAAAAATTCATGCTTGAACAGGATTTTAACATATGAATGCCCTGCAAAACAATGTACAGCACTCTTATCATCAAAGCTATCAAGCTACCTGAAAAATGGAGCTGCATGGTTGTTTAAAAGGGACTTTGTACCAACCCTGTGATGGATAATTACATAGAAGAGAATCAGTGTAATGAGAATCATTTATTTAAACTCCTGTATAAAACTTAATTAATGAGAACATCTATATTCCAACATCCAAATGTATGATTTTCCTCGTTTCATTCAAATCAACATCATTGTCTAACCTTTGCGCTGCATAACTTCCATGGCTGAAGCATATTCCTGATAGAACGTGTGACTCTGTGCCATGTATGCTCCATCATCTGGAGATCAGTAAAAGGCTCAAATGAAACATTAACCAATTGACCCTTACTCATGATCCCTGCTTCAACTCATTGAGCGATACGCTCTCAATCGTCCCAGTGAGTCTGAATGTATCCAAGGAGGATTCTCAACCTCAAGTTCTTGAGTTACATTCCAAACAGAGTTAAATTGAATACTGTAAAATACATGTACAGCTACTCATGATAGCATCATGAATTTGGAATATTGCTATTTTACAAACCGCTCCTACTGAAATTGATCTATGCTGCGTGAAAATATTATAAGAGTTTAGGCTAATAATAGCCACGACTGACTGTCGACAGGTGTTTGCATTTTTTTTGCACAATACTGTATATAGATAAACTTTGAAGCAATAGAGAAGAAAACGAGTCAGTTCTCAAACATAGAACGATATGATGATTAAAAAAAAAAACAGTTTACATGTATCCGATGGCTTTTATGGTTCAGTTAATTGGCACTTAGATCAAACTTTAAATGTTTGAGCATATAAAATTTTCTTCCTTTTTTCCACTCATAACTCTTGTCCCACACACAACTGAAGCTGAAACTGGAGGTAAAGTATGCTTTCTTTTATCTAGCTCTGCATTAAACATGTTTAACATTTGAGTCTTGATTGTGTTTGGTTCATTTAATGACTACGTTTATTGTCTTTTTTTCTTTTTTTTCTTTTTCATCTGATTCAGGTACAACTGTACATGACTCAACAGAACAAGCACAGAGAAATAAAAAAGAAGCTTGTACAGCGACGAATACAGTCACTGTTGTAAAAGGTATTCCATGTGCCTATCAGTAAATTAATATGCAGTTCAACCAAAATTTAGAGAGAGGAGGGGAGGGTGTGGAAGAGAGAGATGGGGACCAAAATTTGGAGAGAGGAGGGGAGGGTGTGGAAGAGAGAGATGGGGGTCCAAAGAATGGGGAATAATTGAAGGGGAGAGATTGGAACCGATCAGATATTACACTTTTTACTTCTATTTTTTGTAACATCTATTTTCTGGTGCTTTGCCTTCATCCCTTTAAAACTCAAATTTGATTAACATGTAATTTCTCATATCATCTTCATTTAGAGCCCTTTTTTTGCAATAAGCGGCGTTGAAATTATCGGCATTTTACTTTTCTCGTTGTTCATGTTTTCACAATTAATCAATAATCACCGACTGGAAGCGACTGTTGAATATGAGCGCAGAGTTACATAGATTAGAAATGAATGATGACATTCAATCAAAAGGATTAGGTTTCAAACAGTACGTAAATGGTTATATAGTAATTTTCGAAGAACGCATGCTTGTGAGATTAGAGGAAAACTTTGTGAAATCCAGCGAGGGGAATGTATTCGCAAAAAAACGTGAACTTCTAGGTGTGGTTTGTTTGCATTTAGCGAAAGGGAAGTTCGCAACTTATTAGGTTGTGTTAGCGAGCAGAAACCGAGAAATTCCTAACAGGGGCAAGAATTTGTTTTTAGAACCGAAATATTAGTAATGCAATTTGGGAGGGAAAGAGCACAACTTATCTATAGACACTCGTAATTTCTGCGTTTTTCCCTTTTATTTTTACTCACAAGTTTGGCGAGGATTGTCCAACACCACGGATTGTAACAAGTAGTAAAAGTGACTTTTCGATACGTACGATCCATACGGAGCGTGTAATGATCTGTAATGTATTCACGAGTCGTATGCTCCTAACGCGCGTCTATTGTATTCACGAGTCGTAGGGTCGTGGTGTTGATTCATGAATGTTATTAAAGAGACTTTTTTCACCACTTGAGAGTCTTTAAGGTCATGGTGGAGTTTGTGGTTTCGTATGATCAGTAGGGATCGTGTGATATATTCACGAATCGTGTGACCCCTACGAATCGTCTAATTGTATTCCAGGGTCGTGTTTTCCATCCATGAATCTTATTAGGGATACTTGGGTTTTGTCTGCTGGCCTGGTGATGTGTCGTGCACTTCGTACTGTGCTTTTTGAGCAAGAAATACTCTTCTTGTTCGAGCACTTCGTGTGGTACTTTTTAGTAGAACGAGTTATACCCATGTTGTCTGTACACTAAGCGCGTGATCCGCTCGTATCATACGCGTCGACACACTGAGTCATGGCCAGGGAGACTCAAAGTCTCCCTTACGAGATTTACGGATTGATTGACTACTCGTGAATAAAATAGCAAATTTCCTTGTCACTTAATGTTTCTCCTAAACTAAAATTTGCTAGTTCCATAATAAATCTTGTCTCTACATCGCTCTTGCATATGTTTCCTTAATTTCTTTTCAAATTTTACAATTTTAGGCGCCACCTCTGTGAGCGTGGACAGCAAGGAATTGAAACAGATACACCCTGCTGAAAGACACGGTGACGTCACCAAGATGAAGTTCACGCTTTCTTTTGGATTGTCTGTAGACTTTAGAGATGCAACAGGCAGAAAGCAGTGAATGAAAGTTGCGCTGGATGACTTAATTCAAGTGCTCAACTCTCTGATGGAAAAAATGAAAAAAATTTCAGCAGCTACCCCCCTTTGCTATCTCTTACTCTGGCAAAACATGTTATCTAAATTAAGGAAGGCAACTTTGTTTTGATAGTCACTGCATGAGACCCAAGTTGATCTAAGCCTTTTTTAAACAACTATTTGAAATTTGGTATAAAAGACGATCAACAGTTGTCGGTAATCCAAAAGCACTCAAATGTCACGCCCTATCGTGACATAACGCAATGCTCATTAAAATGATGTATTGAGTAATTGTCTCACTTGGAACAAGTTTGTTTGACTATAATCTTTCTATACGTATTTATGTGACTACAAAGACACCATCAAAATAATAACATGCTATTAAAACTGACCTGTTATTTAACTGTGCATTGTTGTTGAACCATTTGAGTTCCATTTGTGACCAACAGAGCAATTCTCTTTACAATGTTAATACAACATCGACTAGACAAGGGAAGAGAATAAAGAAAAATATAAAATGGGAGATTATTAGTTGATCCAATACCAAATTCTCTGAACTAACATCATTAAAATTGCGTGGCAGACAGTAAGGAGAATTAGTGATAATATCTTAGGGGGGAAATAGTTAAAAAGCTGCTAAAATGCTTTTATTTGGGCTTGAATTTGAGCATGAATGGATCAGCTAATAAGTTTGGAAACAAGACATCGGTCTGTAAGAAACAAAATATTTCAAAGAGGGGGAATCTTTGAGTCAAAAGTATTCAATATAAAGTACAGTTGGAGCTAGAGTTTAAAATAGAGGTTACTGACTCATGGTAAGCAGTAAGTCTACAGTGGTTAAAGTACCTGCAGGTTTTCAAAACCTGTCTGCCGTTCCTAAAATTAGATCATGCTGTTTTTTTATATAGTTTCACAGAGAATTTAGGGCACTGCTTAACAGCATATTGAGTTCCACTGTTCCAAAGTGCTTTTTATTAATTATTCCCTCAGCAACTGGACCCCCAAAAAACACTCAGTCTCAACTCAATAAACTCATAAAAATTGTACTTTCAATAGTACACGTCCTGCACGATCAGATTAATGCATGTTTTACAAATGACCCATTCCCCTAAGTAGTGCACAGCTTTTTATGGCCCATCCCTCTCCGTTTCTGAGCAACTGAGTACCCACCTGTAAAAGGATTGAGTGATATTTTGAAATGCTTCCATTTACCCTGTCAAAATGTTTTCGTTATCATTATTATTTCTGTGCCTTTTTTTCGAATTTCTGTTCAAATTATGATATTAGGCATCATTTCTCCTCGGTTTTCTGTCGACACCAAGGAAGCAAAAGTTAGAACGCTGCAAAAGAATGCTGCCGTGAATGGCAAGGTTCAACTGTTCAAGGGTTTGATGAAGAGAGGAGCAGATCTGTGCCTGATGAACAACGGAGGATGGAATTCATAACAACCTGCTGCATTGGGTAGTAACCCTGAAATCATTGCTCTGATCTTAACTCACGTGCCTAACATTGAGTCATGGAGTGCTGAGAATAACTCGCCAGTGATGATCCTTGCAGTGAATGGTAATTGACGTGCTGTGCAATGGTTTATTGAGAAGGAAGTATCTACAACCTGTAAAAACAGTAGAGGATATAATGTAATGTGTTTTTCCACACGGATTGTTGACACTGACGTCATTAATCTTATCCTTACTGACGTGCCAGACATTGACTCAAGGAACGCAGAGCAGGGTCTCGTGCCCCTTATGGTATCTGGTTTGGCTGGTAAGAGACATGCAGTGAAATGGTTTGTAAGAAGAGGACTACTGCAACCTTCACATATCAATAAAAACCTATTTTAATTCATTCGAATTCGACCATAACTTCAAGTAAATTCCTTACGGATACTATTACTGACCGATTATTCTGCAGCTCCAAGATCTTGTTGGAAATCCAAGCTTACAAGACCCGCGATTAAATTCTGCGCAATGCGTCTCAGAGGATACGTTCCAGACATCGAGGCCACAGGACGCAGTCATTACTTAGGAGCTATTTTATGGTGTTCTATAATATGTGACATGCCACTTAGTCCAATACAATTCTATTTCATCTTCGCATACTTGGAAGTGCTAATGACAAGAAGAATTGTAAGTTATGTTCTGATGGTGCTAAGTTTTGTTGTTTTGAATTTGGTTTTGCGAGGAAAAGCCATTCGTAAGTTTTGTGACATTTCCGTGTTATTTACTATTAGTGATAGAGGCTGTATGTATTTGCTCCGTGCAGCTGACATCCATTGCGTATCCAGTCACAGGTAATATTCCTTCATACTATTATGCAGTTTTTGTGGTCGTAGCAGTGGACTGTTTCGTGGTGTTATTTCAGTTCACTGCTATTTAAGTCTCAAAAATTTAAAGCCCAAGAACACATTATGTTATTTATTTTCCTGTGGATTTTCTCTAATGATGAGCATAAACTTGGTGTTATACCATTTGTACTGGATTGCAAGTGGCATCAAGATTAATCCAACTTGGGGCTTGTCTATTTTATTGGTTATTGCCTTTTTCATTGATGTCTTATTTGTTGCCATCTACAATATGTGTAATGTAGATCATTGTAAAAGTCTTATTTTCCTTCAGCGTGTTGGCATATGTTAAGCTGGCTTTCTTAGTCTCTGTTTTGCAATTGCTGGTCCAGTATCAGCTGGAAAGTCATTTCATGGCCGACAAACCGCTGATGATGTTCTGAAAACTGTATTATTGTCTGCTATTGGGATGATAATGTCACGGCTGTACTTTAAATCTCGTAAACCTCCCTCTGATAGTTAACAGTGTAAAGATGCGGAGGCAGCAGCAGCAGCAGCTACGACTCTGGCCGAGGAGGTAATCGTACCTCGGGCTGATGTGACTGGAATGTATTCTGAAATTGGTGCGACATCTATAACTACATACGCTACAGTCGGTGCACCTGCAGTGGCTGTTGCTTTGGCAGGTTACTGCAATAATGGAACTGTGCTTGGGTGAAATACAACTGCTGTCTAATTCCTGATGGAACAGGCAAGGAAACAATTCCGCTGAACGATAATATACATGCTCCAGTGCCTCTTATTTAATAGTCAAAGCCACAGGCATCCCACGTAATTTTCGATAACGTTCGAAGTATGAAAATTTCCAGGAACATCATTTAAAATGCGTTTTACGCTACCGTAAGTTATATTGTGGACCATTTTTGTGGATATTTCTTCTTTTGAAAACTCAAAGTTAAATTCATTTCGGCACTTTGAAATTGGCTTATTATATCTTTATTGCGAAAAATATCAGAGACATGGATTAAGTACATTATGAACCTTGTCTGAAACTGGAAACGTTACATTAATCCTATACAGCAAAACAATTCAGGAGCAAATCCACCCTTTATGGAGTAGGAGAGAAATGAAAGCGGCTAGAGGGCCGAAAACCACGGCTACCATACGAGTGCATTCCATAAGGTGTTGGTCTTCACTTCTTCCATTTTAGACGTAAGGGTTCAGCTAGACAACAAGAAGAACGCAATTAATATCATTGAGATTATTCTAGTCCAGTGGAAGAAAACAATGGAGGAGGACTAGTAGGTGTAGTTTTGAGGACTTAAAAGAAATTACGACGGCAAAAGACAACGTGAAATGATTAATGTAAAAAGGGATGGAGAATTTCATGCAATCCTGGTTGGAATGGAAATTTGCTTTTTCACTTCAGGTAGAGGGTACTTGAAAGGCCTCCACACAAATTTATTTGACGCGGTTCCTTTCAGGATTTTCAAGTAACACAAATTTCAATCGTTATTGTTACTCCCTTGCATCACAAAAACAACGGTAAGAAAGAATCAGACTGAACAATCTGATTCGTTCTGTGCTGCATGTATCCTTCATGCCGATCAAACAGATAAAAAAACAAACTACATCATACCATAAGCCATGTTTGACATTGTCACCACAAGGTCTTGACACTGACTCTCCCAGCTGTACTTTTCTTCATAGAATGTCCGTAGTTGTAGAATCTCTTCAAGTCTCAATCGGCCTTCTTTCTGTCGAATGGCTTCGATTTTTTTTGCCCATTCATTAGCATCCTCAAAGTCTTCTACAATATAAAATTCACCAAATTTCACTTTCTTCAGTGCTTCCGCAAATCCCGAGTTTCCACTCACAAGAAAGGGAATACCAGCAGATAATGCCTCAAGGGCAGTTAAACCGAACCCCTCTGATCTTGATGGCATGAGGACGAGATCAAACTCCGGCAACGATTTGATTAAATATTCCCGATCTTCACAAAATTTTCTTACAGTTAACTGGCAACGTGGTATACCACAACTGACTAACATCTCAACAAGCTTTTCCCGATTGTCAGCGGTTGCACCAGTGATGGTAAGGTGAAATGATCTTTGACGCAAAATAGCCACAGCCTTTGCCGCAATATCATAGCCTTTTATGGACCAATCCTTTGGATCACAACGACCAAAAACTAAAATATAAAACTTCTCCAGTTTAGCAACATGGGTTTTCCCACACTCAAATTCAGAAAAGACACCTGGTGTTATTGATAACACAGTTTTTTCTTCTTCGCAAGGTCGGAGGGACTTAGCAATAGCTTCCTTTAATTTGGGTCCCACGGCAACAACAAGATCGGCCTTTTTGCACAAGGAAACTTCGGACGCATGCTTCTTTTCACCTCTGAAGAAAGGTGTGTCGCAGATTTTGTGCATGGCAAGTTCTTCAGGACATGTATGGACCATCTGTACCCACTTACAGAGATGGCTTCTTCTGATCATCTCTGCCTGCCACCCAAGCTTCCAACCATGACCGATAACAACGTCTATGTGGAGTTTCTCCGGGGGAAACGCCAACCAGTTGAGGCGGTCTGTGGAGTTTGCCATTCTTCCATCTGCTTCCTCAATATTAATATCACATTTAAAAGCTTCTGCTTTGTCTTTTTCCTTACATTCACATTCAAATGGAGGAGTAAACAAAGTGACCTTTACATTGGGATTCGATGAAAACTGTTTGGCGAGCACTCTGTTTACGGTGGACAAACCACCCTTTGCCGAGCACCATTCAGTTGCTAGAAGAGTGACATGTAATTTCTTCCTGTGCTCGTGTAGTGAATCCACGTCCACCGAGGACTGAATGTTTCGATGTGACTGAGGCATTTCCTACAATATCGCAACAGTCAGCGGTTAGACTTTAACTCCGACTTTTCCATGAAGGATTGCTTTAATTTTATAAAGGAAGGTGCCACAATATCAAAACGGTTGCTCGAATCGACACGAGCTGGTAAAACGTTTCTTTTTACAAGCTTACAATGAAGACATATAAGAAGAGGATTCAAAACAAATGTAAAAATTTCGTGATTTACATTAGTCCAGAACTACGTAGCCTGTATAGCTAGGACTCGATTAACATCGTGATTGACACAACCGCGCCAGTGATTGACACGCGAGAGCGAGACTTCACGCGCACATCACGAAGACAATTTTGTGTTTTATTTAGAGAACACCCTCCACCTAATAAGTTTCTTTTTCTCATCACCTGATTGGGTAATTTCATAGTTCCGTCAGCAGATTATTTTAAGAGGCTATTTAAAAACTGTTCCAAATTCCCAGGAGTGAAAAATCAGATCGTTACCTCGTGTTGGGTCTGCAGATTGTCATAAATCTTAAGTTCTCGGAGCAAGTCCACAATCTCATCTCTCATTCTGCACTGAAATCCAAGCTGTATGTATGGCAGCTTGCAGTTGATAAGTCTCTCGAAAAGGGAGAGATCAAGATGATGATGTTTTCGGAGTCGGTTGAAATGTACCACTGGCCTTAGTTGTTTATGATCACCGATCATAATGAGGTGTTGTACAGAGGGCGGAATGACAGCTACAAGCTGTGCTTCGAGGATTTCGGCAGCTTCCTCCACTATCATGATAGACGGTTTAATGTCAGCTGTGTATAAAATTGTAAGTGATAAGATATTAGATAAAGCGCGCCTCTGTAATATTCTGTTAGTGCCCGTGCAACCTTAACGTACGGTTCCGTCATGCAAGAGGCGCTAGGAGAGAGTTTGGCATGACGAGCCATAGCGACGGCTACGAGAGGGCAGGGAAAAAAGAAAAGAAAAGAAAGTAAGTCATCAATTCGGAAAGAAGAAAGAAATAACAAACGAAAAAGTAAAAATGGATGAACAATTGAAGGAAAGAAAGGCATGCCAAAAGATGGGGAGGGAGTATGTAAAGAAGGAATGAAGTAACAAAGAAGTCTATTTCGAGGACGCACGAGTTTATGGCCAAAATGTTGCTTTCGGTGACAGATCCAATCAACTTTATTTATTTGCTGTTGACCTCTGTTAAAGAACCAATCAAGATTTATACATGACAAAAAGAAGACAATAAAAAAACAGACAAACCAACCACCTGCTAGGCTTTTTTCACAAAAGCAAACCCACCAAATTCATGGATTTTAATCGAGCCATGATCAACGGCATTAGTAACGGTCCTCACCCAACAGATTTGCCCTCATAGTCGCTCCAGTCACTGTCATTCCAATGACGTGACATGTTTTCATCACTTCAATGTCATGTTGATTTCTCAGCTCCTTGAGTTGATGATGTATCTGTTAGGTAACAAGAAAAATCTTTTTGTTAGCTAACATGCGCCTGTATATAAAGACCCGTTGAAACGGTCATGATATTTGGTAATAGTTTCAACTATTACGCAAGTTTGAATAAGAACTATCATGCAATATCAGCGACTATCATCACCTATCATGTAGTTTGGACATATTCAAACTCGACATGATAATTGATGTTTTTGCCGTTTGAACGAGGACATTAGATTGAATGATAGGAAGGGGGGAAAGAGGGGGCGGGGGATCTTGAGGAAACGGAGTGGGGATGAGTCGTCACCACCAAAGTGTATAGAGGGACTGTAGAAAATTGACTGCTAATTAACTGCAAATGACGGAAGATCATAAGAATAATACTGAGCCTTATGAGGGATTAGGTAAGTTTTATCGTGACACAATCAAAATCCTTCGACACCCCACCCTCCCCCGCCCCTCGACAAAAAAATAACTCATTCTTTTACCTCTGTGTACAAGCTGCTCACTTCATGGAACTCAGAACAGGCTTTCTTGTAGAACTTGCTTTGCAAAACATACACAAGCTGGACTCTTTCCTCTTTCGCAAGATCCCACACTTTGACGTCATCCAAGAGATTTATATGAGGTATCACCTCTAATTAAAAAAAAAGGTAAATTGCTCTTTTACTTGTATGGTTATTAAATACTTCTTGCCTTAAATACGAGGCAATAACTGCCGCAGTTTGATCACAGCTGCGTATTCAAAGGCTAGATTGCACTATCTATTTCCTCATTGATTTGATGAGCTTTCACGTACGTAACAACAAGATAATAATCCTGTTAATTAGCATTACCTACATCTGACTTGGTCGCGACGTTCCGTTGATACAACGAGCAAGGACTTTCAACATCTGAAAGTTCTTAAACGTCAAGGGGAGCTATGTTTTTATTTGTTTGTTTGTTTGTCTTTATCATTCTGTTGGAAGAATATGCCTCTCTCTCCGATAACAAATGTATTGCTTACTTCGAAACTGATGCTAAAAAAAGTTGGAAACAGAATTACAGAGGTATTACAACATCCTCTCAATATCCGGGTTTCAAAACAAAACAGAAGAAATTTACTTGTTTCATCAACATAAACTAGCTTGCGCTCCCTTGTTCCACGATATGAATCTCCCCTTTCCTGCTCTTCATTAGCAACATCTTGGGCGATTGTTTCGTCTTCTTCATCGCAGATGGGTTTATCCAAAGCGAGAAGACGCTCAATTTCCTCCACTAAAGGATCTCTGACGTCGCTTGGATTCTCCTGCTCTGGATCTTCTTTGCTTTTTTGCTTCGCAAGAGCAGCTGCTACACTAGAGTCGTAGGAAAAAAATGAAAAATGCATGTGTGTTTTTCGTGGAACAATTTCTTAAACCCAACTACTGCAACTAATGCACCGTAACCCAACCCTACAGCACCGTAATGTGTCTCGTGCGTGTTTACATCATACGCCGGCCGACAGCCTGAGCATACGGACATCCAATTTACTTTCCATGTGAGGAATGCACTAAGGTTCACAGATTTCAGTCGGCATATTTGTGATGGTTTGTCCGACGTAAGGTTTTTTTTTGCTGCAAGTTATCGCCGTTTTTTCACGGTAAACGCAACAGATATATATGATTCTGTCAATCCCATGTGGCAAGGAAATTCCAAGAAAAGAGAAAACTTGCTGCGAACGGCCGTAATCCGGCCTGGAACTTGTGGCTATCATATACACTTACTTTCTCTTTGGTTTGGGCTCCTGTTCTTTGCTGACAAACTTATCGAACTCTTCTTGAGCGGGCAACCAGTCCCGCAGTGCATTTTTCACAAGTTCTGGATTAAAAAAAAATCTTTTAAACAAATTATCACGAACAGATCTACGGTGGCGGTCTCGCTAATAAGGTGCAACCACACCCTCAGTTGGCCGCTAGGGTTTGAGTGAGTTGTAGAAAATTAACCACTTCGAGAAGTGTTTTCAAAGAAGTCTGTTTCCAGTGGAGAATCTGTGCGGTTAAGTGCAGAAGTTAGGCGTCATCGTAGGAATAACGTTTTGTGTTAATTAACCCGGCGTGGTGAAGACGGGGCCTAGAAGAATCAAGTCATGGTTTTTATGTGGGAGAGTTAAAAAGGCAAATTCACTTTTGTTGGCTAAGAATTAAATTTAGGGTTGAGTACCTAAAAGTCGAGCATTGCTCCTAAGGCCACCTCGATCACTTCCTTCGGTCAACTTCTTCAGAAAAATTTCCACTTCTTCTTCATCAACTGGCTCACGTTTGTTGTCCCGAAGAAGGGACCTAATCTGGTCTACCGATGCTTCCTTGTAAAAACAATGGAATTAAATGTACATCAGATTTGATGATAAGCTGAATTAAACAAGCCTTTTGATTGGTTCTCAGCGATGATCTATTGGAGAACAGACGCATATCGGACGTCACCTTTAACGACATGTTGCTTCTTAGCTATACTTAAACAAATAGATCCCATGTTGCCGTCCTCCCTGATCGCAATAGATCACATAATACATCAAAATATGGTGAGGACATAAGTAACACACTGTGCCTTGTGCGCCTTTTTTATTTTCATACATTTTGAGGCCATCGGTGTTTTATCACTAAACAGACATACGGCACTGAACATGGAATCTATTCGTTGATTTGATAATGGTGGAATCATTTTGAAAAATTACACAGTTTGTCGAAATATCTCAAAAAAACAAAAAACAAAAAAATATATATATATATATATAGCCGTAGGTTCTGGCCGGGTTTTTAACAACAGCTGTTTTAAACTCTTTGCTATCAGCCATTTTGATTTGACGCCAGGTTTGAAAGTTAAGCACTCTAAATTCTGAACCAGGATAATTTGATGCTGTAACTCTATTTTCAAACTAAAAAATATATTAACGTCACCCAGATAAAGTCAGGTAGTTACATACTTCCAAGAACATCTCTGCACTGAAAATACTGGAAAATGCCAACTTCAGGAAGGCTCTTCTAACTCGAGGCTGCAGAGCCCAAAGTTTTCCTGTCAGGCTTCTTTTCCGCTCATACAATCCCTGAGGCCAATTTCGCCCAACCTAAACAAACAAACAAACAAACAAACAAACATTCAAACAAATGAAAAACCAAAAGTGTTAATAAACCATTGCAGCGGCGTATCGTTATCCCAAATATTGCTTTTTTTCTCTGAATATTCCAAATCTTTGCTGTTTCCCCGTGTATAGACAGACTTTGGTCGGGGCGTAATTGTAATTTTATCCGAAAGCGTTTTCCAGATACCGGGAATACTTAAGCATGTGAGAGCTCCACCAAGAGGTGTACAACCAATCAGATGCCGCAAAACTAACCTGACGCAGCTCGAATCGATTTCATTTCCACACGTTTGTAGCTGATCACGTGTACTTGACTAAGATTCTTATTGGTTCATGCAGTGTTTAGTTTATTGCGATTAACCACCTCGTTTGCTTTCTTACTTAGTGGAAAATCTTTAAAATAGCTTTTACGAAAACTGTCACAGAATCATTTGACGTGTTTGATTTACAGACAAACCTCTCTTAGTAAGAGTCTCTTCAATTTTTCGTCAGCATCTTCAAGCAAGTTTCCAACAAGGACAATCTTCTCATCCGGGGGTGAATTTTTGGCGAGAGTTTCCAAGAAATTGTTCAAGGCGTGATTCTTATAGGTCACAACCTGTAAACCAGGATATCAAAAATGAGACAGCGCTGAAGATGGAAACCTTAAAAAAAGGAAACAATATGAAGCCACACAAAAAGAGAGTAAATGGTGTCAAGGCTCTGCTCAACTGTAGTTTTCTAACTGTACTCGACACTTTCTTTAAATTATCCTTAGTAGAAAAAGGTGAGTAGTGCCATAAAAGCATCATGAAGCTGTCCCTGTTTCTGAGCACTCAGGAAGAAATCATGGATTGTTGTTATTATTGTAAATTCCCCCATATAGTTGCTACACTTTTTCTTGTAAATTAGTTATGAGAATTTGCCGTTAGATCAAGATAACAACTTCTATCTGATAATTTTGAGTATTCTCTTTACCTGTTTTCTGAATAATGTATGAATATTATTGGAAGAAGTTACTTCTTAATCATTTCTGGGAGTTAAAGAGTTAAGGAAACTCTTGGCAAAATTCCACTTCAATTTGAATCCTCACAAATTCTGATCTGCGAGTCTGCAGGAGCAAGGTTCCTTTTCCCTAGCTGGTTTGTTTTGCAGACTGCAAGTACTTAACAACGCACTTATGACATAAAGACTGCTGAACAGTGGATTATTTTACCAGAATAGGTCCATGGCTTTGTGGCACCTGCATGGACAAAAGAAGGCGCACTATGGCCTCACCCACAAACGACTTTCCAGTTCCTGGAGGACCCTGTGGAAGAAAGGAATAGCAAACATTTTTCATATGACCAAATAATTCTATGTGGATATTGGGCGCATACAAGTTAAAGCATTACCTGAATCAGTACGAGCTTGGTTTTTAGCGCCAGTTCGACTGCTGCAAACTGTGTTGGATCAAGTTTGGATTTGAAGTTGCTGTTCATTCGCATTCCCTGGAGATCTTCCAGAGGTGAGTAAGGAGACTGTTTTTCCTGAAAACTCAGAGACTCCTTATGAAAGATTATCTCCCAATCTGGGGGACTTTTTATGTCAGCTAAGTATTCAGCTGGCTCAAAGTACTTTGGTTTTGGGTCAACCAAGAACTCTTTAAATGGAACATGATCTAAAGAAAAAATGGGAAAACAAGTTTGTGTTTTTCATCTCTTCTTGTGTTACTGACTGACTATCAAATGCTTGTTCCTTAACAGTATGTCATTTATACCACAACTAATTCTTAAACTTAAATGTGTTTTAAAGTAGTGAAAGTATACAATGTGTGTAATGCATTGCTGCTTTGTCCATTTTAATCCAAATTAAGATCTTGGGCTGATGATGGGAAGACTAGTAGAAAAGCTTTAAAGAAGTGTCTCTTAGCAAGATCTTTGAAAAGAAAAAAAGTGCAAACCATTTACTAGTAACCTAATAGCTATTTCTCTGGGAATCATAAATAGTTCTTCTGTTGCAGAAAAATCAATTACATAAACATATACATGTACATATAAGAAATTAAGCCAAGACAATAAAGCTAACAAAATTCATGGTTGAACAGAATTACAACCTATAAATGCCCTGCAAAACCAGTTCAGCACTCTTATCAGTGAGCTGGGCTATCAAGCAGTCTGAGAAAATGTTGCTGACTTTTTAAATGAGAATTTGCACTAACCCTGTAATGGATGATTTCATTGAAGGGAATATAATGAGAATCATTTCATAAAATTTAATCAAACAGAGAAAGGATCTTTCCATCTTTATTCTAAAATCCACATGTACAGTTTCCTTTATCTCATTTAAATCAACATCATTGTCTATAACCTTTGTGTTGCAGTACTTCCATGGCTGAAGCAAATGCCTGATAGAACGTGTGGCTCTGTGCCATGTATGCTCCATCATCTGGAGATCAATAAAAGGCTTGAATTAAACATTAACCATTTGACCTGGCCTACTCACCCCCTGCTTCAGCTCATTGAGCAATGCACTCTCAATTTTCCCAATGAGTCTGAATCTATTCAAGAAGGATTCCCAACCTCAAGTTCACATTGTCAAGTTACATTCCAATAATAAATTAAAAACTGTGAAAGACATGTACAGCTTCTCATGATAGCATCAGGTTTCTTGCTAGTATGATTTCTACTCAGACCCATCACCTTAAAAACAATTTGCACCCATCTATGTCCCAAATTCAAAGTTCAAGATTTCTCAAAAGAACCAAATTAAATCATTACAATGTTGTACAACATTTCAATAAGTAATTATGAAAGCTAATGTATTTGAAAGACAGGCCTTTATTTTTAAAACTAATAACTAAATGTTTTATTCCCTTGACAAAGTTTAATGAACGATTGATTAGAACAGCCTACAAACTTACTTTTGTTTGTAACCTCCTGCATCTGTGTAATAAACTCTGCTTCTGAAAGGTCATTTGCTTTGTCACAAAGAGTAATCCTTACAATGCTGGATTTCAAACAACAATATCAACCAATTAGCTTTACTTACAGTAGGTGGAAAATTGAAAGTATAAGTGTCACCTGATGTGGACCTTCACGTGCTACATTTAACATTATTCTATAAATTAAAATTATAAGTGTAAATTAAAAGTATGAATTAATATTTATCATAATAAATGAAATATTGGTTTTTATTCAAGATATAGAGGCTTCCTTAGACTGATTGGTATTCAATTCCAGGCCAAAGGGCTTCTATTATAATCTTAGAGAGGTTCTTTCCAGTTAAGACAGAGCAATTTCAAAGTTGGGTGACAAAATTAAATCAGAATCATTGATGTATGGCAGTAACTCAGAAAAGTTGAAGAATATAACAACTTTGATTTTATTAAGTACAATGTTCAGCAGAAATGCAGAACCACCGGTATTAATATTTTGATACATCTGAGGCCTCATACATGACTTTGTATATACTGCCCTGGAGGTTTTTTCCCATTTAATTCCTAATTTATAGACATTTAAAATTCTTCCAATCTCAACAAAATTTGGTGCAAAGAATTTAGACTTAAAGTTGATTAAAGTAATTTAATTACCTCTGGTTAAAAATATGACGTTCCACCAGACCCCAGATCGGTTTTTCAAAAGAGCTATCCAAGGAAATACACAGCAGATCTCCATACAGGAGGAAGTCTTGGCTGGAAAAGATACAATGAAATAATGTACTTAGTTATAATGATGTCAAGCTAAAAGAGGAATCTTCTCAAAACAAGTCATCCAAAAATAATCCATGTTATGAACTTAATAGAGTGCTCCATGCATGCTGCAACTGTTTTGGTCCCCAAGGCAACTACTAATTTTTGTAGTTTGGATCAGTTACATATCAAAAGAGCAACAAGATTACTGAACTCTTTGATAAATGTACTTACTCAAGCTGATCATCACTTTTTTCAGATGACTCTGATTTCTTGTACTCCAGTGAAAGTAACATCATAGTTGGAGAATTTTCATGCTGCAGGGAAGCTCCTCTCAGGAAAACTCTGAGAATATCAAATTGATCACACACATTAAAAGCAATACTGACAATTAAGCATAAATGTTTTGAGCATTTACCAGTCACTTGTTATGTAGTCTAAGAGACTACTACATGTATGAAAACATTATCCATAAACTATCCTAGGAAAGCATTTATGACAATGTTATTATATTGTGATACTTGTTTCTTCTAGAAGGATAAGGTAAATCAGATGTTGTTCAGCAGAATTCAGTATATTAGGTATCAGTATTCATGACCTGTTCACATACTCCTGATGATATCAGAAAGTGCCAAACCGGCCTAAATATCATCCTATGTGAGAGTACAACAGCAATTTGTTTATACCTGTACATTGTCGTATCTTTTGAACTGCATTTGTCTCCATTTATAACAAAATCATGGATTCCTTTGCGTAACTTATAGAAGCATTCCTCTCTGAGAAGTCTGAAGTATGTATTTAAGTATTCCTCCTCTGATTTGTATGGTCCTTGCTGTCTTATCACTGGCAAGTCGTCTGTCTTCAATCCTAAATATGAAGACTGCATGAGTATTTATAACACAACACCATCAACAAAGCCATTGCCAGCTTCCAAAAAAGATTTTAACTCCCATGACCGACCAAGATGGAGTTTTTCCTCACAGTATCTGACTATATCAAGTATGCAAATGATGAGAATAAAGAAAAATATAAATTAGGGAATTATCAGGTGATCCAATACCAAATTCTCTAACTAACATGACATGAATTTTGTGGCAGACAGTAAGGTGAATTACTAATGAGATCTTGGGAGTGAAAGGGTTAATTCTACACTGAATTCCTCTAATACTCCATTTTACAGTTGTTCACAAACTCTATTACACCATGCCAACTATGTCCTCTTCTCTATCACCACTAGGTCTCCATTGTCACTATGTTCTAACTCTTTGTTCAGAGCTAGCTATACACACAGCTGGGCATTATGCACAATCATAGGGTTGAAAGTCAATTAAACAGTTTCTACTATTCCGTCACTACATAAAATTCTACCCCTAAGCTATTTTCCAAGTACTCAGACTTAGAGAATATTCTCTTGCTGATGTATTTCTTAATCAATACTCTGATTCTATGATTGCCATTTGATTTCAATAGCTTAGATTAAACAGTTAATAATAACACATTGTAATACACTGAATAGGAGAGGTTCAACAGATGGCCCCAACAATAATTATTAAAATAAACTCAATTAACTCTTACTGGGTTCATGGATCTCTTTCACAACTGGTATCAAGGGAAGATCTTTCCATTGCAAATCCTGAACTTCTTCACGGCCTTGAGGCACCTCTAAGGCAATGATGGATGACAGCTTAGTTAGGAAAACTATAGCTGCTCGTCCATTCTTTTTGGCTGTCTCTAAGTCACTGGAGTTGTCTACTAACTTATCCATAAGCACTTTAGCCAGTGGTAAAACATGTGGGCCAGCAGCTGGAATAGCAGTGACAACATGTTCCAGAATCCGCTGAACCAAGCTGAAATTTGACAATTGACAACTGATTGTAAAGGAAACGTGTAATATTTGAATTAATTCACAGTCAGTTAAATTAAGTGAAATTAAATCACATTTTTTAACAAAGATCAAGAAAAAAAAAGGGAGCAACCCAACTCAACTACCTCCCCTTTCTAACCTTACCACCAGCTCTTTGCCAGAAAAGGCTGAAAACTCATGATAAGCATAACCTGGCATGAACAATATGGTAGCAAATAACAAAATGTCTGCAGCATGCAACAACCACCAAAAATTTCAAAAAAAAAAAAGCAAAAAATACCAGAGGTTAATAGATTAGCAACAATTAATAATCACCCTATTTAAAACTCCCGAGATCTAAATAGTGATTCTCTACAATCTTTGCCGTTCATCACTTATCATTTTAGTTCCAAGAATTTGGTGATCAATCAAATGGCTGTCATCCCTCTAGTTGATCATTTTTTTTATTTCTCATCACCAGTGTCTTCTTGATGATGTATGGAAATTGTGAGGAGAAGTTCATGCTTGTTCACTCCTGGAGTGAAAGGGATAAAAGAATAAAAAGTAGTACAATTTTCAGTTATGTTTATACTTACCTCCCATCTTCAATAGTCTCATTGACAAAATCTGGAAAGACTGATTTGAAGAAAGCACTCTCCTGAAACTTTTTCACAAGATTAGTGACTGTGTGTGACATATTTCTCTGGGCACTGGAGCAAATCTTGTCAACAATGGATAAAATTTGCATAGTCATTGGTGTTGTATACAGTGCTTTGGGAAGTTCCAGGATATATTCCCATAATGCAGTACATCTAAAAATGGCATGGCACAAAATCAGTAAGTCATGTCACAAAATAGGTATAAAGTCCCTCAACAAATTAATTAAGAACTTGTGATGCTTGCTTAACTCTCTATCTCCCAAGATCTGATTGTTAATTTGAGAATAGTCCATTTTACAGTTGTGAGCTTGGTTGCCAAGCCTTTGAACAGGAATGAGGCTAAGGGTGACCTTGTTATGATATGCTTTTCAAATGCAAATTACTTTGTTATCATGCTAACTAGATACTGGTCTCTATCACAACAAGGTCACCTTCAGCCTCACTCCAAATCAAAGGCTTGGCAACTAAGCACACAACTGTAAAATGGCCTATTCTTGTTGCCTATTTCTGTAGGTAATAACATGATTTTGAGTGCAATTTGGTCTTAATAATTGAGTGCAAGTAAATTTTTCAAAGACAATAAATTTACTTTCAGCACCCAAACCGGCAAGTGCAATTTGTAGTCTTGACAAAAATTTACATGAGAAATCATTTTTTTTACTTATCAATGATGTACATGACAAAACATTGCATTTATAGAAAGGTAAGACAGACATAAATTTGCACTCATGTTACAACTTTGCATTTGTATTACATGAGATTAATGCAGTTAGTTTATAAGTTGTCAGTAATATGAATAATGTATGAAATGAATAATGTATGGATATTGTAGGTTGAAGTTATTTTTTAATCACTTCTGGTTAAAAACCAAAGTTCTAAGGAAAGTTGGCAATAAAGCTACAATATTTTGCTTATATTAAAAGTATAAGAGCACAATTCAATAAATAAAGTTTTGCCAAGCAACTGGCAAAAAATGTACCTCACAAGTTCAGTCACTGCAGCAGTTGAGCCTTCACTTGCAATCAAAAGGTTTAAAAATGACTTAATCTCAACATGATCACGATGGTAACACCTTGCAAAAAGACAGGAAAGAGATTTTTTGAAAAGTGGGAATGCATGGGGGGGGGGGGGATTCTCTAAGATGCAGCAGGAGGGTAGTTCTTGGAAATCTTCATGGAGATATGCAACCTTGTTCTCCAAATCCTGGCCCTACTTGAAATGAATTAACACATACCATTTTCCACATCACTTTTAAGACATGGCATCTGAAAGCCGTGCTTGATAAAAAGCATGATGATTTTGCAAGTCAAAACCATCTAGTTCTCATTTGGAGAGTAAAGAAGAAAGTTTCTGGCAATTCTTATTCCAATCCATATGCTAAGGAATTAAAGGATAAATTAGTGAGCCAGTGGGTAATAATGCTACACTAACAAAGAAGACTCCTTGTTCATTTACACCCAAATGCAATTGCTGATTTTTTATCTCAAAGAGAAGAAAGCTAAAACATGGTTAGTGTCACAGTCTACTGTCCTTCTTTCCCTGGATAAACTGATGATGCTTCTCGAAGTGATCTTTCCAATAATCCAATGGAAACCAGAGGTCATTTTTTCTCAAAAAGAAGAAATTTAGTTATCTAGTAATGAAGTTTATTTTGTATCCTGTACACTATGAATCAATTTTTCCAGAAATTAAGATATCCCTTATGGTGCTGCTCATTTCACAGTGATTATTGCACAGTGACATTCCATATACTTTTAGGATGAAATGTAATTAGAGTAATGTAATATTGTTATAGGTGCAGAGATCAGTCTCTAACAAGTTGTTACAAGATATCATGGTAAGATTGAAATTTATAACTGATATGAACTATACTTACTTTATCACTTCTGGTTCCATTGCGACTCCTTCCTTTCTCCGGCATTGTGTTACTTCAACAATGTCCCCAACTTTAAGATCATATCCTCTTAGAGATTCGTTTTTAACATCAATGACATGCTCAATCAATTCTGAATGGCCATCTTGAGCCTTGCAAGGTACTTTTATCAGCACAGACACCTTACAATGGCCTGCATTGTATGTACATTTCCGTATCACAACACCATGAGGCTTTAAATTTTCTTCAAACAAGTCTATCAGGGCTGACCTACTTGAGTCACAAAACTCAGAAAAACTGTCATTCTGTTCTTCTACCTTGACAAACTGTTTGAGTTGTTCAAAAAACACTTCTGGTGTTGTTTTTGTTACTGTTGAGCCTGCTGATTTCTGCTTTTCATCTACTAATTTCTGCTTATCGATGAAATTTTCCAGCAGCCTTTTGTGGTATTTGTATGTGGGGTGTTCCTTGGACAGTCTGTATCCACAAGTTTCCCAGCCAGCTGGTACTGACACATGAGTTAGATATTCCACAAGTTTATCCTTAACCTTCCTGCGTTCAAATAAATCAACACCTGGACATATTCTAGACACTAAACTATCAATATCTCCATCTTGTTCGGTAGCCATCATTGAAAATTATCCTCTTCATTCTAGAAGAGTTAAATTACGAATGCTCAAGAATTAACTTCTGGGTGGGGTGGGTCACTTCCAGAGTATTCATAATATATTTCTTGTCTCTCATAGGCATTATGAATGAAAAATTTATCTCGTTTCCTGAAAATTAAAGGCTAAGCTTCTTCCTGGCGACTGAAATGAAAGTAGTACAGTTTGTCAATGCCAAAACATGGCTAGTGTCACAGTCTACTGTCCCTCTCTGCCCTGGATAAACTGACGTCACTTCTCGACGTGATCTTTCTGAGAATCCAACGGACACCAGAGGTCATTTTCTGAGAAGCGCGAGACCCGGTATCAGTCAATAGAGGTTTCATGAGAACCACAGTTATTTCTCTCGAAAAATATTGCCATAGCCTACTGAACCAAGGCTCCAAGTCGTTAAAAACCAAGGTGTGCGGTGCAAGTACATAAATCCATATTGCCGCCATTTTGTAAAAAGACCACAACTTTTAAATCACCAGGGTAGAGAGGAGAAAAGAGTTTGCCTACCGCTGTAAACACAGGTATGCTGAGTACAAATGCGAGTGAAATTCATTACCTGAGTCATATTCTTTAGCCTAACTTCACTGTTTTAGGTGTGTAAGTGTACAGAGCCATCTAATTCTAGATGATAGAATTAGGTATTAAAGGGTAGAATAGCCTGAAAATGGACGTATTTATGGGGCGAAAGACTAGTCATGAAAGTATTTAGGTACATGTCGTATGGCGTCGTTCGCGGAATTTCATCTCTGTCTCTTCCGAGAGACAGTCTCAAATGCTCAAGGAACCAAGTAACCGATTAATGTAGGGAAAAATGACCTTTAACATTTCGCTGGAAGAAGTATGGTTGCCACTACGTGTAGGATGTAACATTTGACAAAAACAAAGCTTGTGAACGAAAAATTAAATAACCTTGCGTCACGCAAGGCTATTTAGGAATTACCCGGAAATGAAACCCGAAGGAGCTGTGCTTCATTCTCAGATAAAGTTGACAAACCAAGACTTCTTAAGACAAAGGAAAATTTTTCTTTTTTGACCCACCGACGATTATACTGGTAACCTCGACAGATATTTAATCTCCTCTATTAAGATGTTGAGTGCACGAAGACCTACAACCGTGACAAGAGTGATACCAGTCCCCAAAGACAAAGTTGGACATGTCATAGGAAGGAGAGGATCAAGAATAAAGGAAATCAGGGAGCAAACCGGAGTCCAGATATCAATTAATAAAGAAAATCAAGCGCTCTTGAGAGGCACGGCAGAACAATGTCAAAATGCGGAAAAGATAATAAAGGAAATCGTGACGGTAAGAGCTCATTAGTGGGAAAAGGAGGCTGAGTGTCTGTATCTAACTCAGTGTCAATTGAATCATCAAATCGCTGAGCTGTTCTAGATTCAATACATTGGATGCTTAAACTTAAATCAAAGAAATAAGAGGGTTGTAAATCCCTCACAAAAAATATCGATATGTAAGTCGAGAGGTTTGACTGTAAAACTCTTAATGAGCTCCTCTTTTTTCTGTATTTAGATTTTTACTGCTTTGAAAGTAGGTCTTTTTATAAAATGTAAATGTAAGATTTGTATGGAATGAAGTGACTATCTTACTGCAAGTTTTCTTCAGCCTGCTGCTTTTAAACTCTCTGGATCCGTCGTTGAACTTCCCTTAATTTCATCAGCTACCCACCATTCGAATATTACTGATCACATATGTCATTCATATGAATTCTCAAGAGTTTCAAAGCTTGTGTGTATTTTCTCTCCCTGGGTTTTTTTTAAGTCTAGATACGGTTATGTCTTTGTTCTGACCCGTAGGGTGCTCAAGACAACGAAAAAGGCGGGTTCAAGAAGCTCCACGTTGATATACCTGACAAATTCATGGGTGTTGTCATCGGAAAAGGATATGAGACGTTGAACAATATCTCAACTAAGACTGGTGTAACTCTAAAAGCCTTCAGGGGCAGCCCTGGCCTGTACTTCAAAGGATCAAGAGAGGTCGAAAAAAAAGCAATACGAGAAATAAAGGAAATTGTGGTGAGTGTGTACTGGTGTCCCTGTGTCATCATCCTTTCTTATGATTGGTTGTTGTGATCATGTTGGTTTTGATTTTACGACACAGGATCCAAATCCACCCAGAAGACCTCTTTTATAACTGCAGGCATAATTATCAATCTTTCTGCGCAAGTGAAAAAAAGGACTCGAAGGGTCATACTCTTAACCTCCCCTTAGGGGAAAAATTCTATTGTTATTTTCCATATGTTGTCAAGGCCATGAAGGCTAATTTACAGAAATGTAATAGAATACAAATGAGACTACCCCTTTTAAGAGAGACATCTTAAGTCCTCGTAACAAAGATAATCCCTCTTCAAATTCTCTTAAAATTTAAGATATGTTCCGGTGCTACTTGAATGTTTTGGTGAAGAACGATTGAGGATTTCAGCGTGGGTTACCTTCGCGACATGACATCACACTTTCCTCTGGGGGATCTCCAAAAACGAAAGTGAGCTCAAGCAGGCTCTCGTTAAGAAAATTAGGGGTTCAGTGACCTGACAGCATTCTTGGTATTGTGCATAAGTCTGTCGTGATACAACATTAGCAATTAACGGTTTTCCTTTTATTTAAGAATCTTGCAATGAAACGTTCACAGAACGTTAAACCTCCAGCAAGGTTTGTTTATGTGGACACTGCTCAGCTGGAAGAAAACCACGAGTTTGAGCTGCAGGCGTTACAATCAGATCAAGTCACCGGCTATGAAAATAAGTCTTTCCAACTGAAGCCACTGGAACATCCTTTAGGAAAGGTCTGCCCGATTTTGCGCTTATCTTGTATGAAAACGACTGTCTAACCCCAAACTAACCCCTAAATAAAGAAAATTATTCATGCCTGCAGACATAATGTAAATGTTACTGCTCAGAAAATTAATCACTCAAAATCTCAGCAACACAGTTTAAACTACACCATTCACTATATATAAACATTTCTAATTTCACACGATGAGTAGGTAACTGAAGGTTTCATATTGCAAGTTCGCCCTCCTACGTGTTCGCTGTAAACCCCCACATGAAAAAGAATTACAGCCCTAGAACAAGACACTAACTACAGAAATTCTCTATTTCTGTACTTGCTCTCATCATATTTTGTCTCGCCTTTGTCAAAACATTTCTATAAACCATTTCTTTTATTAAGAAAAAATTCATATTGCATGCTTATAACTTCGGAAAGCTTGATTTTTCAATAAGTCATATCGCACAACGACTTTTGAACTGAGAGGAATCGACCACAACGTCTAAACAAAGTGAACATCCCAAGCAATAAAACAACCAACAGTTATTACAAAAGACATTACAATCATCTTGTTTCTTAATAGGAAACAGATGATTTTGCTGACACGGACCGTCTGAAAGAAAAGATCCGTGGAGTTTTAGGGCAAATTCACAAAGACAAGGAGGAAGGGGGCAAGGTTAAGATAGACATGAAGAGTCGTTTCGGTCACGCCTATATAACCAAGATTGATGAAGGTGAGAAATGGGAAAAGGGGGGACAACATAGCAGAGGGACAAGGAGCGTATGAATTAATCAAAAAGTCTGATGAAGTATCTTGAATTTAAGTCGAAGATTAACGAAAATGCCTGGTTCTGTAACTAACATAAGATGTAATGTGGAGGTGTTAATCTAAGATTTTCTTTCTTTTGTTTCTCTGTACTGCAGAAGAAGAGAAAGATACTTTTACTCTGAAGGAGATCAAAGAAAGAGTTGAATCTACGTATGGCAAGAGTTGGAAGCCCTTCTTCAAGGCAGGCGTCTTAAGAATAGAAGTTGAGGAAATTGAGAGGGGCCTTGAATCTTTCACAGCAACTGACGATATCAGATATGACTTCACATTCTACACTCCTTCTTGCCGAGATATTCGTGCTAAGGTAATTTAAATCTGTAAATTGAGTAAATAAGAGCATCCATTTATATCGTAAGATTCTTTTCATCATCTGATGCTGGATTTGGATTGTCCTTTTCTGGTAAAAAGACTTTTCACTTCTGATCAAACACTTTTGAGTATCGCCAAAGAGGAATCGAAATGAAGAGGGGTATTCTGGTTTATATCTGCAAGGTTCAGTGAAAACGATACGGTCTTGAAGGAATCCGGAAAGTTTGTTCTTAAGATCTCTTAAACTATATTCTAGCCTCTTAATTAAAGGAATAAGTCTCCCATAGCTGAGGAACTGAGACACCGAAAAACTGTCTCTTGTTTTAGAGAAGCCTGTCTACTTCCCTGAATAAAGACTGATTGGAATTAGTTTTCAATTTACCAAATTTTCTTGTTTCTCTCTTTATGCCAGGTATGGCTGGTGGAGGAACATTCTGAGGACGAGGGTGCCACGGCTCCTTCGCTAATGTTCTCTCGCAATGCTCCTATTCCTGTCAAAAGCGTCTTGACTCGTGTGTCATCCGAAGACGAGACCGGAAGTACATCGAACGAACCATGTTTCCATATGTGTTCTCAGTTTCAGCAAAGAATGAGAGCAGACATTTTGATACCTTCCAAGGGATTTGACTGCCGTTTGTCAATAAGAACATGTGAGTCTGTGAAGTATGACAAGAAAGACGTAATAAACAGCTTCTCACAGCTCTCAGCGGCATTAACTTTTAATTTCATGAGTTTTTTAATCGCGGATGGAAAACTTACCGCGAATGACATTAAAAGAGGAAGAAAAAAACAAAAACTGAAGAGCGAAACACTTGATGATATTTGCCATCAGTTTTACCGCCCAAAAATAATGAATGAATGGAGCTTACAGCACTAAGTAGTTTTTTTTACTCCATAATTTATTCTTCTGAACTTCAGAAGAAAAAATCATGAAGTCAAAAACGCTCAACTGTGTAAGGGACTAGTTTTCAAGGAGAGTAACACTGAAAAAAATAACGGAAGGAATCAAGTATGGGCTTTTGTCTAACATTGTCGTATAATGATAAATAAACCTCACATTGTCTCAATTAAAAGTGTATCCTTGTATTTCTGTCAAGATCCAAATATTCCGCAGACACCGGAGGCTGAAGAGGAAAACAGAATTCTTGAAAGTTACTTGATGAACATGAAGATTGATCAAGGTCAATTGAAGTTACCACCGAACTCCGAGATTCCAGATGGATTTGACCTTTTTTACCAGCGTCGCAGTCTGAGAAGAACATACCAGTGCAGAACGACGGATGGAGAAAAGTTTGCTTTGACCGTTTGTAAAGACCAAGCTAAAAACGTGAATACTGATCACAGTGATGTAGGGAGCTTCGACGAAACAGAAGTAAAGGTACGTATCACTACAATCAAGCTATGCTTTCTCGTCGTCCATGTTAGTCATACACCGCTATTTGTGTTATGATCCGTGTCACTCGTCTACAGTTGATACCTGACAGTCATTCAGCATGTCGATAAATTAAAACATCCGGAGGACTTCGGCCAGTCAGTGTGCCAGTCAGTCTGCTAGTCAGCCAGTGAAACAGTGGGTGTTCCAGTTAGGCTGTCAGCCAGTCTGCTGGTCAGCTAATTCGAAAGTTGGCCAGTCGGTTAGTTAGTCAGTCTGTTAATCAGCTACTCAGATAATCACGGTCTGCAAACCAATAAGTCAGGCAGCTTGTCAGTTAGTCAATTAGTCAGCCATATCAGTCCATGAGCTAGCCACTACGCCAGCCAGTCCGCCAGTCAGTCCGCCGGTCAGTCCGTTAGCCAGTCCGTTAGCCAGTCTGCCAGTCAGTCCTCCTGCAAAACATTCAGCTAGTCAGCCAGTTGGTCAGTCAGTCACTCAATTCGTCAGTCAATCATTCAGAGAGTCAATTTGGTATCATGTTCAACTGAGATTATAACGTAAATTGACCGTTAAGAGTATCAAAGCTGACGTTTCGAGTGTTAGTCCTTCATTAGCCCTGACGAAAGTTTCACGCTTAAAACGTCAGCTTTGAAACCAGTTAGCTTGGTTGTTTCGTTAGCGATTGACTATCCTACATTTTAAGTCCTTTGGTCATATGTTTTGAGTAAAAGGAAGTGTTAAGGGCTTTAATATTTTTTTAAACTGCTTAATTTTGTTTCGATTTCGTATGAAAAAGACGGACATTCATCTGCATTGTAAAGAATGGGATGAAGCTTTTGATGAAGGAGCCTGGGAACCAGAGCAGATCGTTGCTAAGCTACCGAAGTTCTTAAAATTCCTGAGACAAGTTCAGTCACACGTGGCCCCACATGGAGAGGCTATAGGAGACTAAGTTTAGCCAAAAGCAATTTAAGAGCAAGATTAAATCTATGATACGTATAGAGATCAAGAACTAAAATGTGATAGATTAACTAAATGTGAATGCTCTTCAATCCACGGCTAAAGAAGACGTCATTACCATCCTACGCAACACGTGCTTGGTGCAAGGATGCAACAACACAACTTTGGGCGCCTCATGGACAGTGGAAAACATTTTCTTTAAATTTGTAAATACAAAAAAACAACTGAAATTAATAGCAAGAAAGGCTCCACTTTTTGAGATAGAGTATTTTTGTAAGAGAAGTCATCCAGTCACACGCAGGAGAAAAAAACTCTGTTTATCTTTCCTGTAGTACTTGCGCACCGTTTATAATTTGATTTTAGTGAATTTGTACATCCTAGAATGTAAAATCCTAACAGCATTTAATTGCACCATCAAAGCTTGATGTTTTGAGAAAGAGTATAGATAATGTTTATACAAGGTGTGTGCCACCCTTACATGGTTTGTATAATGGCCCTGTTAAAAACTAAATGCAATGAACTGAATAACAAAAAAAAAAAGGAAAAAAAACAGCATATGATAAAAACCTACATCAGAAGTATTGTCGGCTCCTTGCGACCAACTTTCGCGTGAGCAGATACGTTTATGAATTCACAATGGCACTCTCCATTAGGGAAGAGTAAACGTCCCGCTTTGCATTCAAAGTCTCTTGGTTTTGATTAAAATTGCTTCATTGAAAAAGCTGTCTGAAGTTTTGTAAAACTTTCAGAGTTTGGTTTTTGATAATTTTAGTTTCAAGTAGAGTTTGTCACCAATCATCATATAAATGAGAACTAGTTTGGCAAGGACTATCACGACAATGTTTTCTTCAAAAACAGCCAATGATCTAACTGAAAGTATTATTCACTCTCATCGACGATTAACTCATGTACGAAGATTTACCTCTGTTCATTATGAAAACGGCGAGGAAAGTAATTGTAAGTAAAATCAAATTTTTTATTTTGCAGTTGTGAGAGTTTGCTCGTTTTTTTGCTGCAATAGCGTGTGTTAATGTGGTCTTTCCTCCAAAAAAACTAAATTCGAATGATAGACTCCGACACGACACAAGGGGATTTAATGCGGCTTTTTCTCATTAAATTCCTTCAGTTTCTGTTGTACAGTTTACGGCACAAATGTCCAACTGAAATTGAACGGACTTGGAAAGACTCACCAAGAGCGTATATTTAATGTGGAACTGAAATTAAAACTTCGCTTACCCTTTCACTACGAACAAATTGTTTGAAAAAATTCAGATATTAAATGAATGAAAGTTCAATCGATTAGTTCAACTGTAACCACATACCTCACGTTTTAACTTTCTAGGTACTTTTTGTTAACAGTTAAAATTGATTGCAGACGGTTTTTAGGCCTCTTGTCAACCAACGTAATGACACTATTGTTTATACAAATTCATTCTAAAACCAATATTTTTCTCTCAACCAAAGTGATTTGAGATTGAAAAAAGAGAGAGTATTTATAAGTCATTTATCGGCTTGATGTAGTGACCGATGTCTTTGTTTGAAAATACTGCCCAGCATCGATTCTTTAGCATTCTCGATGCGTCCTCTTTGATTCTTTCACACACACACACACACACACACACACACACACACACACACACACGCACACACGCACGCACGCACCCACGCACCCACGCACCCACGCACCCACGCACCCACGCACATATATACATGTATTTGTCACATAAACTGCGGACTTATACAGGGATTTCCGGCCCCGAGAAAAGCCGTAAGAACACACATGAGCTATCGAGTTAAGCACTCGAAGAGAAATTCCATATCTACGCGCGCCCATGTATTATTCTCTATCTAGTCAGCTGAAATTACAAAAATTATAAGGAAAAAGTTTCAATAGTGTACGTTTGTGAACGCAGGAACAAAATGAAAATACTTACAATTTGTATCTATCAGTCCTTCAGTTCCCTGTTAATTACAGTTCAAATTTCACTTCTTCCAACAATCGTAGTTCTGATCTCTCCCTCTGCTCGTTACAATATGTTTTCGCGTCCTTTTTATAAAACGTTTACGCAAGGGAGGCATATATTTTCATGAAACCATGCAAATATTCTGTGGGAAATGCTGATCGCATCCTACGGTATTCACAAATATAACGTTTCATGACAATGTTTCTGAGAATGTAGATTAATTAATTTTAAGATTTTTCCGTTAATGCATCCTCAAAGGGATAAGCCCAGTAGTCATGACACAATTACACGAAATTATGTAAATAGTCTGCCTGAAATGCAGATCACCAAGTTTCTGTTGAAATAAATTTTGGCCTCGCAAGATGACCGATATTTATTGCCCAAAACTCACACAAGATATATTTTAAATCCTTAATCTACCAGCAAAGGTGAAACGGGTGAGTAAATAATTGGCGAGTGAGTTAATAACTGCGAAACCAACATAAATACTAATGTTTGATCTGTCTGTTTTTTCCTTATATGATTTAGTTGCTAACAACAACCGAGAAAGAAGCAACACACCTCATATCAAATTATCTTTCTGAGTTGACATTTTCCCAGGCCTGACATTTTCCGATGCCGACGGGTTACGCCCTCCAGAAGACGAGGAATTACCCCAGGGATTTAATTTCACTCATCGGAGATGTTCCCGCCGGACTCTGTACACCCCCAGCCTGGATTTACCATGATTGTCTCTGATGAAAGATCCTGGTGCAGTGGTCTCAGAGATGAGGAAAAGAGTGACGGTAGGAAAATTTGTCGTTAACAACACAGTTACTTTACGACTTATTTTAGTACAAATGTAGCGCTCAATCACAAATGGTCCAATCTGAGTAGTTACGCTTCTCGCTATCTATTTCCGTGATAGTCACAGAGTACAAGGGTGACCTAACAATGTACAGTTCCAAACAAAATACAATGAAAGTGCCTGTCTCTATGTTACGTTTTCAACGAGTACTAGATAGTGGAATGATGAAATCAATCGCTTTTGATTTCTGCCCTCACTCAATATCACCTGAAAGAAATCGAGAGTGAATAATCTAGTCGTTAAAAAAGAAAGTTTTTTCTTCATCAAATTACCCGAATTCTTTTAATCGATTGGTTTTGATTATTGTCAGCTTTAATACCGGCGTCGTTAACTAGGGGGTTCATTAATTATCGAACTTCTCTCTTTTCCTTTAGACGGATATTCACCTTCATTGAGAAAAATGGGATCAGCTTCTCAACGAAGGAGACTGGGAACCAGAAATAATCTGTGCCGAGTTGCCCAAGTTTCTTCAGTTCGTTCGTCAAGTTCAAGATTTTATTTCCTGTAACAGCAACAAAACCGCTGATCAAGAGTGAAGGTTAATACGCGGTCGGTACATATTTTAATATAACTTAATTAAAATTGTTGGCTGTATTCATAGCACTCAAAAATATTTAACTTAAAGTTAAAATGACTGTTATGCTATAAAATAAAAATATGCAGACAATAAGCTTCACTCTAACTTTGTGTAAACGACGTGTATTTGATTTATTTACACTAAAAATGATATCGGACAATTCTTTGACAATTTCACGAATATCACTCAGTGTAAAGGATTAATTACGTGAGCCTTCATAGGACCATCGAACTATCACCTTTTTAAGAAAAATACGAACGTACCCGTTCTAAATAACCTTACCGTTCTTATTTCAGAAAACGTAATGGAAGTTTTGGTGTCTGCATAAGAAACAGCACAATCTATAAAATGACAAGATGTAGTCCTCTAACGTGGTTTACAGAGAAGCAATATCTATTATGGCTCGTTCACTATGTCCCAATCAGTGAAAAACAGTAGTTTACAAGAGCAAACTGCAATTGAGATTCAAACTAGAACTCACCAGGAGAAAAACTCCGTAGAAATTGCTTCATTCATACAATAACAAAAATTAAAGGTTTTACTCGTATTACATACTAAGAATGCTAGGGCCGAATTGAAGTTGAATACAACTTGATATCTTCTATGGATGCACTGTAGGCTAGCTTTTGTTCCTAAAACCGTTCCTTTCAATCATTATCCAAGGTAGCTCCGTAACTAGTTCTCTCTTTAGTCCGTGGGATGCCCCTTGACGCCAACCTCCGGCCCAGCCTCTTCAAAAGGCCCTTTCCCCGCGGCCATAGTCTCTTGAGTCGGTAAGGCTTCCTCTGGGCTACCTTTGCTTTCTGTCTCACATCTGGTGCTTGCTTTGAGCGGTTTTTCGTCAGAGCACTCGTCATCTTTGAGATGTCTAACGTCTTCGCCTTCTTTCACTTGATGTTCAGGGCTCTGGTCTTTTGTTTCCTCATCAGATTGGTTTGTCGTTTCTTGAGCGAGGGTTTCCTTCGTGTTTTCTTTCAAGTCACCTTCGTGGTAAACATGCCTCACAGGGTGATCCCTTGACTCGTCCTCCTTCTTTGGAGTTTCTTCGCTTTCCTGCACAGCTGTTTCCTCCGAACGTTTCTCGTCTGCTAACTCTTGGATCGGCTTTTCTTCCATGCTTTCCTCTTTGCTTAAACCAGGAGATAATTTCTCCGGTGACTCTTGTGTAGGTCTTCTCGCCTCTTTACCTGACGAATCAGAAGTGACGTTTTTTGATTCTTGTACCGGCCTTTCCTTCATGTTTTCAAACTCGACCGATTCAGGAGATTTTTGCGCCCTTGGCATTTCTTGTATAGGTCTCCTAGCATCCTTGTCAGACGACAAGGATTCATCGCCAGCAACAGGAGGATGGCCTGTGCTTTTTTTAGGAAAACCTGATTCTTGTTGTAGTCTTTCTTTCATATTTTCCATCTCACTTAGGAGAGCATCCTCCGCAGCAGGTGCCTCTTGGACGGGCAGTCTTGTGTCTTTATCAGACTCCACCCCTGGTACCTCATTTGGCCTGGAATCAACGACTACCGACTCATTCTTCTCAATTCCTTGTAGCGGCACACCATTTGAATTAGCACCCATGTCACTTCTTGCCATACGCGGTGGTGGAAACCCCGGTGAAGGTAAGGGCGACTTTGGATCATGAACTGGGGTTTTTCCAGAGGTTGGAAGTGGCATTTCTAAACGCCCTGGATTTGTTGTCCCCGAAAGGGAATTCCCTAGTAAAAATGGAAAAATTGTGACGTCACGTAAAAGCAGAGAATGAATCTGATAGTTGTTCGCAATGGCGTCTGTTTTGCTCCATTTAAAACTTCATCGATATAAGTCCTCACCTTTTAACTTCCAAGATCTCATTAGTAATTCTCCTTACTGTTTGCCATATAATTCTTGTGATGTTAGTTTGGAGAATTTGGTATTGGATCAACTTATAATCCCCTAATTAATATTTTTCTTTATTCTCATCAGTTGTCTGCTTGAAATTGTATTGATATTGTAAGGAGAAATTCTGTCTTGGTCACTCATAGGAGTTAGAGGGTTAAATTACTGAAGACTAGTTAATCTTATATTGTACTCAATTGGAGATAGAGAGATAGGTTTTTTACTCTTAACACCTGTTTGTGGAACAATAAAATGACTTTCTATGTAGAAGTTACAAATTAATCAGCTCTGAGAGTTGAAGGTTTTAACACCAACCTCGACCAACATTCATTGTATTCACGGAGCCGTCTCCTCCCCCCACAAAGACATTTTCAGCGAAGATAGTTACTTTGTCGCCTGCACAATAAAAAGCAGAAGAGGTTACGTCCAAAAGCGAAGATATCATTGAGAACCCGAGGTTATTTCTCACTTTTATCCACTAAGATCTTGTCCCGTTGTTACAATTCATGAGTAAAAGTTTGGTCGTTGGAAAATTAAATTAATTTATAAAAAGAGAAAACATAGAAAACAGACAACAAAATGCAAACAAATGCAGAGGTCCTGGGACGATTGCCTTGTCAAAATCAAGGCAAATTTTTATAACACAGCGCGCGCGTATCATTTCTAATTCCTACTAAGCCACGTTGGTCTATATCTCTATGCAGCGAACAAAACATGAAATGAGCAGTTGCATTTTGCTGAAAAGTTCTCGTCTAGGTTAGGAAAAGTTGTTCAAAGAAGCGAATTTTCATTTACAGTTTGAGATAAACAAGATGACCCAATCTCGCTCAAACGAGACCACTGTATCCGCTATTATAAAAGAATAGGCTCAGGTTTTTAGCTGTGCGTATATCGAGGACTGGACGCACTTGGAAAGTTTGGAGAGCACTCAAGAAGCTAGAATTGTTTGGCTGCGCCTGGAGCAACTGTTACACTCTTCTCGTGCTTTCCACACTTCCCACATCTACACCTCGATATACACCTGCCTGCTTGGCATTGACCAATTCTGAATTACAGTGAAAAAAATATCGTGAATATAAAAGCTGCGGTTGCCTTCTTACCTCTGTTTTCATCTCTCCTTGGAGGGCTTCCGTGATACTCATCCCCTCTCTAGTTCAGTCAAGTGCAAACAAATAGCAGTGATTTTAGGGCCATCATGGCATTGACAGTGAACATTAATCTAAATATAGTAGCTTCCCAGGGAAAACAGCGAAGAATAGACCAAGGAAAAACGAGGTTAATTCCTATAGGGAAAAGTGGTTACCTCTCCATAAAATATACAATTTAAATGGGGACATTACCATGTCTAGGTCTAAGAGATAATTTTCTCCTTTACTAGCATGACCAATAACAGTAAACTACTTTTCATGCGAGTTTTATTGAAAAATTGGTATCATCAAAAAAGAAAAGTAGGGTGCAAATAAAGCCACACGATTGTAGTAAAGCTAAAAAATTGTTTTACTTACGGAATCTCCACTCGAGCGAAACGGGAATGCTACACCTAGAGATTTCTTCTTCCGCATAAATTCACGAATAACCTAAAGAAGGTAAAGAACCCTTTAGAGAGACAACCTATAACTTTTTGCAGATCTATCCGTTCCACAAAGTGCCTCCATTACAAACGTTGCTAATAATAATTGACTCGCTCAAAATTTCGCAGAATTACCTGCAGTAATACTCAATTAATAGTAATAACTTAAAAACACCTTCTCACATTTTGATATGATAGTGTGCTTAACCTAATTTTCATTTTTTTGTTTTGTTTCATTTTTGTTTCAACGGTTTCCAGGCAGATTTACTACAGAATCAAAACCAAACAACTCGTTACCCGTAACCTGAATATCCACTTTAACTCCAAAGTTTAAAAGTAGAACGTTTAGCCTGGCGGTTTTCTTAATTAAATAAATGTAATGACCTTTTTTTACCATGTTTATTGGACCCAGATCCCACACGGCAGCGGGGAACGCCTACCTTCCAACCTTTCCTAGAAGCATTTGCCAGGTGCACTTGATTCCCAAATAAGTAGAGACCACAGCGTGCTCGTGAAATTGCCACACACAAGCGATTCATTGATGATAAGTAGCCTATCTTCCCTTCCTTATTACTTCGGACCAGAGATATGAGAATTATATCATTCTCTTGCCCCTGGTCAGTAAAAGAAAACATGAACAGTTTATTCAACTCACTCCAAATCGCCTGAAATTATTTTCCTTGAGGTTAGGTTTTAAGAGTCAGGTTGCTCATCAAGTCTGGACCTCATTCCAGTTACATGGCATGAAGCGACTCTGGGGATTGCTTCTTCTACCGGAAACGATGGCTGTCAATCGCAGGTTACCTCGATGCAATGAGTCTCCAAGTTTCTTTCGTTAATCAGTCGGTGAGGCAGTCAGCCATTCGCTCAGTCAGTCAGTCAGTCAGTCAGTCAGCCTGTGTGTAGGTCATTCAGTGTGTCGGCTGATCAGTCAGTCATTTATCCAGACAGTCAGTAAGTCAGTCAGTCAATGTGTAGGTCATTCAGTCTGTTGGCTGGTCAGTCAGTCATTTACCCAGTCAGTTAGTCAGTCACTAAGTCAGTGTGTAGGTCAAGCAGTCTGTCGGGTGGTCAGTCTGTTGTAAGAACACAGATATTGAAGCAGTATCGGGTAAAATTAAGGTCAGTCATGCTTGAACTTAATTTACCGTTGCATGTGAGATGTGAAAACATCGGCTTCAGACAATATCATGTCAAAGCATGAAATGACAAATAAATAAGTAAATAATCCATAGATCAATTAACATAATCATTTGGTTCCCATTACTTGAAAATATCAGTAAGTTTTCGGCAGACATGTCCACTTTGCTCACCTGGAAACTATCAATTGTTGTAACCTTGATACCTGAAAGTAGGGCGGACTCAGCTGCCTGTCTGAAATGCTTCATTATTTCGGCGACCTGAAGCGTGAGTAGAAACGAATCAGTCAACAGTTTTTGGTGTTGGCTTTGGGGCTAATTCGTTACTAGAGACAGTACATCAATAAAGTAATAATTAAGTAGAATATCGGCGTTTTCCACAGAAAATTTGTTCTCTAATACGGGCGACTGTGTGTTTTACAGAAGCAGAAAAGTCAAAATTAAATATTTAATCTTTTTAAGAACAGTTCATCCTTGAGGAAATTTTCTTTGTAAAGAATTAAAGGACATTTTCACAACCCAGTGGATCAATTGAGTATGCTTTTCCCTCCAAAACAGAGACTCCTAATTGACGAACTCTCTAGGCGAGCTCTCAGAAAATATTTCTGTTAGGAGGAAGCCAACCTTAAAATGGACCTCCATGAAAGACGTCTCTTACCTCTCACACTCATCAAAGGTTGATGGGAACTTGGGGGTAAAGTTAAAAAAAATAAGCGATTAAAACACAAAATTAAAAATTTTGGCTGACCTGTCCTCGATATGAACAGAGAACTGTAATCTTTGATGGTAGGACTCCCCCCTTCTCACAAAATGTTTTTGCAACTTCTGTAATTTTTCTAGCCTCTGTAACATTTCTCTTGCTGTGGGAATTTTTCGATTCATCTTCGTGGGATGTATGAGTCCAGAAATACATGCTAGATGAGACACAGGGTGGCGGAAGGTTGCTTTTTACAAGCTAAAAACAAAGAAACATAAGAAGACGATTTTAAATTTAAATATTTCGCGACTTTCAAGGGGTTGAACACTAGCCAGCAAGTACTCGATCCCGCGACCAACGAGACCACGCGAGTGGCTGACACGCGCGAACAAGACTTCACGCGTGCATCACGGAAGAAGCTCTCTCTCTTACTCTGTTTAATTCTCCTGCGTCATATTTCATAGTTAATAGCATAATTGTGATAACTTTGTTTTTTTTTATCGCCTGATTGCAAGGTAAACTATCACTGATAAAAGGAGAATTTTTGCATTGATCGTATGAGGGCGTTGAAGGGGTAAACGAAAGTATTGATGACAATAGTACATAATTCCATAGAATATTTTACCGTAGAATCTTCTGAGCCAGGAGTGGTCAAATCAGATCGTTACCTCATCTTGTGTCTTTAGGTTTTCATAAATCTTGAGCTCCCGCAGCAGATCGACAATCTCATCTCTCATTCTGCATTGAAATCCAAGCTGTATGTATGGCAGCTTGCAGTTGATAAGCCTCTCGAAAAGGGAGAGATCAAGATTATGATCTTTTTTGAGTCGGTGGAAATGGACCATTGGCCTTAATTGTTTATGATCACCGATCATAATGAGGTGTTGAACAGAGGGTGGAATGACAGCTACAAGCTGTGCTTCAAGGATTTCGGCGGCTTCCTCCACTATCATGACAGACGGTTTAATGTCAGCTGTGTATAAAATTATAAGTGATAAGATGTTACATAAAGCGCGCTTCTGTAATTTTCTGTTAGTGCCCGTGCAACCTGTAATTTTCTGTTAGTGCCCGTGCAACCTTAACGTCATGCAAGAGGCGCTAGGAGAGAGTTTAGCATGACGAGCCATAACGACGGCTACGAGAGGGCAGGGAAAAAAGAAAAGAAAAGAAAGTAAACAATTCGGAAAGAAGAAAGAAATAATAAACGAGAAAACTAAAATGAATGAATAACTAGAAAAATGAATAAATGAATGAATGAATGAAAGAAAGAAAGAAAGAAAGGAAGGCAGACAGGAAAGTTGGAAGGGAGTGAGTAATGAAAGAATGAAGTAACAAAGGAGTCTATTTCGAGGACATCACGCGCGTGTTTATGGCCGAAAGTGTTGCTTTCGGTGAAAGATCGGATCAACTTCATAAATTTGCTGTTGACCGCGATTTAAGAACCAATCAGAATTTAAACATGACAAAGACAAACAACAACAACAAAGAAACCACAGATCCCCGAGTTTTTTTCAAAAGACCCCGGAAAGCAAGCCGACCCAAGTTCACTGACCATGATCTACTTTATGTAGTAATAACAGTTCTCACCCAACAGATTTGCCCTCATAGTCGCTCCAGTCACTGTCATTCCAATAACGTGACATTTTTTCATCACTTCAATGTCATACTGATTTCTCAGTTCTTTAAGTTGTTGATGCATCTGTTAGTTAACAAAGAAAATCTTTTCGTTAGGTACCTCTTACCCTGTATTTAAAGCGTGACAGTTTCGCCCATACATGCACAATGACAATCACAAAAAAAGAAACAATTCTGCTCCCGTAACAGGCTGTCTCGTCTACTGACCAGTCATTGTTTAGCGCCTGGCCTGAGGGAGGGGGAGGGGGAGGGGAGGGAGGAGGGTTTGGAGGATTTTGGTTGTGTCACAATATACCTGATCCCCTATAAGGTTCTGTGATATTCTTATGACCCCCCTCCCTAATTAGGAGTCAACGTTCTATAGTCCCCCCTTAATACTCTGTCCCCCCTGAAAACTTTGCGATCCCAAAAGATCCTCCATCTCCTCCCTGGTGATAACAAGGTCCCTAACTCATCTATTTACCTCTGTGTACAACCTGCTCACTTCAAGGAACTCAGAACAGGCTCTCTTGTAGAACTTGCTTTGCAAAACATACACAAGCTGGACTCTTTCCTCTTTCCCCAAGATCCCACAGAGCCTTATGAGGCATTAGGTAAGTTTTATCGAGACACAACCAAATTCCTTTGACACTCCCCCCCCTCCTCCTCTCCCCCTCGACAAAATATAATTCATCTTTTTACCTCTCTGTACAAGCTGCTCACTTCGAGGAACTCAGAACAGGCTTTCTTGTAGAATTTGCTTTGCAAAACATACACCAGCTGGACTCTTTCTTCTTTCTCAAGAGCCCACACTTTGACGTCATTCAAGAGATTTAGATGAGGAATCACCTCTAATTAAAAAAAATGTAAACTGCAATTTTACTTGTATAGTTACTAAATGCTTCTTGTCTTAAATACAAGGCAATAACTGCCGGAGTTTGATCTCAGCTTCGTATTCAAAGGTTAGATCGCACTATCTATTTCCTCATTAATTTGATTTGTTTTCACGTATGTAACAATAATATAGTAATCCAGTTAAATAGCATTATCCACAAAAAGTTGGAAACAGAATTACAGAGGTATTACAAAATCTTCTCAATATCCGGGTTTTAAAACATAACATAAGCAATTTACTTGTTTCATCGACACAAACTAGCTTGCGCTCCCCTGTTCCACAATATGAATCTTGACTTTCCTGGTTTTCATTGGCAACATCTTGGGCGATTGTTTCGTCTTCTTCATCATAGATGTCTTTATCCAAAGCAAGAAGACGCTCCTCTTCCTCCACTGAAGGATCTCTGGCGTCGCTTGAATTCTCCTGCTCTGAATCTTCTTTGCTTTTTTGCTTCACAAGAGCAGCTGCTACACTAGAGTCGTAGGAAAAATGAAAAAACGCATCTGTGTTTCTAGTGGAACAATTTTTCAGAGCCCCCAAGTGTTGGTCTACTGCACCGTAATGTGTCTCGTGGTCGTCTCGCACGTGTTTACACCAGACAACGGCCGACAGTCTGAGCATGCGCACATCCAATTTACTTTCCATGTGAGGAATGCAGATAAATAACCAAGGTTCGACTATTTCAGTCGGCATACTTGTGATGGTTTGTCTGACTTAAGGGTTTTTTTCGCTGCAAGTTATTGTAAACGCAATAGACGTTTATAATTCTGTCAATATGATGTAGCAAGGAAATTACAAGAGAAAACTTGCCGCAAAGGCCGTAAACCGCGAAACTTGTGGCTATAATATACACTTACTAGCTCTTTGGTTTAGGCTCCTGTTTGTCACTGACAAACTTATCGAACTCTTCTTGGGCAGGCAACCAATGCTGCAGTGCATTTTTCACTAGTTCTGGATTAAAACAAAGAAAAAAATTGAAAACAAATTAATGATCACGAACACATCTACCGTAGCGGTTTGCTAATGAGGTGCAACCACACCCTCTGTTGGCTTCTAGGGTTTGAGTGGGTTATACAAAGTTAACCACTTCGAAGAGTGTTTTCAAAGAAGTTCGTTTCCAGTGGGCAATCAGTCTGGTTAAGAACAGACGTTAGGCGTCATAGCAAGAACAACGTTTTTTAATAATGAATCCGTCGTGGTGAAGACGGAACCTTGAATAATCTAATCTTAGTTTTTATGTGTGGAGTTAACAGGCAAATGTACTTTTGTTGGCTAAGAATTAAATTTAGGGTTAAGTACCTAAAAGTGGAGCATTGCTCTTAAGGCCACCTCGATCAGCTCCTTCGGTCACCTTCTTCAGAAAAGTTTTCACTTCTTCTTCTTCATCAACTGGCTCACGTTCGTTGTCCCAAAGAAGGGATCTAATCTGGTCTACCGACGCTTCCTTGTAAAAACAATGGAATTAAAAAGAAACATACTCCTCCATTTCTTTACCGAGCTCAAAACTTACCATCTCTCTTATTTCTATCTACAAACATTACTCTATCGACAATGCTGATCCTAGCAGTATGCAAGACGCGTGTGATATGAACTTCGTAATAGACCTCGCTCACCGTGGAGTCTCTGTGGCTCAGTGATAGAGCATCGGAGCGCGGAATCCGAAGGTCTGAGGTTCGATTCCTCATGGAGACTCAGAACTTTTTCTTTGTCCCACGCTCGTGACAATACGAAAAAACATATTTCTCTAATGGAATCAAATGTACATCAGATTTGACGATAAGCTGAACTACACCAGCCTTTTGAATGGTTCTCTTCGATGATCTATTGCAGAACAGAAGCATATCGGACGTCACTATTAACAACAGGTTGCTTCTTTACTATACAAAACAAATAGATCCCATGTTGTGGTCCTTCCTGATAGCAATAGACCACATAAGACATCAAAATGTGGTGAGAACATAAGTGACACACTGCGCCTGGTGCCTTTTTTTGTTTTTGTTTTTGTCTTTTTTGTTCTTACCACATTTAGAGGTCGTCAGTGATTTATTACTAAAAGAACGTGCGGCACTGAACATGGAATCCATTCGTTGATTTGATTTGAAGAGTTACACCAAGTGTATCTACATATCTTAACAAATCAACATATAGCTGTAGACTCTGGCCTAATTTTCAAAAGCAGCTGTTTTAAACTCTATGTTATTAACCATTTTGATTTGACGCCAGGTTTTAAAGTCAAGCACTCTTTTTTGAACCTGGACAGTATGATGCTGTTGAGCGAATGTATCCTGCAATATTTTCAAACTAAAAAAGTATATTAATATCACCCAGATAAAGTCAGGTAGTTACATACTTCCAAGAACATCTCCGCATTGAAAATACTGGAAAATATCAACTTCTGGTAGGTACTTCGAACTCGAGGCTGCAGAGCCCAAAGTTTTCCTGTCAGGCTTTTTTTCCGTTCCTGCAATCCCTTAGGCCATTTTCGTCCAACCTAAACAAACAAAAAAAATAAATAAATAAATAACCAAAAATGTAAATAAACCATTACAGCGGAGTACTGTTATCCCGAATAGTGTTTTTTTTTCTGAATATTCCGAACTTTTGTCGCGTACCCGTGTATGGACTTTGGTCGGTGCGTAATTGTAATTTTATCCGAAAGCGTACTCCAGATACGCGGGAATATGTGGACCTGAAAAGGTGTACAACTAGTCAGATGCCGCAAAACCAACTTGAAGCAGCTAGAATCAATTTCTTTGCCTCGCGCTTGTAGCTGATCACTTCTACTTGATTAAGATTCTTATTGGTTCATGCAAGTGTTTAGTTTACCGCGATTGACAACCTCGTTTGCTTTCTCACTAAGTGGAAAATCTTTAAAACATCTAACGAACACTATCACAGAATCATTTGTCGATATTGATTAACAGACAAACCTCTCTTAGCAAGAGTCCCTTCAATTTCTTGTTAGCATTTTCAAGCAAGCCTCCAACACGAACGATCTTCTCATTCGGGGATGAATATTGGGCAAGAGCTTCCAAGAAATTGTCCAAGGCGTGATTCTTATAGGTCACAACCTGTGAACCAGGATATAAAAAAAGGGAATCAGTGTGAAGCCACACAAAAAGAGAGTAAATTAGCTGTCCCTGTTTCTGAGCACTCAGGAATAAATCATGGATTGTTATTATTATTGTAGATCGTTTTAAGCGTGAAGATGACCACAGTAAAAGAAATTTAAGCTGACCTTGTTAACCCCTTCACTACTTAGATCTGATTGTAAATTCCCCCTTTTATATACTACACATTTTCTGGTAAATTAGTTACGAGAATCTGCCGTTAGATCAAGATTACAATCCCATTCCCTAGCAAGTTTGTTTTGCAAAAAAAATAGTTTGTTACGCAGACTACATGTGCTTAACCATGCACTTATGATAAAGAGGCTATTGGACAACGAGTTATTTTACCAGAATAGGTCCATGGCTTTGGGGCACCTTCATGGACAAAAGAAGGCGCACTATGGCCACACCCACAAATGACTTTCCAGTTCCCGGAGGACCCTGTAGAAAAAGGAATAGAAAAAATTTTACATATGACCAAATAATTCTATGTGGATATTGGGCGGATATACAAGTTAAAGCATTACCTGAATCAGCACAAGCTTGTTTTTTAGTGCCAGTTCCACTGCTGCAAGCTGTGTTGAATCAAGTTTGGATTTGAAGTTGCTGTTTACCCGCATTCCCTCGAGATCTTTTAGAGGTGAGTAAGAAGACTGTTTTTCCTGACCTTTCAGAGACTCCTTATGAAAGATTATCTCCCAATCTGGGGGACTTTTAATGTCAGTTAGGTATTCAACTGGCTCAAAGTAGTTTGGTTTTGGGTAAACCAAGAATTCTTTAAATGGAACATGATCTAAAGAAAAAATGGGAAAATAAATATATGTACTTCATCACTCCTTGTGTTTATGACTGACTATCAAATTCTTGTTCCTCAACAATAAGATGGCCAATTGTGACATTTGAATGTGGTGTAAAGAGTATGTTAGGAACTTTGATGAAAGTGAACAATGTGTGTAAAGCAATTTGCTGCATTGTCCATTTTAATCCAAATTAAGATCTTGCGCTGATGATAAGAAGACTAGTGAAGAAGTTTTAATGAAGTGTTTCTTGGCCAGTCATCTCTTAGAAAGAAAAAAAATGTGAGAACCATTTAATTATGTAATAGCTATTTTTTCTGGGAATCATATATAGTTCTTCCTTCACAGAAAAATCAATTACATAAAAATATATGCTAAGACAATAAAACACAAAAAAATTTATGTCTGACCAGGATGACCTATGAGTGCCCTACAAAACCATGTACAGCACTCTTATCATCAAGACTATCAAGCTATCTAAGAAAATGGATCTGCATGATTATTTAAATGGGACTTTGTACCAACCCTGTGATGGATGGCTACATAAAAAATCCAAATGTAAAATTTTCTTTATTTCATTCAAATCGACACCATTGTCTAACCTTTGTGCTGCAGAACTTCCATGGCTGAAGCAAATGCCTGATAGAATGTGTGGCTATGTGCCAAGTATGCTCCATCATCTGGACATCAATAAAAGGCTTCAATTAAATATTAACCATTTGACCTGCATGGCCTACTCATCCCCTACTTCAGCTCATTGAACAATGTGCTCTCCATTGTCCCAATGAGTCTGAATCTATCCAAGAAAGATTCCCAACCTCAAGTTCACAAGTTACATTCCTATAATAAATTAAAAACTGCGAAATACATGTACAGCTACTCATGATAGCATCAGGTCATTCTTGCTACTTTGATGCTCACTTAGATCCATCAGAACTTAAGCAATTTGCACTCAAAATCTCTAGAGTTAAGATTTCTCAAAAGAACCAAAATAAATGTAACATCACAGAACAATTCATAAACAAATATAAAAGCTATTGTATAACTAAATGTTTTATTCCCTTAGCAAAGTTTAAATAACAGCCCACAAACTTACTTTTGTTTGTAACCTCTTGCATCTGTGTAATAAACTCTGCTTCTGAAAGGTCATTTGCTTTGTCACAAAGAGTAATCCTTACAATGCTGGATTCAAAGAACAATATCAATCAACTTTATTTACAGTACACTGTAGGTTAAAAATTGAAAGCAGCAGAACCGATGTGGACCTTTGTGTATATACTTTAACATACAACAGTATTCCTTAAATTAAAACTTTTAGTAGTTATCATAATAAATGAAATATTGGTTTTTATTCAAGATTATGGAGGCTTCCTTTAGAATTGATAAGTTGTTGAACATTTGAATTTGGCACCTGTTTCTTAGAGCATACTTGAAATAACTTATGGAGGGAGCCTGTTTTAGACTGATTGGTATACAATTCCAGACTTCTATATCTTAGAGAGGTTCTCCCTAAATCTAAGTTAAAATGTGGCAATTTTAAATTTGGGTTACGTAAATTACAATCAGAATCATCAGTGTGGGAGAGTAACCCATGAAATTTGTAGAAATAACAACATTGATTATATTGAGTACAAAAGCCTTGAGATGCAGAACTATTAATATTTGATACATCTAAGGCTTGACATACATGATTGTATTTGCTGCCCATGAGGTTTTTTCCCAATTAGTTCCTGATTCATAGACATTCAATTTAATTTTTAACATTAAAATTCTTCCAATTTCAATAACATTTGGTGAGATTGGAAGAATTTTAACATTAATGTATTTTTGATTCATCATTTTGAATTTAGACTTAAAGTTGATTAAACTAATTTACCTCTGGTCATTAATATGACCTTCCACCAGACCCCAGATCGGTTTTTTAAAAGAGCCATCCAGGGAAATACACAGCAGATCTCCATACAGGAGGAACTCTTGACTGGCAAAGATACAATAAAATAATGTACTAACTAAGTTATAATTATAATGTCAAGCTAAAAGAGGAATCCCCTAAAAAAGAAGTGATCCAAAAATAAACCATATTATGAACTTAGTACAGTGCTCCAAGCTGCAACTGTTTTTGTCCCCATGGCAACTACTACTTTTCATAGGTTTAAGTTAATTTGAAAATAATTAACAGTTTTATATAAAATTACTCAAGTTCTGTCCTTTTCTTTAATAAAATTTGCCATTTTTCCATGGCTTCCAAAGTACATGTATTATGTCTTAACATGTCACATGAGTCTCCAAAACTTTATGTCGGCTAAGCTGCTCATTTCCATGAGAAAGTTAAGTGTGGTCAGCGATTTAGTATATTAAACAGTTAAGTTAAGCTTTGGGTCTCAAAGGATATTTGTACCAGGGTGGACTTCATAAATAAACTACTAAAGGCTGGTTCGGTTACATATCAAAAGAACAACAAGATAACTCTTTGATACATGTACTTACTCAAGCTGTTCATCACTATTTTTAGACGACTCTGATCTCTTGTACAGCAGTGAAAGTAACATCATAGTTGGAGAATATTCATGATGAAGGGAGACTGCTCTCAGGAAAACTCTGAGGATATTAAATTGATTACACACATTGAAAACAATACTAGACAAGCATGCAAGTTTTGTGTACTTACCAGTGTATGTCATGTACTCTAAGAGACTACTATAATAATAACATTATCCATAAATTACCCTTGGAAAGCATTTACAACTTACAATATTATTAATTATTGTAATATTTGTTTCTTCTAGGAGGATAAGATAAATCAGATGTTGTTCAGCAGAATTATAAGGTATCAGTATAAACGACCTGTTCATACACTCCTGATGATATCAGAAAGTGCCAAACCAGCCTAAATATCATCCTATGTGAGAGTAAAACAGCAATTTGGTTATACCTGTACATTGTAATATCTTTTGAACTACTTTGACATCCATTTTTAACAAAATTATAGATTCCTTCGCGTAACTTATGGAAGCATTCCTCTCTGAGAAGTCTGAAGTATGTATCTAAGTATTCCTCCTCTGATTTGTATGGTCCTTCCTTTTTTATCTTTGGTAAGTCCTTTGTCTTCAATCCTAAATATAAAGACTACATAAACATTTGTAACACAACACCATCAACAAAGCCATTGCCAGCTTTCATAAATATTCTTAACCCTTTGCCTCCCATAAGTGACCAAGACATAATTTTTCCTTATCTGACAATATTAAATAGCATTTGTGATGAGAATAAAGAAAAATATAAATTAGGGGATTATCATTTGATCCACCGGTAAATTCTTCAAACTAACTTCACATGAATTTTATAGCAGACAGTAAGGAGAATTACTAATGAGATCTTGGGAGTGAAAGGGTCAATTCTGCAATTCCGCTAATACTCCACTCTACAGCTGTTCACAAACTCTATCACCAATTGCCAACTAGCCTTGTGTCTATCACAACTCAGTAGGTGGACCTTGTCGCTATGTCTTAGCTCTTTATTCAGAGCTACTGCATGAACAAACACGGCTGTGCAATAGACAATTTTAGGATTGAAAGTCAATAAGAGAGTTTCTTCTCTTCTGTCACTATGTAAAATTCTACCCCTGAGCTATTTTCTAAGTACTCAGACTTGGAGAATATTCTCCTGCTGATACATTTCTTAATCAAACTCTGATTCTATGAGTGATGTTCTATTTCATTAGCTTAGATTAAACAGTTAACAATAACACATTGTAATACACTGAATAGGAGACATTCATCATCAACAGATGGCCCAATAATAATTATAAAAATAAATTCAATTAACTGTTACTGGGTTCATGGATCTCTTTCACAACTGGTATCAAGGGAAGATCTTTCCATTGCAAAGTCTGAACTTCTTCACGGCCTTGAGGCACCTCTAAGGCAATAATGGATGATAGCTTAGTTAGGTAATCTATAGCTGCTCGTCCATTCTCTTTGGCTGTCTCTAAGTCACTGGAGTTGTCTATTAACTTATACACAAGCTCTTTAGCCATTCGTAAAACATGTGGGCCAGCAGCTGGATAGGCAGTGACTACACATTCCAGAATCCGCTGAACCAAGCTGAAATTTGACAATTGACAACTGATTGTGAAGGAAACATACAATATTTGAATTAAATTCACTGTCAGTTATATTAAGTAAAATTAAATCACATTTTTAAACAAAGATCAAGAAAAAAAGGGAGCAACCCAACTCAACCACCTCCCCTCCCCTTCCTAACCTCACCACCAGCTCTTTGTCAGAGAAGGCTGAAAACTCATCATCAGCATAAGCTGGCAAGAATAATATGTTAACATATAACAAAATGTCTGGCAGCAACAACCACCAAAAAATTTCATATGTAAAAAAAAAAACACCAAAAAACACCAGAAGCTAATAAATTAGTAACGCAATTAATAATCACCCTATCACTCCTGAGATCTAAATAATAATTCTCTACATTGTTTATAATTCATCACTTATCATTTTTAAGTTCTATGAATTGGTGATCAATCAAACAGCTGTCATCCCTCTCGTTCATCATTTTTTACTTCTCATCACCTTTCTTCATGATAGTGTATGGAAATTGTTAGGAGAAGTTCATGCTTGGTCACTCCTGGATTGAAAGGAATAAAAGAATAAAAAGTAGTACAATTTTCAGTTACATTTTATACTTACCTCCCATCCTCAATCTTATTGACAAAATCTGGAAAGACTGATTTGAAGAAAGCACTCCCCTGAAACTTTTTCACAAGATGAGTGACTGTGTGTGACATATTTCTCTGGGCATTGGAGCAAATCTTGTCTACAATGGATAAAATTTGCATAGCCATTGGTGTTGTATAGTCTTCTTTGGGAAGTTCCAGGATGTATTCCCATAATGCAGTACATCTAAAAATGGCACAGCACAAAATCAGTAAGTCATGTCAGAAAATTGCTATAAAGTTCCTCAACAAATTTAAATTAAGAACTTAGGATTCTTGCCTAACTCTTCAGTTAACTCCCAAGATCTAATTGTTAGTTTGAGACTATTCTCATGGCCTGTTTCTAAAAGTAAATAACATGATTTTGAGTGCAATTTTAAATTTTTCAAAGACAACAAAATTAATTTCAAAACCCATAGGGCAAGTGCAATTTGTAGTCTTTCTAAAAATTTACAAGTGCTTACTACACCAAATTGCATGAGAAATCATTTTGTTACTTGTCAATAATGTACATGACAAAACATCGCAAAGAGTCAAATCAGATGTAAATTTGCACACGTTACAACTTTGCACTTGTATTATGAGAGAATGCACTTGTTTTCAGCCAATCAGATGTGTAATCATGACATTATTAGCTGGATAATGTATGGATATTATGGGTAAAAGTTATTTGTAAGTCACTTCTGGTTAAAACACAAAGTTCTAAGGAAAGTTGGCAATAAAAGCCACAACATCCAACCAATATGACAAGACTATTCAGTTAATTAAGTTACATGCAACTGGTATAAAACCTACCTTACAAGTTCAGTCAATGCAGCAGTTGAGCTTTCACTTGCTACCAAAAAAATCAAAAATGACTCAATCTCAGTCTGATCACGATGGTAACACCTGGAAAAAAGACGGGAAAGAGATTGTTTGAAAAGTGGAAATTAATCAACATATACCATTTTCCACATCACTTTTAACACATGGCATCTGAAAGCTGTGCTTGATAAAAACCATAATGATTTTGGAAGTCAAAACCATCTAGTTCTCATTTGCAGAGTAAAAAAGAAAGTTTCTGGCAATTCTTATTCCAATCCATATGCTGAGGAATTATAGGATAATTAGTGAGCCTGTGGGTTAATGCTACACTTACATGGAAGACTCCTTGTTTATTTACACCCCAATGCAATTGCTGATTTTTTATCTCAAAGAGAAGAAAGCCAAAACAATGGCTAGTGTCACAGTCTACTGTCCTTCCCTTCCCTGGATAAACTGACGACACTTCTTGAAATGATCATTCCAATAATCCAATGGAAACCAGAGGTCATTTTTATCCCAAAAAGAAGAAATTTAGTTATCTAGTGATGAAATTTATTTTTTATCCTGTACACTATGAATCAATTTTTCCAGAAAATAAAATATCCCTTATGGTGCTGCTCATTTCTCTGCTTATTGCACAGTGATTCATTTCATATACTTTTAGGTTGAAATGTGATATGAGTAATGTAATATTGTTATAGGTGCAGAGATCAATCTCTAACAAGTTGTTACAAGATATCATGATAAGACTGAAATTTATAACTGATATGAACTATACTTACTTTATCACTTCTGGTTCCATTGCAACTCCTTCCTTTCTCCGGCATTGTGTTACTTCAACAATGTCCCCAACTTTGAGATCATATCCTCTTAGAGATTCATTTTCAACATCAATGAGATGCTCAATCAATGCTGAATGGCCATCTTGAGCTTTATGACATACATCTATTAGCACAGACACCTTACAATGGCCTGCATTGTATGTACATTTCCGTATCACAACACCACAAAGCTTTACATTTCTTTCAAACAAATCTATTAGGGCTGACCTTCTTGACTCACAAAACTCAGAAAAACTGTCATTCTGTTCTTCTACCTTGACAAACTGTTTGAGTTGTTCAAAAAACACTTCAGGTTTTGTTTTTGTTACTGTTGAGCTCACTGATTTCTGCTTTTCATCTTCTAATTTCTGCTTATCAATGAAATTATCCAGCAACCTTTTGCGGTATTTGTATGTGGGGTGTTCCTTGGACAGTCTATATCCACAAGTTTCCCAGCCAGCTGGTACTAACACACAATTTAGATATTCCAAAAGTTTAACCTTAAACTTCTTGCGTTCAAAAACATCAATATTTGGACATATTCTACACAATAAACTATCAATATCTCCATCTTTTCGGTAGCCATCATTGAAAATTATCCTCCTCATTCTAAAAGATTTAAATTATGCATGTTCAAGAATACTTCTGGATGGGGTGGGTCACTTCCAGAGTGTTCATAATATATTTATTGTCTCTCATAGCCGTTATGAATGAAAAATTAATGTCATTTCCTGAAAATAAAAGGCTAAGCTTCTTCCTGGCGACTGAAATGTAAGTAGTACATTTTGCCAATGCCAAAACATTGCTAGTGTCACAGTCTACTGTCCCTCTCTCCCTTGGATGAAATGACGTCACTACCCTATGTGATCTTTCCAAGAATCCAACGAACACCAGAGGTCATTTTCTGAGAAGCGCGAGACCCAATATCAGTCAGTAGAGGTTTCATGGAAAACGCAGTTGTTTCTCTCGAAAAATATCGCCATAGCGTACTGAACCAAGGCCCCAAGTCGTTAAAAACCAAAGTGTATGGTGCAAGCACATACATCCAAACTGCCGCCATTTTGTAAAACGACCACAACTTTTTAATCACCAGGGTAGAGAGGGGAACAGAAGTTGCCTACTACTGTAAACACAGGTATGGTGAGTACAAATCCGCGTGAAATTCTTTACTCAGTCGTATCCTTAAGCCTAACTTCACTGTTTTAGTGCGTCATTGTACAGAACCATCTAATTCTATATGATAGGACTAGGTATTGAAGGGTAGAATAGCCTGAAAATGGACATATATAAAGGGCGAAAGACTTGACATGCAAGTATTGAAGTATATGTCGTGTTGCTTCGTTCGCGGTATTTCATCGCTGTCTATTCCAAGATACGATCTTAAATGCTCAGCGAACAAGGGAACTGATTAACGCAGGGACAAAATGACCGTTTACATTTCGCTGGAAAGAAGTATGGCTTCCACCGTGCGTAGCATATCGCATTTGACAAGAACAGAGCTTGTGAACGAAAAATTAAAATTTAGTGTGACCTCAAACTTCCCCGATTTAGTCGCGTCACGCAAAGCTATTTTAGGAAATACCTGGAAGTGAAACCCGAAATAATTAATAGCGTTTATCTGGGAATGAAGCTATGCAAATTTGGCCAACCAAGATTTTTTAAGACAAAGGTAAAAGGAAAAATTTTCTTCTTGACCCACCTACGATAATAATACTAGTAACCTCGAAGCAGGTTTTAATCTCTCCTGTCAGGATGTCGAATACACAAGGACCCACAGTCGTGACAAGGGTGATTCCAATCCCCAAAGACAAAGTTGGACATGTCATAGGAAGGAGAGGATCAAGAATAAGGGAAATCAGAGAGCAAACCGGAGTCCAGCTATCAATTAATAAAGAAAATCAAGCGCTCTTGAGAGGCACGGCAGAACAATGTCAAAATGCGGAAAAGATAATAAAGGAAATCGTGACGGTAAGAGCTCATTAGTGGGAAAAGGAAGTTGAGTGTCTGTATCTAACTCATTGTCAATTGATCCATCAAATCGCCTGCCTGTTCTAGATACTGTACACTGGATGCTTTTGTTCTATATTAAAAAGCAAAATTAAATCAAAGAAATAAGAGGGTAATAGATCCCTCACAGAAAATATCGATATCTACGTCGAGAGGTTTGACTGTAAAACTCTAATAGAGCCACTCTTTTTTCGGTATTTAGATTTTTATTGCTTTGAAAGTGGGTTTTTATTAAATATAAATGTTAAATTGGTATGGAATGAGGTGGCCATCTTACCTCAAGTTTTCCTCAGCCTGCTGCTTTTAAACTCTCTTGATCCGCCGCTTTGAACTTCCCTTAATTTCATATTTAATTTCATTCCCTTATTTGCTTAAATATATCATTTTAAACACTTTTATATAGTTGTAAGTTTAAAGACCTTATTCGCAATTTAATCTAGTTTTATAAGTTTAATAGTTCTATAATTTTATGCAGTTCCATAATACCACATAATTTTAAACACTTTTATATAACTACTTGGTTTATTTATTTATCTTTTCTTTCGTGTAAACTAGCTCTATATAGCTAAGTGTTAGCCACGTTCATAAAGTATGTATGTATGTATTCATTAGTTACCCACCATTCAAATATCACAGATTACATATGTTAAATATATGAATTCTCAAGAATTTCAAAGCTTGTGTGTATTCTCGCCCTAGGTTTCTTTTTAAATCTAAATACGGTTATGTCTTTATTCTGATCCGCAGGGTGCTCAAGACAGCGAAAAAGGCGGGTTTAAGAAACTCCAAGTTGACATACCTGACAAATTCATGGGCGTCGTCATCGGAAAAGGGTATGAGAAGTTGAACAATATCTCAACTAGGACTGGCGTAACTCTAAAAGCCTTCAGGGGCAGCCCCGGCCTGTACTTCAAAGGATCAAGAGAGGGCGAAAAAAAAGCAATAAGAGAAATAAAGGCCATTGTGGTAAGTGTGAATTGGTTTCCCTGTGTCATCATTCTTTCTTCTGATTGGCTGTCGTGACTATGTTAGTTTTGGTTTTACGACACAGGATCCAAATCCACCCAGAAGACCTCTTTCATAATGGCAGGCA